ACCAGCCAACACCTTAAACCTACCGACCAATATAACATCTCCCCCCACCACTCATCTAACTCCCATCCCCTCTATCAGCAACTCCACCACCACCATATAACTCCATCATTTTACGAATCACAACCTCAGAGGCAACCGATCAACATATACCACATTTTTCATATTATTCCACCTGAGTCTAACTTGGAATTTTCAGCTATGCCTAGTATATGTCTCTCTTAAGTAATGAAAGTCATTCTTTGACAATCTAATTTGTTGCTATCAAGTTTGTTTGCCCAAGTATATTCGGATGTTCCGAAGGTACAATAATTCAGTGCAAAATTTGATGCCATTTGCCAGACCAGCTGCTCATCAAATGGAAACTTCTCTGTTGGTGGCTTTAACTTGCTTTTGTCTCTACTTCTGAACATGTTGCCTCTTTGGTGCTTTGGAACAAGCTTAGGATTCAACTCCTCAGATTTGCCAACTTCATATGTCCAAAGGGTTGCTTCTGGGTAAAAAACAACATCTCTTATTTGACCTCCATCATCATAAGAATTCAATTCAATTCTTTCAATAAAATTGTACCCTGAAGTTCTACAGACTGCAATATCACATTCATATTGTCTCTGTGCCCGTGCTCTAGCATCACCTAAAACATCAAAGTTAGTTGGAAGGTATAAAGGTGATGTATCCCTTAGACCAGAGAGCTTCCTCTTGCTTAGTTGGGAATTTTTAGAATGCATTGACGTTTTCGCCAGCTTCTCTGAAGCAACAGAATTTGAATCTGAACAGTTTTCACTTGTCAGGAGAGCGTGGGAATCATCTACTGAATGTGAACAAGTTTCTTTACCCAGATGAGTGTGGCACTCATTGAGTTTGTGGTTAGCCTGAGCAGTTTTCCAATATTCATTGTGTTGCCTGATTTCCTCTGGATCTATTGGGATCAACATATCTCCATCAATAGCGCAAGTTCTTGAACCTTCTGGCCTGTTTATAAATTGCTCATTATAGTCAGGCACTCGATCCTTAATTATATCTGGCATAGGCAAGCCAAGTGCTTTAGCCTTTTCTTGAGCTACCTTTCTTCTATGTCTAGGAGCCCAGTAATTAATTTTAGGAAGGCCCTCTCTATTAGCATTTAATTTGCGAATTGCTTTCTGAACAGCTTTGAATTCGGCATCTTTAATAGCTTTCTCCTTTGCAGCTTCAGCAGCTACTTTCGCAGCCTCAGCGGCTTCTTCTGCAGCCTTTTCAATTTGTTCAGGGGTAAGAACTGGTTCACTTGGTTCCTCAAAGCTGACTTTCTTCTTCGGAGTTGCACCTTTGGAGAAAGAAAGGGTTGTAGTTAATGGAGTGAGTTCGCTAATAGTTTGCAACAAGCTCTTATTTTTGTAGGTGGTAGTATCAGTTGAGTTATTCACACCATTTTTTCTGAAATGTTTCTTCGCTTCATTAACCTTTGCCCAGGTAAGACCAGTTGTTACTCTCGGCTTTGGTTCGAGAGATTTAGGATCGAGGTACTTTTTGACTTCAATCCTTTCTCCCAGTGGAAGAGTTTCGTATTCAAGTTTGTAGTTCAATGTATCAAATACGAATTCATCTTCGACAGGAGGGATCAATTCTGCAGCTGGTTGGACTTCCCAAACTGTATAGCAGTCATCTGGATATGGCAAGCCGGTCTTGACTAATTTGCTAACATATTCATATCTGATGGTTTCTAAAGGTTCTAAATCAGGTTCTAGCTGTTGTTGGCAATTTAAAGCAACTTCACCGTTTCTTTCCAATGAATGGACAGTTCTATTGGAAACGACTTCGTTTTCTAGCCTCATATCTGGGTCGTAAATTGGACTTCTACGACACACATTTTCAAATCTATCATAAGATGGATATTTTGAACGTTGGGCTGCATAATAACTTTCACTGTCATCCTTTGAGTGAAAGAATGATTTGATGTACTCACGCTTTCCTAGTCCGGACCTAGACCTTGAAAACAGATTCAATACTCTTTTAAATTTGCTTAATGGACTGTTAAGCTTAAAAGGTTTGGTATCATTATCAACGTGGGACCTGGACAATCTGTGCATCTTTGGAAAATGCATTTTACTTCTTCTTCTTCTTCTTTGTTGGTTCCTATATGTACTCTGAGTGTCTAGTTGGATTAGACAAGCAAAGACGAATATAAGTAAAGGTTTTCTTAAACTGATTTGATTTCTTTATTCACAGTTTGGGACAAGGAAACTTTGAATAGGAAACTCAGTAAAGAAGTGGTTAGTAGTCTCTTAGTATTTCCTTGCTTTGCTACTTTCGAAGTGAAAGAAGTTGAAAGGTGTTGTACTAAAGAGTTGGTTGAGCGCTTTAGCCTTTGAGAACACTCTTCTAGATGGAAGGGTGTAATAAAAGGAAAAGCGGGATTTCTTCTTCTTGTACTTCTTTCAGTGGTTTTCCTGTGTGATAGGACTCCAGTGATCAAAGTTATAGAAGGAATGGATTAACTTGGAAACTTAAAGGCTTGCAGTTAATCAGTAATTCAAAAATGTATCGGAAGTTCGTTTAATAACAATCTAAGTGACAGTTTTCTTGAATTTGTTGTAATGATGAAAGCAGAACTAGCAGAAGAAAGTAGGAGCAAAGAGATTTGTGTTTTAAAAATGTATGGCGAACCATACTATCACCAATGTTTACAATCAACGAAACGGTACAAACATCGTTCTTTCCTCTCTTTCCCATTGCACACAGACATATAAAACGAAAGCTGAGCACATTATTATAGTAGGATAGGTTTACAAAGAAACTTTCTGTCCCTCAGAAGGTTTACTCTGTTGAACAAGATTTTTGCTGGAATTTAGAGAGTGAAACTTTTTTTGCAGCCAGTACTGCATGGCACTTCATGCGAGATTGCAGCACTTTGATAAAAATAGTAGTTGCAGAATAAAAATAATATCACGAGACAAGGACCTCACTGTGGGATTCGATAGAATACACTATATCAGCTATTAAACAAACGCTAGCTTTGATTTCACGAGTTTAATGGCAAATTACGTTTGGTGACAGAGAAACACAACAGAAATGGAGAGGAAGAAAATAAAAACGGGTCGAATTGCAGATGACTATGAGGTACCCTCTTAGTAAAATAGTGTGAAGTGCAGGACTGACTATATTTCTTGATAAAGTCGTACTAACGATAGAGACAAGATCCAAGAACGAAATCATACAATAACTGGGCAGCAACTGGAGAGCCGGTTTAATGATGTATGCAGACAGAATCAATAATGGAATCACACTACAACTAAACAGAAACTGCACTGCGTGATCAATGGTGAAGCAGAGGAGACCACAGTGCAGTGCCCTATGATGCTCGCAACGCTGCAGCACATCCCACCTGCATATATGTTGAGTTGCAATGTGGGAGGGATATCTAATAAAGTTTAAATTTTAGATAAGAGAATAGGCTGATCTAGTTTGAAAAAAAAGAAAGAAAGGGAAACAGTTGATGTTGAGCTAAGAAAGTGCAACACTGAGCTTTCGATATAAACCTTCGTGTGATACTGTTTTCCAATTTGGGTACTATGTACGTTCTCCTAGTTCCCCCATATGTGCCATTTTGTTTATCTTTTGTGAAGTTTATTTTCTTGACTCGACTATGAATTCCGTAGGTTATTAATGTATTTATTTTATTTTCATTTATTTTTTATTTTTTTTTTTTGCTCCGATTTCTTTGCGAGGTTAAGGCGTCTCTGTTCCTTCTCTCAAAAGGAAAAACTGCCCCAGCGAACACAAGACATGTAATACACCGTAATGATACACCGCCGCTGGATCTTCAAAGGAGCACGAATTTGCATCCACTGTCCCAATTGTGCCGACCAACCAATCCTGGCCTGCTCTTGCATTTCCCATTTCCCATTTGCAATTAGCTCTATTCGCTACTAACTCGTTTTTCATTACTCGTCGTGGTTCACTAAATTTTAAGCTTTCATGCCCCCAACAACTTTCGAACGAACTCCGAAATCCTCCCGCCTACGCGCTAATTTCTCGGTATCTGTACACATTTTAAACTCACTACGCATATTGTCTCATTACCACATTTATTTTCTCTTGCTGATCCCTAAAGAGAAAATTAGGGAAAAAATTGCACCTAGCAATAAACAATAAATAGAACCACTTCTTTCTTTTTATTTTTATTTTTTTCATTTCACACCTTTTCCTTTTTCCTTTAATAGTAGTATTATTTGGTATAAGTTCTCCAATAACTAGATAAATATGACATATTCTTATCGATTTAAATGGTATGTACAGACAGTGGCGATTCTGGAATGGGAGAGCAGGACACCTGCGTTAGATTGGTATTGATAAGGGTTAGATTAAGATACAGGAACTTTAGTGTTCTACTTTTTTCGAATCAGTGTAAGACCAGGGCTCTACAGGTAGCGATTTTTGGCTTCTTTTATTAAGCTTGCTGACCACTGAACGATGTACCCACAGCTTAAAACAACAATTGTTTATTCTTGTGTATGGTTGGCTTGTTGTTACTGTTGCTAACTGTCCCTGCTGCCATTTTGTAATATTGGTCCCTGCTCCTCGCGCTCCTTATCGGATCAAAAAAAAAAAAAAAAATTAGATCAGACAGATCAGAATATTTTTATCGCATTTAATTTTCATTTATGATTCTATTCTTATGAGTATTCGCTTTCTTTTACTAACAATTATAGGCCAGCCGCCAGTGATATCCAGTCAGTTCATATAACAGGAACTTTTGATAATTGGTCAAAAACTAATAACCCACTCAAACGCGATGGAGATTTCTTCGTAGGAACTATAAATGTTCCCAGCAGGGAGAAATTGGTGTTTAAGTTCGTGATCAATGAAGAATCCTGGGTGATGAGTCCCGACTATAAGATCGAGACAGATGCAAGTGGCAATGAAAACAACTACGTGGATGAAACTGAGTTGGAAGAAGTGTCTACTCCAACTCCTACAACTAAGGCAGCCGCCGCGCCAAGCTCAAGTTATGCTCTCCCAAAAGAGACTGGGAAAGTTGAACCTGCATCAATTACATCTGCCCCAATTGCCCCGGTAGCAGCTTCCAAAGAGTCAAATACTGCTGAGATTGCAGTACCTCCCACTACCGCGGTAACTACTAAAGAAGCCGCACCAGTTACTACAACTGCTGAACCTGTAACTGCTCTGAAGATTGAACCAGAACCTATCCATGCACCTAAAGTCGACACCCCTAAAGCAACAGAACCGGCAATTACACAGGCTCCTCAACCACTGGTAACCACAAAGGCAGCAGCAGCACCACCAACAACTGCTGGACCAACCCCATTAGCTGAAGAATCGGTTCCAAGTACCCAGGAACAGGTTTACTCGCCTTCCCCAGAACCGGCTGATTCTGTAGCTCTGCCTTTAACCCAGGTGCTTACAACCACCTCATCATTCGCTGGTGTATCTCTCCCCTCTCAGGACTCGGTCTTCGAACACTTGGAAGATACGGAAATTGAAGAGGATGACGATGAAGAAGAAGACGAGGATGCAGATTTCAATCAATTCAATACTCCAACAAACTCCCTTTTCAATTCTGGCGTTTTGAATAGCCCAAACACCACTAAGGGCGACAGCCCCTTACGTAACAAGAACCACAAGGATAATGTTGAAATTCTTCAGGCACCTGGGGCATTTCCAACATCGTCATCTTCCTCTAGCACAAATCAGGCAACCACTGGTAATGATAGTGTTAGAAAAGATGGTCTTGTTTCAAGGTTTAAGAGTTTATTCAGATACTAATTTATACAGGTGGACCGAGGTATTATCGTTTGTCTCTTAATTCGATTTTAATATGTGTTTTTCCAATTTTTCTGTAACTACCTCCGGCTCCTTTCCTGCAATTCTCTAGTGTTTTAGTTATTTAGTATTCTCTCTCTCCTTTTTTTTTTAAAGGCTTGAGTTGTAAAGAGTTAATAGCTCGTTATGATTCACTTTATTTTTATTTTATTTTTTTTATTTTTATATTTATTTAGCTGTTATATATGTATAAGTATATATACGTTTAGATCTATAGAACACGCGTGTCTCTTGCTCTGATCCTAGTCGTCTTAGACCTGCTTCGTATCTTGTACCATCGCCCCATTGCATCACTGCACCTCTGCAGCACCATTCTCCAGCTCAAACGACGTACTTCCTGCATATACCGCATTCACTCTTTGTGTAATTTTCACGAAGCTAATGCAAATTTCAAAATGGGAAACAGCCAAACGATACCACCAACCTAAGTCTACGAAGCAGGATCCGATTTAAAAGCCATGTTCACGTTCTCCTTATTGGAGAATGAAAGCAGCTCGTGCCGGGTTTCAAAGCTCACTTTTGATTCCGATATCGTTATCTTGGCAGATCCTTCGTGGGATGGAAAGGACCATAATGACATTCTATTCATGGAACCTCACTTAAGAAACGTCGACTTTATCATATTGTCTCACGGTACACCTGAATTCATATCAGGGTTTATTTTGCTCTGTATCAAATTCCCAAACTTGATGAACAATATCAAAATTTACTCCACAGTTCCTGTTAACCAATTGGGAAGAATATCTACAGTTGAATTTTATAGATCCAAGGGAATTGTGGGACCATTGAAGGACGCCATTTTGGAAGTTCTGGAAATCGATGAATGGTTTGATAAGATCTCTGAATTAAAGTTCTTTCAAACCTTGTCACTTTTGGACAATAAGCTTGTTATAACTCCGTATAATGCCGGCCATACTTTAGGAGGAACCTTCTGGTTATTGACTAAGAAGTTGGAGAAAGTAATCTATGCACCAGCGTGGAACCACTCCAAGGATTCCTTTTTGAATGCTGCCAGCTTTTTAGCCAGCTCTGGAAGTCCTTTGGCTCAATTGATCAGACCTACTGTCCTTATCACTAATACTGACTTGGGTTCTTCGATGTCTCACAGGAAAAGAACAGAGAAGTTTTTGCAGTTAGTTGATGCGACCTTGGCTAATGGTGGGTCTGTCTTGTTACCAACCAGTTTAAGCGGCAGATTTTTAGAAATCTTGCATCTTATAGATCAACATTTGCAAAGTGCTCCAATTCCAGTGTTATTTTTATCGTATTCTGGTACCAAGGCATTGTCATATGCATCCAATTTGTTGGAATGGATGTCTTCACAATTAATAAAGGAATGGGAGGACTCACAACTGCATGGAGGATCTAATAATAAAAACAATATTCCATTTGACCCCTCTAAGGTGGATTTGTTAAGTGATCCAAGTGAACTTGTCCAGTTGACCGGACCCAAAATCGTCTTTTGTACCGGTCTCGACTTGACTAATGGTGATATGTCAGTGGAAGCTCTTCAATATCTTTGTAATGATGAAAAGACTACAATTATTTTGACCGAAAAGTCCAAATTCAGTGGTAGTTTAAACGAAGGCTTATACTCTGAGTGGTACAACTTAGCCAAGGGGAGAGTATCCAATAAAGATGGAATTGTGGAAGATGGTATAGCGGTACCATTGGAGAAGTTGTTAACTATAGACAACTTTTTCAGAACAGAACAATTAGTGGGAGAAGAATTAAAAGATTTTAATGAGAATATAGCGAAACGTAGAAGGGAGAATTTATTAGCGAAAGTCAGAGACAAGAGGAATAAAAACTTGTTGAACACTGACGCTTTTAGTGATGACTCAAGTGATGACGATGACGATGACGATGATGACGAAGATGATGATGAAGGAGAGGAGGGGGAAGAAGAGAGTGATAAAAACGGTACTGGCAAAGTTGGAGTAGATAAGGCGGCAGCTACTGAAGCTGTCAAGCCAGAAGCCACTGCTGCCCCAGTAGAACCAGCAGCAACCGAAGCTGATCTCGCAGAAACCCTCCTTGCTGATTACATCAAAACGACACTTACTTCCAATAAACCCTTGGATATTCGCATTACACATAAAATTAGGCCAAGACAAGCTATGTTCCCCTTCGTCCCAAACACCCATAGACAAAAATTCGATGATTATGGTGAAATTATAGATATCAAAATGTTTCAAAAGGTTGAAGATCACACCCAAAAGAGATTTATAATAGAGAAAAGAGGTGGTCAAAGGAATTACAATAACAACAATCAAGAAAATGGATTTGGGAACAACGGCAAGCAATCTTTGGCCCCAAGAATAACTCCTCAAGAAACTTTAAATAATCAAGTGCTTCAGAAAAACTTAGATACGCTATTTGCACCTCTGAAACGTGTCTATCAGTCTAACTCTAAAAGGGAACTTCGAGTCAGGTGCGGTCTTTCGTTCGTTGACCTTTCTGGATTAGTTGACTTGAGATCGCTTTCACTTATTGTATCTCTTATTAAACCATACAATCTCGTATTGTTGCCTGACGACACAGCGCCTATTGATTCTGAAATAAACCAATTCAATAAAGTGAAGACAATGTTCGAACAACAACAGTCAAACAAAAAAGAACAGCAGTTCAAAAAGCAAGTTGTGAACTCTGCCCGTTATATGTCCTTAACTAATATTAGAGGTGGACTTTCTGGGTTGTCTTCATCTAAACTCTCTAATAACTCTATGAACATTGTTGCACCTGTTGCTAATGAATCAATTAGAATTGGTTACGATGACGAAGAGGTTGGAGGTATTGGATTGACCAACTTTGAAATTAAGTTGGATGATGCCATTTTAGAAAACTTGTCATGGCAAAAAATTGATGGTAGTTACAAGGTTGCACAAGTTTATGGTGAATTGGAAATCTCCAACCCGTCTACTCAGGCAGATCAAGACAAAGCCATTAAGAAACAAAAGACTGCGGCTGATTTCATGAATAACTCCACCCAATTTACATTAAAGCCTTTGCTGAAGAAAGATTTCCAGCAGAAATCGCTTCAAGCTGCAGCTACTAAAACTGACACAGCAGCAGGAGAATTTTCCACCACTGGAAGCTCTGTTTCCAATCCTAAATTGGCTATTGGTAACATTAGACTTACAGAATTGAAGAAGAAGCTACTTGAAAAGAATTTGAATGTCGAATTCAAGAGTGAAGGAACTCTTGTTGTAAACGAAGAGTTGGCAATCAGAAAGGTCACTTACGGTTCAGGAGAATCGGATGATACTGGTGATATTGTGATAGATGGGCAAATGGGATCATTATACTTCCAAGTTAGAGATTGCATTAGAGAAATGTTAGCATACGTATAAGATCTTTGCATACTTTTTTCGAAATTTTTTTTTTTTTACATTTTTCAACTATTTCGATGTTCCATTTATATCACAAACGTTTACTATAGATAAGCTAGTAATATAATAGACATATATTGGAGATAATACTATTCGCTGTAGAAAAAGGCTGCAACATTTAACATCTTGCTACTACCATATCTAATGTCCTGTATACAATGGTCGCGTGTAAACCACTTTCTTGGCCAATAACCTGTTCTAAAAACTTCATTACCATCTCAATCACTAAATAATCTTCAAACGTATTTGAAACACCAACTATAAATAATAACTTGTATATCTGATAGCCGAAAATGAATCCATACGCAAGAAACGGAGGAACCAGAAAATGTTTCTATGAATTCCAAACTTTCATGGAATGTTACACTAATGCTGACACCAAGGCACCAAAGGAGTGTACACCTAAATTTAACGACTACTATGAATGTTTACATGGATTCAAGGAAAGAGAAAAGGTTAGATTAATGATCCAGCAATTGAAGGATAATGAAGCCAACAAGAGCGGTGTTACTTCTGCTGACTTATTTAAAGCAACATCTAGCGGAACTTACGAGAACTTGAACTTGGTTAAATAAAGTGGTCCACGAAAAATTTCAAGAAGCACAAAATTTTAAAAAAAAAACCGAAAATGAAAGAAAATGAAGGGTGAATGACTCGTAGACCCCCATTGGCGACGAAATTCTCTCCTATCCATTAACCATCAAAAAGTATTTGAGGTTAATACTTGTAAATTAGGAAAATAAGAGCATTCCCATGTCTACCAATACACAGCATAGAAATCCAGCCAACTTAGGTATAGACTGGTTATGAGTAAATAGTTACTACATATTGATATTAAATAAATAAACTTAGTTATTATACCTGAAGGGTGAACTCTTCTAATAGTACGTAGGAGCAAATTGAGCTTGCATTTTTAGTTGTAGGAGTGGGCCTTGGCGGCGGAGATTGCTATGGGGAAATCACATATCACTGTTTTTAACTATTGAAAACGGCGCCTCTTTTGCATCCAATGTACTACATACTCCAGCATAAGGCACGAAGTTGCTCAGGAAGTAAGCTCATAGAGCTCTTAGAATCGAAAAAAAAATTCCGATACCGGGAGTCGAACCCGGGTCTGCTCGGTGAAAGCGAACCGTGCTAGCCGTTACACTATATCGGACTTATGTATTTGTTTTTTTTCCCAAATTGCAATACCAGATTCTCTGGTAATTTCAACTTCATACTAGAGATGCCTATATGTTTGACCCTGACCTACGATCACTGAGAGAAACGGCTAACCTATCATTAACATAATAGGTTGTAGAAAGAACCTGTTTGTATCTTTTACATAAAAATGATTCATGATAACGAATTAAGCACTATAGGATTTATTTTAAATACTGAGAGGATGAGTTGAGTTTCTTTGTTGGAAAGTGTAATGAGACCTTTGGGGCCAATATGGATGTATTTATGTATTCCTTTTAGTCAAATATTTTTGGATCATTTAGGGGGTGGCGGTGGTTTCAGCACTGTCAGGGGCGGAGGAGGTGGTAACTTTGAAGTGGGTGGAGGAGGCGGCAATCCAGATGGTGGGAGTGGGCGAGTAATTCCGGAAGGCGGAGGTGGGGGAACTGTAGGTCCAGAAGGTGGTGGAGGTGGAGGCACAAGCCCAGAAGGTGGTGGTGGAGGTGCCACTGCTGCTGACAATGGTGGAGGTGGAGGTTTAGCTACAATGCTAGACGGTGGCATTGAAGGCAATAAACCGTCTGGCGCTTTTCCAATGGTTGGAGGAGGCGCAACCAAAGGTATACCTGTCATGTTAGACACAAATGAGGGCACCTTTGGCATAATTGCCTCCTGCTTTGAGATTTCAGAAGGATCTTGAACAGGTAAACCCAGTGCAGTAGTATAGGGAGGTGCATTTGGTACGTTGTTACTAATAACATTCCAAGGAGCTGCAGGTAAATTTGGTAAATTTGGTAAGTTGGGTTTATTCTTCTTCCAAATCCCAGATGAGTCTTCCAGTTCGTCTCTTTCCTTCCTCATTAAACAATCTCTAGCAAAATGACCAACTTTCCCACATATGTTACACACAATCGCTGAGACGTCCAATCCACCAGCTGGTATTCCTCTTCTTTGCTGTTGCGGCTCATAAGGCTTTGTTTCTCTCAAGGTACCGTTTAAAATAGCCAATTCACGAAGTTGACCCCTTTTTAAGTCATTTTGGCCCACTGGCGATGAAATTGCCTTTTCTATAACTTCATTGGTTAATTTGATTGCCTTGGCAATGCTTTCTTGTGAATCCGATGTTATAAGTACGTGCAAGTCGTCTTCACCAGAAGCTGTAAGACTCGGATTTGAGTAGGAGGCTGAAGATATTATCGCTGAACTAGTATCACTATTGTTATGTGTGTCCCTATCCGATCTACCATCTTTAACACTACCTTTTCCTCTAATAGCTAATTTGGCACCACTACTTTCTTGTAAATCTCTCAACGTCTTCCCTCTTGGTCCAAGCAACATCCCCACAAAATTAATCTCAGGGTAATCTTTTACCGGTATGTATATTTTTTCAGTTGTTTTGGCGGGTTTTCTATATTCTACAGGTGGCATGTAATTCTTAACCAGCTTCAAAGACTCATCGATTAAGTAATGCCTTTCATTCTCTAACGAAGCTCGAGTCCTATTTTCTCGTGTATTTGTTCTTTGACCATTGCTATCGTATGTCGGAGGTGGGGAGGGGTCTCTCTTGTAATTAGCTTCATCTACATAACCTGATGGTAATAACAGAACTAAGGGTTTCCTTTGCTCCTGAGCCTGACGGAGTAGGTTTGAAATCTCTTCTATTCTGAAGTATTGTTGATACGCATCGATTTGCTCTTGGGTAAGATGACCAGATATAATGGTGTTCAACTTCAACTTTCCAAGATCCTTATAACGGGCTGGAGCTCCCGACCATTTTGTTGGTCTCCCACGAGTTGCCATTATATATTACTGCTTTATAAACCAGACTAGCAGGGGGCAAAAGGAGACTTAATTTTTCTCTTCTCTAAGTGCTTCTTGGTTTTCTTGAAATTTTTCATATTGCTCGCACTTGGAAATTTCTACAGTCTTATTCAGAGCTTATTGTAGAGTATGTAGAGGGTTTTGGAGACACCACGAAGTGGGTTTCTGGTAAAATCTATTCTAGATTTCCTTGTATATACATCTACAAAATATAATGGGTTCAAAATGCAGTTATAAAAATTTATGGGTTAGCCATAATTTGGATCCCCTAATTTCGTCTTATGGATTATGCTATGTCTTTTGGAACCTCAAGATAGACAAAACTTCCCATCCTGCTTTCCTCTCAATGATTTTGTCTACCTTCCATCCTAGTTGCTCCATGTCTCTTTTCACATCCATGGGATTGTTTCTAGCGCAAAACAAAATATACGCTAAACCATTTTTGGATAGGGTAGTTTCCAATCCATGTAAAACCTTCCAAGTAACATCCATGCCCTGTGGCCCTCCGCATAACGCTAGGTCCAACCAAGACTCGTCATCATCAGTTTCTGGGACCGCAGGTACTTCGTCGGCAGGTACGTATGGTGGATTGAATATCAATACGTCTACATGTTTGTTCTTAATGCCATTGGTCAAGTCCATTTGACAGGATTCAAGCTTCTCATCGTCTACTCTGTTCTCCTCTGCCGTCTCAAGAACTGCTTTACAAGCATGAGGATTTAAATCTGTAGCTATGTAAATACCATCTTTAAGAATGTTCTGCTTCACAAACGTCGTAACTATCCCAGAACCAGCACCAATTTCGACAACTAGTGGAATCGTATGTGGCGGCGGGAACTTTTCCAACAAGTATCCTTGATCTTGCTCGAAGCAGTCTAGCAATAGAAACGAGTCTTCAGCAGGATCATACACCTTTTCATCTAGTGATCTAACAGTGGGAGTTGGTAACATGTGCGTACTCTATTTTTTTGTTTTTCTGGTGCGCTTCCTCCCTGTCTACCCTAACTCTTCCCTTAGAACCATAAAACGAGGTAGCTTGATACAAATAAGTTCATTCGATTTGTATGAAGTAATTTCATTGATCTCACACTTTTTTTTTTCATTATACTCTCAACCTTATCCTAAAATTATCCTCAACTTTTATACATCACTTTTATTCTCGTACCTACTTGTTCATCCAACACAATTAGTACTAAAAAATGCAAATAAAGGTGAAGACTTTAACTGGAAGAGATATTCCTGTGGATATTGAGGGTTCTGACAGAATCATCAGAATCAAAGAAATGATGGAAGAAAAGGAAGGTATTCCACCTTCACAACAAAGATTGATTTTCAATGGATCCCAATTGAATGATGATAACACTGTTCAGGAAGCAGGAATCAATGCTGGAGCAAGTTTGCATTTAGTGTTAACCTTAAGAGGAGGATGTAATTAGTTGGTAAGAGGAAATGTGTGAGAAGGAGACAGAGAGAGGGCAGAGATGCTATGATGATTGCCACAAAGTTGTTGTACACTAGAATATTGCATTTTAGCTGGAAGTGTACGCTCTACATAGAACTACATATTTTTTATATAAATGCAGATAAAATGAGTTCTATTCCCAATAATGGGGCTATTTGTTATAATTATATCTCTAGCTTTTATTTTGAAGCATCCATTTCTTAGCGTTGGCCAAAAATTTACTAACTTCTGGCTTCTTTTGTTCATCCTCTGGAAAAATGAACTCAACGTACTCTTCCTCAATTCCATTAGAATTGGTTCTTCTCTTGATAACAGCTGTAGGTAATTTCTTAACAGCTTCTTGTATAGATTCTGGACTACCTTGGTGTTCCTCATAGTACTTGTATGCTTCCAAGACTGTTATTCTTTGTTCTGGATGCTGCTTCAAAGCCATCAGAGCTTCTTTGAAAATACTTCTCGTTTTGTTTCTCTGTATGTCTGTTATTGAGAATTCAATTTCATCGTCTTCATTGTCGTTAGCATTCCCAGCTGCTTCAAATATACGTAATTGCTCTTCCGTTGGTATTTTAGATTCGAACATTGCAAATGAAATCCAAACACTTCCCGATTCAGAGAGATTGAAATTGATAACTCTACGATAGACTTCTCTCGCTTTAGCATATTCTGTCTCCTCTTGAAGGTATGCAATGTACAGCTTCCATATACCGTTAAAGTTGAACTCCATTCCTATTTCAAACAATCCAATTACTCTCAGGGTTTCTCCTAACTCTCTTTCGAAATTGATGTATTCAAGCAAGACAGAGGTGGCAGACGTATCAAGCTCTAGCCATTTTTCATATATCTTTCTACATCTACCCCACTCTCCTAATTTCTTTTCAAGTGAAATGTAAAATCGGAAAATTTTACTTTTGGGCTTGCCAATGGAAGAGCATACACCAATTGATCTACCAAGAACCTTTCTTGCTGAATTGATATCAGTTCCTCCACCATTCCTGATTTCAAATTCGGCAAATAAAATCCAAACCTTACCAAATACAAATTTGTTTTTAGGAACCACTTGTATACACCGATTCCAAATAGAACGGGCAGCTTCTACATCCAGTTGCAGATTAAGCTCCACATATAGAGCATAGTGGATCCAAAGATAAATGTATCTCTTCCATCTAATGGACTTCACAGTGTCAGTTTTTGGAACATTTTCTATAGCATTCTCGAATATTTTACAAATCTCTTCGTGATTTCCACTTTTCACTTTCTGTGTAAGCTTGATATAAGCCCACCAAGTATCATAGTCATTTGGGTCAGATTCCAATTCAATTTTATACCTCACTAGTCGCTTGGCATATATACTTTCTTCTATTGAGTTTTGGTTTCCGTACGTTTTTTCAAATTCGGTGTATTGCTGTTGAATCAAGCTGGCCCCTTTGCTTTCCATCACATCACCTCCCACCCTATGTATAATTTCCAAGAGTTTAACGTATATTGCCCTTGCCCTTTCATTTTCTTCAACTGATACTTCCCATCTTGTCCACTTATCTATGATGTTAGCAAAGAATACGTCTTCTTGATTCTCTTGAGCATGAGTACTTAATCTGCCTTGCCATGCCAGTATCATTGAATCAATGGCATTCTCGAATACACTCCTCTCATAGCCTTCGGCTTGTCTTCTTTCAAACTGGATCCATTTCAACCAGACTTCTCCAGTAAAATTGAAGCGCTCTACATATCGACTATACAAAACTCTAGCATTTTCGTATTCCTCATACCTTCTTTCAAAACCTATATATGAATCCCAAGCGCTCTGCAATGGGTGCCAGGTCAACCACCTCTCAAAGATGACTCGAACCATGTCATAATTCCCTAAGGTTTCCTCGGTTTGAACATATAAGTACCAAAACTTATCCACTCGAGGTAGAGATGTTACCGCCCTCTCCAATAAATTTCTTGCGTGATTAACGTTCTTGTTTGTTAGTTCCAATTGAATGTAATGGATCCAGAACGGTATGTGCTCTACATTTACTTGCAAGGCTCTCTCATATATGGATCTGGCTCTTTGGAAATCGTGGTTATACTCTACTTCCCACTTAGCATATCGCACCCACTGTCCAAAATTAAGTCGATTCTTGTTTAGTTGCTGTTCATACTCTCTACGCTTCGTGAGTTGGAAAGATCTTAGTTCATCCAAGTCTTGAATCGTCTGCTCCGGTCTGTCGAGCGGTCTATCACGATTCTGGTACGCGTCTCGAAGAATCGAATCTGCCGTCACTTGCGTCGACATTAGAATAAAGTGTAAAAATACTTTGCTAACAAAATTTCCTGTCAGTTCGAGCTGAGCCAGTACTCATCTCATCTTCTGTGCTATTCCTAAGTCGGTTAGTCGCATGCTAGTGGAACTTCTCATTACGGACCTGCATATAAACGTAAGATTTAGGTTGCAGCTTGGTGTGCCAGCCACAGTCTCCGGCACAATAGCTTCTATTGTTCAGTTTAAATTACGAAGTATAGGCACTAATCGATTAGCTGATAGCAGCAGCTGTTGCTGGAGCATGAGGCAAAGTCACAGTAATGTAATGTATAAGTATTGCTATGTCCACCCGCTAAAAGAACGAACCAACAATGAGCGCTATACAAATTGCTCGTAAAGCCAAAAATGCGACTTGGTGTGAGTTTCGATTTCAAAATGTCACTAACCGAAATTGTGAGTTTTTTGCGAGGTAGCAAATTAGTGAGAGCCGTGAGATCAATATCTGGGCCTCACTATTACTAGTAGTACCCACTAAGCTAATCAAATGATACTGCTTTATTACGCAAAAAAAAATTGAGTGCCTTCAGCCAGATTCGAACTGACGATCTCCTCATTACTAGTGAGGTGCCTTACCAACTTGGCCATGAAGGCTGTCTTCTCTTACTCGTCTTTTGAGCGAGGCGTACTGCCACTCACACTTTTGGACCTGTTGCATTCCGGTGCTTTATTTTTTTTGTCTAACGGTTTAATTTTAGCACCTAAGGATACATGGATTTATGCACGTTTTCGCACAGAAGTCAATATTTTCTGAATATTGCGCAGTAGGCTTCGCTTCTAAAACTCTCTCGCTCTCTTTCTTTCAGAATCCGAGCTACTCTTTCACATTGTAGATAGTCTGGATTTACTGATTCAAGGAAGATCCCGCTTGTGCTAAATTGAGAAGTATATATTATACAGTGAGCTATCAAAACCTCTCTAAGTATATTAGTTGTTTTGAACAACTCTAGTGGCAATTATGGCAGACCCAGCTGCAGCATCTACTCCGCTTTTGATAAGCAGATCCGATGCATCCCCCAGTGAACGACTTTCAAGCAGGATTGATAGTAATACCAACACCAACAGTAATGATGACAGCAATGAGTTTTCGGTGTATTACGGATCCCAAATCGACGGTGATGTACCAAATGGAAATGACTTTGAAGACTTGGATACCCAATCCAAGTACGATGACGAGGGCAACAGAATTGAAGATGACGACTTTGTAGAAGATAGCTTATATGAAAGGTCTAAGAGAAAGTTCTCCAAGGCAAGATTCTGGTGGTTTTGCTCGCTTGGGTTAGTATTCATAGTCATTTTTAATTTATCCTTTCTCCCTAGGACATCTCTCTCCAGGGACTTCAGGCGTTGGTATAACCTCCACTTAACGAAAGCTGACATAAAGAGGGATTTCCTAATTTTGACCGGTATTTCTCGTTCAGACAAGGATGGTGTCAGCGGTGAAGAATCATTGAACTTTTCGCTTGGTAACTTCACCAAATTGAGTGCACAATCTCCAGTTAACTTGTGTGCTAATGATAACTATGAATTGGTTCGTTATGTGGAGTCCAGATTCAAGCAATTTCCAAGCTTCAACACTAAAACTTACAACTATGATTTCACTGACCTTACAAACCCGTTGGATGCATCGTTGAAATTAATGGACGATAAATCATCCGTACTATACGATGCCAATTTATACGAAGATAAATTCAAGACACCAGCATATTATTCTGGTGGAAATTCTCATTCTACTCAGGCTCAATATTTGTTCGTTAATGAAGGTAAGAAGGAAGATTATGATTATTTGATTAAGAACAAATTTGACCCAACGGGAAAAATTGTCATCTTAAAGAAAACGTGGGGTAAGTCAAGAATAAATTTGTCAATCAGAGAACGAGCATTAATTGCTAAGAGCTATGGAGTGAGCGGTTTGATAATGTACAAGGAACCCCCAAGAAAGAATGATAAGGACTCTTTTGACAAGAAATTAGAACACTCTATTGAAAGGGATTCGTTGTGGGAAGCTGGGCTTTCAGACGATGATAGCGAAGTGAAGGATATTGATTTTCCTGCAATTCCAGTTAGTTATAAGAATGTTTTGCCTATTTTGAATACATTAAATAGACCAACAAGCCCTAACAGCTTCGAAAATTGGACATATTCCCCAAATCCAACGTCACTGTCGCTTTTCTTAAAGCTCGAAACTAGTTTCGACGATAACAGTGACTCTCCCAGGAAACTAACTAATATCATATCAACAGTCAAAGGAATCTTAAATGATGGAGAGGTTGTAATTGGAGTATCACGAGATTCTTTTACTTCTTCAAATCCACTTAGTGGTCACGCCATTATGCTCGAAATAATGAATGGCTTTCAAAAGCTTATGAAAATGGGCTGGAAACCTCTCAGGCCCATAAAATTTGTCTCCTGGGATGGAACACATGATGGTCTTTTAGGTTCTACTCACTACTTTAACGATTCAAATTCCTTTGATAAGAACTTACCTGTAGCTGCCTATATTCACATTGACGGTGATGCGGTCACTGGTAGCCAATTTAAAGTTGATGGCAATCCATCATTGAATCATGTTTTGAAAGACATAGCTAAGTACGTTTCAATTCCTCGAGAATCTACGTACTTTAAATCTCTAGCAGAAGATAAATCAAGCTATAAAGAAGAAGAGCTTATCGATGATGACTTTGCCTATAATACAGAATCGACTTCATTGTACCATTATTGGAAAAAGCAGGATAATAATTCTATAAATGCGTACCTTGGAGATCTGATAAAACATTCGGATGCCTTGAATTTTCAACAACATCTAGGGGTTCCTGTTGTAAATTTGAAATTTGCAAACGATCCAAAAAGAGACACTCTGATATATATTCCTAATTCGAACTATTACTCTTATGATTGGGTAGTTCAAAGAGAAATTGATAACGATATGTTACTTCATGGTCTGCTAGTGAGATATGTTGGATTACTTACTATATCACTTGTAGAGCACGAAATTATCGACCATAGAATATTCCCTTATGTCAAAACGATCCAAGAATTCTATCACAAAGTAATGAACGATGCTAGTAAGGTCATTGGTGATATGTGGCAAGCGAGAGAAGTTCCCTTGTTCATGATAAATACTGCTGATATTTATGTTGATATGGATCCTACTCCGCTTCCCAATAAGCCAATAGTATTTCAAGACCTTGTGATTCAATTTAATATACTAATTGATGGGTTAATTGATCAGTCTAAGGTATACGACGAGTTCAATCGCAAAGTTGAAAAGGATCTCATTAAAGATTATGCGTGGTACCATCTGTATATGAAAGTCAAACATTACACACAATTTAAGCTTGCCAATTATAAGCTATTACGACTTGAAAATGAATTATTGCTTAGCAGCAAGGCAGGTGATTACAATTATTTGTCCTTCAAGTCCGATGGAAATGATGAGCAATGGTTTAAGCATATAGTATATGGGTTATCAAAATTTAGTGTCAACTATAAGATTTCGGAATTTACTAATAGAGATCAGAAAAGTGTCTTTACAGGAATGCAAAATAGCTTACTAGATGAGAATTTTGATCAAAGTGTGAGGTGGTTGGTTATTAATTACTCGAAATTGAAAGGATTGTTGAAGAAGATGACTTAGAGAGTGTGAATACGAAAAACAGAAGGTGTGGGTAAATAAATAAAAGACAACGAAGACGAAAACGAAAACGAAAATGGAAAATGGAAAATGGAAAAAGGAAAAAGGAAAAAGGAAAGGGTAAGGGGAGTGCCAGGATATGTGAAGCTATAGAATTCAATTTTATGAAGAAGTATAAAGAATGCAAACATTGATAACTTTTATTTCAGTTCTATTCCGAACATCGGAACACCCAAAATTGCGTATTGAATATCATACTAAGAGAAAGTCAATACTATAAAATAAGAAAGATGAGAAATATATATATATATACATATGTATCGGTCAAATCTGGGTAAAATAGAGTAGTTCGAATAATATGCTTGTGAAGTAATAGTAACCAGGAAATAACAACCATGTATTAAAACCGTGTGACAACGTACCTTGTCTTATACTGAACTCACTTGAATTTCAATGTTGTAGTTCCCGCGCAATTTTCCTTTTCAGACTCAACCTAGTACTACTTAACCGCGCTGCTCATTTGCAGCAATTTTCCACTCTATTTGCAGCCACTAACGAAAACTTTCCTTATTACTTGGCATATTCTTTCTTCTTCTTCTTTCTTATTATGCTTTCGAGTCATATCATACAAATGGATTTTGCTTTACTTCTGAAGAGCTCCGATCACGGCGTTGCTACGGCATGGTTGCTTTCTACTCTTGGGTCTAGGAGTAAGTACAAAAAAATATGTAAAAAGGATGTTTTAAATTCATCCATACCCTCTACTTGCAGCATCATCAAGAATTCTCCAATCCCGCTCAAGTTTTCTTCTAATTTGATGTATGGGATAGTATTATTGTATAGACAGAAGGTAGATTACTACTTTAGCGATGTCATACATGCTAAAACGAAGATCCAGAGAGATTTATTATTTAGCGGTTTGGAGCTGAAAGGACTCCGCCAAACCAATTCTGGAATACATAATGAGGTCATTCTTTCTGCACTGTCAGCAGCAGTGAATAAGGTTGACATAATTTATTTGACAGATGACCCGCTCTTCAATGTAGACTTCGATTTGATCAAGTCTTTTCAAAATGAAGCAGACGAAGGAAGTGGTAGCCAAGACTTTAATTTGAATAAATTGATGATACTTGATAGAGATTATGACCATCCAGTTATCAATACTATTAGTAGGTTTGATGATACAATGGTAGCAGGAGAAGAAGTGTCATTAGATTTTGAATTCGATAATAATGGCTTGGTGATTGAAAAAGAGGCTCTTTCAGAAGAGATCTTCGAAGATTTCAGGCAAGATTTGAGCGTAGTTGACTTTGACGAAGGAACTGAGAAGTCAATTAGTGATGGACTTAATACTGAAATAGCTGAAATGGCATCTAAGCTGTCAGGGACATTTAGAGTACTACTGCCTAACTCAGAGGGTCCTAACCTTGGAATTAAGAAAAGATTTGGGGTACCCAGAAAGCGATTGATTATCGATCTGGAGACCACAATACCACCAAATGAGTTTAAAAGGTTCCGCGTATCTATAGAAGAAGAAGAGCAGAGAACCTTTCCAAAGCCTTTCAATACAGAAGATAACTACCGATCATCTTCCAATCTTACCGATATTTCAAAAATTATTCACCAAGAAACGAAACATAGTCCGCCATTTATTAAATTATGCTACTTACAAGCGTTCGGGAAAATAGAAGACATCACCGATGCTATCCCTTCAGAATACTTTCAAAGACATAATTTGTCAATTGAAAATGCAGAGATTGAATTTAGCAGAAGAATGGCTGGAGAAGATGTAGAGTCCAGTAGAAGATTAATGGTTGAAGATTCAAGAAGAATAGTGGGAGAAATTAGTGGCGACAACAACATTAGTGATATTGATATTGCTTACGATGAACAAAGCAGTATCCACGATAATGGTTATGAGGATGATACTTTCAACCTTTCTTTCCTGGATGTAAGGGTTTCGAGCAATTGGTTAGGAGATGATGAAGGAACTGATGAATTGGGGTCAAAATCATCCGAATTAGGACTCAATCGTGAAGCAATTTCAAAGTTCCATGATTTCCTAAAGTCAAGGTCATCCCTATTTGGAAACTTGGAAAAGACGGATAACGGGGAGTCGACTTATAAGATTTCCTTTAAGACGTTAATCCCTACCGAATCTGTCTCTCGGAAAATTGCAGCCGCGTCCTTTTCAAGTGTATTAGTCTTGGCCACCTCCGGCTCAATCCAATTGCAAGTATCGGAAGATGTCTTTAACATCTCCGCTCAGATCAGAGGAGATATATGAAAAGTACCAAATTCTTCTACATTATGTTAATATGGGATCCTTTTCTTTATTAATTATACGGATGAGAAATTTATTAATACATAATACATATTAAAAGAAAAAAAGTCGAGTTTTTCTTTGGGAAGCTTGTTTTTTTTTTTTTTTTTGGTTTCTTATGGGATTTCCCTTAGTTATTAGTTAGCTTACTTAGCTTCTTCAACAACATCATCATGCTCAGCCCATTGCTCTTCAGCATCAGCAACGGCTTCGCCTTCAACTGGTTCTTCATCTTCATAGTCTTGGTGTAAAGACAAAGTTGGCTTGACAGCTGCAGAGTCCAAGGTCCAAGCGGCTAAAGCATTTTCAGCATCGATAATGATTTGCTTAGAAGCTTCATAACCATCATAAGCTGGTCTGGTTTCACCTGGAGTGACAGCGGAATCATCTAACAATTCCAATAAAGCCTTACCGTAACCGGCAATTAAAGCGTATTTCTCAGCCAATTCTCTGGTAGCATCAAATTGGTAATTGTAAGCAGCCTTCAACTTTTCTCTGGTGATGTTAGATAATTGGGCTTCAGCAACTAAAGATTCAGCTTCAGCTCTGACCAATTCTTGTTCCAAGACTGGAATCTTTGGAGATTGTGGGTCCTTGTACTTCAAGTGAGCAATTTCATCGGTGATCTTTTGCTTTCTGTCTCTGGATGGTTGGACGGAAGCTTCGATATTTCTGATGGTCTTTAAGGTGATTCTGTATTGATCGTACTTGTCAATGTATTGGTCTTCTAATTCACCAATTTCATAAATTAAAACTCCTAATTTGTCAGTAACATCAGAAACATCATCGTCGTTATCTTCACCCCATGCGGACAAGTGCTTAGCGACATCTCTTCTTTCTCTAGCGGTCAATTCGATGGCTCTCATAACATTCTTTTCAATTTTAATGTATTGAGCCAACTTTCTGGATAATTCAGGTCCAGTTGAACCAGCAACTGTCTTTCTGAAGGTAGAAGCAATTCCACTCTTACCAAAAAACTTGGACTTGGTAGTCGAAGTTGGTGGAGGTGGAGATTGTAATTGTGCGGCAGTTGGAGCCTTTTGGGATCTTAAGGAATAAGTTCTGTGCATGATAACTCTATCTAATTGTTATTCAGTTTAAAGAAAATAAATGAAAGAAAGAAAGAAGAAGAGTGAATGGCCCATTTTTCACCACCGTCGATTTTTCACCCCCTTTTATACTATCTCTTGGGAATTACACACAGAACCTTAAACTTACATAATAATTGGCTTGCTTGCCGTGCGGCTCACATATCATGTAAATGAAGGTGAAAAAAATAATTAAGGAAAGCATTTTCGGGCCACGCATTTAGCAATCAAAGCTGTTACGATTTCAAAAAGGGAAAAAGAAAAGAAACGCAAAGGCGTCAAGAGATGTCAACATGGTCCAGAATCCAGAAGTGGAAACAGGTTAAAAGACATTAAAATGGTGTATGGCATGCGACTTGGTGGAACTTGTATTGGAGTTTTCGAGCCCTATAATCTTTACAATGGTTGAGGAAGAATTATTTTTTGGATATCATTGACGCAATGCATTTAATTTGGTAATTCGACTTTCCCATTGAACATTCTTGTCGGCACTACTGTGGACCCCAAGTGTAAAATTTTTTTGTTTCTTTTTTGGCTCTTTTGCTTTTGAATTGTCGATCTTCTCTTACGTCAGCTGACTTCTTTTCATCACTGGAATTCGCACCATGACGTCATAGAAACCTTCTTTCCATACATGAAAGCAAATATTTTTTAACCTTTCCACTTGTTGTCGAGGAGTTCCAGGTATAAGCTTTCGGTTCTAACCTGATGATCCCGGAATGTACTCCGCCGCTATAATCACATTTATGTGTATGCTTATTTTGTTTGTTATACTTTTCATGCTATGACGTAGTTGCTTCCTACTACCTAACTTCCCAGCTTCATGACTGTATACCAAGCAAAACTGAAATACACAACAAGGAAAGTGAACCCCATATAAATCATATACTTACGTCATAACGTCCAAGACTGGTGACCATAAGTTTTCTTGTTTCATTTGAATGCATCAGTGTGAGACATTTTTTTTTTTTTGACATATTCTCCCTTTGATGCAAAAGGCGTTGCGAGCAAGGGTATCTAATACGATGAATCTCTGCAACAGAAGTCGATTTGCATATTTTTTGGAGAGATTAGTAAGTGATGACCTAAAGTTGCTAGATTTGAACTTCTGAGACATGTCTAATTATAGATTATGAAAGTCCCCATATAATTTGTACTCTTTATCTGTCCGTCCAATGCAAGCTTATCTCTCATTGGGTAAATTCCCTCCCTTGGGAGATTCTGTGTATTACTTACTTCTGTCCTACAAGTTTATGTTGTAACCCCTTCATCCAATTTCATTTTTATTTCCAACTAGTCTATATAAAAAAAGTACTATAGATCAATCCCTACTTCACTACTCTTTCTGGATTTTCTTCTTCTCGTTTCGTCCTCCCCCCACAGCATCATCCTCTGCTCTTCTCTTAAACTTCACCGGCTTAAGAATCCTTCTGTAGTCTTGCTCCAATGATTCATACGCCGTCTGTAACTTGTCCAATCTTGTAGGCTGATCAAGAGTCTCCAAAGTTTCCTTATTCTTTTCATAAAGTCTCTTCTTAATGTATAGCCTTATGTCTCTTTTGCTATTATTTCCTGCATGCAATAACAACATTTCTACCAACCTTGAAAATTGTCTCTTCTCCATCTTAAGCTTAGTTCTGGTTTGCAAAATCCACTCTGGGGTCAATTCGCTCACCTTAAGGGCTTGGTGACCCCCACTTAGCTGCTGATCTAATCGTATAAGGTCTTGTCTATCTCTAAGATCATCAAACTGTTCATTTGGATCCTCTATCACAATTTCTACTACTGACGGTACGTCATTGAGCCAGTGGTCAAATAATCGATTGTAAAACTCACCACCCAATTGCTTGCCCTGGTAGTGGGGTAATATTATAAATTGGGAAACCTTCTTTCTAATTTCTTGTTCCCCTGCATCAAATTTCTTAAACCCTGGATACCTCCAGTAGTTGTACGCTGTGACAAACCCGACAATGGAGGGGTTTTCTGCACTTGTCACCTTGTACAAGATATAAATATCCCATAATTTGTCGTTTATATCTATATAGGAACCGGCTTCGATGAACAAAAGGACCAATATCTGGAGCCTCTTGTGAAGTTCCACGCCTTCAGCAGATTCAAGATCCAACTTGAAAATGGCATACTTCTCATCCTCAATTTCAAATTGGTCTCCAATCTGGGTACCTGGAATCTTGAAATTTTCCACTTCTTCGTCCGTTTTTTCGAGCCATTTCGCTTCATCCTTGAACACCGTCAGCTCTGGGAGGAACTCAAGAAGTTTTGTCTTTGGATCAACTAATCCTCCACTAACTTTATCGTCATCGAGCTTGGCCAGGTATTTGACATTCAAAAATGGCAAGAATGTACAATGGTCAAAGCAAAGATAGATTACAAGGTCCCTGTAACCAAATATGGTTTCTGAGTCTCCAAAGATGGGATAGGTAAAGCTGGGCTGAAAAGGTGTAGCCAACCCATTTTCAGTTATGTAAATGGTGAGTGCCTGATTCGAACTCGAAGTCCAAAGCTCTGGTTGTAACGCTGCCAAGGACATCTCTTTGAGACTGGATATCTGTATTTCCTATGGCTGTAAGCTGGTACACGTCAATTCCTTGTAATTTTTCAGAATAACAAACAAACAGCTGAAAAGAAAACTGAAGACCTGGTGCTTGGTGTGCATATAACCCTTCTGTGCGCGCGTTGGTGTTTTTATGTTCAGTAGTGACTATCATAGATGTGTATGCAGGAAACACTTTGCTAGGTACCTGATTTGCCTGCTGTGCAGCCATTAGCCTCGCTGTGAATACACAGAGCAATGTGGAACTCAAACTGTGAAGAATTATTGATTGGAGGCCACTACGAGTGTAGTACCTACCATAAGGGAGCTAAAAAAAGATCTTCCGATACCGGGAGTCGAACCCGGGTCTGCTCGGTGAAAGCGAACCGTGCTAGCCGTTACACTATATCGGATAGTTGCTTGTAGTTTGAAATCGGTTAGTTCACAGAACTAGAGCTGGTTGCCATGCCATGAATGGGTAGGCAAATCATACAGCTGTATGCTACGATAATAATGGAGCACAAGGGAGCACAAGCATTAGCGGAGAGCCAAAAGCGTATATATTTCTATCTTGCTTCGCTGTCCATGGGGAATGTACTACCTGGAGATGATCAAGATGCTACAACGAGCCATTGTTGAGTAAGAAATCGATCTTTTCTATACCCCCCAGCAAGCTTGAGAAAAAGAGTGCTTGTTCCAGTCAGCTATTCTCAGTTTTGTCAATTGCTAACTATACCCACTATAGCCAGTTTGCTTTACTCACAGTGGTGCTGAAAGGCGCTATTTGTTGGTCAGAACTTGTTCATGCCCATGCAGATAGAACAATTCGTCTGAGCGTATACTTTACCCCGTAGAAACCTTACATAGCGAGCCCTTACAATTACCACAGCACTCTACAGCACTTACACAACACCATACAACACCACACCCCCTAACCCCCACAACCCCATCCTGCTTTCTTATCTGCCTTCTCCCCTACCCTAGCACGAACATTCTGGAACCATGGGGCACTTTTTGCACCCAAAATGCGCGGCAAAATGTCACACAAAATCAAAATGTGCCAGTATGGAAATATCGAAAACGTTTTACAAAAATACTCGACTGCAACCAGTCTAGTCTTTCTACTTCCAGATAGAGCAAGAGAACTAGAATTCTAGACATACACTGTATATAACCATATAAAGAGACCCATCTAAAGTTTGCACCATGGAATTTGAGCTTGAACCAACCCTTGAATCGATTGTATCACACGATACTCTCAAGTGGATTTTTGTCGGTGGTAAAGGTGGTGTTGGTAAAACGACCACGTCTTCGTCTATCGCTGTACAATTAGCTTTGGCTCATCCTAAGGATGAATTTTTATTAATCTCTACAGATCCTGCCCACAACTTGAGTGATGCCTTCTGCCAAAAATTTGGAAAGGACGCTAGGAAGGTGGATGGGTTGACCAACTTGTCCTGTATGGAAATTGATCCAGAAGCAGCTATGCTGGACTTGCAGCAACAGGCATCACAGTACAACAATGATCCAAACGATCCTATGAAGAGTATCATGAATGACATGACTGGAAGCATCCCAGGTATTGACGAAGCATTAAGTTTCATGGAAGTCTTGAAACACATCAAGAAACAATCAGCACCCACTGATGCCGTAGCCACTGGCGATGAAAAGGCCGCTACTGACAATGGAAGCATTGCATACAAGACTATCATCTTTGACACTGCACCAACCGGTCACACTCTCCGTTTCCTTCAATTGCCAGCTACTTTAGAAAAGCTCTTATCCAAGTTCAAAGACCTTTCTGGTAAACTTGGCCCCATGCTTCTGATGATGGGCGGTGGACAACAGCAGGACATTTTCGAAAAATTGAATGAAATTCAGAAAAGTGTCAGTGAAGTCAATTCCCAATTCACCAATCCAGATTTGACCACATTCGTATGTGTCTGTATCTCAGAGTTCCTTTCCTTGTATGAAACTGAAAGAATGATCCAAGAATTGATGTCGTACAATATGGATGTCAACTCCATCGTGGTGAACCAACTTTTGTTCGCCGACAATGACGACGACTGTAAGAGATGTGCTTCAAGATGGAAGATGCAAAGGAAGTATTTGGATCAAATGAATGAATTATACGAAGACTACCATTTGGTCAAGATGCCTTTATTGGGAACAGAAATCAGAGGCATTGAAAACTTGAAGAAGTTTTCCAAGTTCTTGTTGACACCATATGATCCAAAGAAGGATGGAGCATTAGTGTTTGATCTTGAGGAGAAATAGAGACAGAAATAGTAGATGAGGAGTGGGTGATTTGGGAGGCTAAAATGTTAGGAACTGAGCGCCTCTTTAAGCCAATATACGTAGAGTATATAGTAATAACAAGATGAAAGGCAACTATTTGAGCTTTGTAGGTTTCTTTACACACATTCTAACACAGGAGTTCGTGATCTACTTTCATAGCCTGCATATAACTGAAAAGTAATAACCTCACTAATTAGCTAGAGGCTCTATTCAGTTTATTATCACTATTCGTCTCGAAGTAGCGCTACTTGCTTACCTGTGTCAGCCATGGCTAGAGGAAACCAGAGAGATCTTGCGAGAGCAAAAAACCAGAAAAAATTACAAGATCAAGCAAAGGCTTCGAAGAAGGAAGGGGATCCAAAGAAGAGAATGGAAAGTGACGCTGAAAAGATGAGAAGGAAACAAGCTGAAGGTATGTATAAGTCCTGCCATTAATTCCAGTACCTTTTTTTACTTTTAATTCGTGTACATACTAACATAGTGCAATAGCTGATGCAAGGAAGGAAGCAGAAGCAGCCGCCAAGGTAAAAAAGTGAAAGACATCGAATTTATCACCTCTCTGGTCTTAAGATATTCTGATGAATCATTAATTTAATAGTTGACTAATAATTTTTTTGGGATTTTTTTATTTTTTTATTTTCACTTTTGCCCATTTTATTGCAAGTCTTTGTATTTGAGGTTTAATTGACGTTTTCTTGAAGTAATGAGAGTAATTAATTGTAGATTAAGTTAAGCGATAACGGGGTACTTCGGAGTCCATGGCTTACATAAAGGATCGATCTCTTTTCTTCACTTGGGTTGATTATACTTCTCACAAAAATTAGAAAATTCTTCAGATATATTGTACTAAATAACGGTAACACTCCTCTCTACTGAAACCAATTGTGCCAGAATGCTTATTGATGAAACATACTATGATGTGAAAACGTCTTATGGTACTACCATGAGATTGTTTGTATACCATCCTAAAATCTTAAACTACCCCAATGCTAAATTTCCAGGTGTAGTTGTATATTCGGAAATTTATCAGGTAACTGGGCCAGTGTCCAGATTTGCCAAGGATATCGCTGGACAAGGATTTATTGTAGTTGCACCACTGATCTATCATAACTTTGAAAGCTATGAAGCATTGGCTTATGACGTCGAAGGAACCGATAAGGGTAATAAGTACAAGGTGGAAAAAGAATTGAAAAGTTATGATGAAGATAATAAATTGGCTGTTGACTACTTGTTATCGTTACCAACATGTAATGGAAAAATTGGACTGACTGGTATGTGTCTTGGCGGACATTTAGCATTCAGAGCAGCTTTAGATCCCAGAGTTTCAGCAGCAGTATGCTTTTTTGCAACTGACATCCATGACCATGCTTTAGGTAAGGGCGAATCGGATGATTCGTTAGCAAGATGTTCAGAGATCAAGGGGGAAATTATAATGATATTTGGTTGTAAGGATAATCATGTTCCATTAGAGGGAAGAGATTTGATTAGAAGTAAGTTGAGAAATGCAGATGTAGAGATGACTTTTATCGAAATCAACGACGCGCAACATGCTTTCGTTAGAGATGAAATGAGTAAGGGCAGATACGACCCAGCAACCACCAAGAGTTGTATGGAATGGCTATTTGAGTTATTCAACAGGAAATTGAAATTAGAATATGGCGAACCTGACGGGAAAAAGGTTGAGATTGAAAATGTTTGTTGAACAAGTTTGAATTAGATTCAAAGCTCACGTTGGAGTGGAATTCTACTTACTCATATTTAAACAAAATTTATAATATACGAGGAGAATATAGGATTTTGAGTCTTTGGTGTATTAGTGGGCATATAGATACATATTCATAGTAGATATCTCCAATTACACTCCATAAGTGACAGATAAACATTGTCTTTCAGTATTCTTTTCAAATTTAGTTTAGAAATAAAATACTGTACCCAAAATACCAAATATCAAAGTGAAACATTTCACAGATAAACTATCGTGGATCGATGAGCCCTTCGCCAGAGATCCTCTTGTACTTGACAGACCTGTGCTGCTTATTCGACTTGTTGAACTGGCTGCTAATGACCTTGTTGTATGACTTCTTGTGGTGGTGTAGTCATTAGTTGCAGTGTGAGTTGAATAGAGATCTTCAGTTAGGCTCGACAAGTATGAGTCATAATCATCAGTGTTATAGTCATAAGTGTTGTACAAGGTATAGTAGTAATCCAGATCGAATGCTGTGTAACTGTATGAACTATATTCGTCTTCATCTGGTAAACGTCCAGTGGCATATGTAGCAACAGCTGTAACAGACGATTCATAAATTGTACTATAGTCATACGAATTTGCTGCATAGGTGGCAGCCTTGGTGGCGCTTGGGATTCCTCCATCGGATCCGATTTCCTCAATGTCGGTATCATTTGTATACTTTGCTTGAGCTAGTGAGATTGATAAATCATCTAAGTCGTATACAACGTACATTGACCTTAAAACATTATCACCAAGTACAATATACTCACCCACATTCTCCATCAAACCTAAGTAACATTTGGTAGTTGAAGATTTAGAAGGAATGAGTAAGCTTGACAATGGAACTTTAATCTTCGCTCCGCCAAAATCAAAAGTGAAGTAAACGTCCTCTGAGTTAGAACAAGGTACCGCGTAGTAACCTTCACTCAGATAATAACCCCCTAGCAGTTCTCCAAATCTATAAATCAAGTCTGCTGGCATGACTGATAATGTTGATCCTGAGTCAAACAAAGTTTGATAAGTACTTGAAGATATTGAATAAGTATCATTTGAACCACCTTCTCCTCCCGCATAAAAGTCAATACCGTAGAGAAGAGACAGCAAGGAGCTATATTCTTCTGTCGAGTTCACTATAGGTATGGAAGTTAATGGTCCCGAGTACTTAGCATGGTCCACTGCACCAAACAATACTGATCCTGTAGTTTGATTTTCTGAATTCAAGAAGAGTGAATATGCATTTTTCTTAATGAATCCTTCAGATTTCAATCTCAAGGGGATGTTTTCATAGCTATAGTAGTAAGCTGATTCCCTTCCTCGAAAGCCAATTCCGAATACCCCAGAATTTGTACTTGATTCATTCGCAACAGCAAAGTATGCTGTTTCAAGCGTAGCATCTCCAACTTGCATTTTATCAGAACCATAAAACCCGGCTGAATCTGTATTATCCATATATGCAATATAAAATTCTTCCACATCTTCAGTTTTCTTGAATGAAGTTGATTTTTTATAATCAAAAGATCCATAAGAGGTACACGCTTCAGAATTAGCCCTTTTGAAGTAAGTTGGAATATCAATAAGTGTTCTCTTATTTCTGTAGGAATAAGAATAATAGTAACAATCTACATCTGGAGTCATGACATAAAGATCAGAAGATCCGGTATCAATTTGAACTTTCACTTCGTCTTCATTTGATCCCACTTTTAAAGTAGTAATGTACATCACTTGGTCGTTGGTAAGTTTCATATCCACCTTACCATCATCATCTGCTCTCTTTTCGAAGAATAATTTATTGTGGATTGACATCTCATTATCAGAATCTCCTCTATGTACTTCAAAATTCAATAATAAAGGGGAAGAAGTATCAAGTGCATCAGTCAACTTAGTTAGAGTGGAAAGGAATATGAGAATTTTGTATGCAGATAACATGTTGCAAAATTGTTCCAAGATAAGATTTCAAGCACTAAGAAAGGAATTGCCAAGAAACAAAGCACAAGATGAAATTCATGGCGGTATAGAAGAAGTTATATACTGTGAACATAATTTTGCTTAATCGAATCCGATATTAGGAGAAGTGCCTTGTAGTGTTAAAAGTGGTGACGGTTCCTCGAAGCAAATTAAGCTTTTTTCTTAGCCTCATGCTTAAATATCTAAACAGGAAATCATATTGAGGAAAGGCATGAGCATGGTTTATACGTGCATGACAATAGAGTGATATTAATCTATTGACGGCCAATAAGAATTTAGTGTGTTATTACAGGGGTATGTTGTAAATCAATCCAGTAGGAGATTGTTTGGCAATTGAGAGTGAGTTACCAGGAGACACCTAGTGTAGATAAAGGTAAGTTTTATTATACTTTGAAGTTTATTATTTTTCTTGCACGAACGGCGCTATTCAAGTATTTTAATAACAGAAAGCTAAAAAGATAAAAACTGAACTAAGTTTTAAGCCTCAAAGATTTTTACGAAAATTAGAAAGTTCTTCAGAAAGTATTATAGAAGAGAACGGTAGTATTCCTCTGAAAAAGTTTGTTGAACAAGCTGGAATAATTAATGTCTTTTGCTCATAAATCAAGGGGGCCCTAGCGTTTACATTCCTTGATGTCATAGGTGGCAGATATAGTTATAGTAAAAATGTTTAATCATATTCTATAAATAGAAGTTAAACCTTGTCTTATTTGTCTAAAAGTATTCTTTCAGGATTAGTTTATGAATAAAATAATGTACCCAAAAATGCCAAATATTAAAGTGAAGCATTTCATAGATAAATTATCTTGGACTGATGAGCCCTTCCCCTCTTTCTCCCATGTGTCTAACAGACCAGTGGCATATGTAGCAACTGCAGTAACAGTCGATTCAGTAATGTGAGTATAATCATATGAATGTGCTGCATAAGTAGCAGCCTTGATGGCGCTTGGAATTCCTCCATCGGATCCGATTTCCTCAATGTCAGAATCATCTGTATACTTTGCTTGAGCAAGTGATATTGACAAATCATCTAAATCATATACAACGTACATTGACCTTAAAACATTATCACCAAGAACAATATAGTCATCCTCCGACATAGACAAGCCTAAGTAACATTGTGTTGAAGAATAAATAGGGATGAGTAAACTTGATAATGGAACTTTAATCTTTGGTCCGCCAAAATCAAAAGTAAAGTAAACGTCCTCTGAATTCAGACAAGGCACCTCGTAGTATCCCTCGTCCTGAAGTATACCTCCTAACAGCTCTCCAAATCTGTAAACCAAGTTTTGTGGCATGGCTGAATATGCTGTTCCCGAGTCAAACCATGTTAAATATGTATTTGTGGAGATCGAATAAGTATCATTTGAACCACCTTCATCTCCCGCATAAAAGTCGATACCGTAGAGAAGAGACAGCAAGGTACTGACTTTTTCAGTGGCATTTACTATAGGAATGGATGTTAATGGTCCTGAATACTTAGCGTGGTCCACTGCACCAAACAATACTGATCCTGTAGTTTGGTTTTCTGAATTCAAGAAGAGTGAATATGCATTTTTCTTAATGAATCCTTCAGATTTCAATCTCAAGGGGATGTTTTCATAGCTATAGTAGTAAGGTGATTCCCTTCCTCGAAAACCAATTCCTAAAACCCCAACGTTACTACTGGTTTCATTCGTCACAGCAAAATATGCTGTTTCAAGCATAGCATCTCCAACTTGCATTTTATCAGAACCCCAAAACCCAGCTGAGTATTTATCATCATAATATGAAATATAAAATTCTTCCACATCTTCAGTTTTCTTGAATGAAGTTGAATTTTTATAATCAAAAGATCCATAAGAGGTACACGCTTCAGAATTAGCCCTTTTGAAGTAAGTTGGAATATCAATAAGTGTTCTCTTATTTCTGTAGGAATAAGAATAATAGTAACAATCTACATTTGGAGCAATGACATAAAGATCAGAAGATCCGGTATCAATTATAACACTCACTTCGTCTGCATTAGAACCTACTTTTAAAGTAGTAGTGTACAGCACATCATGGTTAACGAGTTCCATATTAACCTTACCATCTCCATCTACTCTCTTTTCGAAGTGTAATTTATTGTGGATTGACATCCCATTTACAGAATCTCCTCTGTGTACCTCAAAATTTAATTGTAAAGGGGAAGGAGTATCCTTAAGTGCATCTATCAACTTAGTTAAAGCGTAAAGAAGTACGATAATTCTGTATGCAGATAACATGTTGCAAAATATCTGCAAGATAAGATTTCAGGTACTAAGAAAGGAATTGCCAAGAAACCAAACACAAGATGAAATATCTGGCGATATAGAACAAATTATATACTATGGACATAATTTTGCTTGATTGTTCCCGCTATTAGGGGCAGCGCTGTGTAGTGTAGAAGTAGTGACAGCTTCTCGAAGCAAATTAAGCTTTTTTCTTAGCCTCATGTTTAAATTCTAAACAGGAAATCATATTGAGGAAAGATGTGAGCAGGGTTTCCAACTTGCATGACTGTAGCCTATTGATGACCAATATAAATTTAGGGTATAATATTATGAATCTTTTGTACATTCAAGCCAATAGGACGCCATTTGGCAATTGAAAATAAAAATTACCAAGGAATATCTGTGCAGATAAATGTATGTCAAATACTTTGAATCCGAATATTTTTCAAGCCACGAACGGCGCTATTCGACTATTTTTATATTAAAAGTTAAAAAGATAAAGATGGAACTATAATGTAAGATTTAGAAATCGAATATGAGCTGAATGGTAAAAAATTACCAAAAGAACACCGAATCCCTGAAAATAACTATATAAGTGTTTTTCGTAAATTCAGCAATGAATGAATTTTCCTTTATTTCCATAGTCGGAACTAACCTTTACGAAACCTTAATCTAGATTGTGATTTGCTTCTATGGGAACTCGTAGCCTTAGTAAAGTAGAAAAAAGATGTAGTCTTAGCCTGATATCTCCTCCACCTTTATCAAATGCCTAAGAGACTGGAATTTTGCTACTGTTCGCTCATCGTTCCAGCTATCTACCTACATCTTATCAAATGCGTAACAGACTGAAATTCTACTACTGCTCACTCATCGTTCCAGCTCTCTTCAGCAGGTGAAGTAAACAAGTCTTTCCCATGTGTAGTTCGACCCTGCACGTGATCTATGCAGCACTTTTTCTCCAAGATAAAAATTAGACTGCCGCTATTTACTCCAGCACTATGTGCACGCCTATACAATACATGCACTCCCGATACAAAAATTTTCAAAAATTTTCGCTGACAGTAACGAAAAAAAATGGATCAACAGCTGAAGAGGCAATACTTCACCACCACTTAAACATCTAAATAACCTTCTTAATAGCACTATGAGACCTATTAAGTTGATGGGACATGAACGTTCCCTTACCCAAGTGAAATTTAACCGTGAAGGTGACTTGATTTTCTCAGTTGCCAAGGATAACGCTGCATCTATCTGGTACTCATCCAACGGTGAGAGATTAGGTACTTTAGAGGGCCATCGTGGTACCATCTGGTCCATTGCTGTCGACTTGGAAACCAAGCTCTGCGCCACTGGTAGTGCTGATTTAAGTATCAAATTGTGGGATGTTTCCACAGGAGAATGTGTGTACACTTTCGATATGCCTACCCCAGTCAGAAGAGTCGAATTCTCTCCAGACAACAAGAAATTGTTAGCAGTTACAGATCAAGTTATGGGACAAATTGGTACCATTACCATCTTTGACATCAACTACGAAGATGTCTACAACCAAAACGCTGAGCCATCATTAGTTATAACTACCAGAGAAGACGCAAAGAAGGTTTCCGTTGCCGCCTGGACTGCCAACGGGAAGTATATCATTGCTGGCCATGAAGATGGTTACATTTCCAAATATGATGGTACCACCGGTGCATTTATAGAGACCGTACAAGCACATGGTATTCACAACACGGAAACCAATTTGCTTGTCACAGACATACAGTTAGCACCAGAAGATCAGTCATACTTCATTACCGCTTGCAAGGATAAGTGTTCTGTTTTGATTGACGTAGAAACTTTCCAAATATTGAAGGTTTACAAGACTGATGCCCCAATGAACACTGCCGCTATTACTTCCAAGAAGGACTTTGTTATTCTTGGAGGTGGTCAAGAAGCCAGAAATGTTACCACCACTGCCGAATCTCAAGGTAAATTCGAAGCCAGATTTTACCACAAGATTTTTATTGATGAAATCGGTAGAGTTAAGGGACATTTCGGTCCATTGAATACCATTGCCGCTCACCCTGACGGAACTGCTTATGCATCTGGAGGAGAAGATGGTTATATTAGATTACATCACTTTGACAAGAGTTATTTTGATTTCGAATACGATGCTGAAAGAACTGAAAGAGCCATTGCTAGCGGTGCCACCTAAGTGAAAGTCTAAGTTAATACACGCTATAGAACAGAAACAAAAAAGAAAAGAAAAAAAGAACAAAAACATTGTGAAAGGCGAATGAAGTTCAACTAAGGCTATACTAGTATAGCCTGACTGGACTCTCCTCTGACCTGGAGAAGAATTCTACTTTTAATCTACTTGTTGGGTCCTAACTGGCTTCATCCGAAAGGTCTGTGTGATATTTCGGGAAAGAATGGAGAGCTACGTGAGGTGGCTATGGCTGAAAAATAAAATAAAGTTGATGGGTACATAATTACGTTTATAAACAAATACATTTACATTTAAGAATTGAGCTTTACTTTTAGTTTTATTAACTTTCTTTTTTACTTTTTTCATCACTCTTGCCACTCGTAAATTTGGATTATTCCCACTACAAAATTCGGGCACATCCAACCAGTTCTTCCTCTCAATAATACAGGCCCATTGCTAGCTAAGGTAGCAGATGGCTCGATTGCTCCTTTTTCCATTTTGGGTGCAAATTTGATGCGCATCGAAACTTTTTTGATTTCGGCCGTAAGCAGCAACAGATAGCTACGAGCCTATCCATCGATTTGACCAATTTGAATCATAGTAGACAAGTTCTGAGCACTTCAGCTAACTATTGTGAACTCATATGAGCTACGTTTGAAGAATTCATCCAATAGTATTCGTTTCAAGCCATAAATAGGACTCCTATCACTATTAGTCAGATTATCTAAGATGCTCTCACGTGATCAGATATATAGATAAGATTGCATTTTTCAATAAGTCTGAAAAATGCAAGGTTCCAAATTGCTAGTCTACTTTTTTTTTCACTATCTTTTCTTGATACCTAGAGTAAATATGACTAAAAGTGAATCTGGATCTGAAGCTGACGTATTGAGTCAAGGTGGGTTTATTTTTGACGATCCTGACTTAAAGAAAAGAAGAAATGGCAGAGCAACTAGAAAGAAAGATATCAAGTATGCGATTTCCTCTGATGAAGACGAAGATCAGGTAAAGCCGTCTGGCAGAAACTTGAGAAAGAAGGCAAAAAGCACGGCTACAACGAAGAGGAAAGCGAAGTTAAAGAAAGAAGAGTCGTCAGATGAAGAATTTTCTTTAGAAAAAGTTCAAATCGACGACGATGATGACGACGATGATATTGTAATAGTAAGCAGTTCACAAGTTGAAAAGAATGGTGCTACTAAACTAGATGCTATAAATCTAACTGATGAGGATGATCTTGAAATAGTTTTGGATGATGATGATGTCCCACTAAGCGAAAAGGTGAGAAGTGAAAAGCCTACTAAGAAGAAGAGAGCCACCGCTCGAAAGAAGAAGGAGCCTAAAGTCAAGGTTCCGTACTTTACTAGAGTGACGAACAAACTTTATGACCAGCACCCCAAACTTATGGAAGTCTTCCCGTATTTGGAATCCTTACCTCCCATACCCATCGAAAGAGCTCCGCAACCTCCAGGGATGACCATAAAGTTGCTTCCATTTCAATTGGAAGGGTTGAATTGGCTTCAGAAGCAAGAAGACGGAGAATTTGGTGGAGGAATCTTAGCTGATGAAATGGGTATGGGTAAAACAATTCAAACAATTGCTCTATTCATGTGTGACAAACAGAAGACTCCAAATTTAGTAGTGGGCCCAACAGTTGCCCTTATGCAATGGAAAAACGAAATTGAGAAGCATACAGTTCCTGGTAGCTTGAAAGTTCTATTATATCATGGTGCTAATAGGGCCAGTGACGTTGATGAATTAATGAAATACGATGTTATTTTGACGTCGTATTCTGTTTTAGAATCGGTTTATAGAAAGGAAAACTATGGATTCAAAAGAAAGGAAGGATTGGTAAAAGAGAAAAGTGCTCTTCATGCTGTACCCTTTTATCGTGTCGTACTAGACGAAGCGCATAATATTAAAGATCGTACTTCAGGTACTGCAAAGGCTGCTAACAACTTGAAATGTGAGAAAAGGTTATGTCTTACCGGTACCCCGTTGCAAAACAGAATTGGTGAAATGTACTCGCTTATCAGGTTCTTAAAATTAGATCCCTTCCATCAATACTTCTGTACGAAGTGTGATTGTGTTAGTAATGAGTGGAAGTTTTCGGATTGGAGGCACTGTGATCAATGTGGACACACTCCAATGCTTCATACTAACTTTTTTAATCATTTCATGTTGAAAAACATTCAAAAACATGGGATTCAAGGAGATGGTTTAACTTCATTCCAGCATATTCGATTGTTATTGAACAACATAATGCTTAGAAGAACCAAATTACAGAAAGCGGATGATTTGGGACTTCCACCTAGAATTGTGGAAATAAGAAAGGACAGATTCAATGAAGAAGAGAAAGACTTGTACACATCATTGTACAGCGACTCCAAGAGAAAATTCAACGATTATGTGGCCGAAGGGGTTGTTTTGAACAATTATGCTAATATCTTTACCTTGATTACCAGAATGAGACAATTAGCTGATCATCCTGACTTGGTCTTAAAGAGAGTTGGGGGTATTACTCAAGATATTGAGGGGGTTGTTGTTTGTCAATTATGTGACGATGAAGCTGAAGAACCTATTGAATCTAAATGTCATCATAAATTCTGTAGGATGTGTATTACAGAATACGTGGATTCGTGGTCTGGGGATGCCAAAAATTTAACATGTCCAGTTTGTCATATTGGTCTTTCGATTGATTTACAGCAACCAGCGTTAGAAGTTGATGAGACCGAATTTTCAAAGCAGTCAATCGTTAACCGTATCCAAATGGGTACCCATGGTGGAGACTGGAGATCTTCTACAAAGATAGAAGCTCTTGTTGAAGAACTTTATAAGTTGAGATCAGATAAGCATACAATTAAATCCATTGTGTTTTCACAATTCACGTCCATGTTGGATTTGGTTGAGTGGAGATTGAAGAGAGCAGGTTTCCAGACTGTCAAGTTACAAGGGTCTATGTCACCACAACAAAGAGACAATTCTATCAAGTATTTCATGGAGAATACATCAGTCGAGGTTTTCTTAGTTTCATTGAAGGCAGGAGGGGTTGCATTAAATTTATGTGAAGCATCGCAAGTGTTTCTTATGGACCCATGGTGGAATCCTAGTGTTGAGTGGCAGTCGATGGATCGTGTTCATAGAATAGGACAAAAGAGACCAATCAGGATTACCAGATTCTGTATTGAAGACAGTATCGAGCTGAAGATTATTGAGTTACAAGAAAAGAAGGCTAACATGATTCATGCGACAATCAATAGTGATGATGCAGCGGTTAGTAGGTTGACCCCGGACGATCTTCAATTTTTATTTATGAATTAAATACGAAGCATATATGGCGATAAGGTATACGATATAAACAAGAAATCAAATATTGAGAGAGTAGTAAAATGTAAGAAGAAAAGGTTAAAGAAAGTAAAAAACAAACAAAGCTGACATCATATAACCTGAAACTTTTTGGCTTCGACAACACTTCTCTCAATGGGGCATCAGAGCTTCCTAGAGCTTCCTAGGGCGAGCTTCCTAAAGCTTCATGAGAATTTGCAGCCATACCGCTCGTAAAATTCCTACATACAAATCTCGCTCTCTCTCGCTCGTGCCAACATAATGAGTCACGGGCCATAAGGCATTCCATCAGTGGATCCATATCACCTACTTAGAACACTCTGTCTTTCTCAAAGTCCAACACCCAAACATGTCAGAAATAAGCTGTTTCCAAATCTCCAAACTTCTTCAGTGCCAAATTCCGCTCCAGAATACCCAAATTTTCTTTGGTGCAAAAAATACTCTTCTCCATCATCTCTCTCATTACATTGACTCATAGCTCGCCGATAGTGAAAAGTACCTGCAGGTGAATTTTTTTCACCGCAATCGGTTCAGCTAGTGGAACACACACCAGTAAATTTTTCAGCATCTTCGATTCAGGCATCTTCTTCCAGTTTGACTTCTTCTTCATCAATAATCATATTCTTAACTCGTTAGTATCTTCAGTAATGTCGGTTAGGGAATTTTGGATCAATTACTTGGATTCTCCAACGTTGTCGGTGTTACCCCATGATTTTTTGAAGCCTGCAAATAACCAATCTGTGGAGGCTAGCCATCAGTTCAAGGCAGAGGGGAAATTTATTACCGGATTGGCTGTATTTGCTGCATTAATCTATAGATTGACCGGTGATGATGACATCTTGATTGCTACCGACACAGATACCGGAAAAGAATTCATTATTCGTGTAAACGTCTTGCCTACAATGACATTCAAGGAATTGGAAGCCTTGGTTACAAAGGAGTACGAGCAAAACTTTTCCAAGTTAGATTCTTTGGACGAAATTGCTCTTGACATTAAAAATAAGAAGAAATTAGACGACCTTCCAGGTTTGTTCAAATTGTCTTATCAACACTCCACTGAAAACGACCAATTGTTGACCAGTGTTGAAGGTTCTATCAGAGACTTGGCTGTGTATGTAGGCCAATCGGGTAAGCTTGGTATCCATTACAACTCTCTCTTGTACAAAAATGAAAGAATTTTGATATTGGCTGAGCAGTATACTAAGTTCTTGAAAGCAGTGACTGAAAACGCTGACTCTGTTATAACTTCCGTCTCACTTTTAACTCCAAGCCAATTGGATACTCTTCCAGACCCAACTAAGGACTTGGACTGGTCCGGTTACAGAGGTGCTATTCAAGACATTTTCATGGAAAATGCTCTTAAGCATCCAGACCTGACCTGTGTGGTGGAGACTAAGTCTTTCATGGATCCAAAATCCAAGACTAGAACTTTTAACTATAAGCAGATCAACCAAGCCTCAAATGTTGTAGGAAACTACTTGAAGGAAACCGGAATCAAAAAGGGTGATATCGTGATGATCTACGCCTACAGAGGAGTAGATTTAATGGTTGCAGTTATGGGTGTCTTGAAGGCTGGTGCTACATTTTCGGTAATCGATCCTGCTTACCCTCCTGCTAGACAAAACATTTATCTTCAGGTTTCTAAGCCAAAGGGTTTGATAGTCTTAAAAAAAGCCGGTATCTTAGACGATCTTGTAGAAAACTATATCAAGGAAGAATTGGAAGTCGTTTCTTCAGTGAGAGGTTTGAAATTAAATGACGATGGTGAAATTGAAGCTGATAACTCCACATCATTAGTTTCTTACCAAAAGTATAAAGATATTCCTACTGGAGTTGTTGTTGGCCCTGATTCAAACCCAACATTATCCTTCACTTCTGGTTCTGAAGGTATCCCCAAGGGTGTCTTGGGTCGTCACTTCTCATTAGCATACTATTTCCCTTGGATGAGTGAAAAATTTAACCTTTCGTCTAAGGATAAGTTTACTATGCTTTCTGGTATTGCTCATGATCCAATCCAAAGAGATATGTTCACTCCATTGTTTTTAGGTGCTCAATTACTTATTCCAACTGCAGACGATATTGGAACTCCAGGTAAATTAGCTGATTGGATGAGTGAGTATGGTGCCACTGTAACACATTTGACTCCTGCAATGGGTCAATTATTAAGTGCACAAGCCACTACCCCAATCCCAACATTACACCATGCCTTCTTTGTTGGTGATATCTTAACCAAGAGAGATTGCTTGAGATTACAGACATTGGCTAAAAACGTCTACATTGTGAACATGTACGGTACCACTGAAACGCAACGTTCAGTATCCTACTTTGAAATTACAAGCTCCAATGACGATCCTACTTATTTGAAAAACTTGAAGGATGTTATGCCAGCTGGTTCAGGTATGAAAAACGTTCAATTGCTTGTCGTTAATAGAAATGAAAGACTGCAAACCTGTGGTGTGGGAGAAGTTGGTGAAATATATGTTAGAGCTGCAGGAATGGCCGAAGGATACAGAGGATTACCAGATTTAAACAAAGAAAAGTTTGTCACAAATTGGTTTGTCACTAAACCGTGGGAAAACAAGTACGATGGTGAATGGCTCGGCCCAAGAGATAGACTTTACAGAACTGGTGATTTAGGAAGATACTTACCAGATGGTAATGTGGAATGTTGTGGTAGAGCTGATGACCAAGTCAAGATTAGAGGGTTCAGAATTGAGTTAGGAGAAATTGATACACACTTATCTCAACATCCTCTGGTTAGAGAAAATGTTACTCTCGTTAGAAGAGATAAGAATGAAGAACCTATTTTAATTTCATATATTGTGCCAAAGGAAAAAATTTCCTACTCAAGCAATGAATCTTCTGATCCAATTGTTGAAGGATTGGTATTACTAGATGACTTAGTCAAAGATATCAAAGCTTACTTAAGAAAAAGATTAGCCTCTTATGCTGTTCCAACAATTATTGTCCCGTTATCTAAATTACCATTGAATCCAAATGGTAAGGTCGATAAGCCAAAATTGCCATTCCCAGATACTGCACAATTAGAAGAAGTTGCCAAGCGTATGGGCGCCAAACATGGAGGAAGCAGCAATTCTGCCGAAGACAAGTTAAACAAATTTGAATCTGAAATCAAAGAAATGTGGTTGGAAGTCTTACCAAACAGACCTGCAACAATTTCTAAATCCGATTCTTTCTTTGACTTGGGTGGACATTCAATCTTAGCTACCAGAATGATTTTTGAAATTAGAAAAAAATTGTTAGTTGATGTAGCTCTTGGTGCTATTTTTAAAAATCCAACATTGGAAGGGTTTGCTAAGGAAGTGGAAGCAGCAATTAAGGGAGAAGGTTTAGCTGGCCTTGCTGGTGAAAATGAGAACAATGATGGTGCCGAAGCTGAAAAGGAAGCTGCTGTGGACTATGAGGCCGATGCTAAGAAATTGATCGAATCATTGCCAGAATCTTATGAGGCTTCCACGTCTTCTATTAATAACAAGGAAACTGTAAACGTCTTTTTGACTGGTGCTACTGGTTTCTTAGGTTCATTCCTTGTCAGAGATCTCCTCAATAGACCAAATGTTAAAGTTTACTGCCATGTTAGAGCATCTTCTAAGGAAGCTGGACTTGAGAGATTGAAGACTACTGGTCTTACTTATGGTATCTGGCAGGAAAAATGGGTATCCTCAATTGAAGTCGTTCTCGGAGATCTCTCTAAACCTAAATTTGGTTTACCAGAAGCAGAATGGGATCAATTGACTTCTCAAATAGATGTTATTATTCATAATGGTGCATTTGTTCATTGGGTCTACCCATATGCTCAACTTCGTGATGCTAATGTTATTGGTACCTTGAATGTAATGAGTTTGTGTGAATCAGGTAAAGCAAAGAAGTTTTCGTTCGTATCCTCTACTTCCGCTCTTGATACTGATCATTTTGTCCGTTTATCTGATGAATTAATTTCTGAAGGCAAGCCAGGTATCCCTGAGTCTGATGACTTGTCTGGATCAGCAAAGGGATTAGGAACAGGATATGGTCAATCTAAATGGGCAGCTGAACATATAATTAGAGCAGCAGGTACAAGAGGTTTAACAGGGTGTGTAATAAGACCAGGTTATGTTACTGGGTTCAGTGAAACCGGTTCCTCAAATACCGATGATTTCCTTTTGAGAATGCTTAAGGGTTGTGCAGAATTAGGTGTCTACCCAGACATCGAAAATTTTGTTAATATGGTTCCAGTTGACCATGTAGCTAAAGTTGTTGTCTCATGTGCTTTCTTCCCTCCTTCGTCTAAGGAGTTGGCTGTTGCCCATGTCACTGGTCATCCAAGAATTAGATTCAATGATTTCTTGAAGACCTTACAAACTTATGGATACAACGTCAAGAGAGCTAATTACCCAGAATGGAGATCAAGCTTGGAAAAGTTTGTAGTTGAGACAAGTGATTCTGCATTATTCCCATTGTTGCACTTTGTCTTGGACAATTTGCCTCAAGACACCAAGGCCCCAGAATTGGATGATGCTAATGCAGTTAAGTCTTTGAAACAGGACTCTAAAGCATTTGGTGCCGAGGATTTCAGTGCTGGCCGCGGTGTTGACGCAAAGCAAATGGGTATCTATTTAAGTTACCTTATCCAAACTGGATTCTTACCAACTCCATCTGGTAAAGGAGAAGAAAAGTTACCTGAAATACACCTTGACGCTGAAACTTTGAGATTAGTGACGTCCGGTGCTGGAGGTAGAGGATCAGCTGCTAAATAATGATGCTAACGCAAGAACTGTAAATGGACAGTATAGATAAGTGAAATAAGTAACATAACATAACATAATAAATAATATAAATAACATTAAACAGTAGAAACTCTTAGAAGGTTAAACGAAGTAAACAATTAGTAGTAGAAAATGGTTGCATGATTGCAACATCTCAAATGGTTGCACAGCCATTCGCCTTGGTGATTTTCCTGCACACCAATTCGAGATGACAACCACCTGCTACTTTATAATTATCGAAAGCTAAAACTTTAAATGACCAACTATACCCCAACAGTAACCCAACAAAGTCTTTATTCTTATCTTTAAGCTCTCTACTCCGATAGTAGAAGGCTAATACGTACAAAGTCACAAATACTAGTGAAAACTTCTCGCAGACTAACTTTATAATGGATAGACGACCAAATGTGCTGTCGTTTGGGAACATGTCTATTTTTCAAAAGCGCAGGTCGCACCAACTTGGGGATAATCAAAGTAGCGTAACTCCTCCAATGACTCCAAGTAGATCATCTTCAGTTCCGAAAACACCAATTAATTCTACTACTACAACTAGTGACAAAGGAAAGAAATTGCTTATCGATCAATTTTATAATTCGATAAACGAAGCTCAGAACATCAGTAGTGCTAATATCGCCAATAATACAAATACTGGTAGTAATTCAAGTAATACCATTAATAATAGTAATAACAATTCCAGTTCTACAAGCCCAAATGTCAAAAACAATATTTCTTCTAATAACAGCAATGTTGACCTAAACTCTACTAACACCAGTGGTAATGGTATAATGATCAATAGTAGTAATAACAATAGTAATAATAATTTGAGAAATTTATTCTCAGCATTCGCTAGAAATCAACAAAGTGTTGGCGAGAAAGGCAATGTGGCCTTGACAGAAGAAACGTTCAGGCAAATATTAAGGCAAGGTGGGGCAAGATATATCACAATAGATAGTAACTTACTTAATGATGATGACTTGGCTACATATTTGTTGAATTTTGATAGCGTAGTGACGGGGGAAGCTCTTGAGCCAATTACGCCGCCAGTGGATCAACATAAAAATGTCAGTATGGACAGAGATCAATTGAAGCCCATAGAAAGGATTGTAAGTGATCTAACGAACACCATGGATAAAAACATTAGAAAGCTGTTGTCAACACCTAGTTCGTCGAGCTCGGCCAATATATCCAACATACAGATTGCAAGATTGAAGAACTATGTATTGCAATTGCAAAAGGAGACCACTACACTCGCAGATGAGTTAGTGGCCAACAAAGATGCGACCACGAAGAAATATCATAATGAAGTGAATCTGAACGTGCTGAAATTGAAGGACTTGTTGCAAACTTTAGAACAGTTAGAGTCCAGACTAAATGCGCTGAAGACTAAAATATCATCCAATAAAGCAAAGATGAATTTGGATATAGAGGAGAAATTGCAAACGTTGGAGTACATCGATAAGCGCATTATTGAGTACACACGAGAGGCGAAGGAAAGAAAGATGAAAATGTTCAGCGTGATACTGTCGGTGGCTGTAGTATTGATTAGCATTTGGTGGAGCATACGAGTATACGGGTAGAGATACAACTGAAAAATCAGGGAAAAAGGAGAAGGAACTTTTAGGTAAATTAAAAAGGAGAAATGGAATACACAGTACTGACTAGCATTGAGCAGCAGGTGAAAGTAAAGAACAATGTAAGAAAAAGTAAGACACTAACTAAGTAGCCAACTGCTAATCAACTAAGCGAAGAAAAAATATCTCCTACATAATACGTTGTCACCAGCTCTCTAGTTCTATTTCATATGTAGGTGAGCCGTTATTTGGCATTCTGATCGGTTGATTCGCTTATGTAGAGCGTTGGAGAAAAAAAAAAAGAAACGTGAGACAGACTCAGCACTCACACATAATGTGAGTATCAGACCCCCAAAACATGGCTCATACCGTTAGCTAAAATTATTATTTAGCTAGGTATAACAGTGCATGGTGTGTAGTTAACACCTTCCACATGTACCAGATCTGCAAGGTATAGCGGACCAATTCCCACAATGACAGATAGTCTAAAAAGTATTTGACAGAGAGAAAGAGAAAGAGAAAGAGAATAAAAAATATTTTCATTATTGTCAAATTTAGTGTGTGAGTTATATGTGCCTGTAGTGCTTAAACGAAAAGCCCATGTTCATGGTGTTATCTAATAACTCCGACAGCCTGGACCAACGCAATGTACTTCCGAAAAGCGTCCCAATATGTGGAAACGGCTTCCAATTGGATTACTAATGTTTACAAGGTGTTACCAAACTTACCCTGATTATAAGAACCTGGCGTTTGATGGAACTTGAGTTCCGAGATAAGGGAATCAACCTTGTTACTAGGTGCATGCGTAGAAGAGTGAGTGATAAAGAAAAAAAAAAAAAAAAATTTGATGGAAAAAAAAAAAAAAATAAAAAAAAAAAGAAAGAAAAGGAATGTGGAAATGTCTCGCAGCAATTACTTCAGAGAGGCTCAATGGCACTAGGAACGCAACATGTAGACTACTTACAATGCCACAAACTTGTTTATTGCAGCTAGGCACTTAAGTATCAACAATAACGAAATCGTAGTTTAGGTAGTTATGCAAAAGGTGATCCTGCTTCCACTCGAGCCACCCTCCCTTTCCACCATGACATTTATGCACCACAGTCATGTAGGCTTACCGCACTCTCTGTTTTCTCCTACCCTACCATCCTTACATTGGTTCCTGGCAAATGTACGCTGGGTTATTTTTTATGTGGCCAATTCGCATTTATCTTTCTTTTCCTTTGTGAGTGACCTTCAATTTCGATTCTTGCATATTCGCAGGGCGACTTGTACTGCACACGGTTCTCTTCGATCGAAAGGAAAAGAGTAAGCTTAGATTTTTTTCTGTTTGTTTTTTCTTTTTAGTTTTCTTTCCTTCCAGAAAGGTATACAAGCTAGGGAGTCTACAGGCCCAAAATATCGTCTATCGTATCGTCTAGTATTTCTAGAGATAGGAAAGGATTTTTTCTGAGACCAATTTTGCGAAAAAGGCATACCGCAAAACGATATATAAATAGCAAAGTAAAAGGGAAACAATCCTTACTAGAAATTGAGGACAGAAGTAAGGTTTAATTTATTTTACGAACACACACTGTTGGCTTGTCACATTCCCATTATTTTTCCTCTCGTCTGTCTTTTATCGTCCTACATATCTTGTACCAAGATCAAGTGCTCAAAGGGAAATAAAAGTTGATCAATCCATTTCAAAACAGTCATACATCCTCAGGCTCAAACCATAATGGCCGAGGTGTTAACCCTTTCATACTTGGGGACTATTGATCCGACTCCCATCGAATCCAACTCCGTGGTTGCTTTCACCACATTCAAAGATCTCATATCCTACTTGTTCCGCAAGGGAAACGAAGAGAAGGATGTAAACCATGCCACCATTGTAGTAATCAACCAACGCTACGATGCGCAATCTAGCATTAAAGACTTGGACTCGCTTTCGTTTATTGATAAAAGGCTTCTTCTTAGGTATTTTTTCAACCATCTTAATGTCATTGCCATACATTACAACGAATTGAACAAGTCGCCCGTTTTGAACAGATTAACTACAAACATTGCATCACATATTAGCCAAAGGATCACCAGAGTTGAAACTTGGACCGGCACTGGATTCAAAGGCATAAATGACGTGTGGACATTTATTGATAATGAAGAGGAAAAATTCACTGAATCTTCCTTTATATCAACTATGTCTTCGTTGTTGTCAAGTAACATCAACAAAAACCACATCACTACCAAGAGACTCATTTCTCTTAAGGATTTGATTATAAAGGAAATAGACTTTTTGGACTTGTTAACCACTCCGCAAGAGCGATTGCCCAAGATTGGTGAGTACGTGGGACATTGGTGTTTCCCAGCGCATGAACTCTCCAATGATGACTTGGTTTACTGTGTTTACTTAATGATCAAGTATTCCTTGGATCAATTGCCACGTGATTGTGGTCTTCATTTTCCATCTAATAATGAGCTTTTAGGGTTTGTGTTTCTGGTTAGAGATACCTATAGAAATGGTAACCCTTTTCATAATTTCAGGCACGCCACGGATGTCTTGCAGGCATGCTTCCATTTCTTGATTAGATTGGACTGCTTACCTGTGCCTGAACAAATGACGTTAGATCCAAACGGACCAGAGATACAGAATCTGGATAAATGTAAATTTGAAGGACTTGTAGAGTTAAAGTCGTCCGGTAAGTACATCAGTGAGGTGAGCAATGTCTCTCCAGGCGGGCGCCGTCTCAGCACCTTTAACATTGGTCACTTAAATCCTATAGAGACATTTGGGTTGTTAATAGCGGCCATTGGACATGATGTGGGCCATCCTGGTGTGACAAATGCATTTATGACTAAGTACTTTGCACCAACTTCGTTAATGTACAATGGGAAATCAGTTTTGGAACTGTTCCACTCTTCAATATTTATAAACAAAGTGTTGTCAGTAAGTTGGCCATCTTTATTAGACGTGTTCATGGATTCAAATGAGAAACTAACCATGAGAGAATTAATAATCTCTTGTATCTTGGCAACAGATATGGCAGAGCATTTTGAATATATTGGGAAAATAGCTATGTTTAAAGATGATATTAAGAGCTCGCCTGAAAGTAAGGTTCAATTGATTTCATCATTATTAATAAAGTGTGCTGACATTTCAAACGTCACCAGGCCCTTGAGAGTTTCGGCTCAGTGGGCATTGGTATTATCTAGAGAGTTTGATGAAGTGGCGAAACTTGAAAAGAACATAATAGCGAATCAAACGAGTGAGTCTGTAACTGAAGACATTGATCTTGATCCAAAGTATATTAAGTTACCAATCTCATTACAAAAGATTATAGAAGCTCAACCAGAGATACACAAGGGGCAAATATTCTTTATTGATGTATTTGCTGAAAGTTTGTTTAAGAGCGTTGTTGGTGTCTTACCTGAATTACAGTATACTTGTGACGTGATTCTGAGCAACAAGTCGTTCTGGTATGAAAGAAGAGATAAGGTAAATATATAGTAGTTATGGAATAACACGAGGAATAATAGAGCTAAAAAAGAAAAGAATGGTGTAGTATAGCAGAGGCTCAATCATTGCACCTGTAAGTACTGTTCGTTCTGACACAGTTCAGCTAGCTTTCTTAGTGCAGTTTACTGTTTTCGGACAAACCACGGCATTCAGTTGAGGGACCACTGTAAGTGAACCGGGAACGGCTGCGAAGCCCTCCGACTTTTTTTTTCTTACCGTACGAAGACGAGAGCGGTGGAAAGGAACATCAGAACTGCGTGCAGCAATCACACAAGGTAGCCACCACTGGTGAACTACAGGCCACAAAAGATATTGAAATCCCGCTATATACAAACCTACATATAGAAATGAATACCAACGCACATATACCAATCTCACACATCTCGTAAAGAACTTTATTTGTCCCAGTTCGTGCCGTAACTCATAGCTTATTAAACTTTTCACTCTCTCAGGTCGCAGCGCAACCTAGGCACTTTTTTTTTTTTTGCTCATCTTGGCGGCTCTTTGCCCTAGATCCCTCCGTGGATATCTGCAATTTTCAGATTTACACGTTAAACCAGAGCGGCGCACGACCTTTTATTCACGTGACCTGGACAGAATTCTCGATGAGCACCGTTTTGGTGCGAGTAGGCCAGTGGAATTTCAAAAGTTGGAAAAGTTGAACTTAGAGAACAGGCAACTCAGCACACGGCGACACTAGCATCATCAATTCTTGTGGAATCCTTCAAATCGTCTTGTTTACAAATTCGTTTTGAATTGGTAAAGAATCGAGGAAAAACTCAGCAAACCTGAAGATATAGACACGCAGATCCATACCAATAGAAAGTTATAGATTAGGACCCCATTTTCATTCTTGGATTTTAATTTTTTTTTTTTCACTTGGACATGCCCTCTCCGCCGTTTGATATTGTGCTTAGCCCTCCGCCTCTAGACGGCCAGAGTCTCAACATCCTGGAGAATCTCCAGCAGCAGCAGCAGCAGCAGCAACAACTGCACCTGCAACAACAACTGCAGAACCTGCTGCAACAGCAGCAACCTCCGTACCACCAACAGAGACAGCAAAGTGTTGGATACAATCTTCAACATGAATTTGAAACGTTGAATCACGACTTGGACCTCGATTTGACCAACAACATCTCCAACCCTAGACCGGAGCTACTGAATATGCGCTCTTCTCAGTACAGCTCGTTTGTGACCCCTGCGACAAGCTCGTTACTTAGAGACACTACCTTGTCTCCATCGCCCTCCGCAGCTTCGTCGAACGCAGGCTTGGCCTCGTTGTTGAACAGTTCTGCCAGTGCCAACTTTTTACCACCCTTGGCTTCAATCCCAAACCGTCCCCAAAGTGTCCAAGACTTTTCATTCCTGTCATACAACCATACCTCGCAGCCCCAACCTCAACATTTGCATCTGTCCGGTCAACAGCAGGCTCAAAGTCATCCACTGGGCCAATCTTCGCAACTCCTGCTGAATCTCTATCAACCAACCTCCCTGCAGTTTTATCTGGATTTACTTACCTTCGGCCATTGGATTGAAAATCTTTCCCTGTCGGATACAAACACAATGATGGACCATTTAATCAACACACTCCCGCTTGACGTCTTGTCGTTGTTCAAGACTAAGCTTGAAGCTCACTTGAACCCTTACGCTGGTTTGCTGTATGATTTGGATAGAATCTCCTTGGATGACCAGAATAACCAACATCAACATTCTCACCTCCAGCAACAACAGCAGCAGCACAATTTAGTTGGAGGAGCTCGTGGTATCCCGCAATATAGTACCCTCCAGCAACCTAAGCCTAAACCTAACTATAGAGTATTTGATAAGTCAAGACCAAAGTCTGCTGACCCTCACACCAGGAACTTTCTTGACAGAGCAAGATCCCCAAATGCTCATTTGTATGAAAAAACCAACTTCTTGCAACTAGCAGCTGGCTCTAACCAAGTACCACCCCAATCCAACTCAAGCAATGGACAAGGAAGTAACAATATTGCTAATGGCGGTGGTAATGTCTCCCAATCCCTAACGTCAAACAACCATGGAAATTCACAGGATGATCTCTCAGGACAAGCTGCATTAAAACTTGGTGCTTTGGCTACTATTAACCTGAGAGTTGCATTAGATTCTAATAGAAAGAATTTCAGAAACTACGAGCTGCAAATTGGTAGGTATGTAAATTCTTCCAGTGTGCCAGTTCCTCCACAAGGAGGTTCACAAGGTCCAAGATCTAACCATCAACAATTCCAGAACCAAATTCCAAATCAAAATCAGAATCAAATTCAAAACCAAACCCAAACCCAAACCCAAATTCAGGGCCAAAACCAACGTCAATCTTACCCTGGTAGATCCTCCACTCCGACTTCAACATTGGATATGTCGTCGCCTTTGACCCCCACGGCTTCCGCTTCTTCAGCTAACGCCTCCTCTTCATCAATGCCTGCGGATATTGCCAATCTTGAGTTGTTGAACAATATTCCTACATGGTTAAAGCTCTTGAGACTCCACAAGTACACCGACTGCTTGAAGGACATCCCATGGCAAGAGTTGATCGAGTTAAGTGACCACGATTTGGAAGAAAAGGGAGTGAAAGCCTTAGGTGCTAGACGCAAGTTATTAAAGGCTTTTGATGCTGTTAAACAGACCATGGGTTAGAAAATTTCAAGTAGTTTACTGGATAGATTATAAAGATACACTATAGACAGAAAGCAATTGTAGGGTGTGCTGTGTAGTATTTAGAAACAAGGTTTGCTTCGCTGAAGGCTCTCTTATAGAGTTAAGGTGATATAATCGATGTGGGCGAATGTTCAAAGTAATCCTTACATCACGCAACTTAGCGCTAACTACACGCTACAAATAGTATTATCTTAATCTCTTATTCATTCACCAAAATTAACTCACCGTATAGATATAGATGCAGCAATCGATTAGACAATCACACAGCAACTGTTGGTCTTCTTAGCTTGCTTATAAAACATTCTACTACTGCTACTTAAAGCTTCACTCTTATCAACCAAAGAGTCCAATTTTTCTCCTCTCTGTAAAACCGATTCGATAGTTTTATGCAAAACAATTTTGGTCTCATCCAACTCTTGTTGAACCTTCATAATAGAGTCTGCTTGCAGTGGGTCCTGGTATTTCTTCAAGTATGCTTCCAAGGCATCAAAATTTAAGGCCGGAGTGGTCGCTGAAATGTTCTTCCATTCATTTCCTGGGTGCTGTGATAAGTATTCTTCCAAGACTTTATTAATCAAAGTGTATGCTGGTCTTACTGGGTATTCTTTATCAGTGATTAGGACACATGCAAGACCTTCAGATCTGGCATATGTGTGTCCGATATAGTTCCCCTCTTCAATACTTTGTCTCTGTCCCAGCCTGGTTCTCTGAGATACAGTTTCTGAGAAGAACGACATAAATTGTGATACCGACGAGCGTTCGAAGAATGAAAACTGTGACAAGTCTCTTGCTGACGTCAATTCAAGCGCCTTGTCTCCACCAGTGCGAAGTATACCAATGTAATAGATCTTCATCTTAACTTTTCGACTTTCAAATTTGGATACAAGTTTGGTACAGAAATCTAGATTCTCAAATCCTTAACACACAACAGAATAATATAGTTTACTATGTAGTATAATCTGAATACACGAGCAGAAAGTAGCCGGACGGTAGATGTGTTTTCGCTTTTTCTTTTTTTTTCCGTGCTTGTGAAGAAGGTCGCGATAAAGCAAACATGTATATGCAGGATCCTTACTATATGAAGGAAGACATGAAGTATTGGCGATGGTGGAGCCAAGAAGAAAAGAGTGGAGCACTAGGGCTTGGTGGCGACAAAGCAGTGGTATCGGTAGAATGGCTGGGGGGCAGGGAAGCTCAACGAGAATTGGACTCAAAGAAGGAAAAGGGCCGAAAACGGACAAAGTGGACGAAAAAATATGAATACCTGAATTGCACTGGTTGACGAGAAAAATGCTACCGACAGTCAGCAGAAATACTGTGGGGAGGTGGGGCCAAGATTCAAGAGGAGCCCATTGTGCATATTCATCACCACTACTAGTGTCATATCTTTCTCGCCGTACCTATATACGATCGGTCCCCGTCTCGTCCCATCCGTCCCGCACTGCGCTATCACTTTCCCTCCCCCTTGCCACACATTTTCTTCCCTTCTAGCGTGTTGACTGTATAATCGTATCCTTTGGTGGCCTATGCAACTCGCTCCATTTAGAGTCTCATTTCCGCTCTGCGACCTTGCGGCTGCACCTCTTAGCCGCTGGGAGCGTGAGCGAAAATAGCGTGTAAACATATCCTGCATATAGTGGCATCATGTATACCTAGAGAAGACAATCTCTGAAACAACGTCAGGGCTATGGGCTCGTATAGACCCAACACAGACCGCTCTTAAACATGTCGGAAGCTAGGACATTAAAGGTAGTCCTCCTAGGTAACTCCGGGGTCGGAAAGACGTGCTTGCGGTCGCAATTTGTGCACCATATGTTCACCAATGCATACAAGGCCACCATAGGCGGAGACTACTTAACCTCTAAGGTTCATATAAAGGTTCCAGAGAACCCAGACCTGTATCTGGAGACGTTGGACCAGCAAGAGGACCACCCGGCAGACCAGGATCGCACGGTTCTCGTGGACAAGGTCGTAAATCTTCAGATCTGGGACACGGCGGGGCAGGAGAGATTCAATTCGATCTCACAGGCGTTTTATCGGGGAGCAGACGTGGTGGTGCTCGTGTACGACGTTTCCAACTACGAACTGGTGGTAGCACTTAACGCTTGGTTCAGCAGGTTTATGGAGCATTGCCACGTAGACAACCCCGGCGTGTTTGTGTTGGGAAACAAGATAGACAAGAACAGAGTTATACAGAAGGATGAAGTCGCTCGACTACTACAAGCTAGCAGTGAAGGAGGAGGTCCCTCCATTCACGACTTCCTACAGAAATACACAGGCCGCGGTGGAGAATTCGAGCCCGAAGATGGCATCTGGGAAATCACCTGTAAGAAGGGTGAAATGGTTGAGTCGTTCTTCACTCGAGTAGCCAACTACGGCGTGTATGGAAGCGAAAGCTCTCAGTCCACACCACTAGTTAGATTTGACATAGATCTCAGCAACAATAACCAGCCGCCCATAAGTAAGTGCTGCTGAGTGAAGCTGCATGTGGGCACGTTTACCAAGGACTCCACCATAATTGCTAATAGAGTCTGCCAGTCGTTGTGCATAGAATCTCCAGCGTAATACCAAGAGAGTCTACCAGTCATTATAATACCAAGAGGCTAGCTATGTCTTTCAACTGTAAAAGACTAGCTAAGTCTCTCAACTGCTCCGCCGCTACATGGCGTTGAGCTTGCACCATCACACCTAATAAATAATCGTCTATTTATACAATATGTAGTTAAGTCTACTTGTACATGTACATTTCTAATCGTTGTATCATTTTCTTTTAACTTTTATTAGACTTTTTACTTTTAATAAATTAACTATTCACAGGATGTCTTTTTTTATAATAACATTACGAGGCTTCAGCTTCGGCTACGGGGGCTTCACCTTCAGCTGCGGCATCACCTTCGGTTGCTTCATCTTCATACAATTCTTCCTTGTAGTGCTCTGGGTACTTTCTGAAACAGGTTCTCATGTTTTCAAACTTCTTGATACAGTCAATACCCTTTGGTTCAGTTTCAGAGTAAACGAAACAGGCAAACGCTTCCTTGAACTCTTCTCCACATGGACCATTGGCCATACCACCAAGACATGGACAATCCCAGTTGATTTCTCCAGTTTCTGGGTTGTATGCTGCTTGCTGTCCTTGATCAGCTCCAGCCTCAGCTTCATCTTCACCACCAGCAGAAGCACCGGCAGAAGCACCATCTACTTGGGCAACCTCTTGAGCATCAATATCAACCACCTCAGATCCATCCTCTTCCTTCTTCACAGAAACTCCAGCACTATTTACAGGAACAGCTTCAGTCTCATTGACAGTATCAACAACTTCACCCTTGTTATTTTTCTCTTCCTTGACTTCCTCGGTGACCTCAGCTTCCGGAGCCTCTTGTACTGGAGCTATGTCGCTTTGTACAGTATCTTCAGCATCAACCTTTTCCTGCTCCACGATATCTTTCTTCAAAGCCGTTTTCTCGTCTTGTTTGAATTCAGTCTTTACTTCTTTGAGTTTATCGGCGAGTTTACTATCAACTAAAGCGCCATGTCCGTTGTGGATCTTTTTGTGCTCATCTTCATCATTCTTAGCGCTCGAGTTTAAGAAAACATATGACACACCAACGGCGGTACCACCAATTACAAATGGAATTCTAACAAGGTTAGGGGTTACAGTTTTAGTAAAGGATCTGAATGAGTTTCTAAACATATTAATAGACGGAATAAATGGTTCCCTTACCGGCTGTTCTCTTGCCTTCAGTTGCTAAAGATTTTCCAGTTTATTTTTCACTACCAAATCTTGCCAGGCCCGAAATGGCTGACTAACGAAAAATTACACAAAAATACGCAGATCTGCTTGCATGGAGAGGAGCTAAGGGCCGCTGCTGAGGGCCGCTGCTGAGGGCCGCTGCTGAGGGCCATGTCTAGAGGGAGAGGGGCCAAATTGATGTGCTAGCTGAGGTGTGGTGGTGTTAATGTGCATGCTATACGGAAGTGGTTTATTTCCCAGGTGTGCTTTTTTAGGCAGAGTTTTGCCTTTACATAGTCTCATATCATCAACATGGTATTCGTAAAATTAACTCTATAGATTTCTATATACAAGATTGATGCAATGTGGTAGCACTGTGCAGTTGATGGGATGGCCGGTTGGAACCTTAATCACTGGGCAATGTTTATCGGGCAGTAATGCTCATTGGATCTTCTTTTTATTCTTATTTGGTCACGCGGGTCGCTTGCTCATCGGTTACATATGTTCCAGCATACCCCAAAGCTCCGAGCAACACCATCGTAGAGGACAAACCAATGATTCTTAGCCACTTTAATGTCTCTTTAGAATTTCCGAGATTATTGACTTTTTGGTCTACTTCTTTTACTTTCGACCATAAGGAACTATTTCTATGTTGAATGCGGCCAAGAGAGATAGCTCTTAAGCCAATTCTTGCGTACATATTTGGACTTTTAGCGCAAGCAATACTTCTGTAAGTGTGAAAAATCGTGCTAGAATTTCTCTGGTGAAAAGGTGGAGTAGCTAATTTTTTTTTTTTTTTTTTTGATTTTCGCACACTGGTTGCATTGCTCCAGACTACTGCTTAAGAACGGGTGCCATTAATGGCTAGACCTGGGCCCGAATATGCACATGGAGGCTGATTCACGCTTTGTAATAGCATATAGAACCATATTTAGATTTAAATATCACTGAAAATAGTTGATTTCGCTCCAAGAATGGCTTCAAATAATGGGTGCAAACTTGTCGAATACCACCCAGTCGTATTGTTCCTATTTATCAAGGCAGCCCTCTAGCTCCGACAAGCTAATTGGTAAATATTCAGAGTTGACACTGACCCAAAGAACGTCGTCTTCTATGTATCCTACGACGCTTTTTCCTTGCTCATTTGAAAATTTGTACGATTGGTGATCCAAGTTCGTACGGCTCCGCATAGAAGTGAAAAGTATATTGTGGGTAGCACAATAGTCTTCAACCAAATCCTTAAACGATGTAAGAAGTTGGTACGAAGGTACACTATTAGCATTTGTCACAGGAGAGCTAGTCTTGTTCCTACGGGATTTGATATACTGCATAATTTGGGAAGAAGTAGGTACTATTTCGCCTTCAAGCAGAGGCAATTCCAATGGATAATCCGATTCTAAGGCGTTAATTGCAAAATTTAAATTCCACTCAATCAAGTGCTCAAATGAATGGACATCTTCAGCGTGTGATTTCCACCATTTGCACCAGTACTTGATAATTGCCACACGCTCTAGAGTAGAAAGTTTCTCCAATTCCTTATGCCATGGGTTGAAGACTTGAAATTGAATTAATATTTCGATAATTATTCCCACTTCTTCAGCGGAAGCTTTCAGAATAATCAAAAATTTAAAAATGCTGTCCTCATCCTGATGCGTAAGTCGAAATATCAGGTCCTCCATCATCTGCTGTCTTTCTTTCCTTAAAGAAAATCCATACTGTTGGAATATAGTATCCCAAAACTTGAATAAAAGATGCAATTCCTCCCTTATACTTTCAGAATCTTCCTGTTCCCATATATTTTCCAAGTATAGTTTGTACTTTTGAAAGATTTTTTCAATAACTTGTTCTCCACCGCCTGGAAGAAGAGATAAGTACTCTATTATGTATAGCAAATTTGCGCTGTTCCCTTCTCCCAATTTCAAATTCTTGATATTATCCCATATTTCAGGAATAACATTATCCTTTATAAATTTCAGAATTGTTGAGCTCGGTGAAATAAGAATGGAATTAGAATTCTCTTCCCATTTACTTAATAAATCTATTATTTCCGATTTGGAATCTATCTCACGGTATTCTGGTAATATCTTTGTCTCTACCATCAATTTATCCCATTGAGATATACTTTCTTTGTCTTCTGAGCGTATGATACTTTTGTAGGTTTTGCACCAGTTGGCTAGAGTCTCCGGATCACAGGTCTGTATATTTCCATGAACTAGTGTTATTGCAAAACTTTCCAAATCCACCGAGCCTTTCGAGGTAGATTCCAACTCCTGGAGTTCTGCTAACGCTTTGGTTACATCATCATTGGACAGACTTGACACATTTTCTAGTATTTCAAGTGATTTTTCAGCAACTACTATCTCCTGTCGTACTTCTTCTACATCTTTATTGGTACTAGTCAACTCATATTCTAGATACTTTTCTTCTTGGATTAAGTCTTGAACTTCCGTAAGAAATTTCGATAGCGTGTTAAAAGACTGTTCAATTTCCCCTGGTGATGCATTAGATATGTCATCGCATAGTTGTTTGTATTTGATCGGTACTTCTATGTCCAATCTCTCAAGCTTTTCGATTACCTGGTAAATATCGTAGGTGGGGAGGACATCCACATCCTCCCCATCATCACTAGAATCAATGCCAAGATCTGCTTCACCTACACTATTATTATCCACCACTCTTTCTTTTACTCCTCCTACACCTAAACCCTGTGGTCTCAACTTGGTTTCAATAGGGTTAATAATACCCTCTTGCTTCGCACCCAATCCTTTACCTTTCTCATACCCCATCTTCATCAAAAGCAGAGCTCCTATTCCGTACTTCGCATAGGGGTCATCTTGCCTATTTGAATACAGATTTGGGATAAATTGATCTTGAATCTCTTTCTTATCTTCTTCTGAGTCGACCTCCATTTGATCTTCATAATTATCTTCTTCTGTGTACCCATCGTTCCAACTTTGGGCCAAAGATCCCATAGTCATTGATTTCATGGACATTCGACCTCCATCTTGTGAGCTCTGTGGACTTTTTGCTCCATCGCTATTCTCGAAGACTTCCTCGTTCTTCAATACCAGCGCCTTTTTGAATAGCATTATCACAGTAACTGTAACATTAAAGGCTCTGAGTATGATTACTCTGTCTCTCTCTCTCTCTCTACTTCGCTTTCTCATGGCGATTTCCTTACAATCCATATCGCAGTTCGTGTACTGCATATAGACTTCCATCTCTTCTTAAGTTGCAGCCATCACAGTAGGTGTATGTATCAGTCAAATGTGGATGTGTGTGTAAATTATACGTATATGTATGTATAGGTATGTATATATATTATCTAAGTTCTCTATACCTCGCCCGCTAAACTTCTTTCTTTAGAAATATTACCTGTGGAGATCAAGTCTAAGATCTTTCTCTCGATCTCAGCATCTTCATCTCCTCCGATTTCATCTAAACCTTCCGTGATGACCTGCACAATAGAAGGCTGTTCAGACTCTCCAGGTAGGTGGAACTCCTTGGGAATGAAGTCGCCATACTTTTCTAACCAGTTTTTCCTTCTCTCCCTTTCGTGTTTCAGTATCTGATCGAGTTCTTCATTTAGAAACTTCTTCAACTTATTCAAAAATTTCCTCGGGTACACATATTTCTCGTAGTGAAGTTCAGAATAGAAATTGTGCTTGTAAACGGTCAAGAATTTCCTGTAATGGAAGATCAACTGGTCCACAGTGGCCAAATCCATCTGGGCTTGAGCGGTTTCAACAGCTTCTAGCTGAGAAGCGCATTTGGAATATAGCGTGACAAATTTAATAATGTTAACGTCTTTGAACTCTTTGTACGATTCAACTTGTTTCTCCAACTCAAATTCTATGGTGGATAGTAAGTGGAATCTATTGGAACAAAGTTCACTAGCACGATTGGAATTGTGAACGATGATATCGTATATGTTTTGTAGTTCGTTTGAAACTTCCGGGAGTTCTAAAACATCATTCTCAAGCACAGAAAAGTCTCCAGCTGTTGCATTGGCATCCTTTATGGACTCTTCCCTCAATCTGAACACTTGATCGTAATGGTTCGTCAACTGCTCCAAAATGGTGGCCAATTCCCCTTCTAAGCTTGAGTTTTCCTTCAATATTTGCCTCAAGATATTGCTATTGTTATTACTGGCGTTTACCTCGTACATAATGTCGTTATAGGTTTTAAGTAACTTGGTGTACTTTTTGGAAATGGAACCAAACGGTGCTTTAATCAAATGAGCATGCTGATCAGCGAGAAGCTGGTTGATTTTCTTGAAATTAGAATCATATCCCTCTACATTTTGCTTGAGTACATCAATGGATTCTATACTAATGAAATCTGATAAGTTGAAGCCCTTTTTTCCTCCACCTCCAACACCAGCACCTCCAACACCACCACTGTGATGGGTTCCGCCACTGGCAACGACAAACTCAGGCACCTTCGTTGCTCTCAATTGGCTTATTATCATCATCAATGTTTCTAAGGATGTCGTGTCCACCTTTTCTAGTCCCTTTTGTTGCATTGTACTGCATTTATCTACAATAAATGTGCATCGTCTTTGAAGTTCCTTTATCGTAGAGAATATGTTAGATATGTAAGAGATCTTCCTAGGTAATTTATGCGTTATGTCCGAGTCATTTACCTTTAATTTCTGTTCTGCCTCAGAGCAGATCCTTTGTGCCAGTACTAGTGTCTTCTGGGCGTCATATATCCAGTTATTAAGCTCGTCAATTGTAGGCATAGCAGCGTTCGGTACAACTGTGTTGACCTGCTCTCCTGAACTCCATCTAACCCCAGCTATTTGGGGCCACACTGATAGCGATCCATGCAGGTCTTTATTTGTATGCACTCCCTTCAGTTGGGCTTGAAAAAAAAAAACTCAACGTCAAAAATTGAAAAACTCGAACGCTAAAGAACCACAAGAAGAGATCATCTGAACGCTATCTATTATATCTCATTTGCAGAGAATTTGACCATCCATTGAACCGCTTTATAAATCTATCATTCTCCCTATCATTCGCGCAAAAACTTCCCAACTTTGATCCTTTTTGATGTCTCCTTTAACAAGCTTAAGAGCCGCCTGCATACAAAACATACCCATAACCTTCAGTAAAGATGGCCAACACACTGATTCCATCAAAGAGGCCTCTCATGTGGTCATTGGAGGGGAAACCTTCCCCCTAGATGCTACCACTGAATTCTACAACGAAGATGTTGCGCAATCATTAAGAGCTGTTGTGTTTTGCTGGATACATGACAAGTCTTCCATTGTTGACTATAGAAGCGAATGCTTGGAGAATGGCATACAAGATTTCAAATTTTTGGTTAAGACTGAATTAAGTACTTGGCTTAACGGTAAGAGTGATACCTGTGAGTTTATAAAAGATCCAGCTGGCAGCGATTCCAGCAAGGTTGATTCTACTGGTGCTGCTGGTGTGTCTACTACTGTCGCTGGAGAATCTCAAGCTACTACTTCAAATGGTGTGGATTCCCTGATTGTAAATGGTTCGAAAACTGCTGCTGCACCTGAAGCTGGTGTCCCATCTTCTGCTTCCGGTGCCCCAATCAAACGTAAATACGAGGTGGAGTCAATTGATCATAACGCAGCCCTCCGTGGAACTAAAAATATCGATTTCGGGTATCTTATCTCAGATGCCAAACGTCTAATTACACAGTTGAAGAAGTCTAAATCCGCTTCTGGTGCCGCATCTAGGTCAAGTTTGACGTCGGGCAATAGACCAGCTGCTGGATCTCATGCAGCCACAAGTCAAGCTAACCTTAAACAACCAATTATTATCATATCACCAGCTTCAACTTCCTTAATTACTCTCGCTAATATCAAAGAGTTTTTGGAAAATGGTACTTTCGTTGATCCAAACGAGTTATCCAATCGTAAACCAAGTTCGGGTATCATAACATTGAATCATAAGTCTGAGAACTTACAATCCATAGGACAACAGATTGTTGTGGTGGACAATGTTAATATTTTTACAAAGCCTGAGTACTGGGATAGAGTTGTTGCCATTTTCACTACAGGTCAAATCTGGCAATTTGCCAAATATAAATATTCAAAGCCTGAAGAGTTATTCCAAAAGTACCCAGGGTTTTTCGTGAGCTACCTGGGAGATGTGACTCCTAAACAAATTAAGGATTGGAACCTTAATGAAATTAAGGTCGATAGAGGACAGAAGAGATTTAGAGATAAGATGATTGTCAGAGACTTCTGGCTCCACATGGAAAAGACCTTGATAGCGAAGGGCTATGGAAAATAAGCATATTATTGGGAATTAGATCCATAGCTCATGTTCAAACTAAATTTTCAAAAATAAAATGTAATAATAATAGAGAATAATAATCCAATGTATGCCACTCTTATGTATAAGTTTCTTCTATGTTCTAATCTATGTACAAGTAATCAATATGAGAAACTATTATAGTCGATCTAATGTCGTTTGGATTTAACTACTTGAAATCCTTTTCCAACTCAATGAACTGATTGTAAAGTTCATCTACTTCGTAGTGTTTTAATTTCCTACTTTCTCTGGTACGAACTGCAACAGTACCTTTTTCAATATCTTTATCTCCAATAGTTATTATGTAGGAGTAACCCTTTGAAATTGCATCCTTGATTCTGGCTCCGATCGTTTCATTTCTGCTGTCCACGTCAACGTAAAAGTTATATCCTGTCATTGGAGCAATTTCGTTACGCTCGCTAACAATATCACCTCTAAGTACTGCAGCCACCTCTTCACAGTATCTATGGTGCGCCTCATTGACTGGTATGATGATCGCTTGTCTTGGATTGAGCCAAAACGGCCATTTTCCCTGGTAGTGGTCCAAAAGAATGGCGAAAAACCTCTCCAACGAACCGAAAACTGCCCTGTGTACCATGATAGGCTGGTTATCTCTGGTACCATCCTTGGCCACATACTTCAACTGGAATCTCTCTGGGAGTTGGAAGTCTAATTGAATGGTACCAACCTGGTGTTCTTTCAGGAAGGCATCGGTGACAAGAACATCAATCTTGGGTCCGTAGAAGGCTCCATCTCCCTCCCTAATCAGCCAGTTATTAATCGTAGTGGCATTTAGCACTTTTTCTAATGCTGCTTCTGCCTTAGCCCAAGTTTCCAAGTCTCCTATAGCCTTTTCAGGTCTTGTAGATAACTTGAATTGAACATCAGTGATGCCAAATATCTTATATGTATCCTTGATGAGCTTAATGGTGTTATCTATTTCCTGCTCGATTTGGGAGAGCTCACAAAAGATGTGGCCATCGTCTTGGTGGAACCTACGGACTCTGGTCAACCCAGAAAGGGCACCACTTGCCTCGTTTCTGTGAAGCGATGAGAAGTCGGAGAGTCTAACAGGGAGCTCGTTGTACGAACGTTCAAACTTGGAGAAGATGAGACAGTGTCCTGGGCAGTTCATAGGTTTGAGTCCATATGTATGTTCGCCTTCGTGGTCATGCTCGTGCCCATGGTTTTCTGTCGACTCAGAGTCAGACAAAGTATCATTTTCAAACTCTGCAGTGGCTCCTGCTCCTGCTCCTGCTCCTGCTCCTACCTCGTCTCTCTGCACATTACCCACCACTTTGAACATATCATCCTTATAGTTCTGCCAGTGGCCCGAAGTTTCCCAGAGCTTTGTCTTGTATATCAACGGCGTAACCACCTCTTCAAACCCATACTTCATTTGCTGGTGTTTCATGAACGTAATCAATTTGTTGAACACTCTAGTACCATGAGGCAAGAAGAATATCGAGCCTGGAGTACTCGCATCTTGAGTGTAAAGGAGCTGCTTGTTAGATATCGATGCATTAGTGTTTGTGGAAGACTGTGAGGAGTTCCACCTTACACATCGTATACGAAGCGAGGTCTTTGCTAGGTTAAGGCGCTTCATCTTGTACCAACAGCCCTATGTCCTCTGTCCTCTGCTAGAAGAATGAAGAGTAATAATTTTTTTTTTGTATGGCCATTTTGAATTTTTCACTTCTCGCTATCAGATTTTGTATGGCCTAAAAGGACCTGGACGGTGGGGAACGTTCAGGAGTGGGCCATATTTGTAAAGCTTCAAGAGTAGGACACCTCGCAAGAAGAAGCATGTACTGTGAGATATGGCCCATTTTTGATATGGATGGCGTGGTACCTTCAGTAGTGGGCTTAAAGCTTCAAGAGTAAGACACCTTACAAGAAGAAGAAGCATGTACTGCGAACTATATTCCGTATATATTTATCTATTTAACCTGAATGGTGGGCTATTGGCAGATAGTCACCTGGGTTCCCTATTACGTTGCAGAGTCGACTAAAAGGGCCGGTAATGAGCTTTCTGGAGAAGTATGCCGCTAATGGTATATACTGGTGAACGGTAGCGGTGACTAGTACGCTCCTTCACCTTTTGATTTGATTTCCCAGTAGTATTCACTGAAGTTGAGAAGAGTCCAGTGCAGCCTGTGTGCAATGCTGTATCCTTTGATTCCAAGGCCCATAGCTGAAGATTATCTTATATGATTCGGCTCTGCTGAGCTTTTCCGGCCAGATTGAATGTACTGAAGTCATAGACGGTATGCAAAGTAGATGACGAGTGGCAGAATGTGCGCCTATGGTGCTGCCATTGGGGTTGCCTCTGGTGCTTGGTGCTGCCATTGGGGTTGCCTCTGGTGCTTGGTGCTGCCATTGGGATTGCCTTTGGTGCTTGGTGCTCTCTGTTGGCTACCTCTGGGCTGCCTGTGAGACTAAGTACCTGTAGGACTATGTGGAAGGAAATAGTGACACTGCGCTCAAGCCTCCGATTTGACCTGTTTCACAACTTCACTCTTCTTCTCCTCCTTCTTTTTACCACCCTCTGGTAACCATTTATCATAGGTTACCTTGAATCCACTGAAAGTCTTAAACTGCGCTGGGCGTTTGACCCAGTGCTTAACTTTACCGTTTTTGTCCAATCCATGGCTCGAAGTGGACAGTTCTGTTGGTGGTTCGATGGCCTTTTCGCCAAACTCAGAAGTAGCCTGCACTGGTGATTCCGTTCTTGAGTTATTCACGGTGGTGGTAGCGGTCTCCCCAGCAGATTTCTTAATATTTATCTTCAACTTGAGCGAAGGACCTGGACCTTCTGGAAGTGTTTTGAGGAATTCTGACGGTACTTTAACTGTAGCCCAATGTTTCTTTGGTGGCGCCATTTCTGCTGCAATTTGGTATTCTACCCAGCTACTATTTACAATTAATATAGTCGTGGTGTTCACTCTTCGTTCTCTGCTAAGAAATCTTTCACGTTAACGTTTAAAGGTTTGTTGTACGGGCTATATGCAGTCGCGGATTTTTATTCTTGGCTGCTATGGGTGTTCGGGTTTTATTGCTCTATATGTCCCCCTCATTCCACTTAGTCTAATCCACAGTTTATGGAACACATCTTTATTTTACATACCATTGCTTAAGTGCTAATGCAATCCAGAACTGTATAAGTCAAGCGGATTACCATCTTGTAGTTATCTCAATTGTAATGGAAGAAACTCCGCGTCCTAGAACCCAAAGACTTCCGTCCAGGTTGGATATCCTTTCAAATGGGTTGAAGCTTGATGTAAGAGCGCATCAAAGAACGTACGAAGGTGCGTACACTAGGACTGCCATAGGAGCGTTATCCTTCTCTATTTTAATTATTAAACTTTTTCTGAAAGAGTTTTTGCCTGTCGGTGCTGTGTATACTATTTATGGCTGCGTTTTGTATTTTTTCGGGGTGTTTAAGTCTGCATCTGTTGATGTGTTCTACAATCCTGATAAGGACATGGTATTGTATAAGACTGGTGGTGATTCTGTACTATTGTTAACGGTGGTGAGTTTAGTGAGTTATTTGGCACTACTAGTGTTGGTCTGGAGGATGTAGCTTGGTTTCAGCTCGTAAATGGATACTTTAACTATAGTATATTTAAATATAAATACATTTAAATACATACATATTAATCAGCTTTTAGTTTGAATTCGTTATTCATTTGATATCATTATGCCTATATGCTTAGCTACTTTACATTTCTTTTGTCTTTTCTTATCCTATATACATCATGTCAACAGACCCAATCCAAACACCATAAGTTGAAGTAATAGTTGTAACGACCAAAATCCAAACTTCTTCATCCTGACTAGCCTTGCTTCTTCGTTTGCAACATAGTCAACAAAATTATCGTAAACTTCAGCAGATATGTCGTCCATGAGCAAAGAATCGTAAATGGTCCACGAACCACTGAAGTCGTCTAAATTCTTTACCACTCTGTTATGAATCTCGATAAAGGTATTCTTCATATTAATATACGCAACAATTGGCCTGATGAGTGCGTAGTTTATATACGAGAGCTCAGGCGTTTGGAAAGGAACTGATGCCTTCACATTATTTAACCTAATAGTAAGGTCAAGCACAAAATAGTTGAGAATATCCTCCGTAGTGATAGTAGAGGAAGGGTTTTGAGGAAGATGGCTATGGTGGTTGTTAACAGTAACCGCCGGATTCCTATATCTTGTGGCCTCCTTTCTAATGGATTCGGCAATTATCAGCACCAACTCACTTACATTCAAGTCTTTGTTCTCCTGTGGTACCATTAAATCACCTATCATATCAACTTTCCCATGGGTAATCCAGCCAAAGGGTCCTTCCAATCCTGTATTGAGGTGATCAACATTTAAAGAATCCACTCTGAGTCGGGTGACTCTTTGAAATTGAGATTTGGTGCTTGGGTCAGAGTGAGAATCTACTATTGCTTCAACTGATTCTGAGTGTTGCTTGATTCGATTACTTTCTTCAGCAAATGTTTCATCGATTCTGAAATCATCTAACCTTTGCCTTTTGTGAATGGTAAATAACAGATTATCATAACTACCACTCATAATATTGGCATTCAAAAAGTCATAAAACAACCAGTGTTTACGCAACCTCGTCAATTCACAATTATAAATTGCTACATCAAACTCTCTAAATCCATTTGGTTGTTTCAACTTGAAAAGAACATCTTCCATTTTGAAATCTTCAAATTCAAAATCTCCCGGATGATATACATTCTTGTAATTTCTTGCATCATCATTTGGATCCCAGTGGACATGAGTTCTGTCTACGACACCTCTAAGCCCTTTAATTTCCATGGTTTCTACAATTCCTGTTCCGTTCACCCATTTTTTAAATGATAGCGAGATATTAACTTCTTCAATAGTTACATCATATTGCGTGTAATTCCCGTCATCTTCCAACTTCGCTTGTTCTTCCTCACTTTCTCTGATCAAACTAGCAGCATAAGCTTCACTCAGTGAACCCTTTATAAACGTCTTCAGCACCTTTGGTCTCTTACTTACGAAGCACTTTCTAAAACTTATCTTACCATCAGACCAACCTGGAACTATAGCGTGCTCGAACACCACGGTCAAATTGGAATTTTTAGTTATAAATTCACCTAACTTCCTAGCAACAAACTCCTGAGCAAGAACTGTGTTTGCAGTTAATATTACCAAGGAGAAAAAGGTGGTAGTTGCCAAGAAGAACAAAAGGGCGTTCCCCATTACCAACCAGGAGAATAATGCTGAATAGTCATCGGTATTGAAAGGTCGATTAGAGCGTTTCATTAGCCATTTGAATCTTATTCGAAGCCGAGAAAAGAAATTAGTCGCCTTTGCGAGAAGTTGCTCTTTGGTGGGGTTGAACACCTTTGGATGTGTATGTGGATTGGTGCTCGGAGCTATTTTATTCGGATCATTCTCGGCCAATTTGGAGTCAATTGAACCATTGTGACTATTTTTTATGCTGTTTGGGTTACTTGCATGTTTATTTTCCTTTGGATTGGAATTTGATTGCTTCTCAATACTGTAGAGTCTAATTTGCCGTCTATACAGTGGATTGATGAAAATACTCCGATGGGGTAAAAAAGGTTTCGAAATATGTATTTGACGGCGGAGCGACTGCTGGAGTATGCTTCGCCTTAGGGTCGCCAACCCAAAAGTATTGTTTCTTGCAAGCATAACCTGAAATGCCTGAAGATCCAAGCAATGGGGTAGCAAAAGTCCATCGATATTGCTAAAAAGGCACCACCGTAAAGTTTTTAATAATTTGACTGTGTGCAGGACACACTGAACCTGCGATGAAAAGCTCTTCTTGGGGTAGAGCAGGGCAGACGAGTAGACCAAACCCAAGATTATTTGGGTCAAAACATTTTTTTTTTCTTCACACAATGGCTGGTGATGGTTTGGGAGTGAATTTTAGTAATTTGGATTACCAGATTAAATTTTACTGTGCCTTCATCAGCACTTCCAATTTCCCCGTACAACTATAATACTAGCCTGGTCGTTATACTCTTCCTCTCCAGCTTCTACATGCAGGCGCAGGTTCCATTGGGATGCGTTTTTCATTCCGTGCATTTTTTTCCTGTACACCCTGCAGCCTGCTGCACGGCTGCTTTCCGTACTAGCTACGACAGTGATAGGGGATATCGTTATCTCATGATTGGTGAAATTAGCGCTCCGAAAAGAACTCAATTCATGCCAGTTAAAGTGATATCAACGTGATAATATCTACTCAATTCGGATTTTCTTCTTTTGTACTAGGCAAATATGTTTAACTCATTGAATTGGATCTTTTCCTCTACTAGTGAAACAAAATTTGGTCACAATTTCAAAGTAAAGCATTTCTCTACTATTGATAAGGATGTTCTCTCTGTGAACCACGGATCCTATGGGAACGTACCAACTGTTGTTTTCGACAATTACATCGAAAATACCAGAAGGGAATACGGTTTCCCCGACAGGTTCATGCTAACTGAACAGAAAAATGAATATATAGAAGCGTTAGAAATTGTTGCTACTAAGTACTTGCATTGCGATTATCACAATTTGGCATTTGTCCCCAATGCCACCACTGGTGTAAACACTGTATTGAGATCTTTACATTTTAACAAGGGTGATAAAGTATTATTTTTCTCGACAATCTATGGAGCTTGTTATAATACAATTAAATTTCTTGAGCGTTCTGTTGGAATTATCCCGGTTGTCATTGATATAACTGCTTACCCTTGGGAAGATACAGAAATATTGGAAAAATTCAATCTGTGCATATCTAATGAGGACCCTATTAAGTTGGCTCTATTTGATGCAGTGACTCTGATGCCTGGTGTTAGACTCCCCTTTGAGGATTTAACTAAAATCTGTAGAGAGAACGGTATCATCTCATTAATAGATGGGGCCCATTCAATCGGACTAATTAACTTGGACTTGGGAGACACAGCGCCTGACTTCTTCGTTACCAACTTACACAAGTGGTTATTCGTTCCTAGAGGTTGTGCAGTCATGTACGTAGATCCAAAGTTTCACGGCGAGATCCAAAGTCTACCCGTAAGTCATTCCTATGTCGATGAGTCTATCGTTAAACCAGATAAGATGACTCTTATCGATAAGTTCTTCTTTATTGGTACAAAGAATTTCGCAGCCATTGCAACAATTAAATCGGCTATCAGGTTTAGAGAAGAAGTATGTGGCGGAGAGGATGCAATTGCAGAATACTGTACCAGTTTATCTGAGGCAGCAATAAAGCAACACCAAGAGAAGTGGCCATTCATGAAGTTCATCAACAATTCCAACCTGCTGATATTAGTTCCATCTATGGTTAATTTGGTTATTAAGTTTGGTGATTTATGCAAACATTACGAAATTGCAAATGTACCTGACATAGATTTTACAAACAAGGCCCAGGCAGAAAATTTTCACGACTATGTTGATGAATTGCTATTAAAAGAATATAAGGCTAGAGTTCCCTTTATGATTTTTGGAAATGGAGACATTTTGATTAGGTTTTCATGTCAACTTTACAATGAAGCTTCCGATTATGATTTTGCGACAGATTCCTTTGTAGATGGTATTAAGAGGTTTGCAAAAGAAACTACAAAGGTAGATTAGGATGTAGTTACTGATCTTTAGTATATATTAAACAAAATCTATAAACATATAACGGAAGAAATAAATTATTTTATTGAAATATTATGCTTTTTGTTCTGAGCTTAGTACCCACATTGATTTGGATACTGTCTGTCATCCAATGGTTGTGGGATTAAACCAGCATTGGTCAATGCTTGGAAATCCCATTCAGGTGCACTTTCAGTCTTCCAACACCAGAAGAACCAACCTCCAACTTGTTCCCAGGCATCCATTTGAGCCTCGGTGTACTTTCTAACGTTCGTTTTGTAATCATCAGTCCATCCGCTCAAGTCAGTGTAAGACAGACAACTGTCAATATATGGACAGTTATCATAGTTACCAGACCATCTAGCTCCATTACCAACCCCGTTAAGCCATTTGGCACAATCAGTTAAGGCAGATGACCATTCTCCGACGACATTCCAGTGGGCTTCGTCCTTGTGAGTAGTACCCCAGTCACAGGCGGTCTTGACATGGTCTTCGATCAGCAACTCTAAGTCTGCTTGGTCGAAAACTTGGTAGTGATGATGATCTACGACAACGTTCCAGTATCCACCTGAAACTTGCATGAAGTTGTCCCAGTAGTGGTCAGTTTGCTCGAATGCATCATGGATGATAATAGCATTATATGATTCCAGACCATCGTTGTTTCTAATTTCAGAGTATCCATCTTGGTAGAATTGTCTCAAGGCATCCATATCTAAAATTGGACCCAATGGTTCATTCAATAATTCAATACCAATGACAACATCTTCGTAGTCAGAACCACCATATTTGGCACCAATAGTCTGGAGAACTTGCAAAGTGACTTTAACGTTGTCACCATCTTGGAACTTGTAAGAGTCTCTTAAACCGGAGTTATCAAACCCATTTTGAGACCCTGGAGCACCATGCAAGTCAACCCAAGCGTAAAGTCCGTTATTTCTACACCATTCCAAAGCTTGGTCCAAATATTTAACTTGACCTTGCACATATGGATCGTTATCCAATAACTGGAAAGCCCAGTAACCAATTGGAATTCTCACTGCGTTTATTCCCAAGTATTTCATTTGTGAGAAATCGGCTTCAGTGTACCATGAAGACCAATGGGCTTCAAGACGACTAAGAGCAGTTTCCTTACCCAATTTTTGAGTGTAGTGATATTCATCTACTGGAGTGTTCAGATCATCTTCTCCATTTGACCATACAGAGAAGAGGGAAGGTGTGATATAAGGCTCGAGGACAAACCAACCACCCAAATTAACCCCTCTGATTTTATCATTTTGGTAATCCCATTCTAAACCTTTCCTTTGAAGCTGAAGCGTTGGCGCAGCCACTATAGACGATATGAGGAGGAAGATAGGAGCGAATGTAAGCAACATCGTATGTGAAAGGATTATATGCACGTTTATGTGAGTAATGCGTGAATGCGAAAATTCGATGCACGCGTTTCTTCGATAATTTTTTTTTTCTTTTAGGATAAAAAAAGAGTTACTTTATCCAAATTGCTACCTGGAATACTTGTTTGTTTACAAGTATTAGGTAGTTAAAATAGTTCTGATAGTTGTTGAAGTAAAATAGTAATCTCTCTTCAAAATCAATAATTAAATCTGTTAAAAATTCTTAATTTACTCTCGTATTGTATTCCTTATAATGTTAGTATATGGTACTGCGAAACTAAGGGAAAACGCACTTGAGACTATTTTAGGTTTTTCCGTGCTGGTTATTTCAGTTTATTGGAAAACAGAAGATCAATATTTAACGATGGGGCTAAATATCAATCAAGGATTGGGGGGGCTTGTGTGGGCTTGTATGGGCTTTTATAACTTTTTCCAACTTAACCCCTTATTCTTGTAATTAGTCCAATTCAGTATTTATTATATTGCAGATTATGCATTTAATACTACCGTGCATCACCCTGAGTCGTAGGGCGGTAGGCTTTTCATATTTTTCGATTTTCCCGAGCCCCCTCCTTTTCTCGCCCTCCCTTCGCAAGAGCCTCTCGTACGTTGAGCCACTCGCAAGTGGAAAACTCCTTCATTACATACCTGATAGCGAGTGATTAAAAGTAAACTAAACGTGAAAGAAACTATGACAAATAAAAATGAAAGTGGAATGAGTTTTACTTGGTAAAAATCGAACTCGGTGATTCCGTCTCTGTTATATAGAGCCCATTATTTTTTTTTTCCCGTTGTTTTTTTTCTTTTTTTTTTTTATTTTCTCAGTAGTAACATGAAACAGCTCCTTCCTATCGCTAAAAAAAGATTGCAAGGGAATACTTGCAGTTTTACTATGCGGGAATAGCCACAAGAAAAATGAAACTCAAAACAAATGGCTGTGACCAGCCAAATATTTTAATTTATTATTGAACACATTTGAAATTTATTATTTTCACCAAGCGTAAACGACGGGATGTGGAATCTAATGATCACTTGTAGAGCACTTCTCCACATTGTGTATCCTCAAGTTTTTCTTTACCCTATGTCATCCTTAAACTTTGGAACTCCATTTTCGGTATTTTCCTTAACTTTTCCATATGAAACTTGCAGTACCAAGCTATTATTCCCCAAAGTCCTACGAAATGCTCCTTTTGAGAGTGAGATTTGTTACAAAATTGCAACTGACAAAATTCCCACCAACCTGAATTAGTACATCAGGCAATTCACTCTACTGCCATGATTCCCGTCCCAGAGTATGGGGGATTGTTTTGCATGGAGGTGCATTCATTTCACTTTCACACTTTAGCTTTTGACAGAATTGTTCCTGTACGGTTCCTGTATGGATGTAATTGACACAAGAGAAAATTCCAGTGTATGCCCCAAAATAGTAACAGGGACTACCACATGAGTAAAAAAAATATAATTTCGGGTTTCGAGCCATGCATAGCACATCAATAAACACTGGAGATAATAATAGTACGTTGTTAGGAGCCTTCACTGATAGATGCACTTGGGAGGGTGGCTCTAAGAAAAATGGAGCTGCCCCTGCAGCCCTGCGGAGGGTGTTTGTTATGTTTGCTGAGGACCCAATTATCCGCCTGGAATGTATAACTTTACTGCCTGCCTAACGGTGGTATAGGCATATCTTTGTAGGTGTGGGAAGAAAATGAGAAGCAAAAACAACTAAAACATACAACCAGTGCTGGCATTTCATGCCCCCACGCACTGGGAGTTATTATTCATAAATTAGACGAGAAAATATCGGATTTTTATTTACGCTTTTGCAAGACAAACTCTTTTTTTAGTTACATGTATTATTAGAACTCTGCTAAGTATGAAGAGTTAATTGACTGTGACATGGTCAGGTGCTGGAATTAATTTTCTCGTCTACAGCGTGCAATAGTTCACAACCACCGATACAAGAAAAAGTTAAATTTAGTAAATAGGACGACCATTGATCAGATGAAATGAGTCTTCCCAAGCTGAGCAACTAGACTCCCCGTTCCTATCCATCACAATTAATCATCTTATGATTATATATCTGATAATTATTATCATCAAACATACTAGATCTTCATCGTTAAATCCGTTTGTGCAGAGTCTCGGATCAATACATATGTGAAATACATCGATAGACTAAAACAAGAACCTTAATTCGGTTTATTTTTTAACAAAACCTGTACACAAAAACACGATTCTTACTATGTGTCAAGATTGAGTTACGTTTTATTTTATTTTATTTTATTTTATTTTATTTTATTCCGATTACTAAAGGGCAAGTCAACTGTTCACTTGGGTATGAGCCAACGACTCCATCAGCTCAGGTGGATATGAGCACGTGCAGGCGAATGTAAGGCAGATAATGTAGCAATTGTTCGTCGCAATATAGTAGCTTGCTTTCCGGATAGAGGATCGCCACGTATTGAACTGCCTTCATTTCTTTCCTTGGGTGTCCGGGTGTTTATTTTATGGTGTAATTCTCTATTTTTTATTAAAAATGTGTTAAATGCTAGAAACTATAATTGTTGAACATAATGTGAAAATTTTATTCGAGACTTTTCATTCGTAAAAGTCCGTACTCTGTAGCTATGTTGCCATTTTTGTCTCTTGATAAATATTTGGTCAGGAGAAATTTCATACACTCCTCTTAAGATACCCTGCTGCTCTTTACCTCTTTCCACTCACACCGGCAGAATAATGTTCTCTAGCTACCGCTATATACAGGATCACATCATTCCACTCACATCAGAATAATTTTGTCAGGTTATCACTATATACAGGATTATCAAATATCGATTTGCAGTTTTCTCTAGTTTTTTTCAGCCTACACCTAATAAAAGGTGTTGAGTCACAGCATAACTTGTAAAGCCAAGCTAGAAAGTAGTTTGAAAATATAGCTAGAATTGGCTCACCTAAGATGTCGACTCTATTATCCGAGAAAAACGCTTTCATTCCTTCCTTGTATAAGCTTTCGCTCTCCATTGATCACAACAAATCAACTTTTAAAGGTCTTATCTGCATCGATTTGGTAGCAAATGCTTCAAAATTTAAAGACTCTGGAGATTTCGAAGTGACATTGAATTCTTCAAAAATTGTAGTAACAAGTGCGACTTTAAAATTGAATACTGAAATTAGCGACTCGCAACAAGCAGAGGAAAAGTTGAAAATTGTCTACAATAAAGACAAGGAACAAGTGACATTTTCCAAACAAGATGTAAAGGTTGTACAACCCCAATGCCTGTTGGTATTAGAGTATGTAGGTCAGCTTAACCAAATCAAAACTTACTCTGATCCCACATTCGGATTATACAAGACAAACTACTTAGACACAGTTAGTGGCACTAGTACAAATTATATTCTCGCAACTCACAATCAACCTTGTTTCACTAGAAAAGTCTTCCCTTTAATCGATGAAATTGGGTTCAAGGTCCCCATTAAATTAGAGTTGGAAACCTTAAATAAATTCAAAGCTATCTCCAATGCAAAGTTAGAAAGCAAAGAGCCCATTTCGATGAGTGAATTGGCATTGTTCAAGTTTAAACAAACCCCTCCTATTTCTGGACACTTATTTTCTTTGGTATTAGGAGACTTGGAATGTAGAAGTATTGATGAAGGTGATGAGAGTATACCTATTTCATTTTATACCCCAATTGGCGAAGGTAATAAAGCTGCTTATCCATTATCAGTAGCAAGTAAGATCCTACCTTTCCTTTCGAAACAACTTCAAACCCCTTATCCATTGGAGAAATTAGATTTTGCAGCTATACCATTTCTTTCAGATGTCGTGATGGAAAACTGGGGACTCATCACTTTGCTCCTGGAACAGGTTTTAAATAGCTCGAGTAAGCAACAAATCCGTCAGCTAATCTCTCATGAATTAGTACACCAATGGGTTGGGAACTTGGCTACTTTCAATGATTGGAAGTGGATGTGGTTAAATGAATCATTCGCTACCTGGTTGGGTAATGTTATCCTCAAGAAGATTGAAATTGAAGTTGAAGATAAGCAGAACTTTGCTTTGAATACAATAATTGAAAAGCATCAAGAAATGGTGTCCTCTAATGTTTCAATATCCGAGTTCACAAACTCCCTACTGGGTTATATTCTAAACTGCACTACTTCCAACACCGGGGATTTATTCAACAGAGAAGTTTACGAGAAAGGTATTTCTTTATTGAATATGATTGCAAGTGTACTTGCTGGGGGCGAAGAAAATGAGTACACTAATATGTTGCAAGGTGTTTCCAATTTCATTGAAAAGTATAAGTATACTTCAGCATCTGGAGATGAGCTTTGGAAATGCTTAGATGAGCGAACCGGTGCCCCATTGATCGAAATAATTGACTCATTTACAGCAAATCATGGATTCCCAATTGTTGAAGTTAAACTTGAAAATGGGAACTTGATATCTAGTATCGATCAAGAAGGTTTTGAGCTTGCATTATTCTCAAAATCAACTGACGGTAAATTGAAAACTATTATTACTAAAGAGAGAAAAACAATTCTAGCAGAAAACGAAAGTTCTTTCGTCTGCCTCTCTAACGTTGGATATTATCAAGTTAAATATTCCTTGTCTGTATTACCATCTCTAGTTGCAAATTTCGGCCGTTTGTCATCTACAGATCTTTTAACCGTAATCACCGACTATGGCTACTTTCTCCAACTGGCACAAGATTCTTCTCCAGATGAACTTATTGTTTATGTAAAGTTGATGGACATTTTTGCTTCATCAGAGTCTTCTGTGGACTTTAACGTCTTGAGTGTTGCCCTTTCGTTTTTGGAAAAAATTAATAATATCTTGCTTCACTATTCCACCTACGACGAATTCTCAAAATGGTTACTGAATTTTACTGTCAAATTATCAAATAAAATAGGTAGTTGGGACTTACAATTGAAGAGAGGGGACACATATTCTCCTGCTGAGATGTCAGCTAGAAACTCTATTCTTCTTTTAAACCTACAGAATCCAGATTTCCAAAGTATTGGTAAAAAATTGTTCAGGAATTTGGTTAACCCTGGAATGACTAAACCTTTTACACCAAAGGAGCTAATTCCATCAATTTTCAACCTCGTTATGCTGCTGGCAAGCCAAAAAGAATACAAGCAGGTTCTTGCCTTTGTGAAAAATTCGGAAGGAAGTGTCTTAGACAACACTAATAGTTCCAAGGAGTATTTCCAAACATGTGCCATATCGTCGCTATCTTTTGTAAACAGCCAAGATTTGTTATCCAAGCTGCTTAACTTTGTCCTCACGAACATTGATTCCAAGTTAATTGAGTTGGCTTTAATCGGATTCCAATACAAGCATGACAAAGATGCAAAGTTGAAACTTTTCCAATGGTACTCTGTAAACTATGGCACCCTCGTTTTACGTTCATTACAGCAAAATAATTCATGGTCTGTCCAATTAAAATCAACTTTGCATAATTTAACGAGATTAATCTTAGGAGACATTATGGTTTTTGATCCAGAGTTATTGAAGTTGAAGTCTGATTTTGTTGAAAAGGGCAAAAAATTGCCTGAACACGGATTAATTGATACTTTGAGCCAAAAACAAGAAGAAAATGATTATAAAGTTGTCATTGGGTCATATTACGAAAACCTCATCCGAACCTTGTAGGCGTTCATTAATTTCCATGAAATTCTTTAGCTTGGGGTATTCTATGAACATGGAGCGTACTTGATATTCATTAAAAACATCAGTTTATTTTATCACTACATATTAAAATCATTACTTGTATATATATTACTAGAATCCTATACATAAAGAAGAAAAATACCAAATTTACTTTTATTAGATTTTTAATAAAGTACAATAAATAACAACGTAAACGTATGAATGCAATGGGTATCAATGGCTGCAAGGTAGAGTTAGACAATGGGCCAAAATATGTGTCTTGATTTCCAAGTAGACATTATACCTCTTTTATTTTACTAGATCAGACAAGAACCTGAGCTCTTCACAGATCAATTAAATATTCCAACTGACTTCGTACTCATATTTCTGAAGCGAATTGACTATACTTAATATATTAGTTGCAAACTTGTCAATTTGTTCTTCATCAACATCTTCATCCACTCTTTCCACCTTCTCTCCAGTATAAGCGTCACTAGGGGTGTACATTATACTTGGCAATGTATTAGATCTTGGCCTGCAAGAAAATGAAGTATTTGATGTTGGAGATGTCGATAAAGGGTTGCTACCAACAGACTTAGTTCTAAAATGAGACTTCCACTTAGCGTGCATTATATATGGTATTCAGAAGTGCTTTATTGAATAGAATCCCCAAGTAAACACATTCTAATTGCTAATTTCTGATTTACTTATATATCATTTGATTTCGGACCAGTACACTAATTGCTTGAATTATATGTGGGGTAACTATATGGTTCCTTCCTACTCATTACATCACATTTATTCAGAGATATAGACCTCTGTGCATGTAGCAGTCTGATTTAAAAGCCTATTTTTTGAAAATTACCTAATTGGGATATAACGATATGCACTTAATTTACAAAAATAGGATTTACCTACTAAATTAAAAAATGGTTGCACATTAATCAACTGAGCAACCAACTTAGGTGAGAGCTGGAATTTCCTTCTTGTGACTTATATGAAGCATGTATAGGGTTTCCTGGTGGAAGGAGAATTTAATGGTGCCACATTAGTATATTACAGAACTCACAAGGAAATTTAGGGTGTGATAAATTTGAGAAAGCATTAATCAACTGGACCTAAGGAAGGAGAGTGGCTTAATTCCCACTACCACACTACATTCCCCTATCATTTGTATTGCATATACGGTCCCGCATCTTCGAATTCAATGTGTCACTTTATTGGCGTCTTGTTTGCGGTGGGGTAGTGCTAACATCGTAGCTCGGTTAGATAAAATGAATGAGGGAGGGTGAATAGTTATATGGCCTTAGCCATTAAACGGTCCAGATATAGTTCAAAAGAACATAGAATGGAATTTAGCCGAAAGCCAAAGTCAATCATTTTCATCTGCTTTTTAAATATCAATGTATACAATTAGAATAATAGTCTAATGATCAGAGTTCTATCAGACTCATGACTTTCGTGAATTAGAGTAGTGAAACAAAGCCTTTTTTTTGCGTCATCTTCGAAAGTTGCGCTAAGATTGACTAATTTGCCTTTCTTGTGCTTCTATTTACCTCCAAAATCTTTTGTGCTATTCTCTGTCTTTAGGTGTGGAAGTTACTCCTCTTAATATTTTTTGGTTATATTGATAATCATTTATTTCTATTTATAACATCTTTTAAACTAATCTTCGATTGGGGGCTTCCATTCATCTTTAGGAGTCCCCTGACCTAACTTAGGTGGATATTCTCCCCTCCCAGAATAAACGATTGGCAAACAGGAACAAAATTCTTCTATAGGAACTTCACTCATTGCCCTTGGAATATGTAATCCACACCCATTCCAAGTTGTACCATCTAAATGTTAGTAAATAATAAACAAAGAAACTAAAAGTACTAGAAAAATAAAAAAAAGTTACGCCACGAAGCGTTACTTACGACATGTATTGCATTCAACAGGTCTACACATTGTCCTTGAATATCTACTTTGTTCTGAATACTAACGTCGTTCGTCTAGTGTCTATATTTATTAAATCCAATACTATTGAAAATTTTAGAGTAGCTTGATCGTGTTTATCTGCAGGCATAATATTACGAAATTTCTGGTGACATGAAGGAGCCACTATTGGGATGTAAGTGGTGGTACTTACTTTATGGCTGTACCAAGAAAATCAATACTGTTGTATAAAGTATGTTTTCTAAGGAGGTCAGTGTAATAGAAACAAAGTTCTCTTAAATTTCCTTTTCAGGAGTAGTTTCTATTTCTCCTTCATATCTCTCTTGAATATTCCACAATTCGTAGTATAGACTTTCTGGATCAGCCAATAACTCATTATGTGTACCTTCTTCCTTTACATTTCCACTCTGCAACACAATAATTTTATCTGAATCAGCAATAGTCCTTAATCTATGAGCAATGGATATATTTGTATTGGAATCCTTTGCAAAAATTGTTTTAATGGTTCTCAATAATGATTGTTCAGTGTGAGTGTCAAGGGCAGAGGTGGCTTCATCAAAGAAGGTGATTGGTGCTCTTTTCAACAATAACCTGGCAATGGCCAATCTTTGCTTTTCACCTCCAGAAATCATCATTCCTCTTTCTCCAACTATGGTGTTCACACCATCTGGGAGGTCTTTAATTAACTGATTGAGTTGAACTGCATCTATCACGCGGTAGATTTCCTCATCAGTTGCGTCTAACCTTCCATACCTTATATTTTCAAAGATAGTGTCGTTGAAAAGAGGGGTCTCCTGTGGAACGATCCCAATGGCTCTTCTGAGTGATTCCAAGCTAACTTTTTTAATATCTTGTCCATCAATGAGAATTCTACCAGAATCAACGTCATAAAATCTAAATATTAAACGAAGAACTGTAGATTTACCAGATCCTGATGGTCCTACAATAGCAACCTTTTCACCCGCAGGGATAGTAAATGAGACATTTTTGAGAATGGGACGATCTGGGTGATAACCAAAGGATACGTTCTCAAAAGTTATTTGAGGGCTAGTAGTGTTAGCCAAAACCAATGACTTTGCACCGGGAATATCTTGAATTTTGATTTCCTCTTGCTGCAATTGAAACAAGTTTTCCATATCTAATAAACTCTGCTTTAATTCTCTGTATACAGATCCCAAGAAATTTAATGGAACACTTAATTGGAATACTAATTGATTAATCAAAACCAAATCCCCAACACTCAAAGAACCAGTGGCAACCCCATGACACCCCATATACATCATCCCAGTTAATGCACTAGTGAATATTAAATTTTGACCGGCATTTAAGTACGCCAAAGATGTTGCTACTTTAATACTAGCATTTTGATACGTCGTCAAAGCCTTATTATATTTAGTAGCCTGGAAGTTTTCGTTATTAAAATATTTAACCAGTTCATAGTTTATTAATGAGTCCAAAGCTACGTTCGCTGCCTGGTTATCGGCATTATTTGCTTGCCTCCTGAATTTTGTTCTCCAAGAAGTAGTCTTGATCGTGAAAACCAGATAGGCCAACATTGTGGAAAAAGTAACAGCAGCAAATTGAAATCCATAGTTGTAAGTTAAAATACCACAAACCATTGCAATTTCGAAGGAAATCGGGATGATATGGAAAGTCATGGCACTTAAAACGTATGAAATACCCTTGGTACCTCTATCAATTGCCCTAGTTAAGCCCCCAGTTTGTCTAGATAAGTGGAAATTCAAGTCCATGTTCAACAAATGTAAAAAAGTGTCATGAGCAACTTTTCTTATGGCCAGTTGAGCAACAGAAGCAAACACAGCATTCCTTAACTCACCAAATAAAACAGCCCCAAATCTAGCACCACCATATGCAATAATCAAAGATCCAATAACAGTACCTACAGTACCTAATTGCGTGGACCAGTCGACGTTCATCTCGTCTATGATAGACTTGAAAAAAAATGGAACCTGAACGTTCAATAACTTGGAACCTATAAGTAACGCCAATGCTATAAGTACTCTTATTTTGAAGGCCGGTTTATCCTTTGGCCAGAGAGTTGCAAATAAAGATTTCATAATGGAGAGTTCAAACGTTTTGCTTCCACCCGCAGCCCCAGAATCAGCTGCTGGTTCTGGCTTTGGCACTGTCTCCTTTGGTTTCTTTTGCTCTCCATCTTTTGCAGCCTTAGGTGTGGTAGTGGAAGCCGAAGTTGCCAAGCCCCTTTTCTGCTGAACTTTCGCGAAAACAGAGGGGCCGACAGAATGTTTATGATTTTCGGCAACGAAGTTGGAGGTCTTGTTTGGACTTAATGATAATCCGGCATCATTCCCATTGCCCTCGATAAAGTACTGTGCGCCACTTCCTGAAAAATTCCGCTGAAGTACGCTGAAATGTTTGCCTATACATATTTTCGAGCTCAATGCTATTCTATTCGTGGGCACTGTTTTGGCAACAGCACTCAAAGGTAATCTAATCATCTTCTAAGTTGCTGTGATTATAACTATTGCATAAACAGGGAATCAAACTGGAGTATAAATAGAAGAAGAGGAAGAGTGATAAGCCGTTGAAATTCGGAAATGGAGAAGGTGCCACAGTGCGATCGGATCGAGTCATTCCTGCGTATAAAAACACACATCGAGAGCAGCAGCAGCAGAGATGCAGTACTTTTGGCGCTAGATCAAAAAGATAACGGATGCCTTTCTAAGGTGAAGAGTAAGTACGATGGCTATGTGCACCCAGTTTTGTTATAAAGTTTGGTGTATTCGATACACTTTTCAGCTTTAGCAATATACGAAAAGATTCAGGGCCTCAAGTGTGTTTTAATGAGGCAGACACAAGAATTATCTGCGCTGTGCCTACATTTGGCTGCGAATAATTCAATCCCAAAGAAGGAATGGATAGAATGCCAATCAGAGAAATAAAACTTTACCATATATTACTAGATGTAAATTACATTTATCAGTTCTTAGTTATTATTAGTTCGTTAGTTTTTATTATTCTTATAAGCGTATTTATATAAAAGTATTTCGAGTTTTATGGGATTTCATGACTTAGTTTTCAGCGTTAGTTCTAGCAGTGATTTCTGCTTGTTTGACCAAGTTAGATGGTGCATCCATTCTTGGCAACATCACTTCAATCATTCTGATCTTGGAGTTCTTGTTAAATTCAGGATCGTTAAACAATTGGTCAACTTCACCAGTAGTGGCGACTCTGATAGCATCGTACAGCTTAGCATTGAAGAGTGGTAACAAAGCCAAGTTGTTCCATGGCTGGATATCGTTATAAGTGGCATTCATACCGTGGATCAATCTTTCGATAGTGTAACCGTCATTGTTAAGGACAAACAAGTAAGGCTTGGTTTCCCACTTAACCATAGTAGATATTTCTTGGACGGTCAACTGTAAAGAACCATCACCGACAAATAAGATTACTCTCTTATTTGGGTCAATTTCTTCAGCTGCCATAACTGCACCTAAAGTGGCACCGACAGTGAAACCGATCGAACCCCACAACACTTGGGAAATACCAACAGTGTTATTAGGGAATTTGGATTGAACAATACCGAAAGCTGAGGTACCGGTTTCAGTAATGATGATATCACCTTCTTGGAACCAAGATGAGACTTTGGTCCATAACCATTCTTGTGTGAGTGGAGTGTTTGGTTCTGCTGGAGAGTTGATAACCTTCACCTTTGGAACAGGAACTGGAGAATATTGAGTAACTGCTGGAGCAACTTGAGCAATCAATGCTTGTAATGTTTCCTTCATTTGAACACCTGGGAATGTAGCTTGCTTAATCTTGGTGTAATCAGAGTGGAATTCAACAACGCTCTTAGTTTTGTATGAATAGGAGAAAGATCCGGTATTGAAATCAGACATAAGACCACCGACAGAAAGAATCAAATCTGAAGTTTCAACCAATTCTTTAACCTCGGGTGATGATAATGTTCCGACGTAGACACCTCCAAATCTTGGGTGATTTTCATTAATACCAGATTTTCCCATTGGTGTAGAAACAACAGGGAATTGAGTCAAGTCAACTAATTTTTCAACTTCTGCCTTACAGCTGTGTCTTGAGGCACATGCATCGACCAAGATAACTGGGTTGGTACTTTCCTTAATCAACTTCAATACTGAGTCTAAGACTTCTTCCTGAGCATCAGGATCGTTTCTTCTCAAACTTAAGTCAATTGGAGTGTCTAATAAGGAGGCTGGAACGTTTAAGTCAACCAAATTAGCTGGTAAACCAACGTAAACAGGTCTTTGGTAAATGTAAGCTTCTCTGATACATCTATCGATTTCAGCTGGGGCTGAGTTGATGTCACTAATGAAAGCGGTAGTTTGAGAAATGTTGTTTGACATTCTGTGGAAAACGGTGAAATCACCATTACCTAAAGTGTGATGTAAAAGCAATTGCTTGGCTTGAGACAGAATTGATGGCACACCAACAACATGCAATAAACCAACATGTTCAGCGTAGGCACCAGCGACACCATTCAATGCAGATAATTCACCAACACCAAAGGTGGTAACTAAACAGGCTAATCCCTTAACTCTGGAATAACCATCAGCAGCATAGGCGGCATTCAATTCATTGGCATTACCTGCCCATTTCATACCATCAACTTCATAAATTTTATCTAAAAGGGATAAATTGAAATCACCTGGCAATCCGAAAATAGTTTGGACTTGCAATTGACTTAATCTTTCGAAAAGATAACGACCAAGAGTGATACTGGACATTGTTAAGTAGTGTTTTTTTTTTGTTTTTGTCTTTCTTTATAAGGGTTACTTATATTGATGATTAAAATAAAAATGAATCTCTCTTTATCAATTATCAGCTTGTGTGTGTTCCTTTTATATCAACTGCAACCAAACCTTTGATCACTGGGAAACATCCGATAAATTTGATCTAAGCGCATAGTCATTGCATTTTTCAACTACGATGCGCATACGCGGGCAAACAATAATTCATAAATGCATATGCGGATTAATCCGGCCCATCTGCAAGATGTACATTGAAAGTCAGCCCAAGGCTAAGGAGAATCATATCATGTTTAAAAAATAATCCAATATATGCTGGGAGATACATATTCTTGATAGGAGGCTAGCCTTAAGGATGGACTGTAATTTTACCCCGACCCTAGAATGTGTGAGCTTGCAACTGGTTGTCGGAAATTGTGCTTGAAAGTGTGTTGTGTTTTAGGTTTATTTTTCAGTATGAGACAATTTTCAACAGGCTCTGGTCTTTTCTTTTTCCACTTTAATGATTAGGTCAACCTAGACAGATGCATAACCATCAGCCATTTTTGCCTAACTGACCTTTTGCCTAACCATTTTGCCTAGCTGACCCTTTGCCATCATAAAGCACTACTTCTCCGATGCAATCATAGAGGAATTATAATCCCGAAGTTAAGATTCCTCCTTCTACCATTCCCGAGTTGTTCCTGACTTTCTGCGATTGGATAAACGGTGGCCCATCTAAGCGCATGAAAATCTCGAAATGCACTTCAAAATCTGGTGGTGTCATTTTTTTTAAGTTTGAGGTATTATATGCAATGCAGATCGATGGTCTTGGGAAGTGGATTACCACGATGGCTCCTTCCTTAAAGCATAACAGAAATCGTGAACGATACACATTCCTAGAACGAGTAGTTCTGGTGTTACTGAAACATATCATAACAGACACACGTATGGCTAAAAGGATATAGAGAATGACGATAAGGATGACCGGTTAACCGTGCGCTCATACATTAAATTGAAAAAACTCAATCATTCTTCTACCCAGGGTGTGTATCTTATTTGTAAACACTGCAGTTCGTTTTCTTGCCCAGATGAACTTGGAATGCATCCTTACTGTAACATCCTTCATGTTGCCTTGCATAACGGGTTAGTTTCTTTTCTCTTTGTATCACTGTACCTTATTTCTGCACAAAAGACATTATTCAGCTAAACCAGTGGGATCTCTCAGTGATCGATGCGCAAGGGTATTGGCTTTCACATGGTCGTACAATTTGCTGAACAACAACCAACAAAATTAGATCTCTGAATATTATTCCCTTTCTACGCTACTTAATCTTCGCACTAGCCGTTGCACTAGCCTTATGCCGTTGTGTAGAATAGCATAAATTGTAGTGATCGCTTTCATTCATGTGCGGCTCCCTCCTCATGCATAGAATAAAGACGTCAAAAAAAGAATAGGTAGTCAGGATGCTTTAGACCAACGCATACTACGACATCGTGACAACTAGCTAACTCGTGTATTAGGGAACCAATTTTATTGTTTTTGCTACTATTATCAGCTGCTAATACAATCTAAAGGCAGCTTCTACAGAATCTGAAGTCCCACCTCAGCGAACGAACGGTCTCATCATCAGCACTATCTACTTGCATAGATGGACTTTCCATTAAACTTGAAATTGAAAAATCTCTATCGATTACAATTTATTAAGAGTAAACCTTGGCAAATGAATATTCAATTGAAGAAACGACTTTCGAGAAAATGGCACCTACGTACTAAGAATAGTCATTTTGCACCATCTTGACATCAAATTCTAAGCAAATTGCAAATTTGACCTAGAATGGTAATGCCTCGGTATTGGTTCAAAGCTACATATCTGCCACTAAGAATTCTGGAAGTGAAATATTAATCAGCCGGCAGAATTTTCATTAATTCATCTACAGTCAGAAGTGAACTTCTCAATTACTTTAAGTTCGGCGTACCACTCCAACCCTACACTGTCAATTTAGCGAGCGTGAGCAGCACGCTATTTTACGCTGTAACTACCTTTTTAGCTCGGCCTAAAGCTCCGCATAAAGCTCTGCCTAAAGCTCCGCATAAAGTCGTGCTGACTTCAGAGCTTAACCATCTTTCATATTGTAAAAGCTCTTCCGGCTCTAAGCTAGGCCCCTATTCACATGGCGTACTACGGTCTCCCTCAAGTCTTACCTTCTTTTTTAATTCCCGATTTTTCGCAGCCATTCTCTCCAGACAAAGCTGCGCCTGTAGCCCTGTGCGGAGAATGACCACTCCAGATAACAACTTGTAACACAATACACCAAAAAAGGTAAACAATAATCTCTCCAGAAAAAGGAATTATACTACCGAGCAGTATACCGTCCGAGAAACCACTATAGTCTTTCCATTATTCCTATCCAAGTGCCCGTAGTACCCTCATCTAATGTTGTAGGCCCAACCTGCAACACTCTCACCTGCTTCTCTGGCCAGTATTTTCGCCGTTGTCTTTATTTTTTTTTTTTTTTTTTTGCGCTGCTATGACGTAGAGGATCACCAGGACAGCTTCTATTTTCAGCTTAACCTTTTTGTGCAATCTGCAGGAACATGTGCAGTTGGCGTTTCGGTTTGAATTTTTTCCTTTGGGACTTGACTCCAAATGGACCCTTCCCTTTTTATCAAGGATACGTTTCTAGGTAGTTTCCATATAATCCAATATATTCAGGACCCGCCATGGAAGATAATAGTAAGCTACTCGAGAGTGATAGCATCAGTCGGGTGCTCAACTCAGATGCATCGTTGGATATCCTTTGTACTCGTCTTAAGCAAAGTATAACCACGGGTGAGGAGTTCTCCAAGTTTGTAAAGAGGAAGGCACAAATTGAAGACGATCACTATACACAATTAAAGAAATTTGCAGGAAATACAAGATTATCAATCAAAACGGCACTGAGTGCCTCAAAATTGAAGTCAGACCTGTTTCTGGCCCGCATGGACCTGATCATTGAATACGACGAGAAGTTGTTCAACGTTGGATCTCTGTACGTCAAGGCATTGAATATCATGTACGACGAGTTGTTCGCGTTAATAGGGACCATGGCTAGATCCAGGAAAATGATCAAAGATGACGGGAAGAAGAAAGAAAAGGAGTGTTCTGACGCCATCTTGGCTGCGGAGAAGGCAAAACAGAAGTACTATCATTTATGTGACGATTTGGAGAAATTGAAAGCCAGTGATCCCAACAAGAAATCATTTTCACTTAAGAACAAGACTGTAGAGCAACAGGAGGACGAATTGCAGAGGAAAGTGGACTTGGCTGATCAAGATTATAAATTAAAGGTATCTACATGCAAGAAATTGAAGGACGAGATCTTAGTGGTTCATCGTCCCACCAATTCGAAAAAGTTGAAGAACTTGATCTTGGAATTGGACATTGCCATGAACGTTCAACTACAGAAATATGCTACGTGGAACGAAAACTTGATCATGAACAGTGGGGTGTTGGTGTCTCCGTTGAAACAGGAGGGAGTTTCACATAGCAAACCAAGTATGAAGGAGATTGCTAGTTCAATTGATAACGAGAAGGATTTGTACACATATTTGATCAAGTACGAGAAACTGCCTTCCACAAAAATGTTACAGCCAGTTGAATACGTGGTTCATCCTAGCTTGGCCAAGAAGGTGGGCAATAGCAACCCTAAACCATTTTTGAACACAAAGAGTACTGTCCAAGATTATAACGGTAAGTTATCAACACCAAATGCAAACGCAGGAGGATATGCTAATAGTTCCTCTACGTATGGTACTGCGGCGGGAGCTAGCTCCTTAGGCTCCAGCACTCTAGGATCTAGCAACGTAGGTTCCAGCAACTTGGGATCCAACAACTTGGGATCTAACACCTTGGCAGGAAACCATAGCAATAATACGTCAGCTTCTCCGCCATATCCCTCCAATAATTCATACCCATATAACTCGCTTGACCCTGCCACCGGTAGCTCTCCTGAGTACAATGGTGGTGGAGTAGCTCCTACTAGTGCTAGTCCTGCCCAGCCCACATTCGGTATTTCGATCGAGCTGCTTATTGTGTTTGCAGGGATTGATAACGTTCCACTTGTAGTGAAGAAGTGTATCGATACTTTGGAAGCGTACGGTCTCAATGTAGAGGGAATATACCGTGCTCTGGGTAATGTCAATGCTGTTACACAGCTCAAGGAGTCAATTGACGAGAAATTCACAAATTATCTTCTTATTGGATCCAATATAAACCCATCCAATGTCCTTGACACTGACGTATATACCGTTGCTTCCCTTTTGAAGCTCTATTTTTCTTCGCTTCCCGAGCCCTTACTCACGAGCGAATACTACCAGTCCTTTATTGATACCGTCAAGTCTCAGGATGAAAACTATATTGCTAAGAAGTTGCACCATTTGGTGTTCAATTTGCCCGATGGAGCTTATTTCACATTAAGAGCTTTAATATTCCATCTCAACAAGGTTGCAAAACATGAAGAACAAAACAGAATGAGCATCAAGAATTTGTCAATAATCTGGGGTCCTGCCATAATGAATGACAACCTGATGAGTCCACAGGATCTTACCTACAAGAGTAAGGTAGTCGAGGAGCTCATGTTAATTGCTGATGAGATTTTTGAAGCAGATTAGAAAGAGATGTGTGCAAATGGATTATAGAAGAGGACTGTATAATCTCACATGTAAAACTACAAATGTACGATTCTAGGTATATGAAATATGTTGGCTACGACCGGCGTAGCAAATGTAACTATGTAAAGTAAGTAAGTATATGTACGTAAAAAGACCACTGAGGAAAGGCACCATCAGTATTTCAACTGACTTATTTTGATTTTAGGCGCCTTGATGACTTTATCAGGCTTGAGCTTGTAACCCCCAAACGTAGATGGTGACGATACTGCTGACTTACCATCATCATTAGCTAACGAGGATGCCTGTTGGGATGCTTCCGGGAGAGACGGCGTAGATATTTTCATTCTTTCTTGCTTCTCACTCTCCATGGCTTCCCACTGTTCATCGCTGATGCCCATCAGTTTCCTCTTGATATCATTCAACTCTTTCTTCAACAACTTATGGAACTCGGGGGAATCGATGATCTTTTCTTGGATATCGTTATCTACAATACTCAATATACTATTTTCTTCCTCTGCTTTTTGCTGGATAATACTTCCCTGAATCAAAGCACCTACTTTACCACGGTTTTTCATGAGAATAGTTGGATCTGATTTTACTTTCCCTTCCACAATCAACTTCAACTTGAGCATCAAATTAGCGTGCGTTTCTGATGCCTTAAAATTTTCTAAAAGCAGCTTTCTTTGCTTGTCAAAAGACCCGTTCTTCTTGTACACGGACACCAACTGCCTTGGATCTGTTATTTGCTGAGGCATGACTGTAGAGCTGTGAAGAAGAAGAGGAAGTAGAGGCAAGTCGGCACTCCACTGTTTTTGTTCACTCTGCCCTACGCATATGGGGGAAAGAGCATGATTATATGCAGGACACAAACATCACCCATTTTACCCCAATTTATAGCAGTAAAAGAGCTGCCTAAAGCAGAATATGAAGTATGATCTTAGTACGTCTCACATTTCTGGTCATAGCGATATAGAAATGGAGCAGTTAGAGCTACATACTGTGGAGTTAGAGCAAGATTTGTGCTCACGGCCTGGGCATGAAAGACGGTTCCATCTCGACACTACCTGCAGGACGCGATCTTGCTCCATATCTACAACCATTTCAGGATAATCCTTTGCTAGTTAATAAACCTTCAAGAGTTCGGATTATCATTAGCAGTTTAGTTTTAGTTCATCCTTTCATTGTATAGAGCTTCCTACTTACACCAGGTAATGGAAATATTAGATCTTGGTGCGCCAACGCCGAAAAGCTACACGCCATCGCATCTATCTGTGGCCAAGAAGTCGAAGAGATCATCCAACTCCATAGGTTCCTCCACAACGTCGCTATCGTCGGGCACCAAGAGCAAAGAAATACCCCCCAAGGTCCTTCAGCAAGCTGAATCTTGCAAAAAAGATATCCTAGAAGTCATCAAATTAATTCTAGAAGGTAAAAGACTCAGGCATAGCTATGAATGGTACTACAGCTCAGTGGAGCGCTTGTGCAGATTCAAGCCCATGGAGCACTCGCAAATCTCCAATGTAATTCTTGAAGAATTGAAGCGTTATTACAATGAGAATGTCAGGCCAAGGATAAAGGTAGTCCTCCTAGGCGAAGGTGAATTGAATGGCAAGGGACCGCGGCCGCTGCTTCCCAGGATGATGGAGCTTTCCAGAGGCTACCTTGAGGTGTACGAGGATTGGGAAGTAAAGCTAAGGACAATGACCAAAGTCTTCCTCTATTTGGACAGGAGCTACTTGAAGCAGCACCCGGTTAAGATGATGATAATGGAGTATGGTACGCGTATATTAATTGACGATTTGACGGATAAACCGTCAGCGGTGGTTGATGAAGCATTGGAGGGAGAACGTGGAGGTGACGGAAGTGACAGATCAACGAACGAAAGCATGTCTACTGCTATACTACATCTTGCATCATCCCTTCTTCATGCTTCTCGTTTAGCCAAATTCCAAGATGAAGGCACCACCAGGGAAGCAGGTGCTCTTTTATCGAACTTGGTGAAGTTGAATTTTAAAAAGGAATTCCCACTTACTCGCATTTGGATCGATAAGGCACTAATTGACCACTCAGTGATACTGAAACAAGTCCAGAAAAGTTACCAAATGAACCCGTTACAGAAGCCCACGTACTTTTACACGTATAATTCTTATCTTAGAGCAGAGCTCAAATTTATGAACAATTGTGGAGAACCCAGATCTACCCAGCGACAATTCAAAAGTAAAATGAAATGGTGCTGGATATTCAAACAACTAAACAGTACGCTTAAGTTAATCTTACCGGCAACCAGAGTTGATATATCTGGGTTCTCTGAGGATTCGGTGACGAAGTTGGAAGATGTTTATGACTTTTGTAAAGAGGCACAGAAAGAGTACAGTATGGATGCCCCAGCGGTGTTTTTCTATGAATGGAACCAGAATGTTTATAGAGACTTAGAGAATGAGTTGGATAAAACTACACTGACGACCACTCCAAATTCATCTATTGATGCCGTGATTAGCGTCTGTGAAAAGTACGAAACAGAAATCGATAAAGAGAAGCTAAGCGAAGAGATGTATTCCAAAGTTCAATTTGAAACAAGGAATGCCTTCTTAAACGTCTTTGTAAACTCTCCAGCTTTGAATGCCAAGGTAATCACACAGCTTTGCAGTTACTGTGATACATTTTTCAAGCAGAAGAGGCACCAACTACTGCAACAGAAAGCTTTCAAAACTACAGTTTTAAAAGTGTTCAATTTACTTTCCAACAAGTCAAATTTCTTGCTTCAGTACAAAAGAGATCTCTCGCGTCGTCTTCTCTTCAATAAATCCATATATTTAGACCTTGAACGAGAGCTCATTTCGGAATTTTGCTTAGTGGTTGGAGAGGACCACAACCAAGATTTGATATACATGTTTGAAGATTTGGTTCAAGAACACGATAGATCTGAAGGTGGTGCAAATACTGCAATCAACCCAATAATTCTTAAAAAGGAATACTGGCCTGACTTCCCAAGTTATACCAGGTTAGACATCCGCCTTCCCGCTGAACTTCAATCATTACTTGAAGGTTTCAATACGATGTACATAGCTAAAGATGAAAGGAATAACCGGAAAGTTCTAGATTGGGGCTACTTCAACTACCACCAGGTGACAATTGAGTCACTATTTAACCTGGGCAAAAAAGAACTTATAGTCAACCTTTTGCAAGCTTCTATAATCCTCTTGTTCAACACACGGTCAGAGTTAACTGCCAAAGAGGTTGCAGAATTGTTGGAAATTGAGTTGAAAAACTCTCAAACTGGGTTGCTTTCCTTGAGCACTCCCAAGTACCCCATTTTAGCTCAGACCAATTCAGGAGCCTATCGCTTGAATGAAGACTTCTCCGATAAATCCACCAAGATTAAGATCCCCTTTAAGGGGAACATTGTGCATCCTCATTCGCTGGCGACCGCATCAGCACAGCCAGAGGATCCATTTGACAGGCTCATAGCCAAGAACCGTACATCAGAATTGCGTGCATTAATAGCACGCACCATGAAGCAAGGGCGGAAGATGAGCTACACAACTCTTTTGAAGGCTACTATAGACGAATTGGAAAAGAAAGCCGGAGACGGTACCATACTGGTATCAGAATTGAAGAGTAACGTTGAGTTTTTGATAGACAATGGTTACATATCCAGGAGCGGAGATGACTTGACGTATGTGCCATAGCATAGCTGACCTCGCTTCTCTTTAACTGTTTACTCTCTGCTGTATATTATCTAATGACTATGATTTATTTTAATTATTTACTCGAATTTACTTATAGTGTATCTTTCAGACTGCTTAGATTGGGACATCTTCTGGATCTGGGTTGTAGGTGAAGTAATCTCCAAAGTAAGGGATCTTGGCGTAGAAAGTAGACTTAAAGATTGGGACACCAGAGGTGAATGTAGCAACACCAGCGCCTGCAGCACCACCCCACAAGATTAAGTTAGGTGCGTATGTCTTTAAAAGTGGCAAATTGGCACCAGCAAAAGATTTGACAGACTTGTAAGCAGGACCTTTGATGTACTGTAGAGAAATTAAGTTAGTATGGGGACTTTACTTCAGTTAGATCACAGCGAAAGTACGTTTACCTTCGTTTTTTTCGTATTTTTTTTGGTGTGCCCTTGCCCTTCTTGACTCCGGCATCAACACCAACTATACTTACAGAAACCATATTGTATTTGTAGCTTAGCTTATTGTATTGTAACAGTGTACTTTTACAGACTGAAATTAAAAAAAAAATGTTCGTTTTGATATTTGAAAAAAGCAGCCCTCATTGGCTAGACTATGTGCAGGACACGAACATATGTTATATGCGTTAGCTATATGGGGCAGCTCAGATGGTGTGCTACAGTGTAATCTACAAGGGGACAACTCTTTGTTTTCTTTTTATAACATTTGTATATTCTACCAGCCTGGGTATTTCTCATTTGAAATTAAAACCTTCATTTTTCGCTTCTTCTTTTTGTTTAATCGAACTCATCAGCAGATTTATTTTGCCTTGGCTAAACCAACAGCATTCTTCTTCAAGTCGTAAATAGAGTAGTATCTTCTTAAGAATGCATCACCAATAATGGCCAAGTCACCAATTGGTTCTGGGAAGTCCATTGGGGTGAAAACAGAGATACAAGATCCTGATACATCCAAAGTGTAGTCATAAGGAGATAAAGTGAAGTTGTAACCAGCAAAGTTCAAAGTTAAGTCTGGCAACGAATCTCTCTTTTCACAGTCTATTTGGTATTGACCAGACCAAGATTTGGTAGCACCAATCTTTGAGTTGATGATTTCAGCCAAAGATGATGGCAAAGTGATCAAGGAAGTACCAGTGTCGATGGCAGCACCGGTGGACTTCAATTCGGCGTATTCATCACCTAAACCAATACCTTCGAAGGAAACTTCCCAGTAAGCCTTTCTTCTGACTGGTAACCATTTGATGTCACCAGTGAAAGCGCTAACGTCATATCCACCGAATGTAGCAACACCACCGTCTTCTTCATCCTTGTTGGTGTCACCTAAGTAAAAGGCAAACTGTGGCTCATCCAATAAACCTTGCTCAATGGCATTGTAGATTGGAGGAACAATCTTGTTGACTGAAATGGTGTTGTAACCCAATCCTAAAATACCATCAAACTTACCAAAGGCGAAAGCCAAACCTGGTTCGTTAGTAGCTTCTGCGAAATCTTGGTTTGGAATAGTCAAACCCCCAAGAGTCAAGGTATCTTGGGAAACGTAACCTTCCAAGGAACCGGAACCGTAAGCAATAGAGAACTCGGAGCCGTTGGCCTTGTATGAAGACGAAGCATCGTGGTCATACTTGGTGTGGAGGAAACAAGCCAATGAAGAGCAATCTTGAGATGGGACCCACAAGTTGGAGGATCCAGTGTCGAGAATAACCTTGAACGATTGAGGTGGACTACCCAATTGGATTTCAGTAAAGTACTGAGCGTTAAGGTAGTTGGTTAATGGAGTCTTGGTGGATCCACCCTTGCCGGAAGTTCCAGCACCTAGGAATGGGATTTGGGCACCTGAGCCTGGCTGGTCGTCTAAGACAACACTGCCACCGTTAGCTTCATTGAAGATATCAACGTACTTTGTTGCTAAGGCAGAAGCATAGTCCTGGAAGGCAGCAGCTCCAAGAGTCTCTTCAACTGGGAGTTTTTGGATCTTTGCAGTGTGGACAGCACCATTGACAGAGGCAGTGAGGGCCAAAGCAATGGAGGTCAAGACAGAGAGAGATAATTGCATTTTGTTCTATTGAAAGGTTTCTTTATGTAAGCTACTTTCCTTTAAATTATATATAGGAGAAGCTAATATATGTATGTATATATTAAACTCAAGTATATATGATTTATCGTTTGCAAACAGAAAGGAATGGGAGTAAAGACTCTTCCTTTTGTTAGACTAAAACGAAGTTGCTTAAATTGCCCTAGGGGGGTGGCAATCTCGCCTTCTATCAAAAACCTGCATATTGCTGCTGGCCGAAGACGGATAAGAAAGGTTCGAACTGGGGCAGATGACCCAAAAATTGCACAGTTTGGCACAAAATAGGACATATGCATGCAGGACATTATACGGAAAGGGAGATTATTATCTACTTAGCAAAGGGTCTGGCTAGTATACAGGATATGGGTATTCCTTGGGCTTTCCACAGTTGATGGCTACTGGGCATGCTAATTAAGGTTGGCTGTTAATAACAAGAATGGAAATAATTCATTCACCACAGTGCAGATAGTTCGGCACATTCTAAACAAGGTAACATATCGCGCAACGTTACCAAATTTCCTGCGAATGCTGCTTAAATTAAATTTACCATGTGGTAATAGTATTCTGATCTGTGATGTATTATAGTGTATCATATCATATCATATCGTATTTTATTATATTGCTAGTTAATACAGTTTGTTGATTTAATTTAATTCACTTTGTTTTATTAGTACCATTCATGTTTTCACTCACTTATCTATATATGCCTCTTCACTTTATGCTAAGCTAGAGATCGCTCCCTCTAATTATTTCTTGTAGCTCATTAGCCTTGGAACTTGGCGGAGCCGGAACCCTTTCTTTTTTTTCTTTCGATAAGGCCGAGGCAAAATTGAAATAAAGTAAGTAGAAAAAAAAAAAAAGCAAAGTAAGAATAAAGAAATAAGGAAGTAGCGGAAAACCCTAACGAATCGTTCGTTTTCAGATACATTGTACTGATATTTTAAGATAGAAGACGATAATTGAATCGTAGAACATTTGTTATTTTAATACCACCTCTATATATCTATTTTAAGTTGGATATTTCTCACTGCAAGGTGTACACTTTAAAATCTTCAGTAGTTCCCACGTAATCTTGAAGAAATGCTTTGGTCTAAGGTTGACAACACAGAACCAGCCAACCCAATCACATTTACCTCAGCCAAGACCCCTTTACTGCCCCCAGTGAGTACCACTCTACCGCAGATAGTGAAGAATGTTGCTCCTGAGTTCTATGTTGGATCATCCTTCTTCGTAAACCCATTGCTTGCCAGTGGACATCTCCAGACTGCATATACTGCACTTCGCCAGTTTGATGACATCGATTTGGTCCACTACGGTAGAAGGTTGATTGAAGTTGACCCAGAAAATAGAGGTTACAAAGTCGAAGGAGAAAGGATATTGTACGATAAATATGGTGGGAAGAGTACCTTTACTATCGATATTGTCAGAGATGTCACCGCCAACGTTAACCCGGAATCTTCTTCCTTAACTGTTGCTTCCGTATTAGGCTCAGACGATGCCGAGAGCGACTACAAAACGGCTGCGAAAAACTCCGAAAGACACTACGCTGCCCCAACTCTGCAGGATACCACTAAATTACCACCCAGAACGTTCTTTATAACCGAACAAGAGGAAAAGGAATTACTTAGCGATTCTTCGAAGCCGCTTTTAATTGCTCTCCATGGTCTTTCTGGAGGTTCCTACGAATCCTATGTGCGTAGTATATTACTGGAAATCACCGACTCGAAATACGGATTTGATGCACTCGTTCTTAACTCAAGAGGTTGTGCTGGTCATACTCCCACCACACCTCAATTATTTAATGCATTGTGGACGAATGACGTTCGGTATTTGGTAAATGAGATCATTGCTAAGAAATACCCGGAAAAGAAAATCTTTCTTATTGGATTTTCTCTTGGAGGAGCAATTGTAGGAAACTTTTTGGCTCAAGAAGGCGATAACATCTACAAAAACATCATGGGTGCATCTATCGTAGGAGCACCATGGGATTTTATGGATTCTAACGTTCAGCTTGACAATTCCATCTTGGGTAACAAGGTGTACTCTCCAGCCATGTCCCAAAACCTTCAAAAGCTTTTACATGCTCATAAAGAGTCAATTGGGAGCGAGCCAAATATTAATCAGTACTACAAGAATCCTGATGGTTACAACTTAGAAAAGTTGCATGATTTTGATGAAGCTTTCACATCCAAATTCTTTGGGTTCAACAACCATAGAGAATACTATCGTCACAGTTCGCCAATTCAAAGGTTAAGAAAGATCAGAGTTCCTACGTTAATTGTTAGTGCAATCGATGATCCAGTAATTGGTAACAAAACCCTTCCATACTATGAAGTGAGAGACAATCCTTACACATTTTTGGTTACTAGCACAATCGGGGGCCATCTAGGTTGGTTCAAATTCGGAGGTGAGAGATGGTACCCTAAGCCAATTTCAAAGATTTTCCATGATATTTTCAACAATTGGAAAGTTAACAAGCCTCAACCAGATACATTACCAGTTGCACTTGAAAGCAAAATTTGGAAGTATGATAGATTAATTGTTGGCCAAGACAAGCCATAGACCTACTTATATATATATATATTTATTTATTTGCGATTTGCAAGGTACTGCTAGCCGTGTAGATAGTTTAATTGAAAGATCCATCATCAGAAGTAGAGAGCTATTTTCAAAGAGAAAGAAGAAGTGAATCGAGTATTTTAAGTAAATCAGAAGTAGAGCGCTATTTTTAGAGAATGAGAAGTAAGTAAATCAAGTAAATCAAGTATACCAAGTAAACTAAATCTAAATCAGCTTTTATTATTTTTTCAGTTACCATACACCAGCGAGGTAAGCCAAATAGCTTAATCTAAAAATAACCCCTTGTTATTCTTCTCAATGTTTACCTGTTTTCGCCCTTATTGCTGGCTGAATATTAGCTACTCCTACCAGTTAGCGATGTGCCATCAAATTAAACGAATTTCGCTAATCTGTGTTCCTAATTTCCATGCTATTATACTTTACCATCTGTCAAATGGCTGGTCTAATGGCCCCAATGTAAACGGAACACTCATGTTCCTGATCTGCACCATCGCACACAACCAGTGCGTCAAATCTAATCATTTTAGTACAAATATTCGAACAGAATGCGCAGAAAATTCCTGCTGTACGCAGGTCTGCGCACAGAAGCGTACGGATTTGCAATGTTGATGTGCTCATTCCAGCCCAGCCAGCCATTTAAGGCAACATGACATTCCAGTAGAATGTGAAGAGCTTTTGAATGATCTTCATAAGAGAGAAAAATAATAATAATAATAAAAAATTTTTTTGACGACGAAGCAGTAGCATACCAGAGTTACTAGGTCAAGTCACTGAAAGTTTAAAGTCAATTAAGGAGAGAATCCAACCTCACGACCGTAACCTGTGCATTACATCAAGTTTTACATATTTTTATATATCAATGTCTGTCTCCTCCTTCAAAGGTAGGAAAGTTGAAGACTTTTCTAGAAAGAGGTCTGACACTTCATCAAAAGCATCCACCAATAACAAAATGCCAGATGAAAATGTTCACCCTAGCGGCAGTAGTAACAGCGGATCAACGCCCTCGCTTCCGCTCTCCATTCCGTACTATTACATTGCCAACCATACTGATAGTTTCGATACCGTGAACTTATTGAATGGAGAAAATGAACAACCGCAATATTCAAACACTTCACATTTAAATATACCTTCCCATTCGCCCGCTAAGCAGCAGCAGCCTGCTTACACCCCACAACTTTCGAGTCAGCAACAGCAGCCTCTTGCTCACCCTCAGGAGCAATTCCTTCAGCAGCCTCAGCAACAACAACATCAACAACAACAGCATCATCGTCAGCATCAGAATCAAAATCAGCAACAACAACAGCCACAGTACCAACAGCAGTACCAGCAAGAACAAGCCTTCCAGTTCCAACAAACTCGACAGCAACCACAAGTGACCATTGATAAAATGAAAGATGAAGGTGGACATGAAAGAACCAGCTCCAACGGAACTGGAACTCTTTTCAACCAAGTGCCTAAGAGATTCTCTCAGTTCATATTAGACCAGCAAAATCCATATATGGCACAAAGGCTTGATCATCTATCAATGAATCTGATTTCCTTATACAGCGGTGGTACTCCTTCGTATATGGAATCTCACATACAATCCGGTTACAACTATACAAACAACTCCAGCTCAAACCCCAATCATGGTAAGAAAGCTGGAATGAAGACTGGGTCCACCACAACTTCATCCAACCCAAAAAACAAATCTTCCACCACAGACTCAATACATAGAGATATTCTGGAATCAATGGGATCACAGGCGACGATCTTCTCAACGAGACCTCAAGATAATGACACTAATAGCAGTGGAATAAATAACTTGAAACGAAGAAAGGCAGTTAGGTCCAAAGAGGGTGGTCTCATGTACCGATTCCAACTTCGCATGCGCAGAATTGCCAAGAAGATGAAGTATATATTCACTGTAAAGAGGAAGAAGACTGTCAAACCAATTGGTCCAACTGAAGAAAGGAGAAGGTTCAGGAGTTTACTTAGGAGGTCCAACAGAACAGCTGCAAATAGCAAAATGAAGAAGAAAAAGCAAGATGTTTCCGCTAGCGACTTAAAAAAGAGCATGAAGAAGAGTTTAAGTATGAGATTGCCTAAGAGTAAAAGTAAAACAATTTCCATTTCTGCACCTACGCAAAATCTTGATTTGGGAGGGGGTAGTGAATTGGTTCCGATGGATTCCAGATTGAAATTGAGAGCTGGTTTGCAAGATGCAAACAAAAACGAATTAGTCGATCTTCCAACCGAGGAGGATTCGATAAGAAGAAAAACTTTGTCACCTCCTGCAATAGTACCTTCATCTAATCCATTGACCAGAGCTGGTAAATTCACTACTAGAAAAGCACCACCACCTCCTGCTGTGCCTACCAAGCAACAACAACAACAGCAACAGCCAGAACCGGCTCAACTTGCAGCAGTAAGTGCAGCCCTTCAAAAACACGTCGCTGCATCAAAGTCCAATGCTACCCTTCAGAAATCAAACGCTGATGCATTGGATGCTGCGGCCGCCAACGCTAGAGCTTTGTCAGATCACCTTCCTGGATCAGCTGTCGTACGTAAATCGTTATACGCTACTGTTGTTGACCAAATGGAGGAGGAATCTTTAGTGGAAGCTTGGAAGAACTATCTTTCCCATGTAATTGCGTCTAGAATTAAACTTAGACAAGAAATTAATTTCTATCAATCCCTTAAGAAGGAGCTGACCGAACTGAACTACAAATTTGGAATTGAAACTGAAGATGAACAGTCCCGTGCTGGCTCACAGGCAGATTTCTCAAGGGTACCATCTCACATGGGATCCCAGGCTACATTCGCTAAATCAATTCCAATCACAACAAGGACTGTTTCAGAAGATACCTCAAACTCCAAATTCACTCAGCCTGGTGTTAATATGAAGTCTAGTAATTCTAGTAGAAACACGAGCTCTTCTACCAACTACTCCAATGCTCCTCGTGGTTTCTCGTCCGTTAGTCATAAACTTCTGGTTAAGTCATTCGCACCAACTATGACCACCAATGCTGAATCAGATGAGGAAGATGAAGACGATCACTCCGTGATTTCAATACTCGACCCTACAGCTGAAGAGTTCAACAGATCATTTGCAAATAGACACTCAATGTTGGGAGAAATGTTAGACTATCAGTCAGATACGACTTCAATTGCATCATCCCAAGGTTCTACTGCTACCGAAACGGGATCAAGAGCTACTCATACGACAGAATCGGCCTCAAACATTCTTCCCAGCGCCGTACTTTCTAATGAGGACATAGGTATTGGCATGAGGTATGGAACTGTTATTCGCAGATCTTCCCCCTCTAAAAAGAGTGCCAGTGGAAGCAAAACTCACTTATTGAGCCATAGTAGTTCAGAAGGCGAAGGAGAAAAATCCAGCTCAGGATCCGCTGGTAAAAGTAATGGCCTGACAATATCAATCAACAAAGTTGGACAAAGACCAATTTCATTGAAGAGATCACAAGGCTTCAGGGTTGGTTTGAATTCCGCAGCATCCTTGGAAGTACTTTAGGAGTTCATTCTTTATATTTAATAGAACAAATGCATTAATAACCATTACACGGTTTGTAGTTTTAGACCTTGAGGTAAATTTCATTCAAACATTACAGGAAGAGAAGAAAAGAGGTAAATTTGTCAGTGTTGTTTACAGAATAACTTAAATTTCACTTTATTTAATTAAATATATACAAGTTTACTTAAAACTATTTATTCTTAATAGCCTTAGTTCTTTGGTGGTTCTTCGGAAGAAGAGTTGTTATTTTCAGAGTTCTTGTATAACTTTTCGAAAACCTTTAATGATTCGTTTTGTAATTCTTCAGTCTTAGTCTTTAATTCTGAAGCTTCAACTTCTTCACCAGATTGAGCCTTGACAGCAATTTCTCTTAAGGCAACGATTTGTTCTCTTAATTTGTCAGCATCGGCAGTTTCAACCTTGTCCTTGAATTCATTTAAGGAGTTTTCGGTATCGTTACATAATTGATCAGCTCTGTTACCAGCTTCGATAGCTTCTCTTCTAGCCTTATCAGATTCAGCGAACTTTTCAGCGTCGTTAACCATCTTTTCGATTTCTGAATCAGATAAACCTGAAGAACCAGCAACAGTGATGGAAGCATCCTTGTTGGAAGCCTTATCTCTGGCAGAGACCTTGATGATACCATCAGTGTCAATGTCAAAGGTGACTTCAATTTGTGGGACACCCTTTGGTGCTGGTGGGATTCCAGATAAGGTAAAGTTACCGATTAACTTGTTGTCTCTGGTCAATTCTCTTTCACCTTGGAAGACTCTGATTTCAACAGAGGTTTGACCGGCAGCAGCAGTGGAGAAGATTTGAGACTTCTTGGCTGGAATGGTAGTGTTTCTAGAGATTAATCTAGCGAAGACACCACCCATGGTTTCAATACCAAGGGAAAGTGGAGTGACATCTAAAAGAACAACGTCAGTGACTTCACCAGCTAAGATACCACCTTGAATGGCAGCACCCATAGCAACAGCTTCATCTGGGTTAACAGCCTTGGATGGCTCCTTACCGAAGATCAGCTTAACGGTTTCAATAACCTTTGGCATTCTTGACATACCACCAACCAAGATGACTTCTGAGATATCGGAAGTGGCTAAACCAGCATCCTTAAGAGCCTTCTTACATGGGTCGACAGTCTTCTTAACTAATGGGTCAACCAACAGTTCGAATTGAGATCTAGACATCTTTTGGTTGATGTGCTTTGGACCTGAAGCATCAGCGGTGATGAAAGGTAAGTTGATTTCAGTGGAAACAGTGGATGATAATTCAATCTTGGCCTTTTCAGCGGCTTCTCTGATTCTTTGAATGGCCATTCTATCCTTTTGTAAATCAATACCGGATTCCTTCTTGAAGTTTTCAACAATGTTACGGACAATAGCGATATCGAAATCTTCACCACCCAAGTGAGTATCACCGTTAGTGGACTTAACTTCAAAGACACCGGCACCAATATCTAAGATGGAGACATCGAAAGTACCACCACCTAAATCGAAGACGGCAACAACTTCACCTTCCTTCTTTTCCAAACCGTAAGCTAAAGCGGCAGCGGTTGGTTCGTTAACAACTCTCAAGACGTTCAATCCAACAATCTTACCAGCATCCTTGGTAGCTTGTCTTTGGGCGTCATTGAAATAAGCTGGACAAGTGACAACAGCGTTGTTGACGGTCTTACCCAAGTTGGCTTCAGCGGTTTCCTTCATCTTGTTTAAGACGAAACCACCGATTTGCTGAGGAGAGTACTTTTCACCTCTAGCTTCTAACCAAGCGTCACCATTGTTGTGCTTAACAATCTTGTATGGGACTTGGTTTAAATCTCTTTGGACTTCTGGGTCCTCGAATCTTCTACCAATAAGTCTCTTGGTAGCAAACAAAGTGTTTTCTGGGTTGACAACAGCTTGTCTCTTGGCTGGGATACCAACCAATCTTTCACCATCCTTGGTGAAGGCGACGATAGATGGAGTAGTTCTACCACCTTCAGAGTTTTCAATGATCTTTGGAATCTTACCTTCCATGATGGCAACTGCGGAGTTAGTGGTACCCAAATCGATACCGATAACTGGACCGCTTGGACCAGCCGATGACGATTGGAAACGGGCTAAAGGACGCAAGGCGTTCTTTAATGTGTTATTTCTAGCAGCTGATAACATTTCTATGTAGCTTGATGTAGATAAAGACTAAAAAAAATTCAGAATTCAAAAACTCTTCTTTTCACTTTGGGAGAGGGTGAATTTTTCAGACGTCGGTCTTAAATAAAAAAAAAATGATGGTCAAAAAATGAAAAAAAAAAAAAAAAAAAACTCAAAAGTGAAAAACCCCTGGTGAGGGCACGCTCCGTGGAATATTCTAGGCCATGCTAGGAGGGACACAGTGATAAGTCACGTGGAAACATTCAATGTATGGGAAGAGATGGAAAGGAGAAGGTACTGGATCGAGCTGGAAGTAGTTCCTCCAGGGTGGTGTGGAGCAGAGTAGGGAACGCTAGTGTATGAGGAAGTTGATTCTCGCAGCTGGGAGTACTAGGAATTGAGTGTTGGGGTTATAGTTGCTATTAGCTGTGCTGCTGTACTGTATTGTGAGTGCGCCTGAATGACTCTTCCCGGTTCTCATCGCTCCAGGTTTGCGGCACCGGAGACGAGACGGAACCATTTTGGCCTAGATCACGAAATAGGCAAGCTGAGGGAGTTGGCAAGACATATGTCAAGAAGTAAGTGAATGAAGTACACTCTTTGCTTGCATATATGGTAGTGGACCTAATGTGAGTGATTGGTACGCCAGCGCTACGGAAGGACATGGTGCTAAACTGCCCTGCTTACGCCGTACTGCGTATTATTCTGGCTCACTTTCTCTCTTTCTTGCATTCTTGCTCCTCTTCCAGGACTCCCGTTTCTCAGCTTCCAGACTCCCCCAGGACTCCACACCTCGGTTTAACCAGTTCAATTTGACAAGCGTTTTGACAAGTGTATTTGCATCTTCTTCGACTCCTATCGCTGAATCACTAGCTATTAAGACAGTACAAATAATTAGGCATTCGTGGTTGAGATCCCATGCTGGTCTTTTTCTTCCCCACGCATATTCTGAAAAATCTCATCAGGAACGGCTGCAAACCATGCACTGGTCTTCTATTATCCATGCTCTCTACAATGCACTAGACTTCGCTGCACTTCTAGTGCTTCGTTAGAGCAACTTAAAGGCGACTGTGTATCGATTGTCGTCAACTCTAACGTTGTACCATTTTCTGAAAACTACACCATGCCGTACAGATTTCCGTATTATTACAATATTTTCTATATTTTCTACCAGGCGCAACTAAAATGGTTTGCTATTTTTTTAAAGGGCCATCATTCATCAGCTTCTGGAGTTTTAACAACTAAAGCACCCTCTTCCAAATCTTCGGGGAAAATATTTTTATAGTCAATATCACCAGTAGTTAATTTCTCCCCGAAAAGTGCTAAAAGTGCAACACAGTACCCAAACTGTTCTATGTAAAGAATCCTGCATTTGGCTTTTGAACCCATAAGCTCGGATGTAACCTCCCTAAGTTGATCTAAATCCAGATTTCTTGGTAAATACATGATAAAATTATCAGTATATTGTAATATCTGTTTGGCAAACGCCTTCACTGAAAAGGGCTCCATTTTCGAAAGATCAAATGTGGTCTGGTCCTTATACAGTGGGCCACCCCAAGGTGGAGAAGTGAATACCAAGTCGAATGGCTTCCCTGATTTTCCATGAGTGACCAGTTTTGGAATCCATGACTTATTGACTGCCCCTGACTTCTTAGTAGAAGCCATTTCATTCCAATCTCCTTGATATACCCAAAGGTGTTCCTTTACACCATATATTGATGCATTGTGCTCTGTGCAGGCGAGATTATTTTTGTTAATATCAATAGCACCTACTGACTTGAAGTATTTTCCAAACTGAATAGAGTTACCTCCGCCACCACAGCATATATCTAAGATGTGTTCTGCTTCTGGAATTAGTTCTTTTACCAATTTAGCGACAAATATGGCAACGTCTTCAGGTGTAACCGAATACCAGAGCTCTGATGTCATATACACTCCCTCATCGAATTTACTAAAGAGCATGTAACGCTTCAGCCAGTACTTCTTGCAATTTTCGGGGAGAGTATCTAAGGTATGCATGAATAGTTCATTATCATCCTCTATTTCAAAATCGTCCATAGTCATATTGAGGAGTTTACTATCCCTCTTTACCTTTTCACCTTACTTTCGCTTTATTTTTCAGTTAGCAGGAACTTTGTTTCGAGACTGTTTTGTCTTTCTGTAATCACTCTCCTCTTTCTTCCTTCCTTTCGAACAATGTCGATTTGTTTCAGTTTATATATTTTACTAAGGTATTATATCTTTGCCAGTTTCAATTTATATATATTTCCTCTATTGGTACATGCCGGAGATCGCCAGGTATGGTAGTAAAGCAGTAGGTCTTCCCGGGATCCATACAGGAATTTCATGTTATTTCAATTACACGTGATGCTTGAAATTTACCTGGAATTCCTAATAGATCCTTGAATCTTTATCATCAAACGAGCTATTCTTTGCCTTGACAAGATGATATGATAAAAGAAGGCTTGTATAAAGAAAGGAAGTGATTAAGGATCCAAACCACTCTATTTTTTTAAGTTGAGTAGGTTATACTTTAGATATACATCAATTTAAAGTTGCACCTTAATTTAAGAAAGTGAGGTATCTGGGTGAGGCTGCGCATGAAATTCATGCACGACAATCGGCAAGAGAAGAAACAGCAAGAGATGAAACATCTAGAGTTTGGTTGACTACGGGAGACCTGGCACCAGGAGAAGAAACTTTGTGTTCAGCTGCATACCGGGAGACTTTGGCAGCAATTGTAGTCTTTTTAATATACGCAGGATATCCATCTGGAGATACGATGGACTGTGTATGGGCGTGTTCGCCATGCATTTCTTTTAAACTTCACTACGGCACCTCTTCATTTTCATAATCATTATATCCTAATATTATTATATATTTAATTTACAAATTTACCCATTACCGTTTCAAGCACACCCCAATAATAAAACAAATAAAAATCTAAAACAAAGAACGTCATAGGACCCTGACAGTACCTATATTTTCCATATCTTTCCTTCGGTAGCCATAATTTTATTTTCAGATTCCATTCTTTGGAAAGCAGAATCGATTTCATAGTCTTGGAATATTTCTTCTTGTTGCAAACCTTCATTTAAGGCAGAGACAACTTCTTCAATTGAACATGAAGCGGCCTCGTTGTCAAATAAGGGTGATTGCATGATTCTGGCCATGCTGCTAACAAGACTTTGGTATCTCTCTGCAGATATACCTTCTGTGTCTTGATTACTACGGTGAGTCACTTCACTAAGTGGAGCAGTAGCGTTAGAAATATGAAGATTACCAAGCCCTTCTTCTCCAATTTCTCTGAGAAGTTCTTCACCTTCTTGGTGTCTTCTTGCAGCTCTCGTTCTGGTACCTCTTGGAAGAATTTCTGGTTCTTCTTCTTCACTAGATTCTTCACTTTCCGGATCACTAATCTCATCCTCTTGAATTTTCTGTTTCTTGGCATTCAGCTTCCTATTCACTTCCTTAAACAATGCATATCTCAACATCTCTTCGGCTATTTTAGCATCTTTAACTTCAACGGTCTTGCTCAATCTCACCTTGGCGTGAGCCGTGGCTAATCTAATCAAAGTTTCCAAAGTTCTGGCAGTGATTGGAGCTGTGTGTCTTTGATTGTTGTCAATCAAATCATTTCTAAGCGATGAATAAGTACCAACAATATAATCAGAAGCCTTGGAAGTTAAGACTGGCTTAACTCTTTGCTTGGAATATTGAATGTACTTCTTAAGGAATGGAATTGAAAGTAAAGTTGGAGTCTTATTACCACCAGCTGATTGTTTTACTCCAGCATGTAATAAGGCATTGAATTTTTCGAAAATTGGTTGTTCCAACTCTTCTTGTTCATTGGTTTCGTTGTCACCGATTGCCAACAGGAGTCCACTCTTCTCCCTAATTGGTTCACCTTCCAATAAGCCAGGTGGTACAAATCTATGCATACGCAACACATGCTCACTGATGATTCTGTCCTTTTTACTTTCTACATCATCAGTGACGACAAATAACAAATCAAAACGAGATAAAAGTGAATCCGGGAGAGCAATATTCTTATGGGGGTCTTTATGAATATCGTATTGTCCAAACACTGGATTTGCTGCAGCAATGACGGAACATCTAGCATTTAAGGATGTATGGATACCTGCCTTAGCGATTGTAACAGTTTGTTGTTCCATAACTTCGTGGATAGCAACTCTATCGACGTCAGACATCTTATCAAACTCATCAATACAAACAATCCCTCTATCAGCCAACACCATAGCACCGGCTTCCAATCTTCTTTCTCCAGTTTCTTTATCAGTAGTGACGGCTGCAGTTAAACCAACTCCTGAAGAACCCCTACCAGTAGTAGCAATTGCTAAACTTGCAGTGTTTAAAACAAATCTCAATATCTGCGATTTGGCAGTCGATGGATCACCAACCATTAAAATATTGATGTCACCTCTTAAATGGGTCCCATTATCCAAGTTCTTTTCAATACCACCAAGTAACATTAATAAAACTGCCTTTTTGATGTACTCAAATCCATAAATCGAAGGAGCTAATGAAGAAGATAAGATTTCGAAAATCTTCTTATCTTTGGCCAATTTGTTGATATTTCTAACATCTTGATCGGTTAACTTCTCTTGTGAGGCAACACCAGTGGATCTTGCATGAAGTGGGTAAACTGAATTGGCCAACACCACAGTTTTGAACTGCAGTCCATTGTTATTGGCACCTCCAAGAGCTCTATAGACACCAACAATTTGAATTCTGTCACCAGGTTTGGTTAAATCAACCAAGTCATCGTCCAATATGACATCTACGGATCTGGGCAATTGTCCCGCAGGGGCCAATTCAGGCATTTCCTGGACACTTATCTTCTGATGGTCTCTGTAAGTAGAATAACCGTATTCGGTGGTTAGCTTATTCCCATCTGGATCTTCCGTGGGGTAAATGGCGGCAGTGCTGATGGGGTCAAACAGGGTAGTTTGATCTCTATATTCTCTAGCGTAGAACCTTGACGTTTTCTCAGCGTAGTGAACAGATCTGATCACCTTTGGTCTAACAAGCGATGCCCTAGTAACAATCCCTTCTATGGAGATCAATTTACTCAAATGCAGACTGGTAATGGTTCTAGGAGATACAGAATTGGCACCGAAGGCACCTTTGAATGATAAATAGAACGCCTGGGTCTCATCTACCAATTCAAATCTGGCGTCGTTTGGATCATATATGGTCAATACTGTATCTCTGAGAGCTCTTTCACAAGCTGGCAAGAATTCTGCTGGTTGGTTGAGCAATCCGGTCCAAAACTCTCTGTCAAATTCTCGAATATCGTCTAAACTAACACATAATCTACATTTTCCCTTGATGAGCATTTCTCTAATTTCTTGTCTGGGAGTAATTGAGAGCTGAAGTGATTCAGGACGGTCCAAAAATTCCTGGAATCTTCTGACTCTGTCTCCGAAGACGACATCAATTGGCTGATCTTCATCCATGGTGTATTCTAGCTAAAGGGAAGTAACGAATGAACGAATGATAACTGTTACGTTCGATAATGAACGGTTGTAAAGAAACGAAGAAGTCCTTCAAAAAAAAAAAAAACTGAAAAATGGAAAATACACCGGAAACCTTGACGCGTTGGAAGCTACATGCAGGACTTCAACGTGTAATTAGACCCAAAACGGATTAATTACTTACGTGCGGCGGGAACATCGTACTGCATACAAAGAGAGTACATACCTTGTGTTGCACTATAGGGCCAATCTTTGGGAGTAGAAATGGAGCCCTCAGCCCTAGGTATGCTAGTTGAGGCAATCTAAGGTAGTTAGGGCTTCAAGGGTTGTACCCCTTCTACGATTGAAAGTTTGTTTCTTCATTTATTTCTTCTATTTTAATCCCCTTGCATAGTTACTCAAAATTTCCATCCACTTATGTATGTGTTACCTTCATCTCCCAACACCTTGTCCCATTGCTGGTACTCTAAAGCGGCCAAACCTCTATATCTTCTAGTCTTTTCACTGTCTAGCAAAGTAATGTAACTCCAGTCAAGGAAATCTTCCATATTGTAAGTTAGTTTACGGAATGGTTCAGCAAAGATCTTGGCCAATGTAGCAATGTTTGGGTGATAGTGCAGCATCAAGGTCTCCAACTCCCAGAGAGAAGAATCTATGGCTCCCGTTCTCAAAGGGTCCGTCTCATCGTTATTGAATGTATCAGTGTACGACTTCTTGCTGCTGCTGCTGGCTGCATCCAATTCCGATGGTCTGTGGATCATGACCATACAGGATGGATGTCTCTTCAACAAGTTATAAATAAAAGGGATCACTATCACTACACCCGAGGCAGATGCCCTTAAGGAAAGTCTTGCCAACTTCTTGATAAATGACGCTACCAAGTTCGATGATAAGTGCGTAGAGCTCAAGAACAAATCACATAATCTGAAAAACCTGGATCTATACCTCGTGTACAACAAGTTAGGGGTGAGCAATGAGTATAATTTAGTGTAAAATTCAGGGTATTCCAAGTTGTAACGCTTCATCAACTCATACAATGAGTTCAACGCCAAGATGGGTACGACTTCATCATCTGTTATGTTGTAACAGTCAGTCAAGAAATCCATCAAGTTCTGTGGTTGAGCCATGTAAGGAATTATTCTCTTGTGCAACACCAACAATATCGATTTGTATTGGTTTGTCTGTATTGAGGGTAAAGACAAGATGTTCATGATAGTTTTTTGGAATGCAGTTTTAAATGCCGATGACTTGTATGCAATGGAGGGGAGCGAGTTTGGGGTGGACCAGTTTGGCAGAGATTTCTGGTCTTCGATGTCAAACAAAAGCTTAGGGCAAGTCAAAGCAAGTCTGTAAAAATTACCAAACACGGTGGACTGAGTGCCCTTCTTCTGTTCTACTTCTACGTCTCTTTCTTCTTCTCCTTCTTCTGCATCTTGCTGTTGCTGTTCTTCTTCTTCCTGTAAAACGTAATAGAAGTAGAACTGGAGGTCCCAGTATTTGCTGAAATACTTTGTATTGAACTCTTCAAGAATAAAGTTGGAGCTGGTTCCATCTATTTCAAGAGGAAACGTGTTCACCTTTAACAAGTTCTGTATTAATTTCTTATACGTCTGAGTTGGGAAGTAGGCTTGATCCGAGCTCATGTGAGTAGCCTCCAACTTTATCAACGACATGTAAATATCCAACATATCCAACTGTATGGAGGTTTCGTACGAAAAGTCTGCAGTACTTAACCAGTCCAATAGAATCGCCTTAAACGATTCATATTTATCCAAGAGCCATTTGACTACTAACGTTTTCTTCTCGTCATATGACTTCTTAGCTACAAGTAAATTATCTTCGTATAATTTGTTGAAACATTTGAAAATTGTGAGTGTGAGCAAGCGGGAAGTACCTTCGACCTTGTCGTTTTCCTTCTTAGAAAGTATAGACTTGAGGGACTTGAGCTCGTCAAGTAATTGGACAATTGAGTTGTACGAGCGTTGCTCATTGATTTGCGATGCAATGGAATTTATCTCCTCGTCACTAAGTGTAGTAATACCCCCGGAAACTCCCTTGGTTTTCTTAGCAACCTGGGATGCAGCTCCCTTTGTCGACTTTCTCTTAGCTCCTGCCATATTTAGAGAATCAACAAGAACGTATTTGTATCTGTAAACTTGAACCTCTTCTCCAGACCTACTCGGTTTTTTGTTGGTGTTGCATAAACTTTTCAGATGAGCATCTGCTTTCCTGCATACAAACATCTGGCGATACCCCCAAACGCTACGAAAATTTTCCAGGGGTTACCCGGCGACAACGCTCCAGCTGTATATAACAAAGTCAAAGTCTCTGTACGATGCATCACCTTCTTGGTTCTTTTTCCTTATGAACCTTCCAAGTTTTATACTCATATGATGATATCTCGCGTTAGTTCCGACCTTTTCCCAGGAGTTGAGTTTCTCACGAGATTCCTCTTGAATGATTTTCGTACGAAAGTCTGGGATTGATTGGGGAAGGTGTTTGGCGCAAAACATTCTTGTTACAACAAAAAACACAAACGCTTTAGAGAATTTCTGACCCCCCACACAATTCATTTAACTGGTTGGAAGAGATTCAAATTGTAGTAGTCTTCATGTAAACATTGGCTAGTAGATGAGGAAAGAAAGAAGAAAGAAGAAAGAAAGAAAGGAGTGAGGAATATGTCTTCATTCTGCTCTCATCCTGTATTCTTCTTACTCACGCTACTCTCTTACCTCTCACAGTTTGTAACAAAACCTAAGGCAGATCAACAGGCCAGATTCCTGTGCTACTGGACTGCGTCACGTAGACTTCTGCATCTTGAAGAAAAGTTCAATGATCGCTGACGTACGATTAAGTACCATACATTCTATTCTAGTGTAGAGTTTCGTGAAGAAAACAAAAAAGGTGAGCTATCCCAGTCCCTTTCTACATAGCAGACATCCTGCTCCTATTCTCTCTTAATGTTTGTTCATTATTATACAATTTAGGTAAAACCCGAACCTACTTAAAATCTTTATAATGTTTTCGTGGGTGATGAGTTATCATGCTGAGAACTCATCTTGATTTTTGTTTTGATTATTATTTCTTTAAATGTGGATATACTTTTGCAAAAAAAAGAAACAAAAGATAATCTAGATGAAGGTTTCATAAGGAACTGGAGCTAAAGTTTGAGGAATGTTGTCCTTAGCGTCAATGACGTAGGATCCTCTTGGCTTAGCTGGTTGTCTCTTTAATTGAACTTGTTCACCCTTGGCCTTGGCTTCCTTCTTTAAAGCAGCGTTGGTCTTAACTCTGTTTAAGAATTCTTGACGACAAGCAGAGTGCTTGACGTGTTCAACTCTCAAGTTGACTCTCTTTTCCAAGTATCTGTGTCCAACAACCTTATTGATGATAACACCGACGGAGGTCTTGGTAACGTTGTAAACGATACCAGTCTTACCGTGGTAGTATTTGTGAGGCATACCCTTTTGGATAGAACCGTTGGCCTTGATGTCAACAATGTCACCAACCTTGTAGGTCTTCAAGTAAGTAGACAATGGAATAGCACCATGCTTCTTGAAGTCACGTTGGAAAGCGTAACGAGTACCAGATCTGTAACCACGTCTAGAATAATATTAGTTAGTATAGGTGTTTGAAGAATAACCCCGATTTCCGTTGCTTTCTATTACTAGTTTCAACTGCACAGTTTACCGAGTCCATTCACAGCTTGAATCTACCCAGAGTCTGCTAAGATCAAGTTCATTATGAAATCTTCAATCATCCCCAAATGTACGCTGTTTGACCCCAAAATCCTCCGCTTTTTCGCCTATCTTTTTCGGTCTCTGCCTTGAACTACATAATAGCAACACTTCCCCCTATATTGTTACATACGATTTACCCATTTTTAGTTATATGTATAAAGCACTTCGTTGTAGGTTGTTAGTAGTTGAACTTTTTTTCTTTAAAATTTTCGACCCTCTCGCAGTGAGTGAAAAAATTTCCATGGGGTTTAAGGAGGTAACGTGACCACGAGGGCTGGTACCCTCGTAGGTTGATGGCCTGCAGGGTGCAGTGTGCGAAGATGGGGGCCTGGAATGGGTGCAGCACAGACGTTGACTTAGTGGAACAGTTCCATGGAATGGTCAGCAAGAGACATGGACGGGAGCTCAATGGTTACAGAAATAGCGCCAGGCATCATATGTGCTGGATTTGTATAGATGGTGGGTCTTTTGTTCCAAAGGAAATGGTTTTTAGGTACATGTGTACTGAGCGTCCCATCTATCATACGGTGCGTTTCATCATTAACTGGCTACAAACTATTGACCAAGTTATTAACAACAAACTGTTTTTTATGTTTTTCTGGCCTCTTCATATTTTCTGTATTTGTCGATATATTCTCGTTACTGTAAAGACACCGACCGAAAGCTCTTATGTTTCACCTTTCTGTCTGCCCTTTCTCCTACTGTACTCTTCTTCATCAAAATCCACTAAAATCACGTGACATCCATCTCCATATATGCAGAACATCAACATGCATAAGATCTACCACAGCACCACTTACAAGCTCAAGCGATCTTCATTCTCTTCTTTAATCTTGAAAAGTTCCATAAATCGCCTCTAATGTCGAAGTTTCTAGTACTAAACCCAGATCCAAATGACTTGAACGATGTACTTTCGAAAGCAAACTTGCAAAATTCAAAAAATGGGCCGTTTGAAGCTGTCCTACTTTTAGGTGATGTGATGTCTAACTTGGATCCTCCTGCAATTGAAGTAAGCCAAAGAACTTACTTTGGAAGAGGACCTAAGACTTTCAAAGATGTTCCTGCCGAGGAAATCGAAAATAAGTCCTTGGATATCAAAGAAAACTTGACTTTTTTGGGGAAGCCACTTAATATTGTAACATTGAAATCAGGGTTCACTGTAGCGTTTCTCTCTTCTCAATTAAATGAAGCAGAGAAAGAGGATGTTTTGACCCAGAGCAAACAAAGCGTCAAATTCTCTAGTGTAGATATATTAATTACCTATCTTTGGCCAAAAGCAATTGCTAGGCAAAATAAACTTACTTTGGTTGCTGATTCAACGTCCTTTACTGATAAATTGGTCGAGCTAATGAAGCCTAGATATCACTTTGCAGTTGGTAGCGAAAAGGGAAGATTCTACGAAAGCGAAGCATTCAAATGGAAAGTCTCTGCGTCCGATAGCTCTACTAATACCAGGTTTATTAGTCTAGGACAAAAGGGAACTGGGGAAAAGTGGTTCTATGCCTTCGGTATAGATAAATCCTCACCAAGTAGTGATGATGCAAGTACAGGCTTAAACCCGTTTGAACTAGAAGTAAATCCGACCATTGCTTCTCTACCAGCTATACCGGGGACTAAACGACCACACTCTGAAGTTAGAGAAGATAGCGATGGTAATTCGTTACCTGTCAGCAATAAGAAGATTTCAATGTCTCAATGCTTTTTTTGTTTATCCAATCCTAGATGTGAGACTCATATGATTATTTCAATTGGTAAGCATAATTACTTGACCGTCGCTAAAGGTCCGCTTCCTCCTCCAGCTCACCGCAATCGCAATAACAGTTTAGGGTTTTCTGGCCATGCTATTATCATCCCCATAGAACACATGCCTACCAACAGACTAAGCGATAGCAAGTGCACTGAAACTCCCCTTTACAAGGAGTATCTTCAATTTCAAGACTCTCTCATTAAATCATTTACTGATGGAGATAACTATTCCTTGGTTTTCTTTGAAATAAATAGACAGGCAAATATCCACCATCATACACAAATGGTTCCGGTACCGAACAACCTAATTCAGACATTTGAGGCTTCGCTTAGTGAGAGAGAGCAAAATAACAATGAAAAATTCTTGAGGAATCTGAAATTGAAGTTTGATAAGTTTGAAGATTCTAATGATCCAAAACTTATAGAATCAGTAAACGGTACCAAAGATTTCATTTTATTTACAGTGTGTAAAAAAGCCGGTGACAAAACTTACTACATTTCTGAATTAGATGGAAGTGTAGGGAAAGGAGTAGACTTGCAATTTCCTCGAAGAGTGCTTGCCTCGGTGTTGCGTTGTGGTAAAAGAGTATATTGGGAAAAATGTAGGCAGACATTATCAGAAGAAACTGAAGAATGTGAAAGATTCAAATCTTTCTATAAAGAGAACGATTTCTCATGATCCTGAGAGATCACCTTGTACTATATATATGTATTAATATTTAGAGTTCAAATCCAACTGGGATTTCAATGCATTATTTTTTTTTCCGTTTTTATATAACCAATGTCTCCATGTTTTCTAGTGGCTGTTCTAGTTTACATTTAGTGCATTGACATTTGAAATGCCATTCATCCAATTCCTTCTGTCTTATCTCGAATTCTTCATCAGCCGCATTTCCATAACATATACACAACTCTTCTCCTGGTAAAATATCTCTACTTGTCATAAAATGAATTGCTCTTCCGACTCGTTTCCTTGCCAAATTTGGTGCACACGAATGATTGAAGAATGATGCTGTGGGGTATACGGAGTATCCGAAAAATTCCTTATTAGTAGTATCAGAATCAGATAATTCCCATATTCCAAAGGCATTACTTAGATTTTTACCTATTATGTCACGAAATAAGTTTGTTGTCAAGTACTTTTGTAATGGTTCTGCAAGAGTAAGCTTAAGAAACTTATACACTCTCGTGTATGATTCGAGAAGGTAGGGATACAACGAGAGCTTTAGTATTTCATCCGATTGAAGTAATTTAAATGCTGTAGAATTTAAATCAAGCTCGCTTTGTTGCTCGAGTCCAAGATCCTCTTCTCTCTTCATCTCAAAAAGGCACCCTATAGCATATTTCAACTCCATTAATTCATTCTCATCCAAGTATGGTATAAGATTTGATCTCTTATGAACTTTTATAGGGAGCTTCATTTCCCATTTTTTTACTTCATCCCAGTATTTTTGTATTACGTCTACTGTTATTTTGATATCTGTCGTATCAGCAGCAACCTGGTTCTTTCTCTTTTGTGCCTTTACATACTCTTCTTCAGCGTGCACTATACAGCTCAGATAGAGACCATCTACGTCATAGAATTGGAATTCTTTTATACACTTATCTGAACAGAAATAGAAATGATTCAAGCCAGGAATCTTGAACTTCAAGTTAGACCCATTTTCATATCGGAAACACCACGTGCAAACTTCTTTCTTGAAACTTCTAAGTATCGATGAGCTATATGGCTTTTCACACAAGAGTACAGTCGTGCCTTGCTTGATCTCCTCTTTGGCAAAACACCCCCTTCCTCCGTAAGATGTTTTTTCAATGTCAAATACGTCCGATAGAGTCAACATTACTTCCTTTGAAGTATTCCAACGGTGGTACCTTGATAGTAAAAAACTTGTCAGATTAATTCATAAGTTGGTTCCTGTGTAGAATTTTTCAGTTAAGCTTTTGATAGATTGCCTACGTGCGGCTCAAATAAATTACAAGAGAGTTGAGATGAGATGCTTTACTATGCACCTGTATATAATCACATTCAGCTTATCGATGAAATTGCAGAAAGTGGAAAGTGCTGCATTTTTCTCTAATCCAAAGGAGGTGGTGTTGGAACGAACAGCACTAAACATAGTACTGATCTATGTAAAAGCAAGCTCGAAGGAATCAAAGGCATCAGAAACTGCTGATTATTTTTTTGAAAATTTCGTAACCTTATATTCTACCACCACTTCATACTATCAACCTTCAATACCACGAGTAAATATTTACTTGACTACATTGCTCCACATTGCATTTTAACCAGAATTGTAATTAAACTGTATATTAATTCGTAAGATGCATAACCCATATATTTTATTCTATTTAATATCTTTTTAGAATAACCATCCGAGGAATGTTTCATAATACCATTCTTTATCTTTTGGATTTCCACTAGCTTCTCTAACCGCTTTCCTCTCTTCGTATTCAGCAGCAAATCTCTCTTCTTCTGCATCGATCACATCTCTGTAAGTAACCAAGTCGACTTCTTCAGGCTTAAACATCTTAGTCTTGTGGTAAACTTTGAAACTAATATACATAATAACGAAAACTGGTAAAACAATGTACCCAGTAATAAAGTCTTTATATGTAAATGAATCACCCAAGAATACAGTGAAATTCTTAATAAAAATGACAAGAACGCAAAGAGAGAACGCAATATATGATCCATATGGTTGCAATGGAGAACGGTATACCAAGTCTCTCTTACGATCAATACCTTGAGCCTTACATGCCATCATGAATCTGATATGAAGGAACAAAATACAAGCCCAGGCAATTAAACCAGTCAACGAAACCACATTAACAAAGTATGTGAAAACAGTTGAAGATCCGGATGAAACTGTCATATATCCCAATAAACAGAAGAGGAAACTTAATCCAACTCCGAAGTATGGAACACCCATTTTGTTTGTTCTTGAGAAAAATTTTGGAGCATAACCTGCAACTGCTAAACCGTAAATTGTTCTTGAGCAAATGTACATATCAGAATTTGCGGCTGACAAAACAAACAATAAGATACAACCATTGATAATATGTGGAAGGGCAGGTATATTTGCATTTTTGATGGCAATGACAAAGGGTGAAGCTGCTGCGGTACTTCCCTTGGCTGATACCAACAAAGGATCATTATAAGCAACACACATACCAAGGAATAAAATAGAAAGTAAGTAAAAGACAACAATACGGTAAAAAGTTAACTTGATGGCCTTTGGAATTGCCTTTCTAGGTCTTTCACATTCAGCAAATGTAATACCACACAATTCGGTACCCAAGTAAGCGAACACGGCGGTAACAAGGACAGATACAAAGGCAACAAATCTACCCTTAGCTCCTTCAATATGTAAATCTTTAGTCGAATCAGCGTAAGACTTGAATGCACCAGGATTTTTCCAGTATCTAAAACCTAACCTATCATGGGTTGGACCACCTCCTAAAGCAATGATAAACAATAACAAAATTAAACCCAAGCATGTAACAACTTTTAAAGAAGACAACCAAAATTCAATTTCACCAAAGAATTTAATACCCAAAATATTGACAGCTACGATGATGAGGAGGAAAATAGTGATCCATACTCCGGGATTCAAAGTATCCCTTGAAACCCAATATTGCATCACTAAGGAACCAGCAACCAATTGATTTGCTGGTAAAACAAGATATTTGAAAAGATAGACATAACCGCATGCAAATCCCAAAGCAGGATCTACGTATCTGTTACAATAACCTGCAAACCCATCAGCCAATGGAATGAACGTAGCAACTTCACCCAATGCACACATAACCATGTAGACTACAAACCCAATAGCAGAGTAAGATATTAAAATCGAACCTGGCCCAGCTTTAGCCAATGCCGAACCAGTACCAATTAATAAACCAGTTCCCAAAGCACCACCTATAGCGATCATGGTAACATGTCTAGCGTGAAGTCCCTTTTTCAACTGGTGCCCTTCATGGTCTGCCAAATTTGCAGAAGGTGTAGATTTTGCAACGTAGAGATTATATTCATCTGTGTGACGAGAGATCATAGACTGAGCATCGTTGCTCTTTTCTAAATCAAGCATCTTTCCTTTAGTTAAGTTCTATATACTGTTTCGCAATTCTTTGTTTTAGTGCGATCGAAGATATACTTATATATGCAATGAAAACCTATTATTTTTTCCCACTACTTCTTGCGTTGCTAGCTCTGAAGTAATGACATATTTCTGAATCGATATAGGCAGTCATAGATCTGAATAAAGGTGGAGAGAATAAGCTTTTTTTCCCTTTTTTTCAATATTTTTTTTTTTCAATAGTGTACGGTATAACAATTAGAGATGTACTAAGGCTTTTTTGGCGTCATGCAGGTTGTGCAGCACTTTTCGAGCCAAGAATTTTTATCGAGACTTAGTTCCTTCCTCATTGTAAGCAAGCTCAAAGTTAATACTATAACACTGTAGCAATCTGGCAATTTTATGCTTTAGCGAACTACACACGAAGAAAGTAGCAACTAAATTATGTAGAGCCAAAAGGGAATGAAAAAAATACTACTGAACCTGTGTGCAACGACTTGAGCCAAGCTCGTAGCATAATTCTCAGGTGAGAAGAGAGAATATGGGGATGGTGCGGCTTAAACATGGTGACACAGAAGTTCAAACAACGCCGTGAAAGCGGGCAGAAACTCCGCTATTCAAGTTTTCAAGAAAGACGATGGTACCCAAAAAAAAAACAAGTCCTTGGCACAAGCGTGGAAGAAGTCAAACAGAGTGATAGAAATGCCTAGAAAAGACTACCTTTTCACTGGTTACTTGCAAATTTAGTATGCATAATTGCGGAATACTATTTTGTACTTTTATTTTTATTTTTCTTTTTTTCATTTTCCCGGGGTACAAAGTGATACAAGTGCCATCTAATAATTTTACCCCCAGGGCATCGCCTCAACTTAACTGCAAAGGAATAGTAGTGGGCGTTTTCTAAGTAGAGAGTGTAGTGTTCTTGTGTAATAAAATCAAGACATCAAATAACCCCTTCCTGGCTTTTCGTTTCTTGGGCTCTCTAGAGTACCCATCCTTACACCTCATATATGTGACAACAAGGATATAGAAATATGTTACGCGACTTACCTCTTTTTGTCTCTGATGAAAATTTCTGTTCTTTGAAGCTTATTATATATTATCATTCAAAACTTCACCCTACAAAGAATTGGCTTGAATCTGATTTCAGAACAACGGCTCAATTAACCTAAAAACGACTGGAGCCCTCACACAGTGTTACGTAAGCGAAGATTTCCTTCTATACACGCATTGAAGTGAGTTCATGTACGAGATTTCCCCACACTTCGGACCAGTGACCATACTTTTTTTTTTTTCAAATGGTGCAACTGCCAGGCAGATTCTTTCTGAAATAGTTTGTAGCAATGAACCATAAACCTTAAATCTAATTAATATGCAGAGCTCACACACTTAGTGCAATACTCTTAACGCCTTTAAATAAATCTGGGGTAATGACTATTGTTCAATGTATGACGGTGTTAGCAATTAACTCCTTCAAAGACAAGAAATAAATTAGTTATTGAAAAACAGCCAACAGAAATAACAAGAAAATAAAAATAGTATGGCTACACTAACGAGTTAGGGAATAGCATACGAATTCCCGAACAAACAGATAGCAAGGCGACCATCACCCTTTGGAAGTTTCTGATTTTTTGGATAAACTCTACATGGCTACTAAAGACAAGTCTAGTGAAGCAGGGCGAAGTGCGCTTGCCAAATATACCAAAAAATCCAACAAAATACTGTTATTGTTGAATTAAGCTTTCCACCATATCTCGGTTCATTGGCAAATGGAACCATTTACTCCCGGGAATATGTGGTTTCTGTTTTCTCGTAATTCAGTCCTTGGAAATCAGAGCTCATTCCCGGCAAACGGTGGCTACATACAGGACCATCTCCTCATTTGCTGCATTCTTTAGCATAGAAAATTTATTAGACCATCTCGGACTTTAGTTGGAAAAAAAAGCGGAGGCATGTTATGAAACTACTCCTTGGTGCCCCACAACCCAACCCATCTAACCATTTCAAAGGACTTCTTAATTCTTTTTTCTAAAATTGTTTAAATAGACTTCTCTCGCTGAAATTTGGATTTCGCTTTTCTGTTCGTGTTAGATTATTAGTAGTACTACCGAGAATTTTCTTTGTACTTTCGTAAACATAAAAATTATTTATTTTGCCCGTACTTGCTGGATTGATTCTAAGTGACTTTAAGAAATAAATTAAAGCATCTCAATTGAAACCCAACGTTTTTTAAAACAGTGCTAATTTGAAAAAAAATAACAAAAAATACAAAACTACACTAATATTTAGAGTTAGTATTATTTGAATTTGTTTGATCAGAGAAGAATATTTAGCTAAATAAAGTTTAGACGTATCTCTTTGAATTGCATCTCAATAACATTGAAGTGAAATAACAGAAGAAAAAAAAAAAAATTTAAAGATGGCCGATTTAGAATCTCAAGAACCTCAAGATCACACATTTATTCTTGAAGACGGTGCTCCAAGAGGAGTTCCTAACCCAGATATCGATGAAAATGACCACAATGGACATAAAATTACCAAAGTTCACACTGAAGGTGACTACATTCAATTTGGTAATGAAAGATATTTGAGGTCCGAATTGGTCTCGGCCTTCGGTGGTACTTTAAATCCAGGTTTGGCTCCCCCACCAAAACACAATTTTGCAAATCCTGCACCATTGGGTTTATCCGCTTTCGCTTTAACCACCTTTGTGCTCTCACTTATTAACTGTGAGGCTAGGGGCGTGACAATCCCTAATATTGTTGTGGGCTTGGCATTTTTCTACGGTGGTATGGCCCAGTTGGTTGCTGGTATGTTTGAAATTGCTGTGGGTAACACTTTTGGTGGTGCGGCTTTATCTTCATACGGTGGATTCTGGGGATCTTGGGCTGCAATTCAAGTCAAATCTTTCGGAATTGCAGCTGCTTATGAAGGACATGATGAGGAGTTGGCCTATGCGGTAGGAATATTTTTAATTGGCTGGTTCATTTTTACATTTTTCTTGATGCTTTTGACTTTGAAGTCCACGGTTGCCTTCTTCCTGATTTTCTTCTTTTTATCAATTACATTCCTATTACTCGCAATTGCAGAATTTCAAGGGTCTGTTCCTGTTAAGAAGGCTGCTGGTGTTTTCGGGTTATTAACTGCATTTGCCGCTTGGTACAATGCATACGCCGGTATTGCAAACAGCCAGAATTCTTACATTACTGTCAAGGCTATTGCCTTACCAGATTTTCAAGACAAATCTAGAAAACAGCAATAAAGAGAGTTTAATCAAAGAAGTTAACGAGAATTTAGTTAAGAATTTTTACGTGTTTTAATTTATTTTAATTGTCTAACTTTTCGTAAGTGTAGTGGTTGATACGATGTAGAAAGCTATTCAAGAATTACTTTGAGGGTTTATTTACGATATCTGATATTTCTATCATAGTTTTGTTTTATTATATTATTGTATCTAGGTGATACATTTTGTCTATTATACATAATTACTTAAAGTGGTCTATCGTCTTGTTGCTTGGAAAGGGGTGAATGAGGCAAATATTTACCTTTATTGTTTGAGTTTTTTGGGGGTGGTGTTGAAGGGCGAGAATTTGAATGAGTACCTGGGGGCCCTTGGCCATTTGTATTTATATTTGAATACAGGTTGAGTGAGTATTGATTGGCATATGGGTGGAAATAGTTTTTAACAGGTGGAGATGGTGGCAGCTGATGCAATGAGTTAGGTGAAGGCGAATTATTGTCTGATTTCCTGGGAGGTGGAGGTGGTGACTGTTGCGTATTAGAATTTTGCTGTTGCAGCACATGTAAGACCCCATTAACTTCAAATCCATTAGTGACTATGTCACTGGAAAACTCAACGATAACCTTTCTCAAATTAGCTCTCTTTATAGGTTTAGATAAAAATCCAGTCATACCACAATTTAAGCATTCTTTAACATTACTTTCATCGGCAAATGCTGTTAATGCAATGATCGGATTTGTGTAGTTCAAATTTTGTCTTATTCTTCTAGTGGCAAGTAATCCATCCACCTTTGGCATTTGAATGTCCATAAAGACCATGTCGAATGGTGTACCGTTCGAGATACTTTCTTCAAGTAGTTCGATCGCTTCTGCACCATTACAAGCCATACTAATATTCAGAATACCTTCAAGTTTAAGCATTCTTTTTATCACTTCTTGGTTAACCATATTATCTTCTGCAACAAGAACATTCAAGTCAGAAATTCTATCCGATATATGCTCATGACTCGAATTTGATATATCACTGAATTTAGCTGAGTTTGCAGTTCCCGTGGAGCCTCTGGTTATTAAATGAGGTTTTTGAAATTGTGGAACCTCCAATTTTTGATCAACTGCACCAGTGGAATGCACTGTAGATGATGACGAAGATTTATTACCATCGGCGACGATTTCAGGCTTTCCTTTTTCAGAAACTTCCTTTTCATTGTAAATTTGTGATCCTGCTTCTGACAGAGTATTGCCCTCATCACTTACCATGATGTTTTCGTCAAATGCAACTTTTCTGTTCATTTTACTATCGGGGTTAAACTCATCCTCACAAAATTCTTTCATATCATCTTTCGGTACTAATATTTCATGTGTTTGAGGCAAGGGGACGGTGAATGTAAAAGTTGAACCAACACCAATCTCGGACTTCAATGTTAAAGTTCCCTTCATCATCTTTGCTAATTGCCTACAAATAGACAAACCAAGTCCAGTACCACCATAACTTCTCGATAATGTTTGATCACCCTGCATAAATGGTTCGAAGACTTTCTCTTGTAAGGCTGGCTCGATACCTGGCCCAGTATCAGTGACCTGGATTTGAATGACCCACGATTTCGTCTTCGAGAGACGCTTAATTTGAAAATGCTTATTGTTTTTGATTATCTCTAAATCAGTGGTTCTGGTAGAATATGAACTTGTACGATTGAAATGGCTACTTTTTAGATCTTGAAGTTGAATGCTTTCAAGTTGTGGTGACTGCTTCTTAATTATCTGAGGACCGAGTCTGACAGAATCGGCTGCAAATCCCGCTCCAAAATCTTCCTTAATTGGATGTTCACCATTGTACAATGGATCAATACCTTCACCTTCCACTTCGACAATCTTGGGTAGCTCTGGTAATGCCTTGGTTTCGTTATAAAAAGCGGAATTAAGTACTTCATCATACTCACCACTACTTATTGTACTTACTTCAGCGGTATCTTCTTTGTTGGCTCTTTCCCCACGCTGTCTTTCAGTCTCTTGAACGTAAACATTTTTGAATTCATCTTGCTTCAGCCTAAGATAATCATATTCACCCAAAAGTTTGAATGTAACACCCACTGATCCATCAACGGGAGTAAATTTTAAACTATTGCTAACTAAATTCATAACAATTTGGATGATTCTATTACAATCCCCGTAGATAATTAGTTTTCTTATGATATTAGGCATCAATGAAATTCTTAAATTTACTCTTTGATCGATAGCCAATTTTTGAAAAATTGATTGTACTTGATAAACAATTTCCAGTACTTGGAAGTTCAGTTTCTCCAATTTACTTCTGTTCAATGTGTTCTTTGAATATGTCAATAATTCAGTTAAGATATGCAAAAGTAATTCACCCGATCTGTGAATTAATTTTAAGGAATCTTGGATTCTTGAGGCATCTTTTTCATCCATAGCAATTGATGTCATACCCAAAATACCGTTTAGTGGGGTTCTTAATTCATGCGAAATATTTGCAATAAAAACAGTCTTAGCTTCGTTGGCCAGCTCTGCTTCAATTTTCAGTATTTCCAATTCTTTCGTCCTAACTTTCACTCTGTCTTCTAAGTGAGTGTATTGTTTATCCAATTCTTCAGTCATAATATTGAAAGCATCTGATAGTTCCGAAAACTCATCCTTGAAAAATTTCTTTGTGGGAGGAATTTTACCTGGAAGAAAGATTCCGTAGGAATAGAGCGAGTTTGAACCTGCAGAATGCACGCTATTCCTTTTGGAAACCCTTGTGTGATTCGTATGAACCGAAGACGAGGTTCCATATGGTGGTGGCGATCTCCCATGGCTACCTGGTCCACTTGGCCCAGAATAGCTACCAGTCCCACCAGCGGCAGCAGCAGCAGCTGCCGCAGCAGCAGCAAGACCTCTCTTCTTTGACAAGGTGATAGCTTCCGTGGCCTCCTTCAATTTTGTAATTGGCCTAACGAACCATACTGCCAATGGGAATGTGATCAAACACATGAAAACTCCAATACCTATTACCACTCCGATGATAATATTTCTGAGTTTTTTGACAGGCGCAGTGAATACACTTCTAGATTGCTGAATTATTACTGACCAATACACCGTGTCAGTAAGTGTGACCTGCGTGAAACCCATGGCATATTGTGAGGTGAAGGACCTGATCTTTTCAGCATACCCGTTAGAAGAATCAGAAATCGCCATGTCTATCATGGGAGATGATTGCAAATCGTACACTGTCCCTGGAATCAATGTATCATCGGTAGCAGGGAAAACAGTCTCAAAACCAATAATGTTCAGCTTAGAATTATTATTCGCCAGGCCGTATTGAGGTTTCACTACAAGTACACTGTAGTCTATTGAGGATGAGGTGGATGTGCTGGAGTCATTAATAGATTGTTGGATACTGTTGGCACTGGATATAACCGAGAGATAGCCAGCTACCTGTGGATCGTTGAGTAAAATAGACGTGTTGGCATACACCGGGATGGTGAGTCCCATGAAATATGGACTATCGGGGTCACTTGAGTTTGCTGTGGGCCCCGTGAAATACGTCGGCACATCTATTTCTGAGTCTGTGGAAGTAGCGAACAAAGACTGTGGTATGCTTGCATTAACGGATAATGGATACAAGTAGTCCATAATCGACACAGAGATATTTGTGACATTGCTATAGCTGTCAGCCATAATTTCCATGTTCAAGTTATACAATCTGGCCGCTGCAAACGTTTCCAGCGATTGCAAGAACTGATCCAAGGTCTCCTGTGACTCAGCAAACATGGTAGTAGAGCTGTTCCCTGCCTTGTACGATACCAATGGGGAGTAAAGAGAATCCTTAGTGGACACGAAATACACCTGGTAGAGTATATTATTGAATGACTGCTTGACTTGGGATGCCTTTAGCTGAGATATCACTGCTAGTCGATCTGCTCGTAACGATGAGAGATTTAGTGAAAAGTATATCCCAGTCACTATCGCAAGGATAAGGAGCGAGAACAACGACGAAAAGCACACCAAGATGATAAGCTGCGGCTTGATCCCTATCTTAAGGCGTCTCATCTTGTGTGTATGTGTTTAATGGGACGCGATGAGGTCTGGCTAGTGGCGTACTTCAGCTTGTTTGGTTTGGTTTGTTTCTTTTTTGCCTTGTATTTTGATTACTGATTATTTTTTTTTTTTCGTAGTATGCGACTGATGGTCTGCCAGTAATGAAAATGCACCACTAAGTACTAAGTGAAAAAAAGAACAGTGGAATGGCAAAACCCTAGTATATTCAGGCCGCTGATCGAGAAAAAAAGTTAAAATTATCGAAGACAGATCTGTGCTAAATCTAGAGAGGGAAAAGTGTTACACAACTCAAGATCTCTCCTAGGTTTCGGAGTGTAGGTTGTTGCTTTTCTTCTTTTCTTTTGCCTATTGTCTAGTCTCCGTGTGTTTTATTTTTTCTTTTTCTTTTTTTCTTTTTTTTCGTTACGTTTTATTTTTTTGACGGGGTAGTGGGAAGGCTTCTCTCTTAGGGTCCTGTCAGTCAGAGGCAGGAATGCTAAGACATACGGGGGAAGGGCGACAAGAAGGATAATCAGGTAGAAGTGCCAAATATTCTATGCAAGATGATATCCGCACCTCTTATCAGCTCAATTTTGGACGATTAAGTGAGATTTTGGACGGTTGACAGTAGCCTCCTCTCTGTTGATCACTTATAGCGCCTAAGCGATCAACGCAATCGTTTCCCACGCTAACGTCTTTTTTCGACTGGCTCTCGCAGGTGGTGAGCGCTAAATTTAGATAGTCGTTGGGTAGGTTCTACATACAGGAACATTGCGATGAGCTATATATAGATGCAGCTCAGTAGGTGTCGGAGGGGAACATCCAGGTATAGGATATAGGTGGATGGGTAAGCTGAGGAGCTCATTGAGGTAGGTAAGATGTGTGGGCTCTGCTGTAGCATATTTCAGGTGTGTGCAAAATAAGTTGAAATGAATAAACCAACGTTTTAGGCACATCTGCATGAAATGAAATCCATTTACAGTTCCAAACTTAAAAGGATGTACGAGCACCAGAGGATGAGAACAAGAGAAAAGAAGAAGAAAAGGCAAAAAAACAAACGGCCACCAAAAGAAAAAAAAGGCCACACGTTCATGTATAGATATAGAGCACCGAACGGACTTTGATCTATTTCTAGTGTCCCATGGGTGGGCATGGGTGGGAAGGGGTGGTAAAAATAGGTAGTCGCAGTTTAGGTTTAAAGGTTGCAGGACGCACCGCACTTTTTCTAGCCCTACATCATGTCAAATCTAGCTAACGCACTGGCCCCACATCATCAGCATTCCAGCACTAAACCATAGGCAAATCGTGCTGCGTTAACTATAAAAATGTCTACTAGCTTATCTCTTATTTCCCGCATGTGTTTCACCCATGGGTTGAGATCGCCTTCTTGACACATGATGCAATTTTTAGCCTCCTCTCTTATCTCATCCCGCGACATAGGCATTAGAAGAGTAAAACAAGCATGAACCAATCAACCGTTTTCTTCGGGTTCACTTCTGTAAATCCATCATCACTCCAATCTGGGGAAATTGAGTAGAACTGCATGCATACAGAAATACAGCATAATCTCTTTAATCTCTTTAATCACTTTAAGCTCACTGCTTTCTGCATCATTTGTACATCATCTTTTCCTCCATTGGCCATACCTCCTATGTTTCGTTTCGCACCGTATTTCTTGAATACGCTTAAATTGGTGGTGCATGATTTATGCAGTGGGAAAAAAAATACGGCAAATTTACTCTTCATCTCCATTAGATAGCCCACCTAAAACGAGCAGCAACCCCAACTAAGTGAATTTGGCCACAAAACTTGACGTAAGGTGCATTTAACCCGCTGCACCTATTAATTGGACCGCTTATTGGACTTGAATCGGGGCCTAAATTCTACTTTTGGTGCCATTGTTTGTTTGATATTTTCTACCGTTCAAAACAAAGTGCGACACACTATGCGCAAAAAATATATAGAGAGAAATCTGGAAACGAAATAAAATAAACCCGAGCGGAGTACTTACACAGATAGAAAAGTGGCTTTCAACACTTGACGAGCAGGACGGTATTCGAAAAGGTCTTTCAGTGCAGTATTGGTAGCAAGTGAGGACGACAAAAGTAGTAAAGGAGAACCGAACCAAAAATCCGATAGCCAAAAATAGAAGTGAAAAAAAAAAAGATAAAAAAAATCTGAAAACATTGAAGCTAAGCGATAGACAGGCGTCTACACTTTTTTGATACACTTACAATACGAAAACAGAAATATATCAGCCATATAATATGAAATTCAGCTTCATAACTACCGCTCTGCTATTAATGGCGACAGTGGTGGCTGCAGAAGACTCGGATACCACAGTAAAAAACCTGAAGACAACTGCCACCACTAACTCGCTTCTGATTGTGCCCTCAACTTCTAACACCAAAGTCGTTGTTACTGTAGGAGAACTGACAAGTACTAGTGGGACAACAACTACGCTGTCTAGTAGCAGTAGCTCTTCTAAGACAACCTCCTCTGAAAGTGTGACTTCGTATGTGACGGAAGGTTCCGCAGATAAAGCCCTACTTAAGATTGTTTTGACGAAGGACAATAACTCGGAAACATACTACAACGGGATATTCCGTGTTGGATCTGATACTGTTGAGTTGAGGATCGACACGTTGCAGCCTGACTTATGGGTGATGAATGCCAACGATATCTACAACTGCTCTTACTTTGATGATGAAATCAATGAAGAGCTATCGTCATATGGTACTGGTTATTTTGAAACCGCATCCACGGGGATAGCTACGGAAACTATTTGTGCACAGGGTGGTGAATATACAACATCAACGGACCAAATTTTCCCATCACCCGAACCTAGCTTGGGAATTTATAACCAGGAAAGGTACGATCTTCCGTACATTAACGGCATATCTGCTAATGGGGTGCTTTTGACTGACACTGTCGCCTTCTTGAGTAGTCGAGATTATCTTATTTGGCTAGGCAACTTTACGTTTGCAGATGTTAACGATACTAATGTCTATTACGGTGGAGTTGGGCTTGCAGGAAATCCCACCGGTTCAGGGTTCCTTGACACTTTGACCAACTTGGGCTTAATTAAGTCTCCTAGTTACTCCATGTGGTTTTATAACGACACTGGGGACCTGTATGGTATCGGGGAATTAATTTTAGGAGCGGTGGATACTAAGTATTTGGACGGACTGTTCCTCGAGTTTGATATGCTTCCTCATACTGGTCCTAAGTTTACGGGCGGCAGATCTGATTTGATTGACAGATTAAGACTACCAATTATTGCCGTGGATGATATACTTGTCCAGAACCTGGATAGTGGTCAGAGCACATCTCTTTCCAGCGATGCGGGAACTATTCCAGTTGCTTTGGATTCTAGATCTGCGTACTCCTTCTTGCCACTTTCAGTGATTATTAATTTAGCAGTGCAAACGAATGCGTTATACAGTAGCACGTTAGATAGATGGATAGTTGACTGCACCCTCATAAGAGATTTAAACGCATATATTGAATTTGATATTGGTTCGCTCACGGTACAAGTCCCATTAAACAAATTCCTTACCAATGCCTTCGTCGACACTCAGCAGCTAACCTATAGCAGTGGTGCAGAAGCATGTTATTTAATGGTTTTACCTTCCACTAACCAGGGATTTCTGTCCTTGGGATTACCATTCTTAACTTCAATCTATCTTGCAGTGGACAATGCTTCTGGGAAAATTGCTATCGCTAACGTAAACCAAAACGTTTCCATTGCTTTGGATGACTTCACTCAAACAGCATCATCTCTATTTGCAGCATCAGCTTACACGGCTACTGCGTCTAATTTCACTAGTACCAGTGCAGATTCCATTTCCAGCATTTCGCTGAATCATATCCCATTTGCAACGGCCTATTCTTCCTCTGCCAATCTTACCTTGACCTATCTGATTCCAAGTGCAACAGGAGATGGTGAGTCCATTCCGGCCAGATTTTCAGGTGCTACGATATTGTCGGGAGAAATCATAATGACCAATTCGTTGCAAGGATCTTATAGTGGAGCTAGTGCGTCCAGTGCTGGAACCACCGAAGCAATGGGCTCGAATTTGAAAGTGCCCTGGGTCTTTGTTAAAGGAGCCAATATTAGCGCTGTTTGGACAATTGCAGTGACTTTTGTAGGCGCATTTGCATTAATAGTCTTATTGTAGAATATGAAGGAGTAGTTAGTGGAATAAAAATGGGAAATAGTTCCCTCGAAGGAAGAGGTAGAACAATGTTAGACAAATACATTTAATAAAAGAAATGGTAACCAGAATACTGATTAGATTTGTAAGAATGTATATTGTTTGTACATTCAGTGTTCGTTTGGGTTTATCTGAACTCTCTATATGCGTTGTAATAGTCATTGATTTGAAGTATCCCCTGGGCTCTATAAAATGCTACTTTCTACTTGTTTATCTCCCAAATCTTCTCTCGTTACAACTTCTTCATTTCTATACCGGAATCATCTGTTGGAACACTCAAATATTCATGCTTTGATGAACTCGTGGAGTTCAACGTGCTGTTTTTTTGCAAGTATCTGTAATAGTTATACCATAAGATGTCTAAGAACGTCAAAATCAACCCGATACAGTTTATCCAACTCAAACGGTCCCCAAATATTATCAGACTCAAGAGAATAGTCAAAAGTTCCTTGAAAATCCCTGCAATAGACAAAGTTATGACCTGAGCTACAGATAATAACTTGAACTCACATAGTGTCATCATGAATGCAAGAAATCCAGGGACAATCATTAATACAATTGTCTGGAAGATCCCTCTTAATGCCCATACAGGTGAGGATGTGAAATCAGACCAACCTTCGAAAATGAGTCCCAAAACGAAAAGAATCGTACACATACCTGGCGAAAGAAAGAAAATGGTTGATATGGAGTTGGAAGTATAGTCGTTATGTTTAAGTAATATTTGAGTAAAGGACCAACGCAAACCTGACATCATGCTTGCACCTAAAACAAGGAAAATTCCAATGGATTGCGAAGACGAGTCAATCTCTTCCTGTTCCTCTTGATCGCTATGGCGTTTGTTAACCATTAACAACACGCTAAACAGCATAGTCACTACTATAAGGACCAAATTCCACCTAAACTTCTCGAGCCCGAACAACAATCCAAATATCAAGACGAACCCCAAGCTCAGAGTTTTCAACATGGTGTATAAAGTCAAAGAGATGAACTTGAATGAAACGTTCGAAAGTCCAATGTCACCAGCTGAAGCTAATGAACACGGTAATATGGAACGTATGAATGTTGAAGGTGGCATTTTAATGGAGTTTATTAAGTGTCTAAGGGATGATTTGGTGGACGATGACGACCTTATGGTGGTTGCAGATGAAGATGTGATAGTAATGGTTGGGTTTGTTGCGGGGCTATTGGTTGTCATCAGCTCCACGTCAGGTCTCAATTTTGGTCTCCAGTATAAGACGGCAGTGGAGAGTAAGAACAAGCAGAACTGATGGAAGGATGTGATCAAGATCGGGTAGTGGAAGTCAAGACTGGGCCCAAACATCCACTTGTTATATATTGATATCGAAAGTGAAAAAACGTACCATCCCAATATGTAAATTGTGGCCTGGTAAGGTGAATTAGAGGAGCCCGAGCTGGATCCCAGTCCATTCGCGGTTGTGACTATATTGGTTGCATTACCATTGGTGTTGGTACTGCTACTCTCTCCATTTCTCGCTAAAGGAAGAGCCATTGAAGAGGCTCTTGAGCGTGGTCGCAGTATCATTAAACGTCGAGGTACAGTACGAAATAACGGTTAACTCAGTGATAGACCAAACTGGTGTTCTTATCTTGGACTGACACGTTACTCTTCAGCTTGGGTGAATGAAAAATAAAACAGAAAAATAAATGAGCCCCAAAAAAAAAAAAATAATAAAAATTGCATTAAACGAGCAGGAGTGTACATAGTGGAGTAGATGGTGCAGATAAATATAGACTAAGCAGAGCCATAGAAGTTCAAGAAGGTCACTGCTGTATGGCAGTGGTTCTACTTATTGCTTTGAAACATATCGAGGAGGAGCTGGAATTCGAAAGCTAATTAGGGGACGTTTTCGCTATTGTGCAGCTGGTGAACCGCAGGTCAGGTGAAATAGCGTGAAATGATGGTTTGTAGGGGCTAATTGTAGCATGAGAAGTGACCGCAGTATGAAATTGTGCTTCAGAGCAAAGTAAAAATAGACTAGCCTTTAAATAAGAACATTTTACTGGAAAAAGAGCATTATTCCATGACTCTGGAGTACTCTTGAAACTGTCGGTAATATTTTTCAATGTAAGTCTCGTATTTTGCATTATTCCGTGCATAATCGCACCTGCACAAGGGTTCTCTGAGCTTGAGATAGGCTGAGGGAGCTTCTTGTTAGGGGATGCTACCATCTGTCTGTATCGTAGAGCATTCCCCTCGTATATGATAGTAAAGACTATTTATAAGATAACAGCAATAGGCCCTCCAGTCTCTAAATAAGGAAATACAGTTTGAGCTGGAACCATTGCTGCTTTCCACTGCCAAATTCGGAAACCCAGTATTCCTTAATCATGTAAGATACACAAATTTTGAAGCCAGAGGGAGAGTACCGACTGTGAAAACCTTAACCGAAAAAGTAAAACTGCAGGTGAAGACATCCTGTTATCGCTCACAAACGAGAGCTGATGAAATAAAAAAGTCTCTGAGTGTACTACTGTAGAGTTAGCAGGTGTTACAGGTGACTAGCTTAATTACGTATCTGTGCATATTCTTTGCTCCTCTGTAATATTCGTCCATATATACATATATACATACATATATACATACATTTATGCATACACGCCATGTATATCAACTGACATAGTGAGGTCTCCTTTCCATTGCATAACAAATGAGATCTTGCCTCGCAATTTCGAAGAATTGCACACACATGAACCTAAAATGCCGCCGTCCATGTTCTTTAGCCATTGTAAGGCAAAACGGAACCGTCCTGCACAAAAACACTCTGGTGTGTTCTACATTTGGTAATTTTGACATAAACAAGATTGAAAAAAACGGGGACTCCTGCACCTTAGTTCAAGGTACCTATTGTTTCTTCGTTACCTAGACTAGTCTAAATCGGAATACAAGTTGTTCATTCATCGTCGAGCAAGCTAATTGACACACAGATAAATTAATTTTCGTTTTCTTTATTGTGGTATCTAAAAGTTTTTATATTTTCCGTTGGGATACATTTTTTTTCCATTTCCTATTAAATTATTGCTAGTTGTTGGGAACTTGCTGTCGTAAGGCTTGCTTTCTGTTAAACATTTTTTTACTACTTTTCTGGATTGTTGATCGTTGATCCAAGGAATTGTGCTTCGTATACTTCAATAGAAAGAAAGAGAAAGAAAGTAATAGTGACAACTAGGAGTGGAATTAGTATATATATGTATATATTTTTATATATAGTATAGCATTATGTCACTTCAAACACTTTCGAAGCAATACATCGTTGACGCAATCAAGTCGTACCAATCTCCAGGGACGTTGACGTCGCTTGTCATTGACGATTCCATCCAATCTAATTTGTATAGACTAATCCCTAAGGACTCGCTTCTTCGTTATGTTACCCTGATTGACTTGATTGAATCCAAGAGGCGTATCCAGCCATTCATTGAAGTCATATACTTGTTACCACCTACTCCATTAAACGTTAAATGCATCGCCGCCGATATAGAGGTGAAAAGATACAAGAAGGCTCATGCTCTTTTCCTGGAGGCTCCATCTTCACCAGATTTCAAGGATTTGGTCCAAAAACAAAGAGAAAAGGAAAACGGCGCAGAATCATACTTCGGCTCGATAACGATTATGCCTTTCACCATATACAATGCCGAGTCGAATGTTTTCCTCACAGACACCTTCACACCTAATTCAATGCCCATCTACTACAATGGTAACTGTAGAGACTTGGTCATGCTGCAAATCAATCAAGTTGCGAAATCGTTGGTTAGTGTCATGGCTATTACTGGTGAATACCCGTTAATCAGATTCTATTCACCTCCACAGGACTCTAACTCACACGAGGCTTCAAGGTTACCAGAACTTATTGCTAACGAGTTTCAGATTCAGATCGACAATTATGCAAGACTGAACCAAGATTATCCACCGCCACACCAGGCAAACAAACCTAGATCAATATTATTGATCACTGATAGAACTATGGACTTATACGCTCCACTCTTACATGAGTTTTCGTATCAAGCTATGGCCAATGATATCGTATTGTCCTTGGAAAGAGAAAACAAATACGTTTATAAGTCAGAAAATGAAAAAGGGGAGACTACTGATGTTTCCGTGACCTTGGACAATGAATCTGATCAAGATTGGATCCAGCTACGTCATTTACATATAATTGAAAGTAGTGAACTAATCATTGCCAAGATTAATGAATTGATAGCCAAAAACCCCTTAATGGTAGACAGAACCAAAGCCACCACTTCGACAGATTTAATGTATATTGTAGCCCATTTAAAGGGGTTTGATGAAGAAAGGAAGCAAATCACTCTCCATAAAACATTGATAGATGAGTGTTTGGACATCAATGCAGATAGGAAATTGGCTGAATTTGCAGCTGATTTTGAACAAACGTGTGCCGCAGGTGGTACTTCTTTCGAAGGGATCAGAAATAAACAGCTAGCCAATGATTTAATAGATTTATTGGCAAGACAAGATCTTCATATCAATGATAAGATGAGATTGGTTCTTATATATGCATTATACAGAGGGGGATTAATTGAACTGGATTTCAAGAAATTGACCAAATTTATCGGTTTAAGTGATGGACAAGTGGAGAGCGTCACTCAACGTTGTTTCACCAATTTGAGGAAGTTGGGGTTTGCAGCAATCAAACCTGATATTAAGATGAACAGAGTGGAAAAGGCAGAATTTCATACTATAAACAATGAAGGTACTTTCAATACGAGTAGATTTGGGCCAGGGGTCAAAGCAGTCTTACAAAAGGCAAGTAAGTATCAATTAGATGAGAAATTGTTCCCATACTTCAGAGACAAGCCCTTGGAAGAAGATTTGCCAGAATCGGAAAAATCGTCAGCTGGTAGTGGACAGGAAGCCACTGGATCACTTAGAAATCCTCGAGTGAAGGCTTCTTGGGCACAATCTTCTAACAAAGTGTCTGGTATTGGAAACGGCAGCAGTGTTGGGGGTGGCCGTCCTAAGCAGAGAATATTTTGCTTTGTAGCCGGTGGGATGACTTATTCTGAAATGAGATCCGTTTATGAATTGACTCTGTCGTCTAACAACAATAAAGAGTTCTTTATTGGTTCCGAATCTGTTCTCAAACCTAGAGATTTCCTTATTGGGCTCCAAAATGTGGATGACAAGAAATCTAGAGTAGATTTGGACTTAAATTTGGACAAGCAAAAGCAAAGAGCACATATGAAGGCACCACCCTACTTGTTCGAAATCCCACAGCAGAAACCAGTGATCAATGTTTCAGCTTCTTCTACGACCAGCACTCCACTGCCTTCTTTAAGACCCAATGAGCCAATTAAGTCTTACTCATATTCGTCTACAGGAGGAAGTAGCGGCATTAGCAGCAATGTAACCAACGGAGGTGTGCCACTGCATTACCAGACAAGATTAGGACAAGGAGGAGACCCGGCGCTGCCACAAGATGAAAAGAAGAAGAAATCTAAGTTGAAGAGACTATTCAAGTAAGATTAATGAGTCAAAGGAAATATTAGATCTGAGAGAGAGAGAGAGAGAGAGAGAGTGTGTGTGTGTGTGTGTAAGTGTGTGTAAGTGTGTGTTAGCGAGCGAGCACATGCCTAGAATTCACGAAATCAAAGTAATAGGCAGCAAGAGGCCCGTACACTCGAATCTATTATAGAGCTTATAGTTATAAATAGAGAGACCTTTCAATACACTATCATACATCAATTACACCTTAGCGAAGCTCTCGGGTTGTTGCCCTGGGCCAGTGTCGAGTGCTTGAGCTATTCAGCCGCACCAACTCAGTTCCGTCTGGTTACTCGCCAACACATATTACTAAGCACTTGCATGCAGGCGAGCAGATAAACCAGATAAGAGAGGAGTAAAAAGTGGCTTCAAAGAAATGGACCGGTGACTAACATATCGACCCGAAGAAAGAAAAAGAAGATCAAGCCCTTCCAATAAAATGCAAACTAGTGCCAATGTCACTTATATATTACAATAACCTAATTACCTCCTGAATTAGAAGATCGTTTCAGATTGTAGCCTCTCATTCAAACTTCCTTCTCTCACCAAATTTAAACTTTTCACCTACTACTAATTAAGCAAGAAAACGATGCAGGAGATTCGTGCGCGCTGCAGCGGCACAATGTTCTTGTGAAAAATGTAGAGACGAGTGGCACCAGCCAGCTGGCGTAGAAATATTTACAGAAGGTAGGTAAATTTTTCGAATTACTCTTTGTTAGTCTTCTTGTAGTGACTAACAGTTTGTTTCAAAAATCGCGATGCAAGAATCTATAATGGAAGCGTCGCAATTGAATGCGAACCACTGGAGCTTCCTTGGAGTGTTCTTTCCGGATTTAGTTGCTGAGCATGGAATCGGAGCTTCCCTTGCGATGACAGAGAAGCTTCATAAGGGCGGTAGCACTAATTCGACCAAAGGACATCAGGTCAATTTCGGATCTCTTATATCTTGTAGCTCTAAGGAAGGATGGGGCCCTATTTCGAACAGATACAGTGACTTTACGCCATGCTTCTTGACTAGCTTGTTTCTTGCCTCATCGTTGTTTATGATTATCTTCGGTTCATTACAAATTCGTTCCTTACGAAACAAGAAAGCCACCATTAGTAATAAAATCACCTGGGCTTTTTACTTGAAATTGATTTTGATCGTTTTCCAGCTCATCTTTGCCTTGGCCCTGTTTAAGTCGGAAGCCATTGTCACCGGTTGGGACATCACTGGGTTGGCTTGGATTGCCCAAGTCGCTGCTATTGTCGTTGCCTTTGGTTTACACTATGTCGAGCAATTTATGTCTGTTATCCCCAACGGAGTCTTGTTATTCTTTTGGTTATTCCAGGGTATCTTAGGCGTCATCAAAATTGCCAATTTAAGTGTCAGAAGCGAACTGAAGCTCGACGTCTTTGTTGTATTTTTGCTTGTTAATGCCACTTTGATTTTATCAATCGAGTTATACATCCCCCAACAACCAAGAAACTTAGTTGCTCAGGCTGCTATCAAGAGAATTTCTCCCTATGATGTTGCAAATATCTTCTCCAAGATTACTTTCAACTGGATGGCCCCATTGATGAGAAAGGGTTACGAACATTTCTTAACTGAGTATGACCTCCCAGTCTTACCTCATGAATTAAAGCTGAAGGTTGTAACAGAGCAGTTTTCCAAGAATTGGGACTCTCAAGGCCAAAACCCATCTTTAGTCTCTGCTATTGCTAAGACTATTGGGGGCCAATTCTTGATGAGTGGTTTCTTCAAATTTGTTCAAGATTCGTTATCCTTTGTTCAACCTCAGTTACTTAGATTGTTGATTATTTTCGTAAAGGACTATTCAGAGCTGATCGAAGATGGTGGTGAGCCTCTCCCATTAACTAAAGGTTTTATGATTGCTTTTGCCATGTTCGTTGTTTCAGTCTCACAAACCGCAGCTTTACATCAATATTTCCAAAGAGCATTTGACGTTGGTATGCAAATAAAATCTGCCTTAATTAGTAGAATTTACAAAAAATCTTTAATTCTTTCAAATGAAGCCAAACAGCAATCGAATACTGGTGACATTGTCAATCTTATGTCTGTGGACACACAAAGATTGCAAGATTTATTCCAAAACTTGCAAATGGTTTGGTCTGGACCTTTGCAAATTATCTTATGTTTGATTTCGCTTCATGGTGTTTTAGGTCCATCTATGTGGGCTGGTGTAGTAATCATGATTATTATGGTTCCATTGAACACAGCAATTGCCAAATATCAAAAGAAATTACAAAAGGCTCAAATGGGCTACAAAGACGAAAGATCAAGATTAACAAGTGAAATCTTAAATAATATTAAATCGTTGAAGCTTTACGGTTGGGAAAAACCATACTTATCTAAATTGTATCACGTCAGAAATGACAAGGAATTGAAAAATTTAAGAAGAATGGGGATTTTCCTGGCTGTTAGTACTTTCCTGTGGACTTTCGCTCCTTTCTTAGTCAGTTGTTCTACCTTTGCAGTTTTTGTAATTTTCGAAAAGGATAGGACTTTGTCTACTGATATTGTGTTCACAAGTTTGAGTTTGTTCAACTTGCTTTCATTTCCATTAGCTGTGTTCCCAATGACAATTACCAACATTGTTGAAGCCCAAGTTGCCATTTCAAGATTGACAAAGTTTTTGACTGCCACCGAGTTACAAAAAGATGCTGTTCAGTACTCAAATTCCACTTCCGGAGGTAATGTTTCTATCAAGAATGGAACTTTTCTCTGGACCAAATCAAACAATAGTGAAAATTATAAGGTTGCTCTTTCTCAAATTAACCTTGATGTATCCAAGGGTGATTTAGATTGTATAGTTGGTAAAGTTGGTTCTGGTAAATCTTCCATTATTCAAGCCATTTTGGGTGACTTATACCGTTTGGAAGGTGAGGTAAAGGTAAACGGTAACATTGCATACGTTTCTCAAGTTCCATGGATCATGAACGCTACCGTAAGAGAAAATATTCTCTTCGGTCATAAATATGACCCTGAATTTTATGCTACAGTTCTTGAAGCATGTGCCCTCGCTGTTGATTTGAAGATTTTACCAAAAGGAGACAAAACTGAAGTTGGTGAGAAGGGTATTTCTCTTTCTGGTGGTCAAAAAGCGAGATTATCCTTAGCAAGAGCTGTCTACGCCAGAGCTGACATCTATTTATTGGATGATCCATTATCTGCTGTAGATGAACATGTTGGAAAGCACTTAATTAACAATGTTTTGGGCCCTGAAGGTTTGTTGAACACCAAGTGTAAAATTTTGGCTACAAACAACATTGGTGTCTTAAGTATTGCTACTAATATCCATATGATCAGCGATGGTAGAATCATTGAACAGAGTACTTATGAAGAAATCATGAAGAAACAAACAAAATCTGCTTTAAGATCATTAATTGAAGAATATGGTAGAAAGTCTGCAACAAAGGCTACCAAAGAGGAAAAAATCTCTGAAGAAAATGTACTTGAAGAACAAGTTGATGACGAAATTGAAACTTTTGGTGGTGAAGGTGTCGGAAAAACTGGTGTGTCCACTGGTTCAGACAACAGATCCTTAAGGCGTGCATCTCTCGCACCTTTAGATGATGATGACATTATTGAAGAAGAAATTGAAGATGCTGACGCTTTGTTGCGTAAGGAACACATCGAACAAGGGAAGGTTAAATGGGAAGTATATCTCGAATATGCCAAGGCATGTAACCCTTACTCAGTTCTCCTTTACGCAGTATTCACTGTTTTCTGTATGTTCTCTAATGTTTTTTCTTCGATTTGGCTTAAACATTGGTCTGAAGTGAATTCAGAACATGGATATAACCCTCAAATTTTCTTCTATTTGGGAATTTACTTTGGAATTGGTTTATTGTCATCAGGATTGAGTTTGGCTCAAAATTGTATCATGTGGATTTTCTGTACTATTCATGGATCAACTATTTTGCATAATAACATGGCAATCAGTGTTTTAAGAGCCCCAATGTCATTTTTCGAAACGACTCCAATTGGCCGTATTTTAAACAGATTTTCAAATGATGTTTATAAAGTTGATGAAATCTTGGGTAGAGTGTTTGGTATGTTTTTCTCAAACTCTGTTAGAGTTCTTTTCACACTTTCTGTTATCTTATTCTCAACATGGCAATTTGCTTTTATGTTACTCCCAATTGGTGTTTTGTACGTCTACTATCAGCAATATTACTTGAAAACATCCAGAGAATTGAGAAGATTGGATAGTGTATCAAGATCTCCAATATTTGCCAATTTCCAAGAATCCTTGAATGGTGTTTCTATTATTCGTGCTTATGGTCAACAAGACAGATTTGCATACCTTAATGAAAATAGAATTGATAGGAATTTAAGTGCTTATCATCCATCAGTAAATGCTAATCGTTGGTTAGCTGTGAGATTAGAGTTCTTAGGTTCCCTTATAATCTTAGGATCAGCAGGTTTATCTATTTTAACTTTGAAGAATGGACATCTTACTGCAGGTCTTGTTGGGTTATCAGTGTCTTATGCATTACAAATTACTCAAGCCTTGAATTGGATTGTTAGAATGACAGTTGAAGTGGAGACTAATATTGTGTCTGTTGAAAGAATTTTAGAATACTCGAGATTGACACCAGAAGCCCCAGAAATTATCCCTGATAACAGACCAGAAGGGAACTGGCCAGCAAACGGTGAAGTCGTTTTCAAGAACTACCTGACCAAATATAGACCAGAGTTAGATCTTGTCTTGAAAAATATTAACATTTCTATTAATGCCAGAGAAAAGATTGGTATCGTTGGTAGAACTGGTGCAGGAAAGTCATCGCTTACTTTAGCCCTTTTCCGTATCATCGAAAGTTTCGAGGGTCATATAGATATCGATTCTATCAATACCTCTCAAATTGGTTTGGCTGATTTAAGACATAAGCTATCTATCATTCCACAAGATTCTCAAGTTTTTGAAGGATCTATCAGAAGTAACTTGGATCCTACTAACTCATCTACCGATGAGCAAATTTGGAATGCATTAGAACTCTCTCACTTGAAGGATCACGTATTGAAAATGTTCCAAGAAACTGACAAGGAAGAGGGGAAGGAAGAAATAGCTTCCGGTCTTGATGTAAGGTTGAGTGAAGGTGGTTCAAATCTTTCTGTTGGACAACGTCAATTAATGTGTTTGGCAAGAGCATTACTTATTCCATCTCACATTCTTGTATTGGATGAAGCGACCGCTGCAGTTGATGTCGAAACTGATAAAGTTTTACAAGAAACAATCAGAACAGAATTCAAGGACAGAACCATCTTGACTATTGCACATAGATTAAACACAATTATGGACAGTGACAGAATTATTGTATTAGAGCATGGTGAAATTGCTGAATTCGATACTCCAAAGAATTTACTCAAAAAGTCAGATTCTTTGTTTTACGGTTTGTGCAAAGAAGGAGGTGTAGATATAGATAACCTTTAGATAGTAGGAGCTATACCAAAATCATATCAGAATAAATATGCAATAACAAAAAAAACTATGTATTCTAATAACTAGTATTTTACTTACTTAAATAATATTTGGATTAATGTTCAGATCTCTTTCTTAAAGAATTGACGTACCACAATGAACTAACTTCTTTTCTCGATTCAACTTCAATACTTTCGATACCAGCTAACGAAATATCTGTAGGTTTTAAGATACCATTATCTAATTCAAATATGCTAACGAGATCACCTTCATCGGCATCGTTAGAACCAACAATCAGAGAATCGTTATACACTGAAATATCAACTAATGGGTTGTGCAAAGTAAGGGCTTGTTTGAAAACTATTTTACTTTTGTTTTCTATCTTAAGCACTAGTAAACTGTTAACGTTTTCAACGAGTACAATAATGTAACCATCCAAAAGAGACAATATTTTAGAAACAGAAATCTCTGGCACAGAGCTCTCGGTAAGAAACCTTTCAGGTGCATTATGAAAGTCTTTGAAAAATGGATTCAAATGCTCTCTAAGATCCACTTTGTCTATAAATTTACCTTCATACCAGTTCCATAAACATATAAAGTCATCACCACCTCCACTAACAAGTAAATCAGGAGATGAGTTTGGAATGTGCATACTCGAGACATACTCATTATGCCCAAAGAGCCATTGTTTAACTACGTAAGACTTAGGATAGTTAGAAACTCTAATATGCTCATCTCTATCAGCAGTGAGTATAAACTGTTTACCATTCTTTTCAGTCATAAGGACATCAGTCAACATAGAAACGTGGCCCAAAATTGGATTCATGGTCTTCTCATCTTGGAGTAACTCGCCTACAGTGGGGATGGTGTACACATCACCGAACTTATCAGCCACCACAACATTTTGGAGATTGGAGTCCATACTCACTGAGCATGGCCTCTTGGGCATTGGTTGACGCTTTAACAATACAAGACAATTTGGCTTAGAATAATCTATTTCGAAAATTACGATAGACTTATCATTATCAGTGGTTGCAACCAAATACTTGTCAGAGAATATATCTAGGGTACGGATATAAAATGTAGGTTGTGGCACTACTGTAGTGCTTTTCTTCGCCTTCTTTGCTTTCTTAGTCTTCACTTCAGCTTCGGCATCTCCTCCTTCTTGCTTCTTCACTTCTGTTGTCTGTTGATAGTTAGGTATCACCTCATCGTCCCAAGATCCAACTGGTGTGCAGGATGGTACAGATGAAGTCGGCTTTCTATCAACTTTGAAGACACGAATATGATTTTTGAAAGCACCGAATATACATGATGTGCTTGAATCTACAGCGACAGATTGAAACGGGTGCTTCATCATTAGTGTGTCTGTCGTTGAAATGAAAAGAGTGGATCTTGTTTTGCGATGAGCTCTTCGAGAAATTTCACGCTAGTGGAAAAAAAGCTTCGATATAAGGTGTTCCAAAGCCTGCATATAATTGATACGATAATGGCTGCAAATTATAGTCAATTCTATCTCTTGAAGTATTATTCAGCTCTATACGGTCATATCTATTATATCATGATTAAGATGTAAAGAAAATGGAAGAGAAAGAGCAGATATAAAATGAAATCTCTAAAAAATTTTCTATTGGAGGAGATATATACATGTGCACAGTTTATAAGCGAAGCATTTGGTCTCACTTTTTCTTATACCAGCCTGCCCAAGACGAAATCTTTTTGCCAAAGGTTTCCTTATTATCATTATCACCACCCCCGCCTAACTTGACTGGCACGATGTTGTCACCTCCTTGCAATGTCACTGGTACAATCCTTTCGTCGCTCCTCATCTTCACTGCAACTATCCTTTCAGGCAGTTTATTTTCAACTTGGACTATTCTATCAACTTCCTTCGGGATGAATTTCTGGGTAGTAGGCGTAGTTGGAGGATCAGGGGAAGCTCCACCCCCTGTTAATTTCTTAAAACCATTGAAAATGCTGTTTAAGTACGGCTCATCTTCCCCTCCAAAATACCCTGATTGTCCAACTGCAAGGTGTTTCGGATCTAAAAAGTTGAAAACAAACTCATCAGCAACGGAATTCCAAATTCTAAAATTTGCTGTTTTAACCCATTGTTCTACAAATTTTTTATTGAACAACGTTAAATTTCCATTCTGTACGTTGTTTGTCTCTACATCAGACGTTGACGACCAGTCGTCATGCCCATGCGAACCATGTGATTTGTTGTCAGTATTATTGAAACCTGGAGGTGGAGTACCAAATTTTTCAACATATTGATTGTACCTAGTTGTCAGAAGCAAAGACAACAAATAATCTTCAAATTGGTACCTAATATAGTCATCGCTTCCTACGTAAGTTTCTTCCTTTTGTTCATTCAGACGTGCTTGAAGTTTTTGATGCTTTACTTCCATAACCAAGTTGTTGATGAATTTCTTATCATACATTGGTAATGCCAATTCTTCAGGTCTGATCCCTTTTGTTGCTGGGTAACTAATCTCAGTCAGGTCCAAATTTATCAAAACGTCAACCTTCAAATGATCCAGTTGGTTGACAAATAATAAGTTGGAGCACCCAACCATATAACTTACAGTTTCGTTTGCACTTAATTCGCTCAACTGTTGAAGGGGTAAGTATGGATTCCAGAAAGAGCCCTTTGTATTAAATATTTGTAAGGGTAACCCGAAAAACCTTAACATTGAGTGTCTATTATTCGTATTCAACGAGATGGGTTTCCTGAGTGGTCCATTAATTTCAGAATAATCCAAAAGTGGGCATCCTGCCAAGTCAAGGTGATTTATTAGATTGGGCATAAGCAGAATCAATGTATTTTGAAATTGAGTTAATAATTCCAAGTTATTATTCGAATAGATGACTACTTTCTTCTCAAGGATTATACTCTTGAAAATAATAAGGAACTTAGATGCAAATTTTAGGATTGATTTTTGAAGGTTTAGGTTCACAAAAAATTCCTCCTCCTTTTCATTTTTTAGCCTCTCTTCGTTCATAGCTTTTTCGTATGTATAGTCAATAGATGGAGGGGGCAATTCAGTTTCCTTTGTATCAGCTCCTTTGTCGTCCATGGTGGGGCGAGTAACAAAAATGTCGTTCAAATTGTCGAACAACAGATCTAGTATTTCAAAATTATTGAAATCCCCTTGCTGAAAATAGCATCCGGTAATTATAGACAACTTCTCCTTGATCTTGTTAAATATCGGCTGCTTTCTACATATCACAACCACTGCCTTCTGGACTATGGACCTTGTGATATCTTTATTCCTATCCATTTCTTCTTGAGATAAATCTGATGTCTTTACCTGCTGTACACAAGAACACCCAAATAGCGTTTTGAGGGTTTTCATGTTCTTGATCTGAGAACTATAGACATTATAATCATTACCGTCATCTAAAGATTCTCCACTTGCAAAGTCATAACATAAATTAAAATTCGAAAAGGTTTCTTCGAATAGATGAGATCCGTCTGGGAGGGCTTGGAATGGTAAATTCTTGAAAAGGGAAGGGTCATACTCAGGGAAATAATTCGATTTCCAATACTGAACTTCTGGTCCTCTTAAATGGTGAAAGTTTACTAAGCAGACAGCAAATATTTTATCGTTACACAGATATGTGGGGCCGCCATGACCACCACTGAAGCTTGATCTTTCCATCAGCACTTGTGTAGTTGGTGAAACGATGCTACTGCCCCGACTATGACCCTTGCTATGCACACTACTTGGCCTTCTCTTCTCGATTGGTAGCGACTTCACTTGGATATGAGAAGAGTTATTCAGCGATGTATCGTTCACATCGGTACTTACGATATTAAAATTAGTATGCATTTTTCGAGATATTGAACTGGATGACGAACTTGGGGAATGCACTGGAGTTTGATTCTGATCATGAGACAACGACAAGGCCGTTGGACGGTTCGGTGATGTGTTTGACGAGCTACTATTATTATTGTTACTACTATTGCTACTATTATTACCGTTATTATTGTTGATATTAGTGCTGGATGCGGTGGTAGAACTTCCAATTGACCTATTTCTGCTCCCTAGTCTAATGGGTCTCATTTGAAATTCGTCCTGTTGCGTAGATTTCCCATTGCTCGTGCTATCTTGCCCTCTTTTCGCAAGTCTCATCTGTTTCCCCTGAAATTCCTCTGCCAAGGGCGATGGCGTCGGCGAATTGTACTTCTTCATGCTGCAGGATACTGAATCGGTCTGTAAATAACCAAAGTATACGACTACACTAGAAGCCTTTAGTGGATCACTGAGAAAATGGAGAGCCTAATACAAAAATGTTGAAAGCCACGATCACAAAAAACGAGAAAAAACTGAAGCAGAAAATAAAAAGAATTTATGCACCTACATGCGGTTCAGGTAAAGAAATGCAATGGTGATGAGTATGGAAGTATATGAGCATATGAAAAGAGTGTTTCAGATTGAATTGAGTGATACAGGAACATCCAAAGAAGCGCTGGCTCAAAAAGAGTCAGATACTCAGCAATTGAACATTGAAACGGCTAATAATAGAAAGTGTGTCGTGACTTATGCTGACCATTAGCTGAGCTTCCACTACAGTTCTGCAACATTCTCGCGAGTATGTTGCACACGAGGTTGAGCCACGCACCACGTCAAATAGAGCATATGTCAGAAGCGAGCCAAAACCATAAATAAGAGCAAGACAGAAGATAGAATATAGACCAGAAATAGGCTCTATTTCTATGATTAGATACAATCCTTTTCCATGGGAAACATTTGCTTTCTTAATGTTGACACCTTATTCAGACTCGCTTGATAAGTATTTTCTCATCATTGATTATGTACAATGCTGCCCAGTTCTGTCTCTGTCTCTGTCTCTGTCATCTGCTTACTATATGCTCTATTGCGTCTGATAGCTCGCTTAGAAAAGGCCAGTCCTCGAAGTTAGCCCAAATAGTAAATTTCTTGAGAGCTGGACGTTTCATGCGTTTGTAATGTGTCGCAATGTCGTAGTTCTTTACCTAGTCATCTTGGTTTAACGTGGGTGTCTCTGGAGCCAAATTTTACGAAGGGAGCCGCCGAAAAAAAAAGTCGCTTCTCGCTAAACCTGGGCTTCCGCTAGGGCTATATAGACATAGAGCTTATATCAAAAGACCTAGTGATTGTTTGGAGAAAAGCATACATTACATGCAAGGTACTTAAAAGAGTACACTATCCTTAAATCACATCTCGGAATTTACAAAAACTTTGATTTCTTGCTACTTGTTGGCGGCTAACTAATTCTTCTAATAAAATCTCAAGCAAATTTCTAGCTCACTCATAACCTAGCCTTGTATATAGCATCATAACCACTAACACTGACACCCTTCTGCTCTTCAATTCCTAAGTATTTCACAACCTTATCTTTGCTGATCACTAATGCAAATCTTGCGGTTCTGATTCCAAATCCTACAGCAGAAGCATCTTTAGATAATCCATGTGCTTGTGCAAATTGAGCATTGGGATCTGAAGCAAATACGACACCCTCATAGTCAGAAATTCCTTGTAACAAGAGTTTACCCCAGGCATTTAATACAAAGGCATCATTTGCACTCAAAACAATCAAAAGGTTAATCTTCTTGTCCGAGCGAAGCTTAGCTAAATTATGAAGAAAAGGTGGAATGTGGTTTTCGGTACAGGTTGGTGTGAAGGCACCTGGTACTGAAACTATGGCGATGTTCCCACCCTCTGGAAGTTTCGCAATTTGATCGTCCAACTTCAACAATATTGGCACAGAGCATGCCAATGGGGGATCATTGGGATTAATTGGGATGTACTTGAATTCTACGCCTGATGGCCAGGCGTCGCCAGTTTTAATTATTTCCGACATATGTACTTTATGATGCTAGGAAAAGATCTGTATTTCAGTATAGACAATTTGTGTGGGGGGGTTCTTCACCTTTTATATCGATTTCGTGCTTGCGACTACACCACCAAAGATAACGAATTCGGAAACTGCCGAGCCTCCACAGATTTTCAAGAATCAAAGAAACTAAAGGTTGAACACAGAATTGAGTTAGAGTGGGGTTCCCAACCTACGAGGTCCCATAGGACACCTACAGTAATATATAAGAAGGAGCATTAGTCTAGCCTGTGGCTGATAAGCTGAGATCCCCAGAATGAGCTACATCGATAGAAACACCTACCATGTTCCTACGTCATTTATACTTCCCACTATATTGCATCCTGCATACTACATCGAAATTTTTCAATTTCATCTAGTTCGTAATTTTTTTTGTCGTTTTTCACTTCTCCTTAAGAAAGGCCCTCAGACCTCTCTTAAGTAAGTTTTTCACTCAATCATATATTGCTTGTAAGAAAAAGGCTATTTTTTTATTTATAGTACGATACTCATAGTTGTTTGAAGGAGTACGCTTACAATTGACCAGAAGCATCAATGGTAACCTTAGCTCTGGTAGCACCAGAGTTGGAACCTAAAGATTCAACCTTCTTGACAATGTCAAATCCAGAAACAACTTCACCGAAAACAACGTGCTTACCGTCTAACCATTCACATGGAACAGTGGTGATGAAAAATTGGGAACCATTGGTGTTTGGACCAGCATTGGCCATGGATAATAAACCTGGCTTTTCGTGCTTCTTGGAGAAGTTTTCATCGGCAAACTTTTCACCGTAGATAGACTTACCACCGGTACCGTTACCTCTGGTGAAATCACCACCTTGCAACATAAAGTTTGGAATAACTCTGTGGAAGGCAGAACCAGCGTAACCGAAACCCTTTTCACCAGTACATAAAGCTCTGAAGTTTTCGGTGGTCTTTGGAACGACATCGTCGTATAATTTGAAGGTAACTCTACCTAATTGGGATCCATCTGCGGAGATATCGAAGTAAACTTGAGACATTGTAATTGTTATTTAGTTTGGGAAATAAAGGATGTCCCTAAAATGGGGGATCTTGGTGATGGATATCGGTTTAGTTATATAGTGCTATGGATAGTGGTTACCCGGATGGAACGTTCTCGAACACGTTTGTATGGAGGTTCCTAATATGAGAGGTGTATATGGAAGAGACTTGGAGACTTTGGATCATTGTGCAGGATTTCCACTTTTAATCTTGGGTAGTGCCTATACTAGTGGTTAGGAGATGGGGCCCAGAAGAAGAACAAGGGGGACACAGGGCGTGTGTGAGGGTTATACATCTAGTTTAAGAGGGGTAGACAGCATTTCAATTGAGCTGAGTAAACCGTATTTGTAGATTTGGTCATCTTCTATTTGTATTCCTATTTGTCTCCAATTCAATGTTTATGGTCTTGAATTGGAACCAGCAATGAAAAATTGTGCAGTTCAAAGAGATCAATTTTCACTACACCCTCCCACCCCTTTGTTGGTCAACTTAACCAATTTGATTTTTATTTTATTTTTTGCTGGTTTTTCTGTCCTTCTTATCCAGATATTGTCTGATTATTGAAAGGGTTTAGTATACTCTGTCACTTTTTCTTATTTTAGCTCTTTTAAGAATAATTGGGGCCCAATTTTTCACCCAGATGAGAGGATTACGTCACAAGTATTTCTAGAATCGTATGGTGCACGGGTGAAAGCTTTTTAGTTAATTATGCCAAAGCCCGGAAGGGAATTCTGAAACATTGTCTTGGGGGGACCCCACCATCCCGATTCAGACAATACTCTACTTCCAGAGGGATCCAAAGGATAATTGCGTTAGAGTGGAAGTGCAAATGATACTACAATTCTGTTTTCTAGTTCTCTTTGGTGCGCCGTTCCTTTGAATTTTAATTTTTTATTGCCAGGGCACTGCAGTGGGAAAAAAAAGAGACTGCCCAACTTAGTGTACCCTTTTTCTTTCTGAACTTAGATGTCTAATAACAGGCAGTATCATTGTTATAGATAGAAAGCTTAAGTAAGCGTAGGATACTCAACTGAACTGTCTTGCATGTCTTGAAACGGCTCTAAAGAGTGAACGTAATCTCTACTATAGAGGAATGCGAAGTCGTCCCCTGCGATTGTGCAGCAGTAGGGGAAACTCCTCTTGAATTAATCCTACGTCTATGTAAGTCCACAAACAGTCACATAGACCAGTATTTTCGATAAATATGAGAAATATTCACCCAAGATGACCTTCTGATCCACCTCCATCCTCCCTGCCCATACTAAATTGACCGTATGGGTGGCTGCAAATGTGATGCATGGAAATCTCAATTTTGTTTTTCAATGCCGCACGTGCTCCAAACGCATAGCATCTTTAAATTGAAGATGGAGTACAAAATCCAGTCTTGCTTGGTTTGTGACGGGCTTTATAGAAGAGCCATTCATACTCACTCCCGCTATCAAGCTTCTTCCCTCAATTGGAGGTTATACTAGTCTTCCAGGATGAAATTCGGTGAAACTCTTGGTGAAGGCTTGGTCCCTGAATGGAAAGCTCAATATGTGAACTATAAGGCGGGGAAAAAGTTGATACACAAGGTTGACGAGTTGCGATTGATCTATGATAAAGAAAACACATCTGATGATCCACCGCCAACTAGTATTAGCAGCTTGACTGGGCCAGCAAAGAAGAAGGCTGAAGACAGAGCCAATGACCGTACACCTCTACTTGAACCAATTGAAGAAGCTGTGCCGCCTTTGGAAAGTATTGATCCGAAAGATAGCACCACCAGATTACCTGATGCATCTGGTTCTGGCTCTGGTTCTGCCCCAAATAGAGATCGACTGAATACAGAGCTCAACAGTGAAGACGTAGGGGGTGGAGGAAAGATAAAAAAGAGAACCTCCTTTCTCAACTACTCACTCCGCTCTTCAAACAAAGATAAGCAACAGAGCAACTTTGACGCTGGTAAGGCTGCATTTGTAGAATGGGCAGACCAGGAACTAGAAAAGGTTGACAAATTTTATCTTGACAAGGAATCAGAAGCATATGAAAAATTTTTGCACTTGCAAGATCAATTGTATCAACTTAGAGAGCATAAACTCGAAGTTATTGAAGCAAAGTTAAAACATGCTGATAGGAAAAAGAATAGCGGGCTTACTACTGGCGCTGGAGGTATACTCTCTGATTCTTCGATACCGGTGAACCTCAATGTAGCTAATCCTGATTCATTCGATGTCAGTGATTGGAGAGCATATGCCAAACAATATATAGATAGGTTGAACAGGTTTGAAACTCCATCATTACCTTCAACGACATTCTTAAAAAAGTGGAGAAAGGACAAGAAGGACGACAAAATTGGCAATGAAATCTCTTTGGGAAGGAAAATTTCAGGAACTGGCTTTGATAACGACGATGAATCTGGCGATGACTTTGAGTATGATCCAAATTATGACCAAAATCGAATTAGAAATGGTCAAATGTATCTCACTAGAGAGGATGAGTTGGATGATGACCTCTCAATGGACTTATCAATTGATTCCGAAGTATCAGAAATTAACCGTAGACTGAATCATAGCAAGGGCCACCTTCCAAAAACTCGTACCAGGGATCACCAGAGCCATCAACCTGTTCCTGGCCAGTTACACCAGAAGCGGAATATCCAAAACCAAAACCAAAATCGAGATGAAATGCAAACCTCAAATTCGGGACTTTCTACAATAGACAGCAATGCCACAAACGATTCAACTAATTCAGACTCAGGAATAGTGGAAGCGATTAATTCAAGTATGGAAAACATGGACGCAGAAAGGCGTACTGCAAGGAGAGATTATGTGAAAAGAAAAAGAGTCCAATACCATGTTCCGTACTTATACGCACGCAAGCAATTAAAATCTGCATTGTTAGAGCATTATAGATCCTTGACCCTTCTCAAATCTTTCAGAATATTGAATAGAACTGCACTTAGAAAAATCACTAAAAAGTTTGACAAGTCATCAGGAACCGACATTAGTGAAAAATTTATGTCCAAGGTAGATCATTCATATTTCCAGACCAGTGATTTAATAGATAAGTTGATTAGACAAGTTGAGGAATTATACATTGTGTTTTTCGATCCCGAAGCTTTAGATAGAAAGCATTCATTAGAAAAATTGAAAAGCATTGCATATACTATGAATAACCTGGAAATGAGACAACCAAAGTTCTATTCCAGTGTATTCATTGTTGGGGCGTGCTTAGGATTTGGAATTCCATTGATTTGTTTGGGCGTATATACTGGAGTTAGCAAGACTTTAAGTGGTGAGCTTCCCGAAGGAAAGTATATGTTACAAATATGGGGTGGGTTCTTTATTTTAATACTGACGTTACTCCTTTTTGGGGTCAACTTGATGGTTTTCGATTATTTTAAGATAAACTACAAATTCATATTCGAATTCGACTTGTCTTCTGCATTAGACTACACACAATTCTTTGTATTACCGAGCTGTGCCTTTGCCCTCTTTACAATCCTATTTTGGTTTAGTTTCAATAACTATTGGCCAACACAATTTCCAGGCAGGGACTGGTCTTGGATTCTTTTTGGCACCATGATAGTGGTTTTTATGTGGCCAGGCAAGGAGCTTTATGGTTCTAGTAGGAGATGGCTTCAAATTGCGCTTTGGAGATTATTGCTTTCAGGTTTCTACCCAGTTGAATTTAGGGATTTCTTCTTGGGAGATATATTCTGTTCATTGACATACACCATGGGAAACATTTCCTTGTATTTCTGCTTATTTTCTCATCATTGGAAAGGTGTAATAGGAAATGGTAGCAGTCTGGAAAACGTATGTGGATCTAATAAATCGCAATTGCTAGGTTTCTTTTCAACTCTCCCTAGCATTTGGAGATTTTTACAATGTATAAGACGTTATGCGGATTCGGGAGATTGGTTCCCTCATTTGGCTAACATGGCGAAATATGCTCTACTGGGACTTTATTACGTCCTACTCAGTGTTTACAGAATCCATGTTTCGGAAACTAATAGAATTGTATTCATAATATTCGCCACCCTCAATTCACTATACACCTCAGCTTGGGATATATTAATGGATTGGTCTTTATTACAGAGTGGATCTAAGAATTATCTATTGAGGGATAATTTATTTTTCAAAAATCCAAATTATTACTATGCTGCAATGGTGTTGGACGTTATATTGAGATTTCAATGGGTATTTTATGCATGCTTTAGCTCCCAAATCCAGCAACTGGCAGTTACTAGTTTTTGCGTTGCCATGGCAGAACTAATCAGGAGATTCATTTGGATATTCTTTAGAATGGAAAATGAACATTGTACCAATGTAATCATGTTTAGAGCATCACGAGATACTCCCTTACCATATAAAATGAAACGGAAGACGGAGAAAGCCGTGAAAAGATTGGTCAAACTAAGATATCTAGCAAATAGCGAGATCCAGAATGATCCTTTGTTGTCTGGTAGTCAAGCTCCAGTTATAGTAGAAGGTGCATCTACTACTTCTTATAGGCACCACGATGAAGAAGGAGATGTAGGAATGAGACCAACTGACAAACCTCTTCCAGGACTGTCTTCTGGTAAGAGTACATTGGGCACATCAGCAGCATCGGGCGCGAGATTACGTCGTAAATCAACATTTGTAACCTTCACCAGTGCATTGAATAAGGCACATGTGAAGGACTTCCAAAGAAGAAAGGCCACTGTAAATCTAGATGCTCCAGATAGTGACGATGACGATGATGAGGACGGCTTTTCTGATGCAGGAAGTAGGAAAGAGAATGCTCCAAAGAAACCATAATATAAAATCATCGGCAAGAAGCATTTAAAACAGTATTTACTACAATACTACGTCATATTTTTATAGTTTCATTATTTAATTACTTTAGCTTTATTTATACAATTTAAATTCAGTTTGAGTCTATTCATTTTCGCTTACCTCAATATCCGTGATCCTATTCTTCTCTAAGTCTCTTGGATTCAGATTCAGCTAATCCTTCAATAACGTGAGGAGCTGGACCTGTTGGTTGTGGAGTGAGCAAGTCAGAGTGGAAGTCCTTGATTATAGAATCCACATCATCGATATTCAATTGTCTAACATCACCCAATTTTTTAATCTTGTTAGTGACTTCCTTACATTGTTCATCAGTCAAGTTCAAGTTCAATTGGTCAACTCTTGATTTAATGGCGTTCCAACCAGTTAATCTGTTGGCAAAATGGATGTATCTAGTTAAACCGAAATCTGATGGGTTCAAGATTTCGTAGGTAGATGGGTTTGCTAAAATGGCCTTAGCGTGGATACCTGCCTTGTGGGTGAAGGCACAGAAACCGGTGATTGGGTTGTTGAATGGGATGTTCACTTGAACTGCTTCAGCGACCAAGTTTTCCAAGTCTCTTAATTTATGTAACTTATACTTGGATAAGACGTAGTTTCTATCGGCAGCAATCATTCTAGCCATGAGACCACCCAATGGGGTGATACCGTTTCTTTCACCGATACCCAAAACGGAGACATCGATCAACTTAGCACCACCTTCTAAGGCTGTGTAAGCATTAGCAATGGCGCAACCGGTATCATTGTGGAAATGACATTCAATGTCACATTTAACTACGGATTTCAAGGTTCTAACCAATTCGTATACTTGTCTTGGGTTTGCACATCCAACAGTGTCAGCAATACCAACTCTGTTGACACCAATTTTGTCGACAGTCTTGTAGATGTTCAACAAGTCAACCAAGTCAGATCTGAAAGAATCTTCTGAAGAGAATCTAATTTCAATACCCTTAGACTTGACAAATTCGATAACTTCCACGGCAGATTGGGCGATATAGTTCATGTCCTTACCATGAGAGTACTGTCTCAAGAATTGAGAGGTTCCAATAACGACATCAACACCATCAACACCGGTTTCAACAGCGACTCTAGCATCATCCATGTGACATCTAATATGGGTCAAGATCTTGGCCTTCAACCCCAACTTACAAATAGCTTCACAATCCTTTCTAGATTGTTCTGATGCTACTGGGGAAGTTAATTCAATATAGTCTACACCGAAGTCATCAAGTGCCTTAGCAATTTCGATCTTCTTTTCGGTGGTGAAAAATGCGTTTGCAAACTGTTCACCTTCACGAAGAGTGGATTCGATGAGCTCGAAGTTGGACACGTTGGAGAGGAAATCCGCTGGGTTTGGTCCATAAGGATTCAGGTTGATGCTTTCTTTGGAAACGTGAGCATCTTCACTAACTTTTTTGAAACCTTCAGGGTCCGACATTGTATGTTTGGGTATGAAGCTGATAAAAAGTAGGATGGGGAACCTCCTAACCTTTTGCTATCTGCTCCATGAAAAATCCAAAATGAAGAGCCAGCGAGTTTTGCACACAAGCAGAGTAAAAAAAAAAAAAGCAAGGCAAATTAGCGCTTAGCGATTGGAAATTGGCGTGGTGAGGGAGAGGAGAGAAGAAAAAAACATATGCAGTGCGCGAAAGACGCTAGACGCTAGAAGCTAAGGTCTTCCCGAGTGGAGAAAAAGAGCCCCTAAGTTAGCTACTGAGTACTGAAGGTAGAGAAACATGGTTTTTTGCCAGCACTTATCATCGCAATAAGAGCAAAGCAGATGTACTACTTCTTCTACTACTTTTGAGGGGGGAAATGAGAAAATAAGAGTAACCAGGTCGTATATATTCATGTATATAAATTTCTATTTGTTGATTCTTATCTATTGTGTTGATAGATTTCCATTTATTCCTTCTCAGATGGTTCCAGCCCATCACCGTGTTGTTCCTATATTTACATTTACCATAATTCCGTTTGCATCTTTCTGTCTGTCTGTTTCTTTCCATGTAGAGGTATATATGTATGTATATGTTCTTCTCTACCTCACTCATCTTAGTCTATTGTACATAGGTGGCTCATTTGGCACTGTCCTATAAAATTCGCTCTCCAAAAGTGACCTAGCCAAAACCCTATCTAGCGTGTCAGTGCTGGCAACATAATCTCCATCATGCAAAGTGAGCGTACCTATCGGTGGAGCTGCATCTTGTTCCCCATCCATTTCATGTATATCGTCTTCACTTTCATCTTCATCTGCCCCTACCTCTCGAATTAGACTGGGAATCATGTCTTCAAATTCTAAATCATCTATATGCGAAATCGTCCACGGGTCTATCTTAGTTGGCAATAAGTTAAATCCCTTGAACTCATCTATTGATGCCGATAACTCATTCTCTGACCTCACTAGTCTTCGGTTTACTCTTAAACATGGCGCAAACCTCGGGTCAAAAGATATTCTATCGAGATACTTATGTAGAGTAACATTATATGGGGGGATTTCCTCATCTACTGTGTTGTATTCATCCCTCGTTCTGGCACGAGCAGGGCTGGGGAGCACTTGCAAAGCTGTACGATTTTGAGAAGCGGTGGCAGCCTGCGAGGCTGTAGATAAGTGATAATTAAACTCATTCACAACTGTAGCTCTATCCTGTCTCCGAATTCCATTAGTCGCTAATGCTTCCGAGATTCCTTGATTTATCGCTGACAACTGAGCATTAGCCAAACTACGTGCTGCTGCTTCAACATCTGCAGAAAGTCGAAATTGATTGCTTGGCTGTCCGTTCCTCACGTTGCGATCGTGCAATTCGAGTATTTCTTCCACCGATGTAATCAACAGAGCTATGGAGGGATGCGGACTCCTTCTTTGAGATTTCTTTATATCCTTTAATGCAGCACGTAGTTGTACGATCTGTGGGTTTTCTGGTACTTGAGGTGACGCGGATCTAGAAGAAGTTCTTCTAAAACTACTACCAAATACCATATTGAATATACGCTGCTCACCTACACTAACGAAGATGGAAAATAGAAAAATCGATACAATGAGTTTCTATTTGCTTTAAACAAATATCGATCTTCAAACTATAAACTTAAAATTAGAAACAAAGAGAAAAACGAAGAAAAAAAAAGAAAGCAAAAGCAAAAGGAAAACTAGATAGGAAAGGTATCACCATGTCCTTTGTGCTTACATACTTCTCTTTGTTTCTCTTACAAATACAATACGCAAGGGAGCCAATAACCATATCAGGTTATTTGGTTGCGCTTAGTTTGCTCTTTACCGTTTCGGTCGCAGCGGTTGTATCTGGAACCTAACCGTACCTTACGAGATCCCTATAAAAAAACCTGGATCGTTAGCGCATCTCAGCACAATGGGTGGCATCAATTTCGATTAAAATTCCAAATTAAGAAGTATTGAATTCAATGGGGTGACTCCCTACCGCTAAAACAGTATTTTGTTCTGCATAAGTATAGTGGGGAAAATTGATACCGAGTAGCTAGGGCCTAGGATGCATTAGAAAATATCCGTTGTGCGGAGAATAGTATCTTAGTACTTTATACAATGTTCCCACTTATTTATACTATAATAAGAAAAAGAAATACCCGATGCCCTAAAGTGGTGAAATTTTATGGAATATTCCACTAGTTCTGAGGACATAAATGTGGTAGGAGCACAGAAAAGTTAGATCTAGACTAGGTAGCACCTGTCATTGCTGCAGCCCCTCTCCCCAACTAAGTAACCTTTTAGGCTATGGTATTTTCCAGTCCATACCCACTAAAAGCAACTTCTCCAGATCTACCTTAGCTCATTCTTACTATGGTAGTGCACTTAGGCGATGAATATTTATTAGTCTTAAAACAAGCAGATCAAACTTTCCGATTCAAGTGTTATTCTCTTTTTTCTTTTGTCATCATCTTCTTATAACTACAATTGCACATTCGCAATCATATGAACAGGTTTATACTGAGTTCGACTTACATTATTTATTTATTTCTTTATTTATATATTTATTATCTTTTTTTTTTTTGCAGATTTATATAAAGTAACTTATTTCTTGTTGATAGATTCTTCTAACTCGGCAATCTTGGTCTTTTGCTTAGCTAATTCTTCTCTTAACTTGGCCAATTGTTCAGCTTCATGCTTTCTAACATAAGCAGCTTCTTCAGCGTTTTCCTTTTCCCTGAATGAATCCTTACCGCCTGATGGTGGAGCAGCAAAAGCAATTCTGGAGGTAGAGAAAGATCTTACCGATAAGGCACGTCTAGATACTTGAGATAACATTATTCAATTGATAATTAATTGGAATTGAAGAGGAAAGAAATATGAACACACTGACAATTTTAATTGATTGCCCTTTGAATTTTATAATTGTGAGGGTTGGAATTTGTGTGACATTCAAGTACCGAGTGGAACATCAACCAATCAAAATTCCGGGGTCTTTTGTATACAGGACTTGGCTTTTTCACACTCTTTGAACTAAGGTTTAGGTGGTTATTTACTTTAGAATTGATTGTATATGAAGCCACTTTTCGAGATAGACTGACCCCGCATTCATTTCTTGCATCAAATTATTAAACAGTATCTGTGTTTTGATGATATTTCATTGCTTTTGCTTCTTTGTGCACCTATTCTGTTTTATATTCTGTAGTCGGATTTACGAATATTGAGGCTAAAATTATTTTGCACCCATTTCTCGAGCACCTTAGAGCGAAGAAATAAAAAAAAGAACCCATAACTTTACCCTGATTATGGATTGGATGACGGTAACAGCAGCATCTGATTCACTGACATAATTCTAAGAATCAGGACTAAAAGAAAGAAAAAAAAAGAAATGGAAAGTGATGAACGTTCTTGGGACCTAATTTGACATAGAAAAAGCTTCTCACCGAAATGTCGCAGCCTAGTTCACGCCCTAACACTATGTAATACAGAACTCTATATTTAGCCCTAGCCTTACTTATCTTCTTCTTTTATGTATTGAGGATCTATTAACTATGTACACAATATTGATTTTCATTCTACACTTAGAGGTTTCTTGGGGGACAGTATCTAGAATGCTTATGAACAGTGGACAAGATTCCACAACTTCTGGCTCTCTTTATAGCGATACCCAACTTCTTTTGGTTTCTACTACTACATCCGGTTACATCACGGGGTAATATTTGTCCTGTTGAGCTTACAAATTTAGATAATACCTCAGGCATAGTGTAACAGTCCAAAGGGTCGATCCCAGTAGCCTCGAAGGGATCCCGAGAATTTTTTCTTGACGATGGCTTCTTCTCTTCCATCGCCTTCTTGTTCATTGAAAAATCAAATGGGTCGTATATGTCGTATGTTTCAAACCTTCTAGTGAATTTGCTATTAATATTTAAAGGTGGGTCCTTGGCGGTAGTGTCTCTTAAATTCCGTGCAGATTGAACCACTTTAAAAATGGCAGAAGTAGAAGATTCAGTATGAATGTCTGCTTGCTCTGATGGGGTGGAGATCCACTGGTCCTCGCTTTTCATATCATTGGATGATGGGAGCTGCAATAAACGGCTACTTTGGGTAAGGTTACGAATCGCTATGCGGCTCGTTTGAAGTATGTTGACTCTAGAAAGCATACTAGCAAATATAAATGGTGAATTTACTTCAGAATTTAGTCCTGCTGGTACTATCAGTCTAATATGGTGTCACTGACATCTAAGTTATGAGTGAGTTATTTTGTTCATTGAAATTTTTCAGGAAGAAAAAACTTGCATCACGTGATATAATAACACAAAGCTGATGGCTCAGTAGTCGAACACTGAGAGCGGACGGTTCTGAGTCCTGCACGTTGCAACATGAGTGAGTTTCTCTTTATGTCTGCAATGCCGTCGGTACCTGAGGTTGCAAGGGTAAGGAAACACTTATAATTACGAGAAAGTTAGAATAAAAAATTCCACCTTTTGCTTGAAAATACTCGAAATTCAACCCCATAGAGAAAAGCCACTTTCATAGAATGTGTTCAATTCTAGCTTCGTCAGACCGAACATATCCATGAGGTGCATTGCAGAAATAGGACATCCTTGCGACCGTGTTCCACATTTTCTTCCTATCTAAGTCAAAAAATAACTTTCATGTATACACACAACTCAGAGAAATGCTACCAGAACCCAGGGGTGGTAGGGAATTTCACTCCTTCCTTTTTAGTCTTCCTCTGTAGACTTCGATCACGGAACTCCTTTCTCATTTTTATTTTTTTTTCTGAGCTTCCTTGCAGTTGGCATAATTGTCGGCAAAGTTGTGTGTTAACGCACAGAACGGGCTTCTTTCATATAAATGATCAAGAAAAATTTCCAGGCACTGGCAAAAAATAATCTACTGGAATATGAAAAGGTGTACTGGAGATAAATTCATGCAGGCCGAAGGTCTACATGCGTGGAGTTGTGTCATTGTTAGTTCAAAAAAAACATTGTGAAATTTAGAACCAGAGAAAGTCAACAACTGAATGAGAAAGCTTTGCTTTTTGTAAAACTGCACTGTTTATTGTTAAATTTTAATTGTCATTTAATTCTTGTCTAAAACCTAAAGATGGTGATTAGAACAAACAAAATGCTTTTGTAATACATTAAATGAAACAAATGACGGAGATAACTGAGGACGATATGAAATTGGAGATTCATTTCTGTTGTTGTTATGCATTGAAAGGCAAAATCATTGCTTCCCCACTGTACTGCTTGTATAAATCTGTTCCTTTTTACGCCTATGCAGCTACAAAAATATGCAGAGGCCTAGTAACTATGCGTTTTCTTTTTTTTTTTTTTTTTTTTAACCAGTACATGCGTTTAAAACCATGCATGCATACCTTAAGTTCTCGAAATAACCTATATTTTGTGATGAATGCCCCGTTCGTATGTGGCTTCAGCAAATATTTATTTATTTCTTTATATAAATATTTTTTGATTTTGATAATATTAATGATTAGCTCCGATACTTGGCCAACCCCCAATTCTTATTAAGCGCGAACCACTCGGTAAATATAAAGAACCGAAATTTATAGACGTCGAGAATGTAATCTTTGATAGACACGCGTAGACGAAAATGGAACTTTAAGTTTATCGATTTCTTCTTTTTTAGTTAGTCCCATCTAATGAAGGCTAAGTTGACTTCTTTAAAAACATTTGAGTAGATGTGGTTATACTTTTTAAGATAGTTGCTACGTAAATGATCCAGGGCCAACGAAAAGTAGAAGAATGTTGTTCAAAGCTTGACCTTGAGTTATGAGCAACAATCTGGGTGGCGGCGTAAATGCATTAATCGAGAATGGAACAAAGATCATCATGCAACAAAATCATTTTTGAATAAGTGCGTCGCTTAAAGTTCGGAACACCCATGAGCACAATTTTAAAACTTTCTCCTCATTAAATTTCAATAGAAGTTGTATTCAATTTCATTTCAATATCAAAAATATAATTCTCCTTCAGTATCATTCCACACTACTTTAAACTCTTGTTGCAAATTACGTCCATCCAAAATTATAATTTTTTTGTTTCATTATTTTCCCAACATGAATATTAGCGAATTTAAGCTTTTTTTTTGATTTATGCGCCGTGCTTTAGGATCCATCGAATTAATGATAGACATACTTGATCTGGTGCGGTGTGAGGCTAGTTGCGGCACTTACTATTCAAACTATTTTACTCTTTCTGGCATTTATAACGTTGTTATTTTATCAAAAAAAGTAGCAAAAACCGAAACATTCCTGCCCTAGAATATGAGAATATGACTTGCTTTTAATGATGATGTAGAGTAGAAGAAGAGGAAAAAAAAATAGAAAGATTCACTCTATGCCCACAGTAATGAATTTCGAATTTTAGTAATTTCTCATTCTCTCTAATCCGATTTCAAACAGACTAATTCCATTCTACGGCTACATGTATCAGATTCACGTCGGTAAAACAGTGATATTTTTTCTTTCGTTTATTATATACTTTGAGAGAACTACTTAAAACCTTATTTAAAAAGAACCAATTTTCGTATTTTTCCATATACTCAGGAGGAAAAAAAAAATAATTTTGAAACTTTTTAATAGGCTATTCCCATAAATCAGTTATGCTCTCTGGCTAAAAGACAACGTATAATCTTCTGGGTGCATTCTCCAGGCATATTATTCAAGTGTTTTTTTCAGTCCCTGAGTTGGATGTACTAACGTTAACGTCATAATACCTTTAACTCTTAAATACGTACCGAGTGTTAAATTTAGTCAAATTTTTATTCATCATCCTTCTCTCTCGTAAAGATTGCAGCTTGCATATTTTCAACCTTCCAAAAAATAAAATACTTTCTCATTACTGCGGTTATATAAAATTTCTGAGAAATTAATCTACACTCTAGCGAAGAGATTCACGCTACTAACCATGACGCAAAGTAACTTGCATAAGTATATGTATTTCCATATTGCGCAGGCTCTGACCTGCTCCATACTTCCCAAGCTAATAATATATGTACAATCAGCACTTCCTCTATTCTTGTGCAGAAATCCTGTACATTCCCAGCTAAAAAATAAAACAATAAAAATAAGCGTAGAGGGGAGGGAGAGTAAATACACTTGTACAAATAAAGACACCCATATCGTGACATATAAATTTAGGAACCGAAATTTTTTTGTTAAAAGAAGTCATAGGTAAATACTTTCTGGTTGAAACAACTATAAAATTGTTTACATTTCGTCGGTAGATATACTACATAATAATACATCTCGTTTTTTGGTACAGCTTTTGGAAAGACCGAGATTGCTTGTAGATAGGACTTTCTTTTTAAGATTGCATGACTCGAGTTATATTAACTAACCTAAATATTGAATAACAAAAGGGCTTCGTTTCCAGCACTACTAATCCCTGGAAAATTCCATTTTTGACTTTTTCCGTTAAACTTTGGTAAACTCAAGTTTGAAGATTGAAAGAATAAGAGTTGTTGTACATTGCTCATCTCCATCTAGGTATTGAAGATTTGACATGCAATGAAAAGAGATGAACAATATATCCCTGAGCTACGGAAAGACTTTTTAGAAGAACCTACAGAACTGCAGGATATACCATCTAAGCAAATGCAGATACAAAATCCTCAGCCACTCCCTCAACTTCAAAATCCAAATCCAAATCAAAGCCAGCACCTGCATCAACATCAGCAACTACTGCAGCATCAAAATCAACACCAACATCTACATCAGCTCCTGGAGATTCCACAGCAACAGCAGCCAGACCAAAATGTTCACCAACTATACCAATTTCATCAACCAATGCAGACGCAAAATCAGCAACAGTACCACATGCAACTTCCTCAGCAACAAGCTACACACATACAACCAACACAAGTTTCGCCCCAACTACAACAACGACCACATCCAATGCAACAGCAACTTTCCCAAAACCAACCTTCTCAGCCGCTTTCAATAAATATATCAAATCATCAACTTCAACAACAGATTTACCCAGATATCACTACAATGATAAACAATAACCCAGAAATAATACCACCCTCCGTCCAATCAACCTTCGTAGACCCCAAAATTTGCCAAGTTTGTGGTAAACGGTCTAACGACATGCTGAGACATATGAGAATACATGACACTAACCCTAGATTCAGCTGCAAATTTCCTTCGTCTTGGTGTAACTACAAATCGATTAACTATAAACGAAGATACGAATTCAAGCGGCACTTGTTATGTAAGCATTTCAAATTCGATGTCCTAAAAATGGGAAGAAAAATGACGGTAAGCTCAGTCTTAGACCACAAGGGCAGGTGTCCCTGTGGGCTACATAGCACGGCAAGGGTCTGGTTGGATGAGCATATTCTACCGGGAGATAATATATCATCTCCATGTCCCTTATTCAAATTCTAGTATAACTCCCCTGTATAGTATAACCAAAGTAATATGGAATAAACATACATTATTTCTACGCCAATTCTTTATTAAATCACTCAATCTTCTTGCAGCTTACGCTTCTAACCCAGTTTCAATCAAAATTGGAGTTGATAGGGGAAATTTTCTTGAGGGCTTCAATTTTTCCAAAATTTTTACTATTCCAAGTCATTAGCAATGAATGTTACGCTTATCAATATACAAACTCGGTTGTCGAATTTAGAAGCTGTAGAATAATAAATTCTGATATATAATTCATTGAGGACCTTAATATCTTTAATTCTCTCCTGCTTGGCAAAATTTGAACAATAGGAAGCGAGATACTTGTTCGCTAAAAAAAATTGCTGCATATCCATCTCCATACATCAAATGGACCTTCTTAGTACTTCATGCTTCAAAGGTAGTGGAAGATTAACACAGGGCAGGGAATTGCATTACCGTCGATTGCTGAAAGAAACTGGCCCTGAACCATAAAGTTAGTAAAAATCTAGGATAAATTGGTAAGATGTGGTTTCGTTATTCGGACAAGGTAATCCTAATAAAGTTATACTAAGTACGATTATACTAATATTCAACCTACCCTTCGCAAGGAGCATAAAATAGTACTTATTGCTAGTTTTGGCCCCTACTAATCACTTACCGAGCCTATTACTTCGAAACATTAAGTTTGTTTTGTTCAATACTATCAGCATTTAACCTTCCGCTGGTATGATTCGACTCATGCGTCTCAGAGTTGAAACTTAATCAAGTGTAATAACCCAAATCAAATATTAAGCTAAGGGACAATGCTTGTTGCATATAAGTTTCGCAAGTTCAGTTATTTTCCGTTAACAATACATGGGAATACTCTGGTGACACTTTTTAGTGCGCCTCTATAATGTATTGTATACATTAAATCCATTAAATAAAAGGGTAGTGTGGTTTATTGGGGGGCATCCATAGCCAGGAATTAATTAATTTTCATTAAAATTAAAAAAGAGGAAAATGCTCCTGGATTATCCAACGCTGGAATCTTACAATCCCAAGGAAAAACCTTTATGCATTCTTGTTTAGTGGCTAGTGTAACTGTAACGGTTGCGCAGCCACAAGTCACACATAGTTTAATTTATTGCGCATTTTGATACAAGCTAAGAAGGAGCATAAGAAGTACACTGATTAACCACCACTGAAAATATAATAAGGTGTTCATGTAATTGTTTCTCAAGTATAGGAGATCCTTCTCTATGTTTATTAATGGGTGAACTTTTGAATTTGAAAAGCGAAATTTGAGTAGTAACAGAAATGATCATAAGCACCAAATTACCTTAATAGCTCTAAATACTTTTTTTTTTCATTGTATATTATTCATGAAGGTAAAGTTTCTGATGAGGATAATTATATATATACGGTGAATGCTAACTGGAAAGGCTATTGAAATAAAAAGTAGGTTCGATATTCTCCGTAGAACAAAAAATAACTCTCACTAAGAGAGTAACACAGTAGAAACTTGACATGACACACTCTAAGTACCACAGTAGAAGTCTATCAAGAAACGACTCAAAGTACTATATTTATAAGGCGTCACGCCATTTCATCAACTTCTCCAAATACTCACTTGGGCTCTTACCAATTAAACTGTAAGGGATCGATCCTTTTGCAGGTCTATATGTCTTACTCAAATCATAGTGCAGTACCAAGTGCAGAATGAGGTTAGTTATAATATCCTTTGGTATGACGTCCGAATCTTCTATTTTTTCATTTGATTCTTCTTTGACGTTGGGTACTAAATCCAATTTCAACATTTCGGGGTTATTATAATAATACCAGCTCGTTAACCACCATACTTTGTTGAAAGAAGGGAATCTGAATCTTGCAGGGACTTTAGTGAGCTTTTCGATTTCATTGATTTTCAATTCCATTTTAAGATCCGAAAGAGTTAGATAGTTCCCACCAATAACCACTGAATCCTCTGGAGTATATACGGCATGTATCCAACCGCTGGGTATCATGAACAAATCTCCAACATTCAACTTCACTTTTAGCCCCCCAGTTATCGGCCCAGACCTGCTCTCTTTATTGTAGTCTGGCAACCACATGAAATTCTGATCTTGCTCAAGGCACCAGTTTTTGTAGAGTTTTAAGTTATGATCAGTGGGTGGAAACATTAGAAATTCTTTAGATCCGGAGCACACAGTATAATACACTGATGTACCACCAAAATCTATGTGGAAGTCAGTGAAGGAACCCTTTACACTCATTAAGCAGTACTTGGTTACTTTTGGTCTGGACTCTTCTTCCCCTTGATTATCTTTGTTGAAACCTTTTGGCCATATTTTATCTACTATATCCATATCTCTCACAACTTCTGGTCTGTGGAATTTTTGACCTAGTTCTTCCAGATGGGAAATCTCAAGCGAGATAACATTTCTAATCCTATCTCTATTACTTTCCTCTTTGCTAAAGTAATCTCTCCATTGAGCTAATTTCCAGCTTGGTTTTACTCCTTGCTGTGTTAGGACGTCCATTACTTCCACTGGAGTGTCTTCACCAATGTGTTTAGAAACATACGGCACTGTTATCTTTTCTCGATCAACCGGCAACTGCATGCCCACCAAGTCGAGGTCAGCACTAGGTATGTGTACTGGTTTAGTGAGTTTATTGGTGAGAACATACTGTTTTGATATATTCGACAAAACCGTCACAGGAGATTGACCAGCTGGTAGTTCATTTTGGAAACTTTGAAACGATTGAATGTGTGGGTGCACCAGCTTATCGATTGCAAATTTGTTTCCCTCGTTTAAGGCAACATAGTCAATCAGAACTCTAGTTCTGGCCAGCTTACGCCGTATTATCAGAGGGCCATGCTTGGGAGCACAGCTCTGACAATGATATGATTTTAACTCTTCAATTTGGGATTCATCCAACTTGGCACACAATGAATGGTACCATTGAAAGCACAAGGAACACTGTATCCAGGAAAGACTCATTTCGCTATCATCATCGCTTTCTTCGTCTTCTGTCTTTATTTCTCCACTATTTTTTTTCCTATCAATGGGAGAGTCTTGGCATATGGGACAGTCGTCCTTAGAAATGTCGGTAACTTTCCGCTTGGTCATAGTCAGCGATGAGTACCAGTTCAACCAAGTATCTACTTGGCGGCTGCACAGGCAAATTTTTAGCTAAAGCCTGAAAAATAATGTTCTGAACATGTGACTCTCTCCACCGAGAGCGCCAAAGCTTAAAATGATGGAGATATGAGTCTTATCTACGAGCAAGTGAAGAAAGAGAAAAATAAAAGGTTATCTAGCTTTCTGATCAATTCGTAAGCCGAAAGAAGCAGGTACCGTTCCCTTTTATATTTAGTTTATATTTTTGAGTAAGTCAAATGCCAGGAATTGTAAAAAAGTTTAGTAGAGCAACATTGTCAGGGGGGTTTTCCATTATTAGGCGTAGGCAGATGGCTGGAGTTTATCGCTCTCTCCATCTTTCACCAATAGTCTCTGAAAGCAAAGCTGGTGTTAAACAACAAAGCCAACAAGAAAATTTTCTCGAAGAATATAGAACGAGATCACAGTTGGAAAGAATAATACACCACTATTCTTCCAAGCCGTTACCGCAATTTTCTTTGTCCAAGCTATATGAGCAATCGACTTCTTTAAACGATGAGTATATACTTCAAAATGCCAGAGACACAATTGAGCACTTACTAGTGTTTAATGCACGTAGATTGCAGCAGTTTAGAACATTGCCATATTTAGTAGTGTTGAATCCATCCATATCGGAATCGTATGAAATGTATTTAAACACAATGTCGTTACTCATCACTTCACTATTACACCTCCCGAAGACATTAGAAGAAAATGTGAGGTTCAGTGAGGATGTTCTTAAAAAGTTCATTGAAGTTCACATGGATACATTACCAGGGTTATCTAAGGGATTTCAAGAGGTGCTGCATTTGATTCATCTTGACCAGATAAAACAGTTCTTGGATAATCATTTAGTTGAAAGAATTAGAATGAGACTTGTAGCCCATCAGCATATCCAGTTGACGGAGACCATATCAAATGGTGGTAGTGGATACGAAGTTGGGGGTCGCTACAACGGTGTTATCAAGCTATTAAATATATCTGAAATAATTCGTAACAACGCTGAGCATGTGAATGACTTGTTTTTGATGAAGTATGATCAATCAGTCCCGATTAAGATTGATAACAACCTTTACCCCGATAATTTTTGGGCCAAAAAAGATTTGGCTAAATCAAAGAATAATACTAATAGTGATGATATCATTTTTCCGTATATCGAGTATCACTTAGATTATATACTTACCGAACTTTTTAAGAACTCGTTCCGTGCTCATATTGAAAACCAGGTATCTGATCCAGTTCAGATCACTATATCAGTATCTCAGCATTCTTCTGAATCCTCCGACCCTCCTTCTTACCTTGAAATTAGAATTAGAGATAAGGGTAAGGGAATACCTAAGCATATCATAGGAAATATGTTTGACTACTCTTTCACCACCTACGATTCTGGAGAGGGTGACAGTTACAAGACCTTGAATGTGCCTCCAGGATTAGGTGGAAACACTGTCGCCGGTATGGGTTATGGATTACCGCTCCTGAAAAATTACATTCAAGTCTTTAATGACACACAGGGCGAAACTGGCACCAAGGGACTGCTTACCATTCAGTCATATTTGGGCTGGGGAACTGATGTGTACTTGAAAGCTGTAGGCTCTTAGTTATAAACTAAACAACAGAATCACAATAACATACGACTGAAAGAATAAATCAATGGAGAGTATAAGTCTGTAGATGGTATTGTAGAACATAATGTATTGTTATCCTTTTCAGTCCAGCATGACTTTTAGCTTGGGATAAACAACAGAGTAATGGAGTAGCCCTATTTGAAGGATAGCTATTCATTCCATTGTTGATCTCAGTGGCCTCGCAACTTTTTTCAGTAGCTCAGCTCTGTATTGGGGTATAGCTAATCACACTATTATCTATCTCAGTCCCCTCATGACTTTCATATTGAGCCAGTGTAGAGCAGCTCCGTCGTAACCAGCTCTGTACATCCTTTTTTTGCAGCCATGTTCCTGCACCTTGTACTTGACTATTTCGTCAAGAGTGAAAATTGCACCGCCCTATGGTGCGCAACAACAGCACAGTAACATTCGTAAAAATCCAACTTCTTTAAGTAGCAATCTAAGTATAGCTCGAGCTACTCTTGAATCTGTATAATTGCAAATGAGACTGCAATTTGACTGGGATCTGGGACAATATAGCCAGACAGAAACCGAAAGTCGACGAAAATTAAGCGTCAATGCGCCGCCTTTAACGTCGTTCCCCGGATTATCTCAATTCGTAGAAGCGAGCGCAGGTGATGTAGACTCGAGTTGCAGTTCTATATCTACAACTCCGACGGAAAATGGTATTTCATTAGAGGACCAGTTGAAGCCGCTTTTAATTGTCAGTGATACTGCCGAATGCAATAACAATTTATCGTGTTACCTCAAGGAAGCTGTTGACGGACTATACGGTATTCAGGAACAAGCCTTCGTCTCTGGTGACAAGGGGGAAGGACCCACCAAGCAAAATTATCAGCGAATTTCACTATTTTCACTCAAGTTAATTACTCTGAATCTCTTTGTGAAGAATCAGAGCCTTTGTATAGGCAAGCTTTTGAGCTTGTTAGCAGTCTTGGGTCAAACGTCTTGCTCCGACGACGAGACTAGGTACGAAGGTGAATGCTTGAAGGAGTTTATATGCATTACTATTCTATTGATATTGAAAAGTGCCAACAATTATGATCAACAAGAAAGCCAAAGGTTGCTACTGATGTTGGAAGATCTAAATTTTGTGGGAATTATATTTAGATTCTTAATCTCTCACATTAACAACATCAATAATTCGAGTTCCTCGTACAAGATTTTGAAGTTTGTGTGTGATATTGTCTTTGAGTATCTCTACCAAGTAGAGCACTTGTCAGATAACGAATTTCAAGTTTTATCGCTTGAAACCAGCTTGATCCCAACAATTATCAAGACTTTGTTCGATAATGATAGTTTTAATAACTATGACATTGATGACGACGACGATAACGAGGGAGGAATGGATGAATCTAAAGTGATTGCATATGAGGAATTTAAGTTATTGTTGTTACTTAACGAGCAATACCTTATGAAGTCTTATACCAGGCCTGAAATTGAAAATAAAGTCTTTACTTCTCTTCTAGAGCAACTGGGTAGTAGTGGAAGTAATATATCTGGATTCATTAATATGGTTGTTTGCTATCTAAACCGTGAAGAATCGCAAATTTTGAAGATTTTAATGTTGAAGTTTCTTTATCTAATTTTCACTACTTCATATACTAGTAAGTTATTTTACTTAAACGATTTAAAGATTTTAGTTGATATCTTTATTAGAGAATTGAATGATATGGACCTCTCAGGCAGTATTGAAACTGCCAATGAAAATAGACTACTCACGATTACATACCTTAAGGTAATGTATCCGTTGTTGATGTTCAGTCAATTGAATGAATTAGAAGGAGGCTACAAAAATGAGGAGATAATTGAACTATTCAGTTACTTGATAGTAAATGCCAAATCATCTGGAAATGTTGATGAAACTACTGGTAGTAAGTCGATCCAAGATGAGCAAAATGAAGTCATTTCCAAGCTCGCGGTAAGATGTCTATCCATTAACTGGCTTAAAAAGAGTAATAATAATAGTCCAATTCCCAAAAATTCGATTCCAATTTCAAACAATCCTGGTAATATAAAAGACAGAGATATGACACACCAATCTAACAATAATAGTCCCAATCTCTCTTCTTCGGCCACTCTGAATTCATCATTAACTTACAAGTCTCGCCCAGGCTTGTATCAAGGACTGACTAATTCTTCTCAGGAGTCTATTGGAGCTGCATTCACTAGAATTGCTTCTGTCCGTACGTCCAATAAGAACGATATTCATCGTACCACAACTTTGCATAATTTGGGCAATTCTGAGAAGGAACCTTCAGCTACCGTTGTGCAAAACAATAACAACGTTTTCCTTGCAAAAATTAATTCTTTACTGGTTAAAGATGAGAAAGACGTAGAAGAAAGTACTAATATACTTAACCTTCCCAAAGAATATCTTGTTGACAAAAAATCTACTCTAGCATACAACAGCTTAATAAGAAAGGCAATTATGAAAAAGGCACCTCCACCACCATCAAGTTCTCCGTCGCCCAGGAATTCCAACTATTCACCAAATAGCAATTCTAGAAGCTCAACTCCAATTAATACTCCACCCCCTTACCCCATCCCTAGTTCAAGGCTTAATGCCGCTCTTCCAGCACTCCCATTCCCTCCTCCACCGCCACCACCTAGACGCAGGCGTTAAGCAGTAAACAGAAAGATAATTGTATTCATACGTATTCATATGTCTTCGTAGTTTGTATGATTTATTGAGTTCTATAAATATTGATAGAGAATCGCCGCAATGTAAATGCCAAATAACTAAATAGCAATACAATAATCAAAAGAAAGTTATATAATGAGTCAATTTATTATCTACATTGTAACGTCTTCCTTGAAACGTAAAACATCGTTAAACCTAAGCCCGTTGATGTCAGTTTTTGTGTAGGCATCTAATCCTTTACCAAGGATATATCCTTCGTCTTGCTCTTGATTGTCATATGCATCAGAAGATGCAACCAATACTAATCCTCGAGCTCTTATTAATGGTACTAATTTCGGGACCAAATTTAACAAATGAACAGATGTTATCAAGCCAATCAAGTTGTTGTTTATAGTGAAGTTAACCGCTTCCTTGATGGACCGTATAGTTACTTCTTGGCTGTCGTTCAACAAGCTCAGTGAATCCTTATTGTTATAATTGTTTTCACTAGAATTAAATTCATATCCGTTTTTAGAATTAGCAGCACATTGGTTTTCTTCCAAATCTTTCTCCTCCATCAATAGGCTGTTCGTAGTTCTTGATTCAAAAATTCTCTTGTTTGCATTATATTTAATACCGTTCATGATTAAAAATACTGGAAAATTTGGTTGCTTCCAATTGAGTATCTTGCAGACTAAAGAATTGGATGAGAGTAAGATTATGGATCTTCCGGCTCCAGATCCACTTTTAACCTTTTGATTCCTAATGTGGTTGAAAATATTGTTCAAAGTTGAATCGATAAAGTTATTTAAATTCAGTTGAATGTTTCCAACAATTGGAAGCTTTTCTAATTCATATTGTGAAGGGAAAACAACTTCCAAATTCAAGTTGATTTCAAAGTTCAATGCGTCCAATAACAAGTCTAATGGCAAATATATTATCTTAAGTAGCTTTTTGATCAATGGAAGGTCCTTCAAAGTCATTCCAGACAAGTCATTGATGACTTTATTATAATCGAAAAGATCGTTAGTAATGGAGTATAATTGTTCCAATGAGAGATTTGGTAAATATAAATCAATTGTCTCTGTAAGGGCAATTGACCAAAAAGGACAAACAATTGGAGTACCATCATTAAGGAGACAGACTTTGATCCTAAGGTATTCTCCAGATAATGATGTAGCAGTTACAAAGGAAGAAGGAGCCAACGTAGACATAATATCATTACCCGTGTTTGTATTATGTGACGTCGCAGGGGCTCCATCGCTACTTCCAATACTACCATTACTTGAACCTACTGCTGCACCAGGTTGGGAGTTTGCACCACCAATAGAGCTGTTAATGCTGGAAGATAAGAAATTGTTGGGAGATAATCCACCAGCGGCATTTAGTTTCAACACTTGTCTATTCTTGACGAAGCTAGTGGATGACTTCCAATAAGTATCGAACTTTGAAGTCTCCAATAAATTTCCAGCAAAAGGGAATATTACCTGGTAATCAAATTTCAATTCTCCTATGTTCCTTAATCTTAAATCAAACAAAGGCAACTGAATTGAGTTAATTTCAGGGGAAGATGTATCAATTTGAGAAAAGGTCAACGCTGTAGTCTTAGCAATTAATCTTGTACCAAACTTAGGAAAGATTTCAAAATCAATTCTAAATTCATGTAATGAATCGGTTTCTGTCTGAAATATGCAGTTATTGTTTGCCTTTGTATCATCACTCATTGGCAAAAGGATGTTTCTAGGAACGATGTCACTGATGTTGGAAGTCAAAGTTAATCTTCCAGGTATTAAATCCGCAACTGAATTGAAAAGAGTAATAAACTTTTGATCTGGAGGAAAAATGAGCTCAATGAGAACCTTCTGTTCTAAGAAATTATGACCGTATCTTCTGAGGGGGAGAATAGGGGGAGGCAACTGTAAATCTGGAATTGAATCGATTGGGTCTTCTTCGATCATTTTTTCAGAGTTTCCCTCTACAATGTCATCGTCATCTGAGTCGTCTTTTTCCATTATATCGTCATCCCCAATTGACATGGCTGAGTCGATACTTCTTGAATTCAAGTCAGATTCATGTAGTAAATTTTTGTTAGAATGAACATTGGTATGTTGATCGTTGTCACCTTCCATACGTCTATCCTTCATGTTACTATTTCTTCCAATAAAGTCGGGAGACTGCCCATTTGCTAAGCTTTCCATTCCATTGTTAGTCCCGAATATATCATCATAATAACTAAGTAATACATTTAAAACTTTAATGTGACCTTCAACAACGCAATAATATAACACATTGTAGCCATCATCATCAACTAGGTCCAATTTGGCTCCAAATTTTACCAATTCTTTAGTAGTCTGAACGTGGCCCTCCAGTGCACTGTAAAATAGCGGAGTCCATTTATTCAAGCCGTCAATTTGGTTCACCTCAGCACCATACTCAATTAATAATCTAATCAATGTGTAATGACCCGATCTAGCGATTACATGTAGTGGGAATAACCCTTCTACGTCTTGCTGATTTATTAAACCATTTTCAATTTTTTTGTCTTGCTTCAAGATATATTCCAATATTTGGTAATTCCCGAACTTGCAAGAGTAATTTACTGGCAAATATTGCAATTTTCCATCGTTTGTTTGTGGGAAACAATTTGAACCAGAAGCAACCAACCTCGTAATTACTTCGAAATTATTGTGTTTTATGGCAAGAAGTAACGCCGACATGGATTCATTGTCCAAATCATCTAAATGTTCCTTTGGAAAGTATGGCAATATAATGTCCAACAAATCTAATCTGTTATACTGAGATGCGTAGTGGAGACATGTTCTGCCGTTGAAAGCTGGCGACACCAACAATTTCAGACGCAATGCGGGTGATAAGTTGCTCATCAAGTATGAGACTATGAAAGTTCTTGAGTGGATAATACTGTCCGTCAGATTAATGACCTTCACTCCATTATTGATAACTACGTGGTGATTGGGGTTTCCCGATTCATCGTGATTATTTGTTGGAAGTATGGAACAACTTTCGTGGAGTATGTTTTTATTGTTGTTCAAATCATCGGAAATGAATGAAAGGTCGATATTATAATTTATTAAATCAAGGAAAGTCTCCAAAAAAGTATCAGATATTTTTAAATTGGAAATGGACAAAAGAAACACTTTAGAGAACTTAAACTTGATAGTAGAAGACCCTGATTCTTGAGATGATTCCTTCACCTTTTCAACCCATTGAGCCAATAGGGCCAAATCTGGGTCCTTAATGGTTGCGACATTCACAAAGGACGAATAAAGGTCATCGATTTCTGTGTCACTTACATTAACCAACAAAGAATGGTTTGTGGTAAAGTTTGGGCCCATAATGGATGAAACAGAATCACGATGATCTTCAGAATTGTGGCGTGAAGTCACAGTATTTGCACCGCTACCCGTGCTTCCTGTTGGCATGCTTGGAGGAGCAGTTCCAGACGTTCTAGTCAATTGAGGAGACATGCCAGAGAAGTCTCCGTCTATTAAACTTTCCAAATCAAACAAGCATTGGGTTACCAAGTCACTCAACTCGTTAATTTCATTTTTATGGAACACTGGCTGAACGCTAACAGCACTCAGGATGAATAGTTCCTTGGTATGGGATTTACTTCTTTTATCCCATTTCTTAACCACTTTAGAGAAACCAGTCTCATTCAATTCAATAAATTGTTGCAACCTAATTAAATCTTGGTGGATCTTCTTGAAATTTTGGTACAAGTTCAAGTATGAAATTGAATTTCGGAGCGGAGCAGTGGAGTTTGATGTATCCAACTTATTGGTATAGTCCAGTTTGGATAGCAACTCGGACTTTTTCACCATCAACAAATCCAAGTTAATTGCCAAATTGGCCTGTTTTTCAAGGTAGAAGTGGTTCACCTTGTCCAATTCTCTCTCCACACGGAAGAAAAACGATGCCTTGTTTTCTTGAAGTGATTCGCCGGTCAGTTGCACTGCCAATTGCTTGATAAGCTTCTTAAGTGCCTTGTAATCGATGAAATGACCAGAATACTCTGGGAGCTCCAATTGCCTCAGGGCAAGATATTTGCCGAACTTCATGAAACTTCAATGGTGGAAGCCCTCTATGCTATGGTGTACTTTAATGAAATATGTATAATATTATATAGATTAAGATCCTGCGCACCAGTGTATGTCAATATAGTTATATGTATACAGCTTTTAGGTTCCTCTTCTAGCTAATTCCTTCGCTTCTATCTCTATTATTTCCTGAATTCCAAACCTTAAGCTTCCATATCAACACCAAGTGTGCTTTTCTTTTCTTTTTTTTTTCAATTTGGTTCTTTATTGCAGTCTAAATTGTTACGCTCCACTTTTTATTTTTCTCTGCTCCATACTGTTTAAGATTTCATGGTGTACCACGTGTGCTTCACTAAATCAAGAAGTTACAAGAAATGTCGATGAGAAAATTAAGCACGCGAAGGCTGTGAAGTAAAATAACGACGTCTTGGTATTAGTGCCATGTGCTACAAGTAGACCAACATATTACTCTGCATGAACATGTTACATAAATTTATTTAGATATTAGTGAGTAAAATAGAATAGAAACAACGTGAATTAAGAAAAAAAAACTTTTGTAAAAGAGCTCTTGTTCCCAATCTGTTAAGTTTAAATTATGTGGTTTAAGATCCAGGGACTCGGTATGGTAAGAGTGGGTGGGGAGATTTATCAACAAGTTATTTTGGTTGTTGCCCTTCACAAAGCTGCAATTCCTGCCAGTTCTCAATCTTACCTACTGAGATTTGCAACCTCACTCGCACAGACTCAGCGAAAGTGATTGGGGTGGCCTCGCTTCTGTAATACGCAGGAATACCTTAGAGTACACACCTGAAACACACTGAGAAAGTGATCCATAAGCACAAGACTATAACCCATATCGGGAAAACATCCTGAACTTGAGACCCATACTAACTACATACTAACTAGAAAAAGTTTTTGGGTGCTTACATCCTTCTTTTCTAATTTCTTTTATTAACTATATAGAAAACTTTCCAGCTTTATTGCTTACTTTTTGGCAGCATCGAAGTGTTCCTTAAACTTGTCAGCGTTTTCCTTGTTACCAAATCTAATGGCTAAAGTGGCAGCTTCTGGTTCACCCTCGGAAACATCAGCAGTGACGGTGTACACCCAAGATCTGTCGGAACCGATATTTGGCTTCAATTCATAATCTTGAGAAATAAGATGGTTGGCACAGACCTTTAAAGTCTTGTCTCTTCTCATTAAAATACGGACCTTGTTGGAGTCTTTATGCTTTAAAAATTTAACGTCACCTGTACCTCTCTCCTTCCATTCCTTGGTGTCACCATGGAACTTGAATAATTTGGCTCTCACCTTGTAGAGAACTTCCTCATCTTCTTCGTTGGTCTTGACTTCAACCTTTTCTAATTGAACAAGTGGTTCGAAGTGTACTTCGGCTTCTTCTTCGTCGGCTTTTTCTTCGTCATCGTCCTTCTTCTCGTCTTTGCTCACTTCTTTCTTGGTGTCTTCTTCTTCAGCTTCTGGCTTCTTTTCCTTCTTGGCACCAAACATAGAAAATACGTTGGATGTAGGAACAGCAGCTGGGGCTGGAGTTTCAGTCTTTTGTTCTTCGGCTGACATCTTATTGTTACTTATCAAAACTGTTCGATCGATTGTACTACGATCTTCCTATTTTTTTCAACTTTTTTTCTGGTTTCCTTTGATCTTCATATTTACAAAAAAAAAAATAATAGTACACGAAAAAAAGGTAGACTTCCTATTTCGGAAATAACTTTCGTCAAGAACACCAATAGCAAACACACCTACTGCGATGTAGGTGACTAATGAGTGATTAAAGCGGAGGCTAAGAAGTTACAGCTTCGCCAGCTACAGTGTTTATGGCAAATACTGTTCCTTGATTTCGCATGAGCGTTGTCAAGTTTTTCGAAGACGTTTCTATATTGTAATTCTTTTCTTTTTTTTATTAATTCAATTATATACGTATATATTAATAATATCTATGGAAAACAAAAGGGTTTAATCTTTAACTCTCGCAAGACTAACTTCAACTCTTGCTCTACTCACTTTACTTCAACCTTCCTCATCTTCCCAGCTTTTCAGATATCCGCACTTATTCGTCATCCATCTCGGCAGGCTTGATCAACCCTCCAACCCTCATATCTTTTTCTCTTTGCTTTCTTTCGTGTTCCTTCTTCTCAATCTCCTTGTCTTCAGCAAACAAATAGTCAGTTGGGTCTCCTCCAAATTCTTTAATTTGAACAAGGAAATCTCTTAAAGTGGCCTTGAACTTATCCAAGTCGCTGTAATTGGTGGTTAATACATTCAAAAATGTAACCAATTGTTCTTGTCGTAAATTCTTGAAAACTGACGACAATAAATTACCCAAATATTGCTTGAGGTAATCTCCATTGCTGGTTCCTTGAGGAGCTTGTTCTGCTGTGTATAAAGGTTCATCGATAACATTATCTTCTACTAAATGGATCAATTGAGCCAACAACTGAGATTGATATCTGAAACCTGCCTTATGATCGGGTTGTGTGAAGACATAGAAAGTTTCTTCCAAGATTAGAAAATAGAAATTCTGGTAGAATGCTTTTGTAAATGGTGTACTACCTAATTTTTCAACATTTTCAATCAAATGTAAAGTTAATGCCAACCCATTATCTTCAACTTCACGGTTATTGTGCTTAAAAGCCCATAATGCTGCGTTGATGAGTAATTGGAATGCATCTCCCAGTAACTGTAATAATGCTTGGAAGGATTTGGAGTTAATTTCCTTTAGTAATTTATAAAATTCAACTCTGTGTTCAGGGTATTCAACAAAATCTTGCTTGATCATATCTAATGTACATTCAAATACATTTTGCAAGATCAACACAACACCTTCTGGGATCAAATGGCCAACTTTACTAATCAATGTGGTCATACAATTCAATACTTCAGCATCTCTTGCATCAGCTACATTAGTTCTATAATCTTCTAAAACAGCTCCGAATAATGGTTGAGTGATATCTCTAACAATTTCTTCCAAATTGTCAGCTTGTTGAATATAAGTTTCAATCATTTTTAAAATTTCCTTCTTGATCGTTCTTAAACCCCTAACCTTGGGAGTCTTGGTTGCAATGATACCATCCTTCGCCACCGAATCCGAAATCATTGTCAGGACTGCCTTATATAAGGAAAGCATATCAACGTATAAGAGACCCAATTGGCTGTAAAACCCAGGTCCTAATGCCTTACAAACAGATACATTAGTTTTGATAATATTGGCGATAATCTTAACTGTATCAGTGTTCACCAATAATTCAGGATCTTGGCTCGCTTGTTCAATAATTTGTTTCCATGCAGTGTTAGGCAAACTCATCAATTCACTTAATAACTTGTCTCGTTGTTCTTTATTTTGTTGTGCGCTGACAATTATACCGCATGCTTCATAAAATGTATGCACTTGTTGGGGCTGTAAGTCTTCAGTAATTAACTGAATGTTTCTAATGATGTCAATTACAAAAGGTTCCAGTTCTTGCGGTTGAATGGCAACAAAATGTCTTTTACATTTTGTAGTAATCTTGATAAATGTATCACAAGCCATATCTTGAACCCCTTCGTGAGTCTCATGCATAAATTCGAATAACTTATTTACAACAGTTTTTAAGAATTTCCAGTGAGCCTTTAAGAATCTTGGGTATTGGCCAACAATGTACATTATATTAGATGCAACGACGGCCTTGTTGTCTTTACCCCTTTTCATCTCAGTCAAAGACAACAATTCCTTGATAACACTAACAAGAAATCTTTTTTCCATATCTTCATTCATGGTACCAGATATAGATCCAATTGCCCAACATAAAGTATTAATGTTTTGCCATGACCATTCCAGTTCATCAACTTGTCTAGCTAACTTCTCTCTCATAATTTCTTCAGTGTCAATAACATCTAAATGAGTTAAGTAAACAAGCACTTCTCTCATAGATTTATATAATTGAATTGTATCAGACTCCTTGACAAATTCTCTAACAATTTCTCCTTCATCATTCTCAACAATTAACACTTCTTCTGGTCTAACCATGTTTTCGATGATCACTAATCTAAGCTTGGATAAGATGGATGAATATTTATGACTACGGATTGGAAATCTTGCCAACAACTCGGGACTTGGTGCACCACCTGCAGCCAAATTACCTCCTCCTCTACTTAATTGCATTAAAGGGCTTAATTCTGTCTGAGGCAATCTTTGTATTTCTTCAAACAATCCTTGTACGAAAAAACTCCAATAATCCAAACAAGTTTTGAAAAGCTCTCTTTCTTCAATCCTCGATAATTCGATAAGATAATTCAACGAGCTTAATAATAATGGCTGGAGAGGTTCGTTTTGCTCTAATGCTAATAAGTGATTGGACAAGAATGAGGACAAGTACATTGCTAAATCCTGCAAGAAAGATTGATCGTTAGAGTTAGCAGTCTTGTATAATTGTTTTAAATCTGTGGATGGTGGTATGAAGGTGATAATTTGTTCCATCGACTCTTTAAAGCATACAATAAACTTTTCCTCATTTTCGGGAGTAGAGCTTAAAGATACAACTTCGGTCAAAACCTTTAAGGTGATTGCCCTGGTGTTAGCAGGATTTAAAAATTTGTTGGTTAGCAATTTCAACAAGTCAGTTTCAAAGATGTAATTCATAGGGATCCAATGAATGTACTTGGACAAACAGTTCAAGGTTGAAATGATTAATGAAGGCTTGATTGTTTTGTCCAAAATCTTGTAACACAACTTAAAGATCTCGGCAAACTCTAATTTCATTGACTGTTTCAATTGTTTGGCCTTAGCTTGGGTCAATTGATCTTGTGAGTAGTCAAAGACTTCTTCACTCAACAACTTCAATATGATCATGTTATTTTCACAGACATTGTAGCCCGATTCACTACTGGCGACAATTTCTGGGATGAATTGTGGCCAATTGTGAGGCCACTCCTGCTTCAAAATAGACACCAAGGTCAAATCAATCTTGTTGATCAACGCCTTTTGATTTTCAAAAATGTCGTCGTTATCACATAAAAAGATGATCATGTTCACAATGAAATTTCTGATCCCGATTCTCTCGTCTTCAGGGATTGATTTCCAACGGTATTGAATTAATTTGTTTAAACAGGACAAGGCAATGTACTTCGATTGAGAGTTGTTCGAGTTGGATAAAATCTGATCCGATCTCTTCCAAGAATCTTCATGTTCTTGGAATTGATTCAATATAGTTTGGGCCTTTTGCTGATCTGCACCTGACCCTTTGAAGAATGCATCAACGACTTGATCAAAGAGCGAAACGTCAAGCTCTTTGGAGAAATCCAAAATCGATTCCATTTCTGAAGATAGTTGTGCCTTCTTATTGTTTCGGTAGTTTCCGATTGTTTATTGTTTCGGTAGGTCTTACGGGGCTTTTGAATTACTCCGTCAATTGAATTCCTGTTCTTGGGGATAGATATGAGAAGAACAACTTAGTTTAACTACTAATCGATATTCACTGGTGTCTTTCAATCTTTTCTTTTTTTCCCTTTCAAATTTTTTCCTCTTTTCCTTTTACGTCTCTATTGTCTAATCGTTGATGATTTTGCTACAAGATACAGGATGAATAAGAAAGATGAGGGGGGGAATACAGTAGTACAAATAAATAAAAAGACTAAGCCAGCTCAAGTTTAGATAATTGATGTGCTATAAGTGATAGTGGTTTGTTGTTTGGGTAACTGTAAATACAAACGAAACAGAGATCGTGCTTTTTTTTTTTAGTTTTTCTCTGTGTCTTCTTTGAGTTTTACTGTTTTTATTTTTTTTTCCCTCTCTTTATTTATGTACCGTACTAACTTTGCTCTCTCCTACGCAAGTGCTCTATAAAGGTTAATGAACACACTACTACGATCATGTTGGCACCAGAAAGGAAATACAGGAAGGAAGGGCATTACTTTTGGTGCACCACACGACCACATTTTTGAGACGGAGAGCGGGCCGTTTGTTTCAGAGATGCTGATTTTGCGCGCCAGGAACTAATAGGCAGGATAGTGGGCAGGATCTAGTGGGCAGGGAGGAGAGGTGGAAAGGAGTAGGCAGAAGCTTAAATTGATGTAGAGAGCGAGATAGCGTGGTATCAGGAAGTGCCAATTCTGACCAATTGCGATTAGCTGCGATGAACTGCGCAATGCATTAACTAGTGTGCTGCATTATGCTGGGGCACGGGTTCAGGCGCAGGTCTAGGCTCAAACAAGTAAAGGGCATGCCATGAGGGTCGCCAATGGCTCATTGCTGAGTGGAAGAACAGTAGAGTATATGTGTGAAGTTGCTGATGTGGGTCGGGGACGGGGACCAGGGAGCGACTCAGGTGCGATCACCGCCCGCGAGCGCGCGCTGAGGGTGTGGTAGAGGTACGGTAGGGCTCACTAATTTTTCTTTTTTTTTTCCCTTTTCCCTTCTTTGAGTTTTCTGTATTTGCCTAATTGGTTTGTTATTTTTTTTTGGCTTTTGCCTGTCTGGAGCTTGCTCACCGTTACCATTGCAACTCTCGCTGAGAATTTACCGTTCGAAAACGAGTAATTTCCGGAGTTTATGCTGCGTACAGCAGGGCGTACGTAGAGGGCCATTTTAAAAGCGTCCATAATATGAATAAACCCGGGCAAAGCAGTACGTCTCATCTTCCGAGGCTGCAGGGGCCACCGTCTTCTCACAAAGTATACGGTTTTTATGTCTATAATAGTCGCAATTGACCTCAATAACTGCCTTCTCACTTGCTCATGCTCATGCTCATGCTCATGCTCAGGAGTGCCAGCTGAGACCATTCTATTTTCCTGGCCCAGAAATGTTTATTTTTCTATCACTCACACTATTTCCCGTTCCCATTCTCAGTTATCTACACCATCCCTCTCGTATTCTGCTAAAAGTGGAGTGCTCCATTGACTTTTCAATACTGTCATCCGTTTTGGATTTTTTTTTTTTTTCTTGCCTTTTTTTTTTTTGCTTCTGCAAATATCCACTAGTTTCTGTCGCAAGGCAAGGCAATAGAATAAATACAGAAGGAGGAGAAGAAGAAGAGCACTACCTTCTACTCGTTCCACGCTAACTTATTTATTACGATACACCAGAGCTATGGGATCTTGCATGTCAAAAGGTCCTGAGACCACTGGAAGCTCAATTCCTAATAAAAACGCTAATGCGAAGCGCCAGCAACAGAAGGTTGCCTTGAACGGATCAGCCTCCAATATAAAGACAGCCCAGGAGTCTAGTTCTAGCACTGGAGAGAAATCCACTGATATCCCAAGCAACACCAATGGATCTGTTACAGATCTTAATGGCGCCATCACTGCAGCCAACGCTTCTACCAACACCTCCGCCAATACTGTAGCCAAACCTGGTGTCACCAACACCACGTCGTCGTCTCTGTCTACAGACAAGAATGTTAAAGTCCTTTTATTAGGTTCTGGTGAAAGTGGGAAGTCCACCATCGTAAAGCAAATGAAAATCATTCACCAAAACGGCTACTCCAAAGAAGAAATATACGAATACAAGCCTTTCGTCTACCGTAATGTGTTGGAGTGTATTAAGAATATCATCAACGCAATCATCGACTTGGAACCTGATTTGATAAAAAATGAAAATGGATTGGAGGCAATCAAGTCTAAAGAAGAGGAGATTTACAAGTCCAACAACAACAATAACAGTAAGAATAAAAATAATACTAATAATAACATTAACGAAAAATTAACCCAAAATGACCAAACTATTAACGAAATTGAAAATGACGACGAGGGCGATGCCTTGGATGAAAATAACGAAGACTTGGAGGTGAAAGGACTCGACTACGATGAAAAATTGAATGGTACACATACCAATTCTAATAATAACAATAATAATACTAATAATACTAATAATACTAAGGCCACGAAGATCATAATCCCTGTCTTGGACTATGACGAGCTAAGTGATATTTTGGATTATGAGCTATCCATGGACACAGACGAGCCATTTGATCAAAATATAGCCAAGAAGATCATTCACGTGTACTCCAAGCCCGAAGTTCAAGACTTCATAAAATACCAACAGGGGAACTTCTACTTGATCGACTCAACTAGCTACTTCTTGGGCGACTTGGAGAGAATTAGTGAACCTGATTACATGCCATCAGTCAACGATATTTTGAGAACTCGTAAGAAAACGTCTGGTATTTTTGATTTCAAGTTTCAAATGCTGTCTGGGCTCAATATCCACATGTATGACGTTGGTGGACAGAGATCCGAACGTAAGAAGTGGATCCATTGCTTTGATAATGTTACTTTGATCATTTTCTGTGTTGCATTGTCGGAATACGACCAAGTACTCTTGGAAGAAAACTCTCAGAACAGACTAGTTGAATCTTTAACGTTATTTGATTCAGTCGTCAACTCTAGATGGTTTTCTAGAACTTCCATTGTGTTGTTTTTGAACAAGATCGACGTTTTTGCTGAAAAATTACCCTATAGTCCCTTGGAAAATCACTTCCCAGATTACACTGGCGGTAAAAACATTAACAAGGCTGCCAAATATATATTGTGGAGATTTACACAGGTAAATAGGTCAGGATTGAATATTTACCCACATGTCACCCAGGCAACAGACACTTCTAACATCCAGTTAGTCTTCGCTGCAGTGAAGGAAACAATCTTGGAAAATTTGTTGAGAGACAGTGGACTTTTGTAAGCAAGGGGACTAAGTAAAAAAAAAAGAACAGATATCTGAAAAATTAATATAAAATGTATAATGAAGACAATATGTAAAACATCAGCTTATACTTTTCATTATGTTTTCTTTTTTGCTTCCTCTATCTAATTTACAAACTAATAATACATACTTTTATTCAGAAATAGTGTTAGCAGGAGGAACTGCTTTTGAATCTGAACCATTCTCGAGGGGGCTACCCCTGCCTCTACCACCTCTTCCTCTACCTTTCACTCCTCCTCTAGAAGCAGCCCTGCCTCTGCCTCTAAACCCTCCTCTTATGCTCCCACGTCCTCTACCTCCTCTATTTGAAAAAGTGTCACCTTCACTAAAGCTCTTATCATCTTCTTTTGTTGATTCACTTTTTTTGGACTCAGAGACCTCGTTAGCTTCGATTGCTTTGAATTCTTTGGGCTTTTTTGTCACCTTGGATTCCTTGAGTTCTTTGAATTCCTTAGATTCTTTGAAATCTTGTGGCGCCTTTGCTTCCGTAGGTTCTCTCGGTTCCCTTGGCCCCTTTGCTTCCTTTGGCTCTTTGAGTTCTTTAGGTCCTTTGGATGCTTTGGTTGCCCTGGGTGCTCTGGGTTCTCTGGGTTCTCTGGGTTCTCGTGCTTCCCTAAGTACCCGTTGCTTGGGCTTAAACTCTTTCTTTGTTCTTTCTCTGGGAATTTTCTGATCATCCTTAATCTCAGCACTCTTTGGCACCATGGCTTCATTGTCACTCGCCTTCAAATCAATTTGGTTTTCCTTCAAAATCACCTCATGAATTGGATCTTTGGATTCTTCCTTTACAAATTCACGAGAACTATACTCATGACCGAGCCCTCCTCTACCTCTTCCACGTCCTCTTCCTCCTCTAATTCCTCTAGTCGCTCCCCTACCTCTACCTCTTATTGTTTGGGGTCTGGAGCCGTCAATGCCATTCACTTCTAAGTCGTTCACCTCCTCACTTTCGCCACCAGACTTAACTGAGCCTGCATCTGAAGCTCTTCTGTAAGTAGATCTACTATTGAATGGTTGGCCAGGTTGTTGCTGGTTATGATTTTGATTCTGATGTGGATTGTAGTAATGTTGATTACTAAAATGTTGGTGAGAAGAATTTGGATAAGAATCAGAAGGACGCCTTCCCGAAGATTCATGGTTCTTATACTTAGATGTACCATGATGTTTCGTGTCTTTCTTTGCTTCGTTCCTCTGAAGAATTGAGGCAAGTTCCTCCTTGGTCTTCGATGTAGGTTCAACGTTTGTCAATTTATCAATAGTTTCTGCCCTAACAAAAGACTTCACTACTTGGGACTTGTTAGCATGTTCAGCACCAGAGTTGACCAATTCAACATTACTGCCATCATCTGTTACAATAATCACGTCATTTACAGAGTTAGGTTCAATCTGAATTTCTTCTTTAAGAATTTCTGTTTCTTTCTCTGGAGTAGGAACAGCTGCAACAATCTTTTTCTTTAATATAATCGGCTTGGATGGAACCAACTTTGGTGTTGTGTTCTTTGCTGGAGAAGATCTTCCACTTTTATTGTCTGTGTGTTTCGAGCTCAACATCTCAGCAAGACTAAAACCACTTTTTCCATCAGCACCATATGCTGACGTTGGAACAGGAGCTGGTGAATATTTGGGCTTATCGGAAACTGGTGGAGGTGGTGCAGCTAAATCTACACTAGTTTTTGGTACAGGTGCCACAGGAACAACGGCTTCTGGTACACTGCTTTTCTTGACTACAGATGAACGTTTCTGATGGTGTGGCTCGGTAGCAGTCTCTTCCCCTATGGTTTTTATCGTAGTGTGGTTCACCATTATAAGCTTTTTCTCAATTTCATGTTGTTTGGCAACTACATCTACCGGTCTAGCAGCTCCAAATGGATTAAACTTCTTGGGTGGGTCAGCTGGTTTAGGAGGCTGAAGTGGTGGTAACTCCAGTGCTGATAAGTGAGGGTGATGTGCATGGCCCAAGGGAGGTTGAGAGTGGATTTGAGCATAGGGGTTCAATGGACCTCCTTTTTGAAGTACTCTCACGTTACTGTGCAACCTCTCAGGTGATCCGTAGCCATTATTGGTATGGTTATGGTTATATGGCTGATTCTTTTGGTTCATAAAATCCTCAGTAATTTCCCTTATGTCCTGTTCATGTTGCTGGTTGAATTGGATGCAATGCTGGAAGTCTCTGAAATCTGCCTTTTCGACAACCACCTTCCGTCTATCCTTGTAATATAAGTCTGTCCATTTGAGAGTTTTTTGCAAGTCCAGGAAAGAATGCAACTCAACAAACGCTACCTTTTTGATTATCTTGGTCTCGAGAATATTGGACACTGGGTCCACCACGATCTTGAATTTGACATATTGAGTATATCTACTACGGAAAAGATCCTCCACGAACGAATCATCTCCAGATATCGGAAGGTTGACCAATTTGATGATATATGGGGGGCCATCGTCTCCATGTGCATATCCACCGCCTGAGGGTCCCCCTCCATAGTGACGGTCCCCACCACCGCTACCAAAACTGTCTCCGTATCCCGAGTAATGCTTATGCTTTTCGATTGGGACTGATATCGATGCAATATCAATATCGTCATCTGCCCAGGACCCTCCGAATGCTAAAAAAGAGTAATGTTAGTATGAAATGTTTCGCCTCGCTATACGCATTCATTGCTGAGTCGCGTGCTTTAACAGTAATACTGATACATACATTCATCAGTGAAGAACTCTTGTAAGCTCATCTTCTTAGGAGGTACTATAGGCTGTGGTTAGTAAGATGTTGTTGATCATACGGAAGAGCATGTTGGCAAATTCCATCGCCAATGGGACTTTTTAGTGTGCTTTCGCTCGGCTTCTCTGCAACGTAGGAAGAACAATAATAATAATACGGAAGGAAAATCAAAAATATGAAAGGAACAGGCAATAGGAGCTCCTCAGCAAGTGCGTGTAGCCCTCCATTTTCCGGTTCCAACGTGTCAATGGTCATCCTTAGGAGCTCAACATACCCATAATGAATATATTATGTCGTTAATATTTGATTTTCTGCTGGTTTAAGTAGTCTTTCTCTCCAGTGTGTCTTGGACTTCCAGACATTTTCGTTACTTTGGTCAAAGTCACGGATTGCACCATCTGGTTTTGTGTCCAGTTGAGAGAATAAATTATGCAGGTAAACTGCTGATGAAAAACAAAAGGTCTATAAATAAAGTTTGCACTCCGAAGGCTGGTAGTGGGAACAGGAGAGGAATTGTGAAAGTATGGAGTATACTCCTGAAGAAAATGGAGCTCATGGTGGACTGAAAATGTTTTGGAATTTGCTGAAATGATGTAGTTCGCATGGTTTAGAGTGCTTGAGATTCTGCATCGACCCCGGACTTTATGATAAGGTGCCAGCCGGTGGTTTGCAGCCACCACTCCACAGTGCGACTCCGATTGTCTCACACTACGTCGCCAAGTCCGATAGATATGCGCTCCCAAAATAGGGCCAGATTGGGGCCAGATTAGGGCCACATTAGGGCCAAATTTAGGGCAAGAAAACTTTACACTGTTCACAGTGTACCAAGCTGTGTTGGATGTGAACAGACCTGTGATAGTTGTATGGGACTCGGCTTGAAACGGGCTGGCCAAGTAAGTGGGGTATAGTCTTAAATCTCATTGAACAGACTCAATTCTACCACTTGGCTCGTGGCTCGTGATTAAATTAGAACCGCTAAGATCTTGCTCTGGTATGTCCTACTTTATATTGACGTTTGTATATTTGTTTATTTTCCTATTTTTTTTTTTTAATATATAGTTAAGTATCATTTTCTGATCTTCTTTTGCTTTGCAGTTTCTTGCTGCTCTGCTGTGCTTTTGATTTTATGTGTTTCGCTCATTCCTCTGCTTCTTCTTTAGCTACTTTTCACATTTACATTTACTTCAACTACTCTCTACAAGTCGTCATAGGTATCGTAAACCTTTCTCCAGTTGGAAAAGAATCCAGAGAAAAACTTAATCCCATTACCAACATCCTTGACACCAGCAGCGGCTCTAATAGAGTGCATGGAAAGTTGAGGGATTCCCAAATCGATGGTTCTAGCACCAGTTTGAATGGAAATTGAAGGACCAATAGTACCACCTGAACGAGAATCATTTCTAATTTGGAAGTACTGCAATGGATCATCATTGATTCTGCCCAATTCTTCAACGAGTGCCAATCCAATGGAGTCAGTCGCAAAATGTCCATTTGGATCCAAGGCAATGGAAATACCCTTGTTTGGTAATGGCTTGTGATGCTCCAAATAGACGTTGGCAAAGTTAGGGTTAAGCAAGTGATTCACATCAGCTGACAAGATAATAGTGTTGGCATATGCTAATTTAAGTAGTTCTTGCTCAGATTCATCGCCTGGGAAATCAAGAGCAGAAATTACTCTTTCTACAACCAATTCAATCAATTGACCCTTGATACCTTGACGGGTAGCGGATCCAATTTCTTCGTTATCAAACAAACCGACAATTGAAAATCCTGATGATGGAATACTGTCCAATTCTGTAGATGATTCGATCAATGCTTTATAAGCTGCAAATGAACAAATTCTGTCATCAATTCTTGGAGCAAAAATGAATTCTTTGCTTAGTCCACCGAGAGTACCTTTTTGAACATCAAACAATTGCAAATCCCATTGCACAATGTCTTCTACCTTGACTTTGGCCAAACCAGCAATGTATCTGAGCAATTTCAATGGGTGCTTACCGTATAATGGAGAGCTCTTTTCAGCTTCGGTGGCTGGAGCTTCAGCGGGATCGTCTGCTGATTGGAAGCCGACAACTGGGACAGCCTGTGTCTCCTTGTTAAATGGTCCCACTGATGGCGCACCGAAATGGGGAGCCAAAGTTGGGATGTGAGCGATAGGATGAGGAGTAGAGTCTACAAGCTTTTGTTCAACCTTGGAGGTCTCTGGATCTCTAACTAAAAGACGACCACCGATACCCAAGTCTCTGTCCCACCAAAGATCCGATAAACCACCAGCATAAGGTGCAACACCCAATAATTCGTAACCCTCAACTGTATCCTTGTTGGAGTTTGGCTTTAACAAGGCAGTCAAAGCATCGATATGTGCACCAACGACACCAACCCCCTTATCTGCGGTCCAATCGCTTCCTACGACAAAGGCTGCGAGCGAAGATCCATTTCTAACAGTATAATATTTACCAGGACGTAATGAGTCCCAAGATTCCTTTTCTGATAAATACTTGAAACCTGCCTTGGTCAAGTCCTTACCAACAGTCTCTACCACGTGATAGATAGTTGGATTTTCGTAGGTAAACTTGATGTACTCGTCCGCGTATTTACTAAAATATTTGGAAGAGTAAATTTCGGCCTTCTTTGTGGAAAGAGAGGTGGATGTTTCAGGCACCTTTAAAGTTGATGATGAAGAAGAAACTTTATCATTTTCTAATTTCAATTCGAGATTGGCCATTGCTTCTTGCATGGCCTTGAGGAGAGCCAATTCCGACATTCTTTAAATTTACTAAACGAGTGTGTTTATGGTATAAATTCAGGTTGGTAATTGAGAAGAAAAATACAACACTGACTTAAGAAAGAGTAGTTTTGGGTTGGCTTTATACTGACTACAGCCAGCACACTGCATGGCTCTATGGTCAATTTTTTCCCCAGCATTCAAGTGTGGTGGTGGCGCCCGAGTGCGCGGAAAAGGGTCAGAAAAGACCGCTTATGGAAATGAGATAAAAGATACGGGTGCTCGAGAAAGGCTTGGTGAAAAAAAAAGAAAATGTTATCAAGAATTTGACGTAATCATACTCTGTATTTATTATTTTTGGTGGTGGTTATTTCTATTTATCTATGGTCTCTTGGATGCAAAGGTTGCAGCAACAATCAATGGGAGCACCACAGAAACGTCGGCGTACACCTTGACCAGTGATGCATCAGCCTTGATTTTACCCCAACTAACCGCTTCGTCAGGTCTGGCTCCTGCATCTGAACCGTCGAATTCTTGACCGGTGTTAATATAGACAGCGTAGTCAGCACCGTTTCTCATCAAACAGGCATTGCAAATGTGATGCTTGATTAACCCTCCTCCAAGGATTATCATACCGGCCTGACTGGCTTCCATAGACATGGAGTTGATCTTGCGGATATCCTCAACGATGTCTAGTCTCAAGTGCTGTGGCAGGGCCTTGAACGTATGGAAAAATAACATGTCCCCAATGGAACCATCGGTCAATGCAGGACAGAAAATTGGAATCTTATTCTTATGGGCCCAGTACAACACAGAAGATTCATCATTGATCTCCTTTCCAAGTCTATCAATCAATTTTGATGGAGTCCAGCAAGCTCCTGAGCCTGCATTCATTCCTTCCGAGCCTAATTTGGTCATTTCAGCCTCTTGTTCTTCTAAACACTTATCTAAAATTGGTACAATCCATTCTTCAAATTTACAGTAGTTATCGTTTGGTACCAACAAGTTACCAATTCTATTCATTCCCTTATCTCTAAGACCCTTCCCAGGTAAGCTAAATTCTCCCATGTAGGTAGGTGCCAAACATTTGATAAGATCTTCTTCTATTCCTCCGGCACTGGCAACAATTGCACTTACCATTTTGTGCTGCACCAAATATCTCAAGGTGTCTCTGATACCAGAAGAAATCAAATTCGAGGTGAACCCCATGAATATGGTTGTCTTTTGCACTCCATCTTCGTCAAATTCACCACCTCTTTCGTGCTCTGGAAGAGAATCTATGTGCTTACCTCTCCATTCTCTCATACTGTTGATAATATCACAAGCTTTTCCTAAACTAGATGCTTGAAACCCCATGGTCTTCATAGAGTCAATTAAATCGGTGGCTCTCATGTTGTATGCGGAGTCTTTGGAGTAGTCGATCCCCTTAACTTCTACAAAATCATCCGGAACAGGTTCAGACTTGACCAATACTGCATCTGTTGCAATTCCTGGTAGTTTGTTATCTGACATACTACTAATCTATATATAAACTCTTTGATCTATAGCCAATGATCTACAAGTACAAAGTGGTAAGATCATTAAATTTTGCAAAATTTGCGATGCGACTCTTCGTATTTATTTTTCAAGTCAACATCCTAACACCCGCAGTAGAGTTTAGAACCAACATGGAGCGCTATTTTCTGTTCCATGTTAATGAGCACACCAATGAACCTCGCCATTAGTCCAATCTACAACGAAAACTACGAACGTTAGGTTTGTTACTTCTTTTTATTTTACTTCTTTTTTATTTATAATATATATATATATGTATCTTTCATGCAAATTTTATCATACTTCAACCCTATCCTTCACCTCTGGAGTCCAGGCCGTGGTCTTTGGCTTGGCAGTGTTATATGTAACGAACATCCCTGGAGTGGTAGTATAGTTCATGTGGTGTCTCTCTGGTAATGGGTAGGCTCTCACGGTCTTTTCATCCCCCGTTACCTTGTTAGGTGGGGTATCGGTACCATATCCCAACCAATAATGCCAGCCTGGTTCTACCTTGGACATATCAATACCCCATTCGGAGTATTCAACCCATCTGGTTCTTAAATGAATTTCATCTTTGTGGTCTGTTTCGTAAAACTTGTTACCAAAATCATCAGTTCCAACTAACCAACCACTCTTGGTATCGTTGTGAACTTGGATTTGCCATCCGGCTCTCCTCAATCCAGACTTATAGATGTTTCTGACTGTACGAAATATAGAAGTGGACATGTCTACTCTATTGCTTTAAGAAGGTCCTTGTTTGCTTTGGAGATATAATCTCAGTTTTTTTTTCTTTGGTTTCGGCTGAATTGGTTTATGTGAAATTTTGATTGGCTTAAAATGTGGTGCGCGGTTGTGCATATAGTTTGGATGGGTCACGTGATGTTCCTGTAATCACACAACTGCTAGCACCCTGGTGAATGGAAGCTTCTGTAGTTGTAGAGAACCTATCACACTTGTGTTTGGCTGGCCAAGTTAGTCTGCTTTCTATTTCTACTGCTTGCTGTTCGATCAATTTACAGTTTCATTCTGCTTTTTACTTTCTATATTGTTCTGTCTACTGTCTACTGTCCCTCTCCTACTCCTACTTCCTACTTCTCTTCCCAATCTTTTCTTTTCATATTCTTTTTATTATTTCGTATATATTTTCTTCAATAAGTTCACCTTTATTACCCAAAACATTGCCAAAATCCATTATATGTTATACCTTTGAATACTATGAACAAGAAAGAAAAGGCAAAAAAAAAAAAAAAGTAGAAAAAAAAACTTCAAAAAAAAAATATCAAGATAATCATGAACACGAACACTCAGACCAATGAGTCAGTCCTCGAGTACATTCTTATCTTAATTCCTTCCATCGTTTTTAATTGTTTCACATTTTTTTCTTTCCCCTTTCCAATTAGTGTCTAGAAACGGATTGCTCCAATAACTTATTAACATCACTGGAATTTATCACAACACCCTTTTCGGAACACTTTGCCTTACTCTTTAATTCGTTACATAAACTGTCGATATCAATTTCAGTGTACTTTGGATGCGACGTTATTCTGTCCCAAATTTCTGAACATCTTACTGTTTCTTCTGGTGCAGGTACTACTTCGTTGTCATCATCGTCATCACCTGGTGAGTTAACATCTGGAGATAATGAAGCAACTGTAGGCTTGCTACTTCCACCTGTTGAAGAGTTTGTTTGAACGTATTCATTGAAATCGAATGAATTGGCTCCTGCAGAGGCGGAAGACACCGATTGCTTCTTCTTGCTGTCCAATTCCTTGAAAGGATCATATACTGATTCTTCGGTAGTCAAGAGAGAAATCGGGTCGAATCCAGGACTATTATTTGTATTATAATTCTCACCGAACGCCAACGATATGTCAAAGTTATCATTATCATTCAAGAACGACAATGGGTCGTTGCTTCCATCGGTGTTCTTAGGTATTGGGAAATTGTAGTCAGCAGATTCACCATTGAAAAATGGATCATTCATGAGGTCAGTATTATTATTGTCAGATGTCTTGTTATTGTCATTGGTGCTGTAGTTGTGAACGCTGTTGCTCGATAAAGACGAGTTATGATTATTGTGGTTAACATTCTCAATCAAAGTTGAGAATGGTGAATCATTACTAGCTGTAGTTGGGATAGATTGGATAGATGGGGCCTTGTACTTTGGAACTGGACACTCCTTACTTCCGCAAGCTTCATTCAACTTCTCACAAAATGGATCAGCTTCTTCTTCAAATTTGATTCCAAAGTCAAACCCGTCATATTGGTTAGAATCTACGGTATTTGGATTTGAGTTAGATGATGATGATTCTGGCGAGACTAAGCCGTTAGCACCTCCATGAGTTGAACCAAGATTGTTGTCCAATGGCAGATATGAAGATGAAGTTGAACTTCCAGTCGTTCTAGAAGCACCGCCAACCAAGTCAGGCAAGTTCAGCATGTACAACTTCTGGCTATTCAAGTTCTTAGCACTCCACGGGAAGTCCACAGATACGTTATTATTACTACTTCCACTGCTAAGCGACGAGCTCACGCTGGAATTCTTCTGCTTTGGGTTCGACAAGTGACCTACCTTAGTAGGCAAATTGATGTCCAGAAAGTCCGACTGGCCTCTGTAACGCGACAATTCATTCTTCAATAAATCAACCTGTGCCTTCAAGAAATCAGACTCCGTGGTCACCTGAACATTTTCATCTTCCAATGACTTAACCTTGTCTTCCAACTCCTTCATTCTCTTTTCCTTTCTCTCCCTGTATGCTCTTTGAGCAGCTCTATTCTGAGCGGTCCTCTTGGACTTTGGCTCTGTGTCTATTGGCTTACGACCGGGCTTCGTAAAGTGTTGCTTCTTGTCATCGTGTAAGTCCTCAAACTCGTCAGAGATATGTCTCTTGATTTCTGGTTTAACTTCAGCCATGATTACTAATCCTCTCAAAATTGAAACTTTCCTTTGCAGTTCTGCGACTTTGCAAATCTACTTGTATGTATCCCTATATATATATATGAGCCGGAGTATCTACAGTCAGTAACCGAATAATTACACTAGTTACGGCTGAAAAATCTAAAGGTGGAAAAAGACGTTAAGCAAAAATATAAATAATTTGCTTCAGGTGGCTAGCGCCTTTTCTTTATATTGGATTCTTGTGGAACACAATAGAACAAAAAAATATTATTTAGCTGTAAGGCTAAGACCCCAATTTCAACCTCTCACCCTAATCGGCCCCTACAGGGTAGCAGAAGCATCAGATATTGCGAATTTGCAGGTAATTTGCGCTTGGTCATACCCTTGAATGCGGGAAATACCTGCACGTAGCAAAATATGCTGACAAATTAAGGAGAGTAGGTAGTGTGGAGCAGCAAAATTAGCTTTAAAGAAAAAGAAATTCGAAACAAGTGCAGGACAGAGTCAAGCACAGACCGCTTCGGACCACATGGAAGGGAAAAAGAAACGGAAGAGACAGAAAAGGTGATTATGTTACCTTACGTCGTGCAACCAAAATATACGATGTCGTTCTGAGATGGTTGGGGAGATTCGTTCCAGGGCACTAATTCCATCTACGATGATCTACGATGGTGCCACCAAGATCGATAGGGGCGAGTATATGCCACAGATATGAGAACAGCTTTTAAAACGAAAAGACGGGAGGGACAAATGTATGTATGTACATTGTATGTACACTAGATGTTCCCTCCCCACTCTCCACCTTGGGGAGACTGGGTGCGTTTTTCGTTTTTCGTTTTTCGTTTTCGTAGTGTGCGTAGATGAAAAATTATACGCTCGGATCGGTTTGACATGGACAGCTTTGTAGTGTGACACTGTTGCGATTTATCAACAATGCGGGAATGGAAGGGGCCTACACCACTACAGAACTCTCCTATCTCTCCTATCACTTAATGTTTCTGGAGCTTGATTTCACTATTTTGAATCTTTTTGCTTTTTTCTTCTTTCCTTTTTATTCAATTGCTTCTCATTACCTATATAAACTACTCAATATCTAGTGTGCCACGCACATCATCTCGCATACTGTTTAGTTGCTTAGTACCACATCAAGCGAAGGCTGCTATACATTGCTCTGTCAAAATGATGTTCCAGGTTTATCAGCAGGGTCGAGCAGAAAAAATAAATAGAAAGGCTAAAAAATAAAAGTAAAATAAAAAAAAAAATAAAAATGAAACAATCAGCTACGCTAAATTTCAATGTGACACACTGAGAGCTGAGCAGCAGTTTAGCTCCTTTCTCTCACGGTTATCTTCGGGAAGTAAATGTGGAAACCAGTTTCTAGTTCTAGATCGTACTTCTTCTTATCGTTTGCTGTTGTTAATGCTGCATTATCTTCGTCCAACATTTTCCCAAGCTTCTTAACTTCTACTAAGTAGTGAATGCAGGTCTTTTTTAGGGCCTTAATCCATTCTTCGTTTCCAGAACAACCATCCAAAAAATAGTATCCACTCAATTTCTTGTTTTCTATAAACTCAAGTAAGTCTCTGAATATATTCTTCGCTTCATTGAACTCATCTAAACAATGTGAATATATCTTTCTCACATTTTCCTTGGTAACATTAGTCTCATTAATTTCAATTGCACTTTTGTAGTGTTCGAAAGTTGGTAAGCTAGGTACCCCAATAGATGAAAATGGTTTCATTCTTAGGTTGTATATATTTTCCAAGCTGGTATATTTCAGTTTTGGAGGACCTTTAAGCAAATCGATTACTTTGACAAAATGCAAAAGTGAAAAGTAAATCTTGATCGCATCTGTAATCCTAAAGTAACCCTCAAATAACTTACTGAGATAATTTTCATTATATTGGATGGTTAAGTTTATTTTAGGTACGACATGGGTCAACTTTTCTTGTTGGAGCTTCTTCATCTTCTCTTTCTTGTCCCCGGCCTTTAATTTCTTGATCTTTTTACTTAACCCGGTTGTCAAATACTGTACCTTCAGCTCAAGCTGATGCCTTATCCTTCCTTGCAACAATTCTAATGCTAATTGTGACAAGTATGAAATATACCAGTAAATCTGGGGGGCTTCAAAGATTTTATAAAGATCTAGCTCAAATCCTCTAAACAAGATATCAATCATCAACAGCAACTTATTGTAGTAGATATATGATGATATGGGTAAAGAGGGTTGGTTATTACCTTCTAATTCATCACCAATCCTGAAATTTTCCCAAACTTCTAGTTCAAAGTTTTCCAGAGCAACTTGTAAAGTATCCCAAACCAAAAGTCCCCTAGACATCAATTGTCTTTGTCTACATCTATTGTTTGTACTGTTGGATAAAGTATGATAACTGATACTTTCTAAGTCATTCAATAATTGATCAAATTTGTTCAAGATATCTTGCTTAATAGGTTCCTTTAAATCTGGCCAACCATTGACATCAAAAATCTGTGAATCAATAGTATTCAAGTTTTCCATCATCTTTTGAGTTACAGTCAAAATATTCTCTCCTCTAGTAGATCCCATGATAGCCTTGTTGTCTCTGATCAAAAACAACTGGAATAACCCTCTCACGAAAACATTGAATGTAGAGTTCATGTTATTTGTGATTTCATACTGAATGAAATTCTGAAATTGATAGTAATTTGATATTTCAGATGATTTCAATAATGATTCGTTTAATTGGCTAAACATATTTACAAGGTTATTGAAACTTTCTGTTGTATCTAATTCATATAATTCCGTGGTGATGGATTTGTTATTAAGATCAAGTTGAACAAACTTAGAAAATGAACCTGGAGGGATGTACGATCTATAATTTGATAATGACTTTATCTGTGTTTGCAAAATGTATACTGATTCATCAAGAAATGCAATGGTAGGCTTGATTGAATAAGTGGTTTGTTCGATTTCAAATGACAATTTCAAGATTGATTCTATCTCGTTCATCTTGTGGAGTATTTCGAGTCTATATATCAAATTATCTAGATCTATAAGATTTCCTGCGCTATCCTTCTTATCATTTATCAAAAAGATCGCCAGTCTAATCTCTTCTAGTACACTTTTCTTATCAAGCTGCGATAAGAAATCTAGGTCCATATTTCTGGTAGTTAAATCCTCTTCTTCGTATAATATGCTTGTTCCCACGCCCAAAACAAATCCCACGTACTTACATAGTCCAAGGATGAATGCCTTTAACACCTTTTCCGATAAAAATTTCTCGAACTCGTTCCCGCCCTTGTTCTCGGTTCTTATTCTCGGGTCGGAAAGGGAGCAGATGTCTATGCTTTTGGTTACAGAGGCGGTATAATTCTGTAAAATAGTTTGGACATATCTGCATGACAAAATAGTAACCGGGAGGGAAGAATTGTTCAACCAACTCATCAATAAAGTGTATAGTTTGTCCATCACTGCAATCATTGATTTGACCGAGATAGGAAGCGACGGATCAAATGCCAATTCTTCCTCTGAAAGTTCATAGCGTAGCATCCCAGTATCGAGCCTGATATTATCAGTTTCCACTGCTCTTGTACCTTCTAACAAATCAAAATATTTACTCTTCACAACTTGGTGATTTTCAATTGATTTAACTGATGCAAAGAGTAGATCAGTAATGTCCACATAATTATCTGGATCTTTAAGATTAAGATTCAAGTCATCAAGCCCTGCAAAAAAAAATTGTTAGTAAATTTGAAGCAATTCAACAAATCCTCATCTCCTTTCTCATACTCACCATCTTTTATGTTATTCATGACGCTTACTAGACCACTGTCTGATTTAGCTTCGATCTGAAGCGAATTCTTTGGATCCACAAGAGCTGCAGTGGAGATTTTTTTCCATGTCAGTGGATCGCAGCATGCAGGAGCTCTGGGACACTTCACTGTTGCTTAAAGACGGGGATATGGTTCAGGAACAAGCAGGAGAAAGTGATTTCTTCCAGGGTTCCTGTTAGCTAATTGATGCAGTTAGTGAAGCAAGGAAAATGAATTAGAGCGGTGAAGAGAAAGTGCCTTTTCAATTTCGGTAGGTAATGCTTTTCCTTCGGGTTCTCCAGTAGCTGAGAATATTTTCCGCTGATTGCAAAATGTAAGTGATACTTGTTAAACAGTAAAATGCTCTATACCTATTCCCATAACCGCATATTAATCTTATTCAGTGTTGTGCTGCTAATAGCTTATGGGCGAATTTTGTGCTTTATTTATCGCCAAACCCAGTGTATTGCACCCCTATCCTCATTGACCCAATGAAGGCATGATAGCTAAGTCCCACATTTTCCGAGAATACAGCCTAATCGGAATATGGTATCTGTAAATTAGGAGTACATTTACGGAAAAACAGGCCTGCATGAGTACCAATGCCCCACGAATTAAATTATTCATTTGGATAGAGCTGTTTAATAACCGATGTGAAAATAACGTTTTAACGCTGCAGCAAAATAAAATAAAACGTATTTAGCAAAATATGACAAGGTGAAGCTCCTCTATCTATCGAAAAGTTCGACCAGGATTATCACTCCAAATCTTATAAGTAGGCACTTCCCCTAGGTCCTTCATCTTGGTTTCATTCTACATCATACGGTAAACGAATAATTCGACTTCTGAACCGATCTGTTCTCGCTTACTTTAAGGTTTTGGCTTTGTTATGAGAGTGAGCCGCACGGATCTTTTTTGCACCCAGAGTGTGTATGCCAATTCCTATAAAACAAAGCGATAGATCAACTCTCTTCTTTGGGCTACACTATGCCTGTTATATTACACTTGATTCATTCAAAATTTGAGGATTGAAGCACGTGGCTATATATGTGATCTAAAGTAATTATGATAAACGCATATCGTGCAGAAGCTAAATACGGAAAAATGTGGAGAGTCTAAATGTCATTGCGGCAAATGTTATACGTATTCTGACGTAGATCAAGATGATATGGGCATTGATGTGACCAGATTCGATGCTAATATAGGCTGAAAGTGATACCTGAAACGCTCTTCAACGTGGTATGGATCTCTGGTATCCTATCTTTATGACATATAAATATGTATGTATGACCTGATTTTGTTAATTGTAATAAGTATAATTTAGATGAGCTGAAGGAACTTTAAACCAGTTCTGAATTGAATGTTTCATCAGATATGTCAGCCTTACCTAATGAAAATTGTATTATGGAAATAACTAGTAAGAAAAAATCCAACGTCGTTGAATACAGAACAACCGCTGAAGACTCGGAGGAGTCTCTCAGTGAACGATTCAAATACAATAGTGTTGAAAGAAAACAAAGATTTGCATCTGGCGCCAAATCTATGGACATTATTGTGTTGTTTAGTGCTGGTTTTGCATTGATTTCAGATGGATACCAAAACAGTATTATGACTATGTTGAATAGCGTCCTAGCTTTGGAATATCCAGAGGAGTATACTTCTGACATGAAAACTACTGTTTCTTACGCTTCTACTGTTGGAACTATTTTCGGCCAAGTTGCAGTCGGTTTCACAACTGATTACTTGGGAAGAAAATGGTCAATTGTTGTTGCCACACTATTCCTCATCTTGGGTACAATAATGTGTGCAGCTTCACATGGTGAAACAGTTGATGGCTTACTTTGGATGTTAATTATATCTAGAGGAGTAACTGGATTTGGAATCGGAGCGGAATATCCATCCTCAGCCGTTTCTGCAAGTGAAGCTGCCAATGAATCCATTAAAAGAAGAGGCGCGGCCATCATCTTGTGTACAAACTTGCCATTGGCCTGTGGCAGTCCCTTTGGTCTTATCATTTTTTTGATTGTCCATCAAATTACGAAAAATCACTATGCTGCTACATGGAGGACTATGTTTGCTATTGGAGTATTTTGGCCCTTATCCGTCTTTTACTTTAGAATGAAAATGGCCACTTCTAAATTGTACAAGGATAATGCTATCAGAAGGAATGTTCCCTACTGGTTGGCGTTGAAGTACTATTGGCCGAGATTGTTTGGTACGTGTGCATGTTGGTTTTTGTATGATTTCGTTACATTCCCGAATGGTATTTTCTCTTCTGGTATCATATCTTCCGTATTAAAGGGTAAAGAAGCTAAGGATTTAAACAAGGTGGCCGAATGGACTTTGTTGTTAGGTGTTATTGCTATTCCTGGTGTATTTATAGGTGCATATTTATGCGACAGAATTGGAAGAAAGTATACATTGATTACTGGGTTTTGTGGATACATTATTTTTGGGTTGATTGTTGGATGTGGGTATGAAAAGGTTTCTAAAATCACTGCTTTATTTATCGTACTATACGGTCTAATGATGTCTAGTGGCAATTTAGGACCGGGAGACATGATGGGTATAACTCCTCTTGAATCTTTCGCAACACCAATTCGTGGAACATGTTATGGAATCTCTGCAGCAATTGGTAAAGTTGGGGCTGTAGTTGGTACTAAATGTTTCACACCAATTCAAAAAAATTTGGGTAAAAGATGGACTTTCATTATTGCAGCAATCTGTGGACTTCTTGGTGTTCTTATAGCGTTTTTCTTTATCCCTCACTTAAAAGACGAAGATTTGCTTGAGGAAGATATTAAATTCAAAAATTACCTAATAGCAAATGGTTGGGAAGGTGATTTTGGTATATCGCCTGAGCAACTACTGACTGTGGAATTAGACATTGATGAAGGGAAAGAATCAGAAAAACCCCGTGAACCACAATAAAATCTCTTTCTTTCCTTCGAACATTACTCCATTATAACCATATTGATAGCAATACAAGTGTTTCTGAACCTCTCTCTTTCCTAATCATCGCTTCTCCTGGATTGAACTTTACCTAAACTCACGTAACGCTAAAAAGGTTTTCAAATAAATCAGCGGGCGGCTGGTGTAGTGGTTAACATTTCTGCCTTCCAAGCAGGAGACAGGGGTTCGATTCCCCTGCCGCTCATTCTTTTTTGAACTCCAGCTTTTTTTTTTATTTTTGTTTTTGTTTATGTTTTGAGTACGCGCATGCATCTCAACAACCACAAGCTGATCTACATAGTAAGAACAGGGGAAGTTCGATATATAATAGGTGGTAAATAACTTTTTCCTTTCTATCTCAAGTTGAACGTATTAAAAATAAACAGCTTTTCATGTCGTACCGTCCAAATGCAAAGTCGATACAAAAAATCAATGATTTGGAGGGGATCTATGATGGCATGGCGCATGTCTTCCAAGATGCTCAGCTAACGTTATCTGGTCATAGGAAGTTGGTGATAATAATGAAGAATATTCATAAAAGAGCTATAGAATTGGGGTTTGAAGAATCTTTTGCAATGAAATTCGCTAAATTTATAAATTTTATTTTACCATTGAAGAAGGGGGAGCAAGTTGGAGATCGTATCATTAAATTCTGTAGCGTCTTCATAGCAAGTTCATACAAGGACGAGGAGGTGGCGAAAAAGGATACTGAACAGGATAATGTAGACGAAGATGTAGACGAAGATGAAGATACACCAACTGGTAAATTTGTAGATTATATCCTTCGCCACTTGTTAAGAGGTATACAGGCAAAGGATAAACATGTTCGTTATAGAGTTATTCAATTGCTTGCTTATCTTGTAAACAATATAGGAGAAATTGATGAGGAGCTTTTTACGGCATTGCAGTGGTCATTAAATAGAAGATTGTATGATAAAGAACCAAATGTCAGACTCCAAGCAATAGTTGCTATATCGAGGTTCCAATACCTCCCAGAAGGTGGCCAGAAGGCCAGTGAAAGTATTTTGCTTGCTATGCAAAATGATGACAGTGCTGAGGTTAGAAGAGCCGCTTTGTTGAACTTAACCAAGAATGAAACAACGATTCCATTTCTCTTGGAAAGAGCTAGGGATACGAATTCCATTAACAGAAGGCTTGTCTTCCTGAGAATTTCAAAAGAATTGGGTGACTTTAGAGATTTGGATTTGGAATTGAGAGAAGAGTTGTTGAAAAGTGGACTTAAGGATAGGGAGCAGTCCGTACAATCAGCTGCAGTTAAAATGTTCGCTACCACTTGGTTTGACGTGGTACAAGAAGACTTGCTCGAACTTATAGACAGCTTAAATGTAGTTAACACTGAGGGAGATATCTCAGATGTTGCGATTCAGATCTTTTATCAAACAAGACAAGATTTTGTGAACACTAAAGTAAATATAACTAAGGAAATGTGGAAGGAATTGTCGGTAGAAATGGCGTTTTTTATAAGAAGCTTCTATGATTATTGCAATGAAAATAGATTGTTCGAGTTGATCGATAAGTTTTACCCTGAATCTATTGAATTGAGTGAAATTTTACTGAAGTATTTGAATCTAAGAAATTCCTTTATCAAGAATAGTACAGGCATTATCCAAGAGTATGAAGTTTTACATGCGAAGTTGGAGAGTTTAAGGCATGAAGAGTTTGAATTAGAACAACAGTTGGAAGGAGAAACCGAGAGCCAACCAAGGGAGAAGGAAATTGAAAAATTGTTAGTCAGCAAAAGAGACGAAATTACCAAAGAACTCCTCAATTTTGAAGAACCGAGACAAGAGTACGTAACTTACTACGAACAATTGAAAGACTTAGAATTTATTATCAAACAGTTAATAATGATTTCGAAGGACTACGATTTCAGTGATGAAATTGGTAGAAGAGAAATGTTGAGAATAATAAGATCTTCGTTGACTAATGATGAATTGAGTGATGAATTGATCGAGTTATCATTAAAGGTTTTAAAGAAGATTTCAATCAACGAAAGAGATTTCTCTACTATGTGTACTGAAATTGTTACGGACATTAGAGATTCTTATATGGACGAAGTCGATGACACATTCCATTCGGCAATATCAAGTTTGAGCGATGAAGAAAAGGATGACGACGATGAAGATGATGATGATGAAGAAGACGAAGAGGATGAAGAAGAGGGACTAGATGTGGAAGGTCGTGACGAATCTAAAGCAGATACCCATAAAGCCAAGAAACGTAAAAAGGAACCAAAAGAACCTCCAAGCGAGACATTGATTCAATGTTTACTTATCACAAAGCATTTATTGGAATTAACGGAAGAGTCTATTTCAAATGTTTCCCTTAGCTCATTACTTGATAGTTTAGTGAGGCCCTCAGTGTTAAGGAACGATAATCTCTACATTAGAAACTTGGCAATGACTTGCTTAGGATTGTATTGCTTGTTAGACAAGCAATTAGCCATTCAACAACTTTACCTCTTTGGGGTCGCTGCTTCAAGAGCGGACGAGGAACTTCGAATACTCTCTATTAAAGTTATCGTTGATATCTTGTCGACACACGGCATCTCTGTATTGGATGTTGAAGGACAAGTTGATTCCTTGTCTCTAGCCAAGTTGTTTTACAAGGTATTAAGGCTCTATGAAATGCCTAAGTTACAGTGTGTTGTGGCTGAAGGATTGTGCAAGTTATTCTTGGCAGACATATTAACTGATTTTGGTAAAACGAAGAAAGACTCGGATGATGGAGAGGGCAACAAGGCGGATGCAGAACAAGAAGATCAAGAGAAAGTTCTATTTGAAACTTTAATTCTAACATATTTCCATCCATTGAACGCAAATAACCATGAATTGAGACAAATCTTAGCATTTTGCATACCAGTATATTCATTCAGTCACACTAAACACCAAGATAAAGTTGCAAGTATAAGTGGGGACTGCTTCTACCGCTTATTTAGAGAAAATGGAGAATTTGAAAAGTACGAAAATATGGCTACTCCATCTACAATTTTACAGCAGTTAATTCATTGGTGTGATCCTAATAACCTAGTCAATTTGACTCAAGTTGAGATTAAGAGATCTGCTGCACATTTTTGGCAAGCAATGGGGTTGCTACAGGCACTAGAGCAGGACACACCAAGGAATATCAAGAAAACTATTATATCTAATTTAAATAAATTATTTATTACTGAGGAACTTGGATCTGTTGTGTTGACTGGGTTGAAGAGGGCCATCGAAGATACAAGGCTAGTGTTTGAAACTAGTAGTCACGACCCAAGCTTTGCCTTAGACTCACTTTCGGATCGTAGTTTCGAGAAGTTTTATCAGAATATTAAAGAGATCACCGAAAGGGCCATGGAAATGGAAAAGGTAAAGGCGGAAGAAGACAAGGAGAATAGTATTTTGTCCAATATATCCACTGTGCCCGAGGAAAAGCAAGGTAGCCCAGAAGAAGAATCAGTAGATGTCAAACAAGGAGAGAATGAGGTTGAAGACAAAGAGGTTGAAAAGGAGACAGCTGTAAAGGAGAAGTCAGCAGATTCTGAAACTGAGGATATCGAGGACAGCTTACAGAAGATTGACGAGTTATTGGATGAAGAAGATAACGTGGACTACGATGTAAGCATGGAAGATGTGTAAGAAGGCTACGAGGTAAGCATGGAGGATGCGTGAGTAATGTACGAGGCGTAAATAAAATAAGAAGTATAAAAGGATTAATATCGAAAATACGAATTTGGAACAAGGTTGTTATGTAGAAAAACTGTATGAAAGACTGCATGAAGATGACGGCATGAAGAAGACGGCATGAAAGACAGTATGAAGAAGACAGTATGACAGATGTATGAAATCCGTATGGATCACTGTATGAAGAAGACATTATTGTATGAAAAAAGGAAAGGAAACGAAACAATATAAAAAAATGTGCTACAGTTGAAGTATTAGAGCAGTTTCAGGTGTACAAAAAATAATTAGTGCTAAGCAGCACATTCTATAGCGCAAACATATTATCTTCCACCAGGCAGAGTACCATACAAAACGAAGATAGCTACAAAGTACATAAATAGGGGGAAAAATGCGCTTGCTTAAAATGCACATGCTTTACTTCCTCGTCTAAATATAGCTTCTTGTATTTACCTTTTCCACTATCTTTAGTGTGCTTGCTCCAGAGCTGCGTAGGTACTACGTAATATAAACGATCGCTGCTCGATAATTTAAGGTTAAAGCCAAGATAAGTCCGATTTCGATCTCGTACCCTGGGTGAGAATAAACGACATAAACGATGTGCAGGATCTTGGTTTAATTTTTTATGCGTCGTATAGAAACACCTCCCTATACGACCAAATATACGCGTCAACGCTTTTTAATTTTTCACCATACAAAAAGTTTTCGACAGTGATAAGAAACATAAATAGACTTGTTGATTCTTCTTCTTCTTTTCTTTTTTTTTTTTTGGATTTTATTTGAAGTATACATTTCATTCAACTAGAAATATTATCAGATTCAACCCGAATACTTATTCATAACAGTAGTATACTAAATTCAACAAAATGTCCACAGTTAAGCTCGCACAAAAGGATTTCGACAGAGATGCCAAATTCGCTAAGGCCATGCATGGTGATTCTTACAAGAAGACCGGTTTATCTGCATTAATTTCCAAGGCTAAGGAAGCCTCCGACGTTTCTAACGCTGCTTACTTCAAGCACTGGGACGGTGGTGTTGAAAAAACCGATGAAGACAAGAGATTGGGAGATTACTCCCAGTTGACTGCCCATTACTATAACTTGGTTACCGATTTTTACGAGTACGGATGGGGTTCTTCATTCCATTTTTCTAGGTACTACAAGGGTGAGGCATTCAGACAAGCTACCGCTAGACACGAACATTTCTTAGCTCACAAGATGAACATTACTGAAGACATGAAGGTTTTGGATGTTGGTTGCGGTGTTGGTGGACCAGGTAGAGAAATCTGCAGATTCACCGATTGTTCTATTGTTGGATTAAACAACAACGATTACCAAATCGAAAGAGCTAACCACTACGCTCAAAAGTACAAGTTAGACCATAAATTATCCTACGTTAAGGGAGATTTCATGCAAATGGAATTTGAACCAGAATCCTTCGACGCTGTCTATGCCATTGAAGCTACCGTCCACGCACCAGTTTTGGAAGGTGTTTACTCTGAAATTTACAAGGTTTTAAAGCCAGGTGGAACTTTCGGTGTCTACGAATGGGTCATGACTGACAAGTATGATGAAGAAAATGAAGAGCACCGTAAGATTGCCTACGGTATTGAAGTTGGAGATGGTATCCCTAAGATGTACAAGAGAGAAGTTGCTGAGCAAGCTTTAAGGAACGTAGGATTTGAAATCGAATATCAACAAGACTTAGCTGATAAGGAAGACGAAATTCCATGGTACTACCCATTAACTGGTGAATGGAAGTATGTACAAACTTTTGGGGATTACTTCACCATTTTCAGAACCTCTAAGTTGGGTAGAGCTGTCACTACTGAAGCAGTTGGTTTAATGGAAAAGCTTGGTTTAGCTCCAAAGGGTTCTAAGCAAGTCACTAACGCATTAGAAGACGCAGCCGTCAACTTGGTCGAAGGTGGAAAACAAAAGTTGTTCACCCCAATGTTCTTGTACGTTTGTAAAAAACCTTTGAACGCCAAGGATTAAAGTCAGGAAGGGAAAGCAAAACAAAGCAAAGCAATAACAAGATAAAAAGTATTGAAAAAAAAAAACATGAAATAGAATTAGTTCAAACAGCATAAATAGCATGTACAATTTTGATTTTTCTATAGTTGAAGAATTTAACTTAATTTAATATACAAGAAAGGAAATAGAAGGTTTGTATTCGTGTTCTATAAATGAAATGTATTGTTATATGCAATGATCTACTTTTATCTTTTCTAATATTTTTACACTCTAAACTTTGGTAGGTTGAATGCTGGTGTAGCACTTACCAATGATGGTAATTCCACTACAATGATACCGTTGTTGAAAGAACCAGCAGATAAGATTGGCCTGTATTTAGTAGTCATCCAGAATGGTTTCAAAGAACTCTGAGAACCTTCCTCACCATTCTGAATCTGCTCTCTGAGTCTATTGACCTCACTTTGCTTCAAGGAAAGCTCAAGGATTTCCACGTTATTCTCGAGAATGTCATAATGTCCATTGCCGTTCACTTCCCCATTCGAGTCATTAGCTTCCCCTGAGTCTTGTACAACCAACCCATCTCTATCCCTCTTTTTACTAGAAGAAGTGTTTTGGTACTCCTTGCTTATTGGAATATTTTCAGATAAGTCAAAGTAGGATAACCAATTTGATCCGTAAATCCAGATTCTATTACTTTGGTTGTCGGTAAACATGCCTTGTGGTTTATCCTCCAAATTCAAAAATTGCTTTGGGAGGAACTCCGAATTTCTCTTGGACCATTGCGTGAGCAACGAGACTGGAGTGTTCTTCTTGGACTTGATGACATTAAATTCGTACAATTTATTCTCCTCCGTTATAACGACTAAAGTGTTTGACGTGGAGAAGATCATATTGCTGGGGGGTGTAGATAACTTTGTTAAGACAAAGGGCTCAAAGGTTTCGTCTAAGGACAAAACTTCAATCGAACCGTTAAATCTAGAAATAACGGCATTCTTATAATCGTTACAAATTATTACATTGCTGATGTTGACTTTGTATGGCAACAGTCTTGGAGTTGATGCAATTTGGGTGCCCACAGTTTCAATTTCGTTTACCAATTCAACGGTGTCTTCATTGACTTGGAACCTGTAAATTTCATTCTCTGTAGTCAATATTAAGAGTTGGTTATCATCGTACAAAACTACCTTTTTACTTCCTTCGATTAGCAGATCGAAATTGGAGTCTCTGATCTTGTTAACGGTCAACTTCTTGCTGCTTTCATTGTACAGAATCTTGAATAACTTAACCGAAGTTATGGTAGATACTGCCAAGATCAGTCCTTGCTTATTGACCAGTACACTGGTCACATTTTCCTCATTGCTTAAGCTTAACTTGGCAACAAGCTTATATGGTGATTGATATGATTCATCGTCATTTGCGAAAGTCTTCCATATTTTGACAGTTTGATCTTGCCACATAACTACCAAGCCTACGGTTCCGTTGATAGTGATGTTTGGTGTTTGTTGGGTAATGGCAAGCTTTCTATATTTTCCATCGTGGAAGTTTGCAATGGACAGCAAGACAATGGACTTTTCCACTCCTCCACTGACCAAAAAATTACTTCCCTTCAGCTCAAATACTGACATGGTTCTAACGTCATTGGAGTGAAGCAATCTACTATTACTGTGGACCCATTTGGAGATTTTGTTTGAGGTGGATGTTATCATTTGGAATTGGTGAATCTTTCTGTCAACACCGGCGGAGAATAGTCTAGTCTCTTGTGAATCATGTACCGTGCACAAGACATCTGCATCATGTACCTTGAAGGATTGGAGCAATGTGAAATGCTTGAAGTCCCAAAACTTTACCGATCCGGTGGAGTCACCACTCACAATTTGATTAAGTTTAGGTAACACTTGAACAGACCACACCAATGTACTTTCAGTTTTGGACTTATCCACTCTCATGGTTCCAATTAATCTTCCTCTACCTTCACCTGCAACGGTCCAGCATCTCAATCTTGCGTCGGCACATCCACCGACCACAAACTCATCGTTGTACCAGCAAACACTCAAAACCCTCAGCTCTTGTCTTTGGCATATCAACAGATGCTCAAGCGATCCGGGTCCACCTGAAATATCTATGATCACAACAGAACCATCGTCACATCCAACAGCCAAAAACTTACCAGATTTGCTGCTATCAATAGACCAAATAACACCTGCATTGCAATCGTAGTTTGCCTTGGGCTTTTGGGTCTCTAAATCCCATTCAGTTATAGCGGTCGAGCCTCCGATGGAAAATAGCCTAGGTGATTCAGAATATGAGTCATTAGCAGTAGTAGTCTCTACATCTGAAGTAGACCAGCACAACCCTTCAATAGAGCGCCCACGGGCTCCATACAATGTTATTTCATGCGTCCACCCGTACCTAGGATTCCAAATTTCAATGTCTCCGTTACTACGACCTACAGCGAGCCTTAAATTCAAAGGAGTCGGTAAACTACTATTTGAACTATGGCTAAAAGCCATGGAGGTAATATTATGCGGAGAATACTCCACAAATCTGGCTCTATGGATATCCATGCTTGTTTACGAAAGATATTTACCTGGTGTATCTGCGTGTGTCTTCACTTCTTTTCCTGGTCTTTTTTGATGTGCATCTCATCCCGAAATTTTTCAATAAAAAGTTTAAAAATACGCGTGACTAGTAGCACGTGACTTGGTGATAAATGCAACGCTTTAAGTTGTACCCATCCAGAGTACGAGGATATAGTTGAAGGTTTGAGTATAGCCTTCAGTTGATTTGGGCAATCGAGGTTGGGCTGGGGTTTTTAGCGAATGGAGTTGCCATTTTTTTTTTTTTTTTTAAAAGTTGATATATTTGGTAGTTGAGAGATCATTTTATATTGCTTATTATGGGTTTTGTTTCTTTTCCTTGTTATATTCGCAGTAATTACCTGTAGTCAAGGTAAGTATAAAGTGTTTAAGTATTCATATATGTATTTATATATGTATTTATTTAACTTGTGTAGGTATGTATATATGCAACCCTTCTAAATCTTTAGGAAAATCCCACAAAACTATCAACAAAACTCAACAATCTGATAAACCATTTATTCTCGTCCATATTCAAAACCATGTTGATAACCAATTCCTTCTTGGTCCTGCTATTCAGCAAAGGCTCTTTTATTATCGTTCTCTTAACAAGAACATTCCTTTTTACACACCAGGTAATAAATAATATAGCCAATAAACTGATGGTGAAGTTTTTTAAGAATTTAAGCAAATTGGACCCAACTAGCTTCAAAATATGGATTACACGGCGGCGGAGCCTTTCTCTTGGGTCTTCAAAGATTTCCAGCGACTCTTCAGATGAAGAATTGGCCTGATGGCGATTAAAGTTATACTTTTTAGATTTTGAATTCAAGAATTCACGAGATAGTTTGTTGATTATGGTGTTGATCTCACCTTGCCATTGCTTGAAGTCAGCAGGAACTCCAGATTGAGATGCACCACTGGCACCAATAGCAGGAGCTCCCACGGCACCGGTTGTCGTAGCGACATTACGATGACCAGGTCCAATTTCGTAGTAGTTACTACCTGGAACTGAGTAAACAGAATGGGCAACGTTGTGGCTCGCTGGTGGCGCACTTCCAGAGTGCAGCTGTCTTTGTTGCTGGACGTAGTCGTTTATGGACACTACGGTGTTTCTTCTCGAATGTGAGTAAATCTTTTGCAAATTATTTCTATACTGTTGCAGCAGCGTTGACTGGTATCCACCAGCACCCGTCTGCCCACCATGAACAGATGCAGAATAGTTACTAGGTAACGGTAATGGTGTTGCATTGGAGTATCTATCAGATTGAGAAAACAGCGGCGAATGAGAAGGAATTGGGATATGAGGAGGATTCTCATCATCTTCAATACTGTACTGTAAATCTTTTATTTGGTCCCAAAGGTATTCCAACTCGCTCAACAACTCTCGGGCTTCTAAGGTCCCACTAGCATACACCCGCATGGTTTCAATCAAATATGAAATGTACTGTCTCTTAGCCTCAGTTCTACTGAGTCCTTGTTCTCTTTTCCAAGCATCCCACTTCTTCTTTGCACCTTCATCTTCCAACGTGAAACCAATCGGCCGCGGCATAACGTTTTCCACATTCCCCTCGACTGCTTGCTTGTAGAGCCCGTATAGCTTTATTCTATTTTCTGCTGGAGGGCGAGGTAACGACCCATAATTGGAGCGGGAAGATAGAGCGCGAATAGTTGTGATTGCCTTAACAAACACACGATCTTAATGTTAGTGAAAACAGAGCTTCAGTAGGCCAAAAAAAAAAAAAGAAAGAAAGAAAGAAGCAAACTATTAAAACAATGAACTAATGAACCGGAACCTTAGTCACTAAGTGGCTCAAGTAAGTAAACAACAACGTACCAATTGAATCCGCCATATCAAATTTTTATTGAAGCAAGTAATTGGATGTTCAAACTTAACTTAAAAAGTGGTGGTTGGTGTAAAAATATTGAACTAGGTAAATTAGGGAGAACACTGTTATGGAGAAATAGCTCGCTGGACTTCCTTGTGATAATCAGTGTTTACATGTTTTGTGTGGGGACTAGATCTGTATGCGCACGACTTTGGTGCAAAGTGTAGAGATGAACTGGAATAGTGCCGAAATAGTGCGCAGTATGTGAGAGAAGGGCGGTTGGGAGTGTTGAAATTTGAGGAGTGGGTGAATATTACGAGCTATTATGCCTGGATGTGGCATATTGAGATGTGGTACACGAGCAAGCGGCAGAGAATAAAATGCTTTCAGCTGAAGCTTAAGCCCAAGAAAAAGTAAGTAGAGATATGGGGAAGAACAATTGTATCTCTTAGATGAAAATTCAGTACAAGGCAATCTCTCTTAGAAAGACGCTGAGAGATACTAATTACAGGTCTACAGTATGCGGTTTTCTTATTCACCTTTTTTTTCGTTTTTCCCCCAGTTCAAGCTCTCGTTCTCTTCCAGCTTGTTCCTTTCTTCCACATGTGTTTCATTCTAGTGAGTTTTCGAGTGTAGTTCGTTTCCCTTACACAGTTTCACCAGTCGCCTACTGAGTCTGGTTCTTAATTCTACGTTTTGTTTTTCTCGTGACTTTCGACTTTCGACTTTTAATTTAGTTGCTTGCTTGAGTGAATGGATGGATACCAATGAAATGGACCGATCATATCCATATTGGTAGGATATAATGGTGAGTAGTCGGCAGTAGTTTTTCTAGTTTGCACCAAAATAGGAACCAAATATGGCATTATCATTTTTTCAGGATAAAGATTTGGCACCAGAGTGTTGGCAAACAGCTTATAGTAGAGAGAAACAAATTTCAATCAAACCAAGCAAGCAAATAAATAAAAATATATGGTCAAAAATAACAAAAAAGACTCCGAAATTTTGAACCTTTTCAGTGGGCTGTTGGTTAGTAATGGATAGGAGAGCACTTCTCCCAAATTGAAAACAGGTTAATAATGAAACAAGTGTGAAACAACGAAACACATTTGCTGGAACTAAACAGAGTGAAAGAGCATTGAGCTGAAAAAAAAAAAAAAATTCAAAGTGTCATAAACCAATGTGAAACGTTAAGTAATATCAATTAAACCCTATTAAACACTTTTTTTGTACATAATCTAGTTTGCTGGAACATCGATTTCACCGGCATTGATAGCGTCAATGATATCATGTGGGTTCTTACCTTCAACACGACAACCAACAGATTGGGCAGTACCTAAGATTTCCTTGGTAACAGAAGCTAAGTTCTTACCGAAGGATTTTTCTTGCATTTGTCTGGCGATTTCGTAGATTTCTTCCAATGGAATGTTACCAGAGTGCTTGACGTTCTTTTCCTTCTTTCTGTCTCTTGGGGCTTCCTTTAAGGCAGTGATGACTAAAGAAGAAGCAGATGGGACGACAGAAGCGGTAGCTTGTCTATTTTGAATCTTTAAACAAACGGTAACCTTGATACCCTTAAAGTTCTTGGTGGCCTTGGCGATATCTTCACCGACCTTCTTTGGAGAAAGACCCAATGGACCAATCTTTGGGGCTAAAGCGGAGGAGGCTCCGATTTCACCACCAACGGCTCTTAAATAAAGGTACTTAACTTCAGAAGGATCAAACTTTGGAGGCATATTTGCTATTTACTACTATGTTTAAAAGTCAGGTAACTTCAAAAAAAAAACGAAAATATATTCAAACTTGTAGTTTACTAGGGAAGTTTTTTTTTTTTTTCACTCTGCGCGCACACCGAGAGTGTTGGAGCTGAGCTTGAGAGTGGGTGGACAGGTTTTCGCCAGTGAAATGTTACACAAATGGGGCGGAAAATTGATGCGCAGTCACTAGGGCTGAGCCCTAAATAGAAAGATCGGCAAGTGACGAGTGTAGGCTGTATGGGGAGCCGAGGGGAGAAGGACCCTGTGGTGAGAGTGGGTATATGAAAGCCTGGGCTAACGGGCACTAGCGAACATATGTTGGTGTATAGCGTGTACTGCGAGCGCTGGTGTGTCTTGTATTCTGGTTTCTCGAAGTTTTTGTGAGCTTTTATCAGTTTAATGGAGGTATAATTTGTGCTAAGTGATTGCTGCACTGGTGAGCTCTTGGGTGCAAATTACACTAAGCACACCAAGCATACAAGGCACACTCTCTGTAACCAAGCATACAGGCACATTCACTCTCTATAACTACACATACATTTTCCTGAGCTGGTCATGTATATAGACGTATCTCACTACACCGTTGTCATGATTCGTAATTCATTTCTATACACAATACTATAAAGTCCCGCCTGGAATATCGTCCCCGATACGCAGATCTTCGTACAACACATCTTCTTCCTTCTCTTTAGTAGCTGCTAATTGTCTTAACATAATCGCTGGGTGCTTACCCAACTCTTGAAGTTCTTTGAAAATAATTACTGGCTTTTCTGCAAGTTTCAATATTCTCTCCTTATCTCCATAGCAAATAACGAGAACGTACTTGGACCAGTCGTCTCGTGGAATGTGGTGTCTCTTCATGGCCTGTTGCAAGATTTTCAAGCAAGAGTCATCAGATGAAGCTCTCAATTGCTTTAATGGCTCAGTAGAAGCAGCTGCAGTGCTTGCACCATTTCCATTAGATGGCGAAGTGTTTCCATTACCATTAATCGCATTGTTACCACTTGTACTATTGGTCATTAGCGCATTGGCTGACACCAGTTGTGAGTTATGCGGTCTAGAACTTGGCTTAGTTAGCATGTTATTGGCAGACCTTGTCTCAACCAACCGTGGTCTGGCATTATTACCAGAGTTTGTATTAATTCTATTCGTAATCTTCTGCAAAGTGAAGTTAGAATTTCTCGCTACCGTAGGTTGATCTGACGAAACAACAGATTGCAGGATGACTTTTCCGGTACCCATAGACAAAATAGATCCCGATGAGTAACGATTAGATGCCAAGGTTGGAGAAGAAGGTGGGTAAGCTGAAATTCTAGCCCCACCATTCAAGCTAGAATTGGAATTGGAATTGGAAAGGGTATGTTGAGACGAAGAGTTTGAAGCTCCCCCACCACCACCGTTATTAGTAGATCCGTTACTGGCGCTACCATTGTTACTATTATTATTATTGCTATTATTGTTATTATTATTATTATTCGTGCTGTTGCTGTTGTTGTTGCTGTTGCTATTATTAATATTTGCAATTGAGTTAGAGTTGGAAAGTGAACCTGAGAAATTCACTGCTGCAGCAATTGCACTGCCAGCGGCCACTACAGTCGAAGTCAAACTATTTCTTCTGGTGTTGGAAAGTTTTTCACCTCCATTCGAATTGCTACTGCCATTATTTATTGGACCATTGCTGATTGTTGTGGAATTCGTCAAGTTATTGCTTGTATTACTTGCACTGTTGTTGGATTCGTTGAAAACATTCGAGCTCAGAATCGAAAATGTAGGAGACTCAAGGGCATGCAAAGTTGTAGATCCCGGATCCAAGGTCGGTGTTGGCAAAGGCTTAGATTCTTTGATTAAACGTATCGCTGGGATAAGATCGGACTTCAATTTATTAAAGTTTTCATTTAATCTCTTGAGATCCAATTGCTGTTGGGACGGAGATGGGGGATTCGAAAGCTCTAGCTGTTGCTGTTGGATTTGTTGAAGCTGATGGAGCTGCTGCTGCTGTATTAACTGTTGCTGTTGTAACTGATACTGCTGCACTTGCTGCTGTTCAACAGACATCTTGCTGAAAGTCTCTCTCAACAAGGACAATGCTAATGATAATGACTCAATATGAAGGAAGTTGTTGTTGATGCTAGCATAAGGTTGAACGTGCTCAACGGCCTTACCATTAATATTAGTACCGGTATCGGCATTACTATTACCTTTGCTGCTATCGTGCACCAACGATGTCGACGACGACAGCTGGCAATGCTGGTAGACCAAGTCTGCGATACACTTCTTCACTTGTAAGCGAACACTCAACTTTTCGATGCCTAACTCCCTCAAATGATCTGTGGTGATGTACGGTAAAAGCAGACCATCAAGATTATTGTTAAGGAACAACGGGCCTATGTTTTTGTCTATGCTTGAAGCTATAAAGTTAGACACCTGGGCCGGGTCCCACTGTAGAAACGAGTCAGTTGACACTGGAGACGCCATGCTTCAAAAAAATAAAAAGAAACAAGTAAAACAGAACAATCTAAGACAATTGCTGGCAGAATCAAATTTGCTTGCTTTGCTGTTGATCTTATATTTCAGTCCTTTCCTACTAACGCGCTAAGTATTATTATTGTATCACTCGCCCCCCTATCGTGCTTGTAATGTCACTGTAATCTGATCGCCGTTTAGAAATCCTGTAAAAGAAATCCGCTAGCCCTTAACCGATGTTTGATAACCAGAATGTATTTATACACAGTTGAAACCAAATTGTGAACCCCGCCTCGATTCAAATTCCTGAATCGTTACCAGAGGAAGGAAAAAATACAAAAGGAAAAAAAAAAAAAAAAACTGTTCCAGTGAAATGCTGCAAAGATCACAAGAAAGAGCCCGAGTAACACCAAGGAATAGAATAAACGAGAAGGTAGTGTCTAAATGCAACCTAATAATAATAAATTAAAATAATAATAATAATAAGAATAACAATAATACTAAGTATAAAATAACTCAGTTACGACTGCGGGACTCCCACAACTTGTGAAACCCACTGATGTGTCAAAGTGTGCCGCTTGTATAGACACTTATGTATGCGTGGTAGAGTATTACTAAATTGTACAGTCTCGTATCGAATTAATTGTATTGAATTGCATTGTATTGTATTTTATGCATGAACTTTGGACCGAAAATAATTTTTCAGTGACCGTGGACTCAGGGCCAGGGAAGTACTACTTTCTTGCCCCAAGTGTACTAATTTGTTACTATTCTGTGACTATTTTGTGACTGATTTGTGACTTTTTTGCGTTGTTTTTTGTACTTGTTTAAGTCTAATTTCTCATTTTAGCATTTTAGGTTATCGTCTAAACCACGCTTTACTCAGCATGAGAGTACCATTCCCCCAAAAGCTTAGTGCCTATTACACTTCTCAGGTCCCATTCCTATTCCGCAAATCTTAAATCTTTGCCTAAACCGATTATTTTTTATAGCACTTCCAGATCAAATCCTGCACGTTAAATTAAAATTCTAGTATGGGACGCAAATCATTCCCACTCAAAACTGTCAATTGCCTACCATAACTTTGTTTTTATAGTTTCAAGGAATTTCGACTGAAACCAGCTGGGTATCGTTGCTAGCGAAGGGGATGACATGAATTATTAGAGGGGGCAAATATGTAGTGGCTTGCTGTTTCGGGGTGCCTGCTTCCTCTGGTGGTGCCTGACTGGACGGCACTGCCAAAATTAGATTTCCATGCATACAGATCTAGAAAATAGCCCATGTCACGTGACGATAACGGATAATTTGGGATAATTATTATTCTTTATTTTTTTTTTTTCTTTTTTTGGATTGGGGCTAAGAAAATCTGCTATAGGGAACAAGAATCGTAAAAAAACCCACTTTTCAAATTAAAGGGGAATTCTGTAATCACACACAGACATGGTGTACGTTAGAGCCCCACCTCAAAAGGGAACGTTACATGAGTATGCACCTAGATTAACTGCATTCGAATTTGGTAACACCAATGCCAAAAACGTTGTACTTTTCGTTGGTGGTCTTGGTGATGGTTTATTAACTGTGCCATATGTAGCCAGACTAGCAGGAGCAATCCAGGCCGAAACCAATGGCAATTGGACTTTGGTTCAAGCCTTGATTAGTGCTTCGTACTCCGGTTGGGGTACCTCGAGCTTAAGTAAAGATACAAAAGAATTGCAGCAATTGATTTTGTATTTGAAAAATGATTGCAAATTTGAAAAAGTTATCTTGATGGGCCATCTGACTGGATGTCAAGATACTTTGTACTACATCAGCAATGGAAATACCCCTCATATAGATGGCGGTATTTTGCAAGCTCCGGTTTCTGATAGTGAAGCTTTTGCTCTGGGGTTCAGTAGTCCAAAGCTTTTCGACGAGATGCTTGCAACTGTAAAGAACGAATACATTGACAAGGGCAAGGCTGACCATATCTTACCAGAGGAATTCCGTGCAAAATTCTTTAACTGCCCCATTAATGCATATAGGTATTACTCATTGGCTAGTCAGAGAGGAGATGACGACTTTTTCAGTACTTATTTGACTGAAAGCGATTTTGTTGAAACCTTCGGTAAAGTTGATACGAACTTATTGGTATTGTATGGCGAAAAGGATGAATTTGTTCCAAAGACTGTCAATAGGCAGAAATTGGTGGATCTGTGGAAAGATTCAACTAATCCAAAGTACTGGAGTCCATTGAGTAAAGTATTGAAAGGTGCAACTCATAACGTTGGCCCAGGTTCAGATGAAGGTGCAGAAGACGATTTGATAGAGACTGTTCTTGAGTTTATAGACACCATTAACTAAAAGATCTATTTATTATCCTATTATATCGTATTCTGAATAAAATTATTTAGTATATATATACTTTACGAATTTTCTAACTTATAATTTTTAATCCTGTTCAAAATGTCTTGATAATAGTCGTGAAAGCTAGATTCATCCGATAACACATTGTAGCTAGCTGGGGCTGCTTTTGGTTTAGGGGAAAAAAAACTCTGAAACCAAGACGAATTTGAATCATCTGTATCCGATATGGGTGGTACATATGTATTTTCCCCTACAGGGTTCAATCTTGACATGAGGAATCTGGCTTGAGAATGATTTGTCTGGGTTATGATATACTTGGGTACTAAACTTCTCTCCTGTACGTTTAAGACAATTTGTAGGTAATCTTTTGCAACTTTTAGTTCAGCTATTTCTTCATTTGAAACTAGGTTGTCATTATTCGAATGATGCAACTTGAGTTTGTCCTCAGGAGCAGTGTATTTATAGTATACTATCACATTGAAGAATGAATCCATGATTAAGTATGACTTATCTGGAACGACGCTCAATGTGCTGGTATCTAATGGGAATGTCTTTTCATACTCTGTACTGTATAAAAGGGGTTCGATTACCTTTATGCCCAAATCCTGTCCCATTTTCATAAACCAATGATGATAGTAAGTTGTTTCATCTGGAGAGGAATTGAATATGTTAATCAACTGAGGATTTCTTCTCAAGTTGTATATAAAACTAGGTAAGTCTTTTAGATTTTCATTAATCTGATAATTCTCGACAATCAACTTATTGAAATTATTCAAAAGCTTTACAGTCACGGAATCAATCTCTTCTACTATGCCTTCAAAATCAAATCCAATATTTGTATCAAGTTTATTAATCATTAGCCTTGCAAGTAAAACCGTCCAACTCTTCGCATTAAAGCTTTGAAGCATATCGATTTTAGCGTTTATTAAATTGGCACTGAGCTCTCTTTGCTTATCGATCACTGACAATGTCGTTCTCTTGCACACTGTAGTAATTCTTATTTTCCATAATTTAACTTCGGGGTCCCAGTACTTGAATTGAAACTGGACGTACATGTTTTTGGGGTCCCGTGAGGAGAAGTCTTTGAAAGACCTGAGTCCATCAATATCAAAGAATATGGCTAGACTTTCATCAGTCTTCTTGAAAGAGTTCCAAAACCATCTATTTGTAAAATAATGTTGTTTGAACTTGGAATCAAAAGTGTTTAGTTGATCAGATATATTTTCTTGTAGCAGTTTAGAATCTTTGTAGGAAGCAGGGAGATGGTAGCAATGTCCTACTAATTTTCTAACTTTGAGCCTTGGAGAAGTTAATACGGTCAAAGTTGCATTGTAAGATTTAGTATGGGCTTCAAAGCACTTCACTAGCTGATTTCTGAACTGCAAATCTTTGAAGCTGCTAGAAACGAAGATATCCCCATTAGTGTTCTGAATCAACCTTTTCATCTCGTACAAGCCAACTTGGTCAAGGGAGCCTGTAAAAATATCAAAGGACCATTTCGGTGTCGAAAGGTTTAGCTCAAAATCTGTCGTTTTGGTAGTTATTTCACTCAGGATACGGAAAGCCTTTGATAACAGTAAACCATTTGCAATAAATGATATCATCTCGAAAAATTTAAGAGATGAGCTGTAATTGGACAGCTTGTCATTCAATTCTTTTATGTCACTATGCAGACGGAATACCTTGTTCTTATTTGGATTTAATATGATTCCAGGTTCCGTAGTATTGGGTCCACTGACAAAAATAAGGAACTTTGCCTTGAAGTTCTGGAATGACAATCTACTAACCAATAAAGAAGAGATATACAAACAAAGACCTAAGGATCTGGGAGGTTTGAACGAATTGGTGAAGGTTGGCTTCAATGACCTAAGATGCAGCTTGACTGAGTCTCTAGTAGCATCGGACAATTCAACAAGTATGCCCTGTGAAACAAGAGGACTCTCTGAAACTGATTTGGGCAAATCCCCGACTCCCGATTGCTCAATCCTAGAAACCACTTTTGCAATGGTATCTTCATTCTCAAACAAATCGTTAACGTTATAGGCGTCTTCCTCGAACAATTCATCCTTGGCAAATGAGGTCTTTTCATTTGGTGTAGCTGGTCTATGGATGTGAACTGATTCATCAAACGAGATCAACGCGAGAAGACTACCGTCTTTAATCCTATCCATTGCCGTGAGCAACGATTCAATCAAAGAGCTAAACGATGTATTGGAACCATCTTCCTGGACCTCGTCTACATGCTGATACAAGTCTACAACTAATACAATACTTTCTGGTACATCACCATTAAATCCAGTAGTAATATCATTGGATATGGTTTGCTCTGCGAATGCAGGTAGTGAATCATTCGAGATAGGGCCAGAAGAAACCTTTGGTAGGAACGATTTCTGGTGACAAAACTGACACTTCCAGATACTCCTTGTGTGGTCTATTTCTATATATGGGTTCATGTATGCTCCACATTTTTGGCATGAACAAAACGAAGCTGCACTGGGACGACTTTGGTTATCGTTCTTCGAGACTTCAATCAAAGGTTGATAAAGACATCCGATGGGCGTAGGCAACTGTGAATTTTCGAGCCTAGTGCTTGGAAACACGTCCCAGTTAAAGTTAATTCCACTTGACATTGCAAAATCACTTTAAATTATACTGCTGTAGAAAGAAACGGGAGATAATGTTCTTGCTTTGGGCATCTACTTGTATTTCTATGTTTTCAATGCCCATCAAGATGGACCCCGATAAGAAAATGCGGAGGAAGCCGAGAACGAAATTTTTCTTGAGCCTGGGAGTGATAAGCGTGCTAGCAAGACATACTGGCAAGACATAAGTAGCAAACGAAAGCTGTATAAAGAGAGCAAGTACTGACGAGAAATAATAATATGAATAGAAGATAGAACTGCAGAGCAACTCGAAGCATTATCTGAAGCGATATATAACTTTTTGAATGGTTCACCATGATGTCATGCGGCTGTAGTGATTATTAGCATTTTAGCGAGACATGTAGAGTAAGTGATACCAACAGAGAGGTGGTAAGAGAGAGCAAGTACTGACAAGAGAGAACAAAGCAGAAACGAGTAGAGAACTGTAGGGAGATTTCAAAACATAATTCAAACTGCTATATAACTTTTGGAGTGGTTCACCCTATTGGAGAAAATGCGTTAACTGTTAGTCAGTTTGTGAATCAATACGTGCGCATAGAATTACAGTCTAAGAAGAATACCATTCAAGGCATGTAATGAAAAATAATGCTACAGTGAATTAAGTCATAGAAGGGTAAGCATATGACTAACACTTTCTTCCTTGACTCAATTCATGTTCCTGGCTTTCAGCTGGTAGCCTTGGGTAGTCTAGGGTAGCCGGATATAATAGTTCACTATCTCCTTCTTATTCCTAAAACCTTAACCATCCTCATATATCGTCGCAATCTTGTGCCATAATTAGTTGAATTGAACAATATTAATGATTTTTGGTGATGATAGATCCATGCACTCCTTCACTTGATCTTGATTGTCAAAACAACCCATTTAACAGGCTGGAAACTCATTGTATAGAACTACTCCACAGACCAAGTTGTAGCCACTGTTTTGGGCTGCAATTTCACAACTGTGGATTTTGGCAGCTTAAGCAAAGTACCTATGCTTAGTCATGAAGTGGCATAATCGATTGCAATTCTGAGAATAGTACTGACGTGATTCCTAGGGCTGCAATACTGTAGGACCAGGTATAAATTTGACTGATATTACTTGAATTGTTGGGAAGGCTCTGAATTGGCTATACTAGTCAACAACTATACTAAAGTATTAAGCATAGAATTATAAAAATGGTTTCTAAAAGATATCAAGAGGTAAATTTTGAAAGAGTTCAAGATGACGAAGGGAACATCACTGTAGGTGCAAAGCATCATGAAGTTTCCAAGTACCCAGAGTACTTGCCATCTTGGAACAAGAAGGAATTCTATCCCCCACTCGAATTTAAGGAACACCACGACAGGGGAAAGTTTGCTGACCCTAAGTTCCCCAATTTGCTTCCAAGTGGAGCTTCTACCAAGAGCGTTACCCCAAAGTTGGGAGTTGAAGTAGAGGGGGTACAATTGTCCTCGCTTTCTGATCAAGGAAAGGACGAATTGGCCTTGTTAGTTGCTCAGAAGGGTGTCGTTATCTTCAGGGACCAAGATTTCTTCCAGCAGGGACCCAAGTTCGCTACTGACTATGTGAGATACTTCGGTCCATTACACATCCATCCTACTTCAGGCGCTCCTAAGGGCCACCCTGAGCTTCACGTTGTTTACTATCGTAAGGACAACACCAGCGGTGACAGAATTATTAGATCCAATAGAACTAATTTAATTCAATGGCACTCCGATGTCACTTACGAGTTACAGCCACCAGGTACTACCTTTTTTGGAATCCTTGAAGGTCCAAACTCTGGCGGTGATACGTTATTTACTGATAGTGTTGAAGCCTACAATAGGTTATCACCTGCATTCAAGGAGAGATTAGAAGGTTTGTATGCATTGCATACATCCCATGACCAGGCACTCAACTCTAGGAATGACAAGGGAATCGAGAAGAGAGATCCAGTTAACAACATTCACCCAATTGTCAGAGTTCACCCAGTTACCGGTCAAAAATCTTTATTTGTTAATCCAGGATTCACTAGAAAGATTGTGGGATTCAAAGAGGAAGAGAGTGATGCTTTATTGAGTTTCTTGTTCCAACACATTGGTAATTCACATGATTTCCAGCTTAGAGCTAATTACGAAGAGAATACAGTTGTCGTTTGGGATAACAGAAGAGTCACCCATGCCGCAGTTTTCGACTGGCAAGATGAAGATGCTGGAAGACATGCAGTTCGTATCACTCCACAAGCGGAACGTCCAGTTGCAGACTTAGCAGATTTAAACAAGTTCAGTAAGAACAATGATACTGGTGATTATACTTACAGAACTTTTGGTTGAAGAGAAATGTTTATTTTTATATGGAATACGATGAAATACTAAGAATATTAAGAATGATGACGGCTTAGAAAAGAAGCCAATTGAAAAGGAAAGTAAAATAAGAAAACTAGTGTGAAAGGGAAAGTGAAATAGGAAATAGAAAATGGTGTGAATGGAGTGAAAAAAATAAAAAACGAGGAGATGGGCCAATGGGACCTCAACTTGTGTGAATCCAAATAGATGGAGTGGGTCAGCTGTAGGAAAACAAACCGGAGTTTCTGATACCTGACATACAGTTTCTGAGCTGTCCTCTGTTGTTCACTACCGTTCACAGTCGCACAGTCTCCGTTTTCCTTCCAAAGAGCTTACCTTTCTTTTACCTTACCCTGTAGTAGTCCTGTTCATAACCAGTTGAATAGTGTCAACACTTCTTCTTGATTGTAATTATAGGCCATTCTACAGGTAGAAGCACCAGCGTACTGATCTTCTCCACTGGTCATGTGCCCTTATCCTCTCTATCGCACAATCTGATTCATTGACAGATTTGGAATTAGCCACTGTTTTTGGGTGCAAATTCGCAATTGTGGATTGCAATAGTTTAATAGACCTAGCTATGCTTAGTCATAAAGTGGCATGTACGATTGCACTTTGGGCAGCTCTTTTGACGTGATTTATAGGCTAAATAAAAGCGGTAGCAATGTATAAATTAGATCGAGAAAACCCAACATGAATGGAAGGTCGATTGGATTCTTTTGACAGTACTATACATAAAATCGAATTTTGAAAGAGCTAGAAGACAAAATGGTCGCACGTAGTTCATTCCAAGAAGCCAATTATGAGAGAATCCAAGACAATGAGGGTAACATAAACGTAGGTGCCTTGCATCACGATGTTTCCAAGCACCCAGAATACTTGCCATCGTGGAGTAAAAAGGAATTTTACCCTCCACTTGAGTTCAAGGAACACCATGACAGGGGGAAGTTTGCTGACCCCAAGTTCCCCAATTTGCTTCCAAGTGGAGTCACTGCTAAGAATGTCACTCCAAAGTTGGGAGTTGAAGTAGAAGGGATTCAATTGTCGTCACTCTCTGATCAGGGGAAGGACGAATTGGCCTTGTTAGTTGCTCAGAAGGGTGTCGTTATCTTCAGGGACCAAGACTTTTTCCAGCAGGGACCCAAGTTCGCTACTGACTATGTGAGATACTTCGGTCCATTACATATCCACCCTACTTCGGGCGCACCAAAAGGTCATCCTGAGCTTCACGTTGTTTACTACCGTAAAGATCATGAAAGTGGTGGAAAGCTCACCAGGTCCAACAGAACGAATTTGGTTCAATGGCACTCCGATGTCACTTACGAGTTACAACCACCAGGTACTACCTTTTTCGGAATCCTTGAAGGTCCAAGCTCTGGTGGAGATACCTTGTTTTCTGATAATGTTGAAGCCTACAATAGGTTATCACCTGCATTCAAGGAAAGGCTAGAAGGTTTGTACGCATTGCACACATCTCACGACCAAGCCGCTAACTCTAGGAATGACAAGGGAATCGAGAAGAGAGATCCGGTCAACAACATTCACCCAATTGTTAGAGTTCACCCAGTCACTGGACAAAAGTCATTGTTTGTCAATGTGAACTTTACTAAGAAGGTTGTAGGATTCAAAGAGGAAGAGAGTGATGCTTTATTGAGCTTCTTGTTTCAACACATTGGTAATTCACATGATTTCCAGCTTAGAGCCAACTACGAAGAGAATACAGTTGTTGTTTGGGATAACAGAAGAGTCACCCATGCTGCAATTTTCGACTGGCAGGATGAAGATGTGGGAAGACATGCAGTTCGTGTGACACCACAAGCTGAACGCCCAGTTGCAGACTTAGCAGACTTAAACAAGTTCAGTAAGAACAATGATACTGGTGATTATACTTACAGCAACTTTAGTTAAAAAACATATTGAATAAGACGAGCCGAAGTGAATTACGCTGTAGAAACATTCATAGTTCTCTCCACCTTTCGGTGTCTACTTTCATACGGAAATTGCCTTAAGCTTCAATAGTTCTCTTGGTTAGAAGACAGTTTACATTGAATAAGACGAACAGAAGTGAATTACGCTGTAGAACCGTCCACAGTTCTCTCCACCTTACGATGTCTATTTTCCTATGGAAATTACCTTAAGACTAATAGTTGTCTTCTGTGGTCCATCTCGATGAAAAATAGTATACTCTACTTCCTAGAAGAAAAAAAACTCTGATATACTCACAATGCATAAACATTGGCAATGATGAGAAGTCTATCCAGGTTCACCAGGTTTACCAGCTTCATGGATCTCTTTTTATCCATTTCCATTATCTTCGTCCAGTACTTCCAATGCTCCCAAACTTACTCAGCACCAGCTGTCTTCTATACTCACACACGTTTAAATAATCAGATAATCCGATATAGTGTAACGGCTAGCACGGTTCGCTTTCACCGAGCAGACCCGGGTTCGACTCCCGGTATCGGAATTTTTTTCCCCAGCTCGCTTCGATATGCCTGCGTAATTTTTTTTTAGGTAGTCGTATAATTTTTCAAGCTCATCTCATCTCGAATGTATTCATTAAATAGAAGTACGGTTTCATTAGTGAAGTTAGTTAGAAGAAGCAAGATAATATGGCACCAAGACAATCGCAAACAGCTAAGAGAAACAAGTCCCAAAATAAGACTCGTAATGTCGAATCAGAAGTGACATCGGACTCTGTAGCCAGAAACTTGTTGGCCAATCAACCCAAACTCACACCAAAATCGAAAGTGAGGAAGCAAAGTAAAGCAGTAGTTAAAAAGCAACAAGCCAAGATAAGATTATATGGTAGTAAGAGTGGAAAAGAATATAGAGAAGATCAGCTTGACATCCCTACGTTAAATAAAGCAGTTACGCCAGGTGTAAAGGCCAAGAAGGGAAAGAAGGGTAAAGTGTTTTTAAAGGACGATGATTCTTTAACCATGACAAGATTAGTGAAATCTATTAACGATAAATATGACCAAGTAAATGAAAGTAAGTTGGAAAAATCCAGAAGATTGGAGGAAATCAGAGAATTGAAGAGGAAGGAATTGGACAGAAAGGAACAAGAGAAGATTGATAAGTTGGAAGGAAAGAAAGATCAATTGAAGAACAAAGCATCTGTAGCAAGATTAGCAAGAAGAAAGAATGCCAAGGCCAGAAAGTCAGACGAAGACAGTGAGCCATCCAGACCTAAAAAGAAGAGTGTTTCATTCAGTTAGAGAGAGAGATAGAGAGACTATCTCGAGCTTCCCATTGATTATATATCTATGTATATTAATTCATTATTGCATTTACTTTCTACATTACTAGTATAGACACATTACCTTTGTGTTTTTGTTTTCTTGAAGAATTTGTAGATTAAGGGTTTATATTTACAAGCTATTTCTCTTTATCTTCAATTAAACAGGCGCCGATCTCATTGTGTTTATAATCGACTTCGTTCTTAGGCGTATTACATCCTAGACATACGCCACTCTCCTTTATCTTCGGATGGTCTTCCTCTTTTTAGGCGTATTACATCCTAGACATACGCCACTCTCCTTTATCTTCGGATGGTCTTCCTCTTCTTAGGCGTATTACACCCTAGACATACGCCTCTCCTCTTTGTCTTCGGATCGTCTTCCTCTTCTTAAGCGTATTACATCCTAGACATACGCCACTCTCCTTTGTCTTCTCATCTGTTTCCTCTTATTGTCGTACCACCAGCCGTACGCAACTCCAGCAATGGCACCACCGAGGTGCGCCGCGTAGTCGTACCTACCAAACTTGAATGCTATTCCAGCAACGTTGTATGCAGCGGCACCCAAGAAAGCGATCCATGACCCACCAGGGATTGGGAAAAAGAAAAGCGCAATAGGTGCCTTAGGAATCAAATATGAGAATGCTCCAAATACACTGAAAATCGCACCAGAAGCTCCTAAAGCACCCACGGAAAGGTTAAACCTAAGGAGTACCGGGATAAGGATGGATATAAATGACGAAATCACTGCTGAGTTGAGGTATAACGCAAGGAAATTGGCTGATCCTAGCATTGTACACAACGTTGTTCCAAATGAATGCAACACAAACATGTTTACAAACAAATGGCCAAAGCTCTGGTGTGAAAAGGCGGCTCCAAGGAACGACCAGTATGTTTCTACGTTGTCCTTGTAGATCAAGGCATATTTGTTCAAGTACCTTCTGAACTGTGGAGCTTTCCACATCAAGAAGACACCTCCATTGATGGCTATTATTGACAATACCAAGGCATACGGTTGTCTTTTGAATACACCAAGAGGGGTGTACTCGAAAAGGTACGGCATGGCCAAAGTAGTGGTAGTGCAGAAGAGCAAAGTGAATAGAGCAGGGCCCTTCAACTTGTCCCACTGGGTGTTACCATAGTGGCGATTGTATCTTTTCCATGTGTCGCTCCTCTTGGGGATGCCAAATCTGTCTGTAAGTGACTTCAATTCGTATTTGTACAGGTTCGCAATGCGTCTTCTTCCCCCAGGGCCAAACGAAGACTGCAAGAGAGGAATATTGGAAGAGAACACTCGACTCTTCCTGATGGCAGCAGCCTCCTTTAACGATATCGACGAAAACGACGAGATGTACGTGTTGCTGAAGAACATAGGCACCGCCTTTGCCTTGCTAAAGGGAGATATCAACTTAAACATGGTTGTTTGTGGAGATAAACCTTGTAGAACATGGAAGTGGAAAGGCGGCAAACTGGAAGTTTTTTATGTGAGCGGAAAGCCATACAGAAACGATATTACGTAATCAGAAATGTATGCGCATATGGTTGCAATGATGGTGGGAGGTAACCAGTGGGGTCCAGAATCTGATACTATTATCATTTGATTTCGTGGATATCATAGGTATTGTTATTGTGTTGATGGCCGTGCAGAATTGCGAGCTCTCCATAGCGTTCCAGAGTCTTAGCGTTATTTTTGAGGGAAGGACACCACGTCACTGGAGAGGTTTCCGAAACGAGATAGTCAGAGCAGTTGATTTCTTAGAATAGGCACATGAAAATATTACAGGTGGCAGGAAGTTGGTTCTTATTGCCCTGTGCGTAGAGTGACATCTGTTTTATCGCTCTATACATGATACTATATTCTGCTTTCAGCCTATACGAGACGGACAACAGAGTATATACATATACAGTGAGTATCAATGCACAACCATACTCACTAATAAGTTTTTACCAAAACGGTAATTTTTTTTTGGTGCGCATATATTTTTTTTTCAAGTGTTGCATTTCAAAAGTGCTGCATTTTATTGAGTCCGCAATTAGGTGAGATCTACTACAGGGAAACGTTATTGGAAACACTGACATATATATACATATATACATATATATATACTCATACAAGTAAATCTGAATATACCTATATTTGACAAAACCAGAGGCAAGCTTATTCCTTTGCAATATCTTGTTGGATATCCCAATGCTCAGCAATCTTTCCATCTTCAATTCTGTAAATATCAACACTCATCTTAGACTGATCACCAGGAAGGCCACTAATCTTACTCCATACCCAGGTTTCAGACTCCCCGTTAATGGTCTTTAAGATCTCAAACTTGATGTTTGGACAGGAAGTGAGGAAAGGAATAAAGGATTCTTCCATCCATTGCTTTCTTCCAATTCTTTTAGGAAACCCGACTCTCTGACTTGAAAAGTTCTCGGTGAAAAGAGGAACAAAATTACTTAAGTCTCCGGCATTCATACGTTCGTAGAGCTGTTCGACGGCTTTAAACATTTTTTTTTTCTCTCTTTTATTTTAGTAAATTGTAGTTTGCTAAGCTAATATAAACTAGGAAGCTACTTGAATAGTGAGGGTTCTGCAATCAATCAACCTAGATGTTTGAGGTTTTATACCTTTTACCTTGCTTGTATTTTGTGTATGATTAGACGGAGTTAACTCGGATATTTTTACATTAGCTACCCTTCCGTATGTGCGCTGGAGTGTTGATGTTCACTTTTATTTCGGTATTACCAAATGCAGATACTTCCTTGAGCTCGGAAACAGTACGCACTTGACCTGACACGTTTAGGTTGTGGGTGCCCAGATAATTCAAGGCACCAAACACAATAGAGATCAACTGAAAATGCAACCCTTTTACTGCACAGAACTAATGCTACATTTGCTTTTTGCTTAGTGGTTAAGAACAGGTGGTATACGGTAGTATATGCATGTATTTATTTATATCCTGCTTAGACAATTATAGAATTTTGCAATCGCCTATACAAAAATCTGCTAGTTCTTCCATTTCGCTTCCCATTCTCTGTCTTTCTTTCTCTCTCTCACTCTCTCTCTCTCTCTAAATTTCATCAAACTCATCTCCTTCACCTTCCAACAAGTCGTTCTTACCCTTACCAGCTAACCTGGCAGCGTTAAGTTGAGTAGTTGCAACTTGCTTTTTCACCTTATTGGTCATCTTGGTAATCTGCTCCTCAACATCTTCAGATTCTTGCTCTGCGTATTGCATAACCAATCTTCTTCCTAACAAATGCACACCTTCCAATTGGTTCATAGCATTTTCTGCTTCTTTCAATAATGTAAACTCTACGAATGCAAAACCTCTGACAGACTTGTCGAATTTCTTTGGAACTCTGACAGATTTCAAATTACCGAATGCTCCGAATAATTCAACAATATCTTTTCTTGTTGCTTCGAATGGTAAATTCTTAATGATAATTTTATTGGATTTTGATTTATTTTCAGCTGGCTTCTTGGACGTATTGGAACCTCCTGATTGTCTATGCGATAACTTCAATTGAAGTCTGTGTCCATCAAGAACATGGCCATCTAGAGACTTGATTGCAACATTGGCTTGATCCTTAGTCTTGAATTCAACAAAGCCGAAACCCATACTGAGATATGAACCTTGCTTCTTAGGATCAGCCTTGGTTTTCACGTTAGCAACAACAAATCCAGTCAAAGGGCTGAAAAGGTCTGTAAGTTGTTGAGTTGTAGAGGCAAAATTCAAGTTCTTGACGAATATTGAAACTGTAGGCCCATCAATGACTTCACTGTCTTCGTCATCGTTAACAGAATTACTGATAGCATCCGCAGCAGTAACTTTAGCTTCCACTGCATTGTTGGCATCGTCGACATTCTCAGCAGATGGCACATCATCAGCAGTTGGTTCCTTTGTAAACAAGTCTTTGGGTCCCTTCTCCAAATAAATAATGCTCTTCTTGAATCTCTTGTATGCTAATTTTGTGAATGCAGCCCTTGCACTTGGAGAATCTCTGAATTCAACAATTGCGATTGTACCTGCTGGTGGCATTAACATTCTTTTCAATTGTCCGTATGGTTGAAATAATTCTCCGATTTCTTCAATGGTAGTACCGAATGGGAAGTTCTTCACAAGAATCACCTTATCATCTCTTTCTTGTTTTTCAAAGGTAGTTAAATCAACTCCCTTACTCTCAAAGTATTTCCTAACGTCACCGATAACGTGAGCTTCTGCCAATGCTTGCTTTACTGCAGAATCAGAGCTCTGGGCGTCGATTAATTCAGACTTGGAGACACCCATCTTGGCTGCCACTGAGGACAACACAGCATCTTGGTTCATGTACAACGAGTTCCAACTAAATTGAGTCTTGGCAGCTTGTGCCTTCTTTCTCAATTCCTTTTGCTTCTTCAATGGTAAATTCTTCAAATCAAAGTCATCAAGTCTATGGTCTTTCTTCTTCTCACCTGGTAAGATGTGCAATAAACGACCTTGGAAGATCTCCTTATCCAAGGCACTAAAAGCAGAGACTGCGTCATCATTGTTCTTAAACTGAACGTAAACAAACCCCTTGGATTTTCCAGTACGGGTATCGATTGCGATATGGACTTCTTCAAGGGGACCATATACTTGGAATAATTCTCTAAATTCTTCTTCGGTCGAAGTATAGAGGATGTTACGGATGAAAAGTCTACCAGTTTCAGCTATTTTGGTTTCAATTGTTTGGATATCCTTGATTTCTTTCTCTCTTTGTTGGATTTCTCTCGATTGGTATGATGGAGCCCTATTGGAACTTATCTGAGAAGCATTCTCGGTACTTACATCTTGTTCCGCTTCTAGTGCTTGTACTTGTTCTTCACCTTCTGCCTCGTTATCTTTCATACGTCTTCTTCTTGCCTTAAGCCAGTCGAGGTCACTAGCGTCCTCTCCTATGGTAGCTTGATCGGTTTGAGCTTCTGATGATTCGGTAACTGGCAATTCATTCAATGGCATCATCTTTTCATCTTCGTCATCTTCTGGCTCTTCGCTTTGCTTTCCAAAGTCTTCATATTCATCGTCACTCTCTCTTTCTGGAGCCCTCAACACATCATTATCAAGATCCACAGCTCCAGTATGGGCACTAGCACCGCCTTCTTGCTTTGCTAAGTACTCTTCAAGTGCCTTTGCAGATGGAGCTCCAGACCCGTCCACAGCGGCATCGTTTGCCCACGACTTGACTTGGTGTGAATGTTTCATGACTTCCATGAATTCCTTCAATTTAGGGTTGTTTTCAATTTCTTCATCCAATGAAGACTTGGCCTTCACTTTTTGTCTTTTGGCATTTCTTTGTTCGTCTTCTTGAATTAATCTATCTTCCTGTTCTCTCAACTTTGCCTCTTGGAGTCTTCTGTTTTCCTTAAATGAAATTGGTACCGTAGGATCAGAAAACGTCTTCGCTATCTCAACATCTATTCTTGCTGTATCTATGAATGATTTGTTGAAATATTTAGCTGCCTTTTCTGCATCTTCGAACGACTTATAACCAATAAATGCAAATCTTCTTGATTCACCGTTTCTCTTTTTCATGAGTTTAACGTCAGTAACGTTTCCCTGCTTACCAAAGAACTCTCTGAGCTTTTCTTCATTGTAATACTTAGGTAACCCCTTTACGATTAAACGAGACATGACAACAACACTATTGTACTATCCAATATGTCTCCTAATGCTTATACTCTGGTAACTATCGTTGTTTGTTCCTCATTGATTTAGCCTGCCTGGATAATTTTGGTGATTGCATCTCATCGCAAAAAAATTACACAAAAGCGCCTGCATATGCACAGATGGTTGCAAAATGTATGTGGAATGAGTCTGAGGAAGAAGGTGTGAGGCACACAAACATGATGATAGAAGGAAGACCTGGTGACAAGAATATACAGCTTTGGATTGGCGTTTGGTTATTGCTTATTCTTAGGATCGATTTTGAATTTAATTGGTGTCAGTTGGATTATTTGAGAAGCTACATCGATACAATGTCGAAAGATTTACTTAGCCATATTGGCATGTTTGAGCAGGATTTCGATCTTGCAACTATTGCAAGGTACACAAAGGTCTTGTACTTCTTCTCCGTACTTATACAGTATGTGATATTTTATCATGTAGTATCCTTTCTCGTTGATCTAGTGGGCCCCTTTTTTCCTGAGGCTACACTTGGAGTGAAGAGAGCGGTGGCTGCAGGATTCTGGGACCTATGCATCTACATTCTAGTAAGTTCAACTACACATTTATTCATCAGTTTGATTGCATTGGGCAACTTTTTTTTTTTTTTGTTGTTCTTCTAGTTTTATTATTCCACCGATTTTGGCTATGTACTGACATCTTTTCTATGGAAATTTAACAACGTCAACTTTAACGTGAGTGGAGACAAAGTTGACTCTGAATCATCAGTGCTTTTGTCTAACCATCAATCTCTTGCAGATCACATTGCCATCGCCTTCCTTGCAAAGGATGCTGCCCGTGAATCCATTTTGGTCCCACGAGTGAACTTCTTTTCCTGGTTTTCGCTTTGGAGGGTTCCAACCTTAAGAATTTTTATAAATATTGCCAAATCAGATGAAAACTGGGAGTTAGAGAAAAACCTAAACGAAATTCTCTTCAAGGGCGTAGTTGAAAGTAAAATTCCAGAATGGATAGCGGTATTCCCGGAGGTAAACATATACAGTCAGGAGGATTCCGATTTATGCAAGAAGCAAAGTGAAAAATACTACTTACCCTATATGGAGAACGTTCTATACCCAAGATTTTCAGGCCTATTCAATGTAATGTCTGTTTTGAACGGTACTCCTAACAAGTTTACAAGGTTATACGATATAACTATCACGTACTCCAAAGTAACTACAGAGGAGCCCTTAATTTCACATGAGATTAACTCCAACATGTATTCATTCAAAGGGCCTTCTCTACTTGAAATGTTTACATCGACATCTCCACTCAATGTTAATATTCATGTGAAAACTAGCTTGTTGTCTACCATTCCAGTTAAAAGGCACAAGCTTGAAAAATGGCTAGAGAAAACTTGGGTTAAAAAAGATAGATTGATTGCATTACAGAAAATAGGGTATATGGATCAATTGACTTCTGAAATTAAGGCACAGAATCTTTAGTCGCCAACACACTTTTGTTTATTCTTAGGAATATTACTTAGAAGTTCACTTAAATCATTCTTCCTGGATCAAACTGATAGGCAAGCTCCTAATAGTTGACCTTTGTAAATCGTCTCTTTGCACCCTATAGAAATGATCTGTGAATTTGTCTCCATTGATATGGCTCAAAAACTTTTCATCGTGAGTAATAATAATTAACTGAAAATTCTTCTGTTTCTTTCTGACATCTATAATACTGTTGAGAGCCTCAGCTAGGGACTCAATGTTATCAATATCTAAGTTTGTTGTTGGTTCATCTAATGCAATCATACCACAATTTATTCCAAAACATTCAGCTAAGGCTAGTCTGATAATGATACTTGCCAAAACTTTCTGCCCTGCCGAACATCTACCTCTCATATCTAACTCTGCTCCCAGTTTGTACATAACCACCCTATAATTGTATGATCTATTTCCCTTTGCCTGTAAATTAACATCACTTTTGATCGCAATCGTATCAACATCTGACCCTTTATATGTCTGTTTCCATAACTCGTCGACAATTCTATTGATATATTCCATCTTAATACTATGAAATTTCATGATTGCATTGTCCAATGCTTTAGAATATGTTTGAAGGTCATTGGAAACAAGCATATTTGTTTGTAATTTGATCCATTCTTCGTGATAATGTTTATCAACATCTTTGTATTCTGTTTCTAATTCTTGCTTTAAAGACTTAATTTGACCTTCCATCTGTCTTACCTCTCCAATTTTACCTGCATGCTTAGCATTGGTGTCAGCTATGAGATTTCGTATTTTCCTTGTTTCTTCCTGGTACTCATCTCTCCTACCCTCTGCATTAGCAATATCTAGCTCCAGAATACTGTCTTCGATTTCTCCAGATTCCTGTTGCAAATTTCTCAAATCAAGATTAGACCGTATGTTAGTTTGAACATTGGCAGACTCACTTACTGATTTATCTGCTTTCTTTATTTGAGATTGCAACCTTTGAATCTCTTCATCTAGAGTTGACATTGAAGTTTCCAATACTTTCACATTTTCAGTAGTCTTTTCAAGAATACCTGCATCAGTTTCTAAGTACTTATTAATGGAATCGTCATAATTAGAGAACGCAGTATGGATCGCGTTCAAGCTTTCTAGCTTATTGGTGAGGTCTGCTTCACCAATTTTATTCACTCTTTGTAATTCTTCTAATTCTGCATTCTTATTAGTAGCTCTTTCTTGTAACTCTATTAACTCAAATTCGACATTTTGTAGTTCGTTGTTCAAATTATCAAGTTTCAATTTGAGGTTTTCAGTAGATGTTTGAAGATTAGTTTTATCCAACAACGATTTTTCCAAGTTACTAATTGCAAGTTGCTTATCTTTTACGTTATTTTCTAATCTTGATATTTCCTTTTGTTTGGAATATTTAGCTTCCATATATTCATTGTTCTTGTTTCGAATATTCTTTATTTCTTGATTCTTTTGCTGCTGAATATCTTGTAATACAGAAATAGACATCAGGGAGTAATTATCTTCAGATTGTGTTCCTTCTCCCACTGATTCTTCGTATTCTTCGATCTGTTTATCGAATGAAGTAATCTCGTTGTGTAATCTTTGGAGGTCATTCATGGGTCTTTGTAAAGTGGAGAGTTTTGACAATTTTGATTTAAGCTCATTGAAGTTTGATAAATTCCTTTCATATCCTTCTTTAAGAACCAATGCTTGTGGTTCGGAATTTGTAATGATCTCTTTCATCTTGTGAATCTCTTGAATGCATTTTCTGTATTGCAAGACTTCAGAATTGATTGATTTTGCTGATTCTAAATCCTTCTTGCTTTGTTCGCAATCCTGAGATAAAGATTCAATCAGCATCTTTTCTACTCTTTCAGATAGTAGCTTCACAAAATTGGTAAACTCGGGAGACGTGAAAGGTCTATAGCATAAAGAACATAATTTTTCTTTCTCTGCTATATCAATGGCCTTTAAATTAAATTGCTTGGTCACTTCAATGGTATTCAAGGCATCCAAGGAATCTCTATAATCACTTTCCAAATCACTCACTAAGCTTTCATAGGATTCAAGTTGGTCCTCGTCTATGACGTCGAATATCTTACCTTTATAATTATCAGCAAGTTTTTGCAAGTCGGTGTATTTTTTCTCGTTGGATTTGAGTTCTGCATCTTTGACAGTATATTCATTTTTGGCAAGATCTATTGTAGTTGTAAGGATCTTAATCTCATTTTCTAATATGTCCATTCTCTCTCTAACAATTTGCTCATCTCCATCTCCTTTCAAATCTTTGCCAATTTCTTTTAAAAACGTAAACTTGTTGAAGTCAATCAACAGCTTGAGCGACTTCTGTCTATTCGCTTTATTTTCTCTAAGCAATGACAACTTGGCATGTAATTCAGATTGTTTGTTTGCAATATTTATCTTCTTGTTTATCTCTTCAATTTCCATCTCAAGCTTGCTTACATTAGCATCACCTTCATTTATCTTGTTTTGAAATTGCTGAAGCTCATTTTGCTTCTTCAAGTGATTAAACTTATCAGTAAGATTCTGTAATTCAGACTTGGCCACTACCAAATTTCCTTCATCATACTGCAATTGCCCTATTTTAGAGTTATTGTTCTCAATCTGTACTTCGGCTTCTTTAATTCCAGTTTGAAGATGTTTGATCTGTTGCTCAAACGTGATATTTGAGTTATTGATCTCTTTGATTTCATCAACAAGCAAATTTTCTAGTTTACGGTTTTTGCTTTGCAATTTGTCAAGGCTGGTGGAGTCTTTGTCTATGCTTGTTTTTAATTTGGATCCGAACGTGGTTTCATCTTCAAAGTCGAAAGAAACTTTATCTTTGCTTTCTTGCATTAACCTTTTGCGTTCTTTGAGATTCTTATGATAATTCTCCTCTTTGGCTTTCAAGGTTGCCTCCACTCTTATTTCTTTATTGTGATCTGACCTAGCAGCAGTTAAGTTTTCTTGTGCCGCTTCAAGTTGCAGATTCAATTCTAAAATTTCATTTCTTTTTGATTCAAGTATGGACTCAAAATTGTTTAATTGCTCGAGTAATTCATCGCTAGTATCTGGAAGGATTTCAATGGACACATTTAATCTTGAAATCTGATCCTTAGTAGATCTCTGCTGCATCTTTAGATTCTCCAACTTTGCCAAAACTTCTTGGAACTGCTGGTTTGATCTAAACAATTTATCAGCTCTAGACTCGTACTCATCTATTTTCGATGTCAATTGAGTAATTTCTACTGTATAATCATTAATAGAATCGCTCATATGCTGTAGCTTGACCTTGATCTTGTTGGCTCTTTCTTTATCGATCTTGAAGTGTTCTACACTTTGTTCTATCAACTTTATATCCACAGTCATATCCTTTCTTATCACCTTCAAGTTATCCAAAACCTTAGTAAACTTCAGAGCTTCGAATATATCGTCAAATCTCTTCTTAAGAATGGAAGCTTCACTCAAGGGCCACAAGCTATCATCTTGATGACAGAATATAACGTAGTCCAAGATTGCCTTAGACGCTCCCAAGTACAAGGGTATTTGCCCGTCTAACTCTGCATTCTTTGTACTAATAGTAGACCGCTCTCCTTTATTCATAATCGCCAATTGACCCTCTAGCGTCTTAAATGTGGAATTGTCGCCCTTGCTACTCCCCCTCTTTTTAGAAAGTTGCATCGATCTTGTACAAATCATGGACTTACCGTTAGCATTTGAAAATGCCAATTTCACTTGGGCCCTTACTTCGGACTTGTATACCAATTTGGGATCATGAACAAATGCTCCACCTTTTGAATTAGGAGGTAAATCACCGGTGGTTGCGTACTTAAGACATTCAATGATGGTGGTCTTCCCGCACCCATTCTGCCCACAAATAAGAGTCAATGGAAAGCCAAACTGGATGGTCTCTGATCTCTCTGGATCGAACGAACGCACACCACAGATTGAGAGCTTATATATACTCGACATCCTTCCTGCTTCTATAACTCTTTAAAGTTGGAGATTCTACTATGTCACTACTGGTTAGCATCTTCTTGCTTTCCGTGGGGCTCTTCTACCAATCGCGATTTTTCACTACGTTCCTAATCGGGAGGGACCCTCGATGTGTTCCAAGCTGCTGGGCTCTTTCGGTAAGGATGGCTAGTATCACCATATTAATAGACGACTTGCTTCGATATGGGGCTACACTGACTAGGCACTACAATTGGATTCCAGAGTTTGGCAAAAAGTTGAGCTTTCGTACTTGTTGTGGTCTATATAGCTTACGCTTTAGGGCTGTTCCATAAGGCTGTTCTAAGCAGTTTGGCTTGTACGGGTGCCAACATCACTAGAAGACTTGCTTCTCCGTACAACTGCGTTGATAAAGACTTACAATTGGACTGAGAAGGCTGTCTGAGAATTAAAATTTCGTACTTATTTTGATCTATTTAACTTACGCTAAGTCGTGGTGGACTGAAGTATCAGCACAATCTATGCTACTTGTTTCTAAGTGTAGTCCCCTTGTATATTAATCTTGTTTGATGTGAGTGGCAGCTAACTCTTCACCAAGTGCATCCACTTCACTATCCTTATCTTCTTCGATATCCAATCCGGCCAACTCCTTTTCAACTTCGTCCAAGTCAGCATCTTCAGGCAACGTGTCGTTGGCACCTTCATCTCCATCTTCGTCTTCTTCATCGCTGTCCAATTCTTCTAAGTCATCTAATTCGTCTAATTCACCAAATCCACGTTCTTCGAAAATATCATTAATTTCCTCAATTGATTCAGAGTCCTCATCAAAAATGTTACCATTAAGCTCCAAGTTGGTCAAGTTTGGTAATTTTTCATTGATAACCTTAACAAGCAATGTCAAAGAGGATTGGTCCAATTCATTGTACTGTAATTTAAGGTGAGTCAACTCATTTCTTTGCTCTCCATCGTAAAGGGCCTTCACCAAGGCCAATGAACCCTTACTTTTCATTAAACAGTCGTTCAAGTTCAATTCGCTCAAGTTTTTCCAGTGTGGCAAGGCAAGACTCAAGGCAGCAGAAGCTCTAGGGGTTAATGTGTTGTCTTGGAAATCTACAACCTTCAACTTACGGTTTCTGGTCAAACCATGCTTGATTAACTTGGAGATACCGGCTGGTCTTATCCCGTTTTGGTACAATCTTACCACTTCCAAGTCCTTGTGGTTTCTCAATCCAATGGCCAAACGATCAATAGATCCGTTTTCCAATCTGTTTCTACCACATACGAAAGTCTTAAGCGAGGGTTTGTCCAGTTTCTGTTTCAACTGGGACAACCTGAATAAGGAATTACCTATTCTAGCACCAGCAAAAGGACCCATTCCATTGTTGGACAAGATCAAGTGTTCCAAAGTTACTGCCTTGGACAAGTACTTTTCGATTGGTTCAATCGCCTGCAACCCCAAGGCATTATCACTCAAGTCCAACTTTTGTAAGTTTTTCAACTGTAACAAAGCTGGTAAAAGAAAGTCTAAGGACTGAGGAATCTCGGTATTTAATCTTCCAGTGTATATGTCAGAGAAATTGATTTCCACAATACTGTCCTTGTGTGATAAAATAGCTTTCGATAAGGCTTCAGAGGCCTCAATACCAATGGTATTCCCGGAGATATCCAAATGAGTTAAGCCTTTAACTTGCTCGATTTCTGCGGCATATTTTTCAATGTCAGAAGCAGAGTCAAACTTTAATTGCTTACCGGCAAGCGAGTATGAGTTTTCTGCGGTCACAAGAGCCAGAACAGACATGATTTAGGTATAATAGGTGCTTTCAAGAGGGTAAGAGCACACTTAACTATGGTGGTTCTTCTGGAGATCGTAAAAAATCTTCAACTTTGTGATCTTTCGTGCGAAGCACAATTTTATTAGCAACTGCTGCTGGAAAAAAAATCGTAGCTGGAAAAAAAAATTGACTAGCGAAGTGAAAGTTAGCGTCAGTGGACGTTTGTTCAGCTAGTAATATACATCAATCCATCGTACAATAATGTCAGGTCGTACTCCAGCTGAAAAGGAATCATACTTAGCGCAAATCCAAAAGACTCCAGCCTTCACTCTTGCAGTTCATGCTGGATTATTCGTTGCGGGTGTAGTCTTCATCCAATCTCCTCTCATGGAAATGTTAGTTCCACAATTGTAGGCGATAGGTGTAATTGATAATGAGAAAAACTTAAAAATAACTTAAAGAAATTGGGGGTTTTTGATGAGAACTTGTTAAGTATGTGTATATAGAATCAACAGAATATAAAAACAGGATACGTTTAATAGTATTTTGTGTAGGATATGAGTGTTGTGCCATGGCGGCAAGTCTACTGGTTGTAGTTCACTTCTCGCTACTTGAGATGAAAAGTCTGTGTTATATGCAGGTTGTTCATTGATTGGAGTAATTTAGAGCAGACTAGAGCGGTGTAGCGTTAAGTAGTAGTAATGTAGAGCAGAGTGATTGGGATTTGCATAAGATTCTGGTAATTAAGGCTTCAGGGCATGGTTAATGAAAGATTACTATTCGTGATCACAGTTTCCAAATCGAAATTACAACTAAATTGTAGTGCTGGATAGGCAGCTCTACTTGACAAAGAGATCGTGCTTCTGCACATGGTAATGGGTTTCTCCAAAAATGTTGTTAGGGAAGGCCTAGAAAATACAGGACATTTTCTTGAACAATAATGTCCCCAACATGCTACCAGAGCTCCCCACAAAGATAGAGCGGAGTGCCTGGATTTGACGAGTATAAACTATGCAAATCGTTAGCAGAATACAGCGGAGTGCATAGATTTAGCATAGTTAAGCTATTGTTGGCATGTCATCACCAAGATAGAGCTGAGTGCCTAAGTTTGGCAAAGTTTAACTATACCAAGCGTTACCAAAATAGAGTAGACTGTCTAAATTTGGCAAAGTTACACTATAGCAAGCGTTACATGTCATAACCAAAATGCATCTTGAAAAGAAAAAAATAAAAGTCAAATAGAATGATCTCACTTAAGCTTTCAAAATCATGAGGTCTTCGATAATAAGCCATTCGAAAATCGACCCACCTTCTAAACTGGTGTGGTCCCGTTTTATTCACACTATCTGAAATTTCAATTTAGCTTGTGCAGTCCCATAAACTGCAGCCCGTTGGCTCATCGCTGTCTATAATATGAAAGACGTTAATGCCTACGCTCTTACTTTATTGGGATCTCTACACGTGCTGTGAAAAACACACACTTGACCTCACTAACGATGGCCCACCGCCGTAACAAAAGTCCGGTCCCCAAATGCGCCAATACCTGCTCATAGATCTCTGTCATTAGAATGGGCCCTTTATCTCCTCTGGTCGGCATTTCCCAATTCCACCCCTCCTCCATGTCCGAGGAAAATCATGTCACAGCGAGGCTCGTTTTTGAGTAACTTCCCCACAAAAAGCGCAAGAAAAATAAATTAAAACAGTAGCGAGCTAGCGCAGAGCGCACACGCAGGAAAAGAAAGACACATGAAAATGAAGTTCCAGCGGTCCAGTGCTGCAGACAAATGTGTTAGTTAGGGACTGTTTAAGCGTGAACGATGGGCAAAAATGTGCAAATGAAGATCAGCAATCAGTCGATAATTTGCCTACGGTGTGGTGCCACTTTTCGGGTGTGAATTTCTGGTGTCATTTCCAACCCTAGATCCTTCAAAGATCAGAAGGAACTAAGGAAAGAACGATAAATGAAAAAATAAATAAATAAAAAAAAAAAAAAAAAAAGGAAAAAGAAAACATCTTCAGCAGCATCTCAACCTCTGGAGTCTCAACCTCTGGAGTCTCACTGACAAACCCTCACTGTAGCTCTAGCCGTTAGACTCACCTCTACTCTACTTCTAGTTCCACAGTAGCGTGCATATTATTCTCTATACACCTTCAGACTGCTTGTAAAACCTTGTGGACTCCGAGTTTCCTGCTGCTCCTCCTCCCTCTTACCTAACTTCGGCACCAGCTAGCCCTCCCACTCCGTTTAGCACTCGGTAAAACTCTTTACCTTTTCCTGGCGTTCCGCGCTGATGATCTGCCAGAGAAAAAAACTCTAAATCAAAAAAAAAAAATCTTTGCTGTTTTCGTACGTTGTTTCCTGCACTGTATCCTCGGTTTGAAAATCCTCGGCTCATGTGCAATGTGGAGAGACTGACAGGAAAAAAAGCCAATTATGGAATATATATTCCCCATACCCCAGAGAATTTTCACAGAGGATTTGAAGAGGCAAAAAGAACATAAATAGGATAAAAGTCTAGATAACTGAATAATTTGTTAGCTGGATTCTATTTTATTTTTTTCAATAATAGTTTTTATTTTTATTTATACATCACGAGAATAATGTCCACGTCCACAAACTCCAAAAATACGATTAGCTCTCTGAAGGGACCAGACCCTCAGACTTCGATCGCCACTGAGAGAGCCAACAGCAAGTTTAGTCCAACAGAAATGCACTATTTCTTGGAAGGATCAGTTGAAAGAGCCGAATTAAATAAAACCATGATACAACAAATGGAAAGAGATCCAATTTTGGCTGCTAGTTCCAAGGATTACGATTTAGGAAAGGCTGAGCAAAGAGAGTTGACTGCTTTAAAAATCGCTAGAATTGCACAATACTTGGAAAACGAATCATTTGATGATTTCAACAAGAGATTGTCCTTGGTTGGTGTTTTCGACCCACAAGTTGGTACCAGAATCGGGATTAACTTGGGTTTGTTCTTATCTTGTATCAGAGGTAACGGTACTTTTGAACAATTGAACTACTGGGCTATGATGAAGGAAACTGCTTACTTGAAGGGTATTTACGGTTGTTTCGGTATGACCGAATTGGCCCACGGTTCTAACGTTGCAGGTTTAGAAACCACTGCTACTTTTGACCAAGAAAATGATGAATTTGTCATTAACACTCCTCATATTGGTGCCACCAAGTGGTGGATTGGTGGTGCTGCTCACAGTGCTACTCATTGTTCAGTTTACGCCAGATTGATCGTTCACGGACAAGATTACGGTGTTAAGACTTTTGTTGTCCCATTAAGAGACTCCAACCACGACTTAAACCCAGGTATCACTGTTGGTGATATTGGTGCTAAAATGGGTAGAGATGGTATTGATAATGGCTGGATCCAATTTTCAAACGTTAGAATCCCAAGATTCTTCATGTTGCAGAAATTCTGTAAAGTTACCAGAGAAGGTGATGTCACTTTACCACCATTAGAACAATTAGCCTACTCTGCTTTGTTAGGTGGTAGAGTCATGATGGTTTTGGATTCTTTCAGAACTTCTGCTAGATTCTCCACCATTGCCTTAAGATATGCTATAGGAAGAAGACAATTTAAATCAAACTCAAAGAATGCATTAGAAACTCAGTTGTTGGATTACCCATTACATCAACGTCGTTTATTACCATTCTTGGCTTTGTCTTATGTTTTCTCCGCCGGTGCCTTGAAGTTGGAATCTACTATTACTGAAACCTTGGATGAATTGGATTCTGCTGTTGAAGCTGAAGACATGGGAGGTATTATGAAGTCCATTGATGCCATGAAGTCTTTATTCATCGATTCAGGTTCATTAAAGTCTACCTGTACTTGGTTGACTGCTGATGTTATTGACCAATGTAGACAAGCTTGTGGTGGTCACGGTTACTCCTCTTACAACGGTTTTGGTAAGGCTTACAATGACTGGGTTGTCCAATGTACCTGGGAAGGTGACAACAATGTCTTGGCTTTATCTATTGGTAAGCCAATTATTAAGCACATCATCGCTGTCTTGGAAAATGACAAGAAGGTTAAGGGTTCAGTCTCTTTCTTAACTGACACAAAGCAATTCTTGGATAACAAGCCAGTTTTAACTCAAAAGGATGATTTGAAAGACCCACACAAGGTTTTGCGTGCCATTGAAGTTGCTATAATCAGACTTGGTGTTCAAGCCGTCAATGTATTGAAGGCCAATGATGGAAACTTTGACTTCACTGGTGCCGAATCCGTTGCCATTTCTAAGTTAAAGGCTCACCACTACTTATTAACTGAGTACTTGCACAGAATTGACATTAACGAAAACAAGGCATTGAACCCATTCTTGACTACTTTAGCTCAATTATACACTTCTTCTATTGTCTTAGAAAAGTTCTCTGGTGAATTCTTGGCCTACAGTGTCATTCCAACCGAACTTGCTGCTTACAACGGTTCTACCCTCATCCCAGAATTATGTCAAAAGATTAGACCAGATGTGATTGCTTTAACTGACTCTTTCCAATTATCTGATATGATGATTAATTCCGGTATCGGTCAATACGATGGTAACATCTATGAAAACTATTTCAACATTGTTAAGAAGAACAACCCAGAATTCAACACTAAGGCTCCATACACTGATAAGTTAGTTGCCATGTTGAACAGAGGTTCCAAGAATGACAGAGAAAGAGATGAAAAGAGTGAAGCATCTGCTGCTATTTTATCTAAGTAGATGTTACCGTAGTTATTTCAATTGAATAGCTGTTTGTAAATTTATGGGTAACGGATGTTTGATGTGCATGCCATGTTTTTAGAGAATGAATAAAATATATAATTTATGAAAAATATTTAACGAAGATACCTTTGTAGAAAAAAAGAGTGTAACGGCAACCTTGAAGGTGGTGGAGACGTAAACGAAAGTAGTTGAAAATAAAACCATCAACGGAAGTAATTACTGGGGCAAGTTCTATAACTCGGTATCTAGTGTTGGTAGCGCAGAAGTTGGGTTCAAAGACCCATCACTTTAATGTGATAGAAAGGGTCCTCACTGAAACTCTTTTTCACCTCGGACTTTACCCCAGATTTTCTGAGTTGCTCGTGCCCCTGCATCATCACCATCAAAATGCTTTGGTGGGGTTCGGTGCGACCTCACGTTTACACCGTGCTTAGAGGTCACATAGTCAGTATTTTCTTGTAGACCGTGGATGAATATTATTATTGGATGAGCTGCAGGTAGCAGTGATAGCTGACAAACAAACGTTCATCTTCAAAGCTTAATTCAGATTAGCAGAAAAGAGCCCAATCTGAAAATTTTGAGTCTGTGATTTTTTTTCCGGCGGGGAATCCATGGTCTAACATTCCCCACATAAGCATGTGGACTTGTACTTGTAAGGTTATATTAAGCTACCTAATTTGGCATTAAAGTTAAATGTGATAATTGCTTTTCGTTTATAGAAAGTAAATTAAATTAAATATAATATAATAGCGAAGACACTTTATCGGCAGTTTTCATTTTTATATTTGTATTACTTTAAAGAATTTCCTACGCAAAAAGAATACTAGCACACAATGTCTGATGAAAATGAATACGATGATGATTATGAACCACCTCCATTTATTGCTGAAGCACAAGTAAATGTTAGTTCAGAGGCACCTCCAGATCCTGTTTCGTCGATTTCCAAAGAAAGAGATGGAAAGTTTGATACGTTGCTTATGCATCAGTTCTTAGAAGGTAAGGCTAAGTCCAAGCAAATCTTGAAGCTCTACAAATCGTTGGAACGTGATCCATTTCTTAGAGCCACGTTCAATGATTATGAAATTACTAGGGAACAACTGAGAGAATTGTCAGCAGTGAGGATCAACAGGATGGCTCGTTACATTGAAACTGACTCCCCCGAAGATTTCCATCGCAGATTGAATTTGCTCACTGTATATGATCCGCTGACTGGAATTAGAATTGCCGTCAATTTGGGACTTTATGTCAACTGTGTCAAGGGTAACGGTACCGACGAGCAGTACAAGTATTGGTGTGTTACAAACCAAACCAAAGACATAAATAAACTTTATGGTTGCTTTGGTATGACTGAATTGGGACATGGTTCCAACGTTGCTGGCTGCGAGACTACTGCTACGTTTGACGAAGAAACTGATGAGTTTGTTATTGACACACCTACTATTTCTGCAACTAAGTGGTGGATTGGTGGGGCTGCTCACAGTGCAACTCATTCAGCCATATACGCAAGGTTAATAGTCAAGGGTAAGGATTATGGAGTTAAAACTTTCGTTGTGCCTTTGAGAGACACAGACCACGAATTGTTACCAGGTGTAGCGATTGGTGATATTGGTTCCAAGATGGGTAGAGAAGGTGTGGACAATGGTTGGATTCAATTCTCCGATGTTAGAATTCCAAGATTCTTCATGTTGCAAAAGTTTTGTAAGGTTTCTAGAGAAGGTAAGGTCACATTACCACCTTTAGAGCAATTGTCCTACATTTCTCTTTTGGGTGGTAGAGTTGGAATGGCTGTTGATTCCTATAGAATTATTGCCAGATTTATAACTATCGCTGTTAGATACGGGGTTGGTAGAAGACAATTCCAAAAGCCGTTAGCAGAAGATTGGGACCCTGAAGTTCAGATCATGGACTATGCCTTGCATCAACGTCGTTTGTTTCCAATTTTGGCTTTATGTTATGCCATGGCTTTGGGTACTTCTCAATTGGAGAATGAACACACTGCAATCTTAAAAGATTTAGAAGCAGCAGTTAAAGCAAATGATACCAAAGCAATTAATAAATCTATTGGAGATACCAAATCATTATTTATTGATTCAGGATCTTTGAAATCGACTAATACTTGGTTGGCAGCTGATTGTATTACTGAGTGCAGACAATCATGTGGTGGACATGGTTACTCGGCTTATAACGGTTTTGGTAAAGCTTACGATGATTGGGTCGTTCAGTGTACTTGGGAAGGTGATAACAGTGTATTGGCAATGTCGGTTGGTAAAACACTTATTAAGAATGTAGAAGGTGTATTATCAAAGGGTAACAAAGTTGGCGGATCCGTTGCCTTTTTAAGTAATGCAAAGGAATACGTTAAAGATTTGAAGAAAGAATACTTAACAGACGAAGATGTTAATAGTCCAAGTAAGATTCTTACTGCCTTGGAAGTATTAATTGTCAGGCTTTGTTATAGTTCACTTGAAACTTTGAAGTCGAATGGAGGTGATTGGGATGCAATTTCTCATACAAGAGTTTTATTATCTAAATTGAGAGCCCATCACTATCTCTTGCAGAATTTCATTGGTCAATTGTCCAATGCTGACTCTTCCATTAGGCCCTTCTTAGATGTGTTATTACGCTTATATGCTAATGCTTGGGTTTTGGATTCCTTCTCTGCTGACTTTTTGCTTAACTATGTTTATCCACAGTCTGTTAAGAAGTTGGTAAATGCTACTAGAATTCCTGAATTATGTACTGAGGTTAGACCAAGAGCCATATTGTTGACCGACTCTTTCTTGCAACCTGACATGCTCCTTAACTCTGCCATTGGTAAGTACGATGGAAACATTTATGAAAACTATTTTGGTATAGTTAAGGAACAGAATCCTGCTTATCCATCTAAGGCACCACATTCAAAGATCCTCGAAGATATGTTAAACCGTGGATCAATTGACGAGAGACTGAGAGAGGAACTTACAGATGAAACGAAGGATCTTTTTAAGATCTAAAAAGCCAAGATAAACCACCAAAATATATATTAAACTATTCTTATTGAATATAAAAGAAAGTTACGTGAGTAGAGAGATAAAAGTAGATCATGTAAGGTTTGAGAAGTAGCATTTTTACATAACGTAAACTGGATATCCTACTGCTGAACTATGTATTATGCTTTGCCTATGAATGTACCAGTAATATATGAAATATTCAAGTTAAATGGAGGATTGTAGTTGTGTGACGTTTTCTTCGTGTAGGCTGCATCTCTGAGATATTGAACTAAAATGAAGGATTCAGTTGTGTAAGGTAGACTTCGTGTAGGCTGCATCTCATAGTGCTGGATGATGAAACAAGGAAGTAATGAAGTATCTGTTCAGGAAGTTTTCGAGCGAATAACCCACTTATTTCCGCTCATCTTACAGCGTTTCAAGCCGTTTTAAACACTCATGCACCTCTTGGAAAGACTGAATCTATTCATGCTGGAGTCTTCAATAGCATCAGACACCCTAGCATTGAACTGCTCTGCAACTCAGAGCCAGCTTTTATTCGCTCAGCTTTCGAAAATCCTCTTGGTGGCCAAGCTGGCTAAGGCGCGAGACTGTAATGTGTAACTTACTCAAAGTAATCTTGAGATCGGGTGTTCGACTCACCCCCAGGAGAATTTTATTTTTTCCTATTTTTCTTGTCTCCGAGCGCAGTACCACTTTGCCAATCCTAATCTGGCTGCAATCGTACCTCCGTATGCTCCGATTAAATGACTTCAAGGGGCAAACGGGACTTGTTTCGCTTCCAGGGAGAGGACTGAAAACTTTCTAACAAATAGGCTGAGCAGTTTAGTCTTTGGGCTATCGAGTGACCCATAAAAAATATCGCCAAAAGCGCTTCCTCCCGAGCATATCTAGCTTTAGTAAAGAGAGAATGATCACAAAAAACAAACTTACGAATATAAAATACGAAAACATCTCAATTTCCAAAAAAAAAAATCAAAAACAATAAAAGAACGAATACACGGCTATCAATTTTGAGACAAGAAAAAATTCTTTTTACTCCTTGTAATTCTTCTTTTTGAGTATTCTTTGTTCAATTGAGTTCAATTTTAGACTAGAAGTAAATTCGTCAAGCAATAGTATATATTCACAATGGCCGCTGATCAAGTAGTTTTAGTTATTATCGGTAAGTAGTGGATTTTTGGATTTTTGGATTTTTGATAGTATCGTTTGTAATAGGGGTATATTAAATTTGTGGATGGATGAAGAGGTTCTGAACAAAACATCTAAAGTAATTCAGCAGCGATTTGTTCTGTCTGTCTTATTCAATTGCACTAGGAGAAAAAAAGAGCTTATCCTTCTTTATACTCTCTCGGACGGCCCTCCGGCTACATTTATATCTCTAGGTTATACTAACTAAACTCTTATAGCAATTTTCATCCCACCTTTGGCTGTTTTCATGAAGGTTGGTGCTACCACCCCCTTATGGATTAACCTTATCTGTTGTATTTTATTCTGGTTCCCAGCTATTTTGCACGCTTTGTACGTTGTGTTGAAAGATTGATATGAAGCATAGGTTTAGAATTAGTTAGCCAACAACCTGTTATGTATTAGTAAGTAATAAAAACTCCACGGAATCACATTCTTGTAGGCACTGTAAGCGAGAGGACCTAATTAGCCGTAAACATAGGGGAACGGTAACGGGGCTAAAATCAGAAGATGTTTTGGAGTTGAAAGTAGAAAAAAAAAAAAAGAGTAGAAAGTAGCCCATGGCCAAATACCGTTAACTGCCAAAGAAGTTCAATTCATATACTGGAGGAGTAGCGTATGGTGGCATAGACGTCTAGAGAAAAGTAGGAGAGCTGCTTGTTCCAACTTTCTATGCATGTGAAAGATGTACTGTGTCTTACTTCGTATCGGACTCGGAGCTTTCACCATCCCCAGGGCTTCAAAATGGGATAGGAGGAGGATTACATGTGCTTAAACAGCCAAGATGTAGAAAAAGACTTAGTTTAGAGCTGTCAAACGTTATTACATACGTCAAGAATGGTAGACAGTTAGATGAACAAGAAAAATGGTTAATAGCCGGGGGTAGACTTACTTCGTAACATCGGGACACCCACATGTCCTCCCCCACTCCTATTGTAGCGGTAATAAAAGTGGGCTCAGAGAAACACTACTACTAGTAAAATAATTTTGTATGCCATGCATTTGAATACCTGGTGAAGTTTTGACCCGCTATATGTTTAGGGGTATATCTACATGTCAACGCTAGCTTTCTGATGGACAGTAATACCAGTTTCTTAGGATCTAGCTAGCTTCATCCTTTTTATCCTTTTCATATTTCTATCTTCCTTAGCTGTTCCTCTTCCTCTTCCCCTGCCACTTTCACTTCGTGGCTCACACCTAGGCGGTCTTACTTGAGCTAGCTCCTTTAAGCTTCCGCCTTAGACTTAACATTGTCTTACGTAAGAAGAAAAAAAAAAAAAAAAAAAAAAAAAAAGAAATAAAGAAGAATAATAATAAGACGCAAAAAAAAAATAAATTAGGAATGCACTGGAAAATTTAAAAGATAAATTAAAACAATCCCAAAAA